TCATTATATTTCATCTACATATTTCTTTTATTATACAAATACTTAATTGAGAGACTACAACTACAACTATCTAATATTATGAAACATTACCCGAGTATCTGGGTCAGAATACTAAAATATTACCAATAGCATAAATGCTCTTCTTTACCAAAACTCTTGGACTGATCTGACTGGAGAAGTATCATATCAATTGGTCTTTCCGGATCTTTCCAGAAGAACAATACTCCTGGAATATGACTCATCGTGATAAAGATTACTTAAGCACACACTGAATTACAAATTAGAAAAACATATAAATATCAGTAGATAGTTCCGTGTAGAAAGACGATCAAATTTTATCATTCTTTACTTTTCTTTTGAAATAAACAACCTACACAAGTTCTCACAAATTCTTTCGTCTATATTATATTTTGCTTTATTTTCTCCCCACAACAATAACAACAAAGTCTGAGAAAAACAGAAAAGGGAAAACAGAGAAACTGAATATATCAAAATTGACAGACAACACTCCAAAAAACAAGGACACTGTGTATGAATGAAGAATAATGATAATTACGGGCAAAAATAAATAAGATCAAGGATAAAATGATGATTTTATTGATTGAAAAGGTTGTTCCTTTTATAAACAAAAATGTTTGGTTAAAATAATTTTTTGAGGAAAAGAAAAGAAAGTCAAATGAAAATTTTTATTACATGTAACTGGTATTGATAGTAGAAGTAGAATAGAAAATTATAGAGAGAGTAAAATAAAAGTATAGTAAAAATATAATAATTGAATAAAGATAACATAAAAATATAGTGAGGTAGAATAGAAATAAAGTAATAATATAATAACGATGTAGTAAAGTAAAATAAAAAATATAATAATAGTATAATAATTGAATCTAATAAAATGTAATAAAAAATAGTATAAAATAAATGTTGGCAATAAAGAAGTATATAAAATTAGGAGAAAGAGGTATAATGTTTTTAGTGGGTGACAGGTGTTTCTGAGGTGACAATCTAGATATATATTTTAATTTTAAGGAATGAGATTATATTGGGGGGTTTGGATATAGGGGTATTGGAAGCAAGATTTCCCAAGAAACCTGAGGGGACCACTCTTGTCCCTCGAGACACGTCACTTGGTCGACTCACCGTCGACGTCAACGCCCACGAGTCCAGTACCGCCCATCACGGCTCACCGCCGGACCAAACCACTGAAGGAATCCACCATCCAGTATCCCTCACCAGAAATTAGTTAATGCCAAATTTATTTACCACACACGTGACAAAATAATATGTCCTCAATGGTCTAGTGGCTAGGATCCGACGCTCTCACCGTCGTGGCCGGGGTTCAATTCCCCGTTGGGGAAATTATTTTTGACTAGTGTAGTGCCCAAACTATTGTCATTCCTGATCTGGGATGGTCTTTCTTTTACTATAGCAAAGTGAAAAGGTCAAACCCACTGGGGATCGGAGAGTATATGTAAAATCAAAGAGAAGATAAAAGGTACTTTTTATTGATAGGAATTGAATTGTCTTATATAGTTTTCTAAACTAATACTGCGCATTATCCACAGTAAACTATTATACTCTATTTAATTACAAGAGAAGTCCTTTTACTGCGGTTGATGCTCAGAAGATGTTACTGTGGTTAATCTTTACAAGACATTACTGCGGTTCGTTATCTATGAGGTATCTTTGACATACAGAACTGCTGCGGTCAATTATCCCGATTTCTCGGATTCATCAAAATAATGTCCGACAGAATTCATTAAAATAATGTCTGACAAGATTAACAGCAAAAGGTCTCGCCGAGATTTGAACTCGGATAATGAGAATCAGAATCTCAGATGCTAACCATTACATCACGAAACCATTGTGGTTTTGACACAAAATGTTAAAATAATTATCGGCTTTTAACAAATTTCAGTTGTCTGGCAGTGCAGTGACGTTGCAGAATTCTTTGTAATTCTAAAAAATTATATTCTATTATTTTTGATTTTCTGACGGCGGCCGAGGCTGAATAGAAAGCAATTTTTTTATTTATAGAGCAAAACACCAATAAGTATAATGAAAAGGCATCATTCTATCAACAATAACTTCAGACAACTACACATCATATCTTATTTTCTCACTATATATAACTGAACGAATCAACTTGGAATTAATATTATTTTTATTATATATTCTTACAAGCATAATTATTTTCATGATTATGAATTAATAATTATTTTATTTTATTTGTACTTAATGATAGTAGAGAACAAATTACATTTAATAGATTGTCAATTATACAACTTTTATTATATATTTTTTTTTAATTTTGTTTATTTATTTATTCAAGTTAATTACAAAACTATAAATATTGTAATACTTGTATTTAATAAACATTGATTTTTTTATCTTATTTTCTGACAACCAGTTCTCTTAATCTTTAATGCTGTTGATATTTTACTTGTTTGATTATCCGAGTATATTGAGTCAAGTCTATTGAGATTGATTAATAGTACTGTTTTTCTCTTATTTTTCTTTTATTGATTTTATTATCTTTAATTCTACATTCTCTTTTGAGTTTGTCTTTTTTTCTCTTGTAGACAAAAGAGGTTATTTTACATCTATGAACCCATTCAAATCTCAAAAACCATGATAACACCACCTATCAACATTTACTACAAATACAAGCACCACATGCGTCAGTTTTGTCATGTGTATTGTTGTGAAGTTTTATAGAATAAAATCAATAGTAAAAAGATTGAGATGTATATAAGAATACTTTGAGACTGTATATAGGTTGTCTTTATTAAAGAATACAAAGTTGTCCTTTTTATATCAAAACACAATCTGCTTTGTCAGTCACATCTTAATTTCTTAAGTCTGAGTTTATTTAGATATTAGAGAGCTGGTACTGCTATGTTTATAATTTAATCTAATTGCAGTATTCTCATATTAACTCAGTGCTTACTGAGCTGTCATAATTACAGTACTTACTGTAATTAATTATTGGTCTTATTGATTTACCATAAGTAAAATAAATAAATTATTTATTTGTTCTTGTAATGATAGCTGTTTTACTATAATAATAGGAATATGTTCTTAGATGTAATAAATCCAACAACCAAGTGTCTGGATCACCACAATTGTAAGCATGTCCAGATCTAGTCAAATTCTGATGATAGACACCGGATGGTGGGTTTCTTTGGTGGTTTGATCTGGCTGTGAGCTGTGACGGGTGGTACTGGACTCATAGACGTTGACGTCGATGGTGAGTTGAATGAGTAACATGTCACAAGGGACAGGAGTAGTCCCCCAGGTTTTTTGAGAAATCTTGTTCCCAATACCCCTTATATACTGCAAAAAGAGGGCTAATTCAGTATACTAAATCTTGACCAAGTACTGTCTGAATGAATAAAATTCAGTATGAATTCGATTGGAGTTTATGATGCTAATTTTTTAAAATTTGTGAACTAAATAAATACAATTAATATACTGAATTTTAGGAATGCAAAAAGAAAAAGTGTGATATACTTTTATGTGATATATTTTGGTCGCGAAAATATAGACGCACTTTTGTCAGACCACAGATTTTTCATTCTATATTAGTTTTAGAATTTTTTTAAATACAGCGCATAACATTCAACATCTTTTTATTACTATATATGAGTTGTTAAAGAAGAGATTTGGTTAAGATTTAGTCAAGATTTAGAGGTTTATGGGTCATTTTAAAGGTTTTTATTGGTTTAAAAATTTTTTCTTATTGTTTCTAGCTATTTCTATTCGTCTACATCACTAATCGTCTCCTGTTGCAATTGGGTAGAAACATCACACTCATGATGCCATCATTTATTTTAGTGGATATTGTATTATTTCTTTTATATATCTATTGGTCCACCCCTGGTGCAATCAACCCCTACTGTATTCTGTTGCTTGCTGCGGCACACTTTCTTGGCCTGTTTGTTTACTTTTATAAAAAATAATTATAGAGTGAATTAGAAAAAATGTTCTAGGTATATTTATTTGAGAGCAACAGATTATTTAAAAAATATGAATGTATTTACAATAAAGTTAAACACGAGAACAGATGGATGTCTTTAACATAAAGATAGGTATATCAATGTTTTAGTTAAATGTCTCAATTATAATAATATTGTCTATAAAAAATAATAACTTTTTTTAATACAATGCAAAGTAAATAAGACTTTGATTTGCTTACCAGACAGTTCATAAAACAGAAGAGGTGGCAAGCAGAAAATACAATGACATTGTCTATAAAATATAATCTTTTATTAGAATAAAATAAAGAGTATCAGACTATTTTTTGCTTACCAATTATTCAATACAGTAGAAGAGGCGGCATGCGGAAAATAAAGATATTATGTATAAAATATTTTCTTTTCATTAGAATTACATACAAAGAAATAGAATGATTATTTACTTACTTGTCTGTCTGTAGAGAATAAGAGTTGGTATATAATTAAAACAGAGGACCAAGATAAAGACCAGTGACTATAAAGTGTATGGTATACATAAGAAAAATAATAAATACAAGTTGTATCTTGAAGGTATACATTAATATTTATAAAACATACCATTTTGTAAACCCTCCAAAGGTATATGTCTTTGTTAACGGGCCAGAAAAATCTAAACAGAATAATTAATACATAAATCGTGAATAAATATTCAAGTATATTTTTATCACCTTTTTATCATTATTTTTGAGGCAGTTAAGAAGGACTTGGTGTTTTAAAGCATAGCGTATCATGCTAGAATAAAAAAAACAAGATGATTAGGTCTTGAAACTTTGATGTGAGTTGATGCTTACCATGTTAGACATTAAGAAAGAAGTAAAGAAGAAGAAGAAAAAAATTAAAAAAAAATGGGGAAATTCAAAATTATAATTTTATGACTGTTGACCCTGAGAAACTGATAGAATCAATTGAGCAAATTGAAAGTCATTCAACCCATCCCAATTGAGACAAGACATTACGTACTAAACCATAATCTCTCACATCTTTGTAATGGATGTAAGCTATTACAAATGCCTTTCCAAGTCGGCTTATAAAAAAAGTATAATATAGAGATCAAAATGCTATAAAGAGCATCATCAGAAAAATAATCTTTTGGTGCCTTACTTTCCACCTTTACATATGTTTTGATTTATTTTATTATTTTAAAGAAACCCGACTCTAATTATTAAAGTATTCACAGTTTCCATTTCTTTCATTAGCCTTAAATATCTCAATTCATGTCTTCTAATATGCAGCAAACCAAAAAAAACGAAAAAGACGACTACAAAAAAGTCTGTTCAACAAACCACTGGGACAGCAGCAAGCACAAGACAATGGGAAATTCTTCCCAGCTTGACAGTTAGCGCAGAGCTAGATGGTACTGTCCTGTCCACTTTGTCTACCATGAGCACCCAACTGAATGAATCTTATTCACTTGTGGAGAAGGTCTACTACAACATGGGAGCAACCAATGGCCAGTATAATAATTCGAACCATAGTTCTATCAGCTGGCTCTTATTACAGGAGAATATATAAAGTACCGCCTTCCAAGAGTTTCAGTAGGATATATACTAGTAATAGAATATTGCAAAGTTACTTACATTATATTTTATAGAGATTGATCCATTCTCAAACACGAGCAGTTCTGGCAACAATGCCATTGACAGTCAATGAGAGTGCCTTCTTGACATCCAACCATCCCATTGCTGATGTAGTGCAGAGCTACACACATCAGCAAGCTGAAGTAAAGTCTGTTTCGTCTGCAGTTGTGGAAGAGAAAACCCGAAGACATATTTTGTATATGCTTCAAAGAGCAAAAGCTTGCCAAAAAAGATAGCTTGACAAAATCGGATTTCTTGACGCCGGTCCAGAAAGAGAAATGTAAGTATAGTCAACAGTTTTTGTGTAAACTATTTTAACTTTTTTTCAGATTCTTGCAGACTACAAGGCAATTCACTTAGCTGACAAGACAAACCTTGAGTCTAAGTTTAGTGAGACTGTCGTTGACCTTCTGGACTATGACATGTTGTCTTATATTGAGTCAGATGAGGAGAAAAATAAAACTAGATATACTTCTAGAAATAGACATCCCTTGGTAAGGCCCTCATGATAAAAGTTATTTTTTTTAGTACTTCTAACTCAAAAGTATTTATATTATAATGCACGTGAATGAATACTTTACTGTTTTGAAGAAATAGAGACTTGCTAACAAGGGACCAGACGTTATTGACAATTCTGTCTATCCAATTATTTTGAGAAACACCAAGTTATCAAACGAGAAAAAGGCGTGTGTTGCTGCTGTTATATTTTTAGAAAAGAAGAAAAACAAAGTGCAGACAAGAAGTATGGTGAGACTTTGTTTATTGATGAAAAGAGAGATGATCTTCTATTGCTATTTGCTATGTGAGTTTATATAGACATTGCGTGTGTATTTAGGATAATGATATGAGTATATCATGTGATGTCTGTTTTCTTATATCATAGATAATATATTGTTAAGTTATTACCCACGCTCTTGTTTGAGTGATTAGTGATGTTGACTAAGGTGTGTGACCTTGTTATCAGTATATTTTTTATTTAATGATAGTGTGAGAAATAATGTATAATTGATACTGGTCGCTTATTCAATATATCTTTGTCTTATTGTCTGTGCGCTCTATTTGAATCTACAATTATGTTGGATACAACAGCTGCTTGAATTCACACATACCAACAATAAATCGTTATTTTGTTTACAAAGCACATATAGTACTTTAATGATTTTTATTGATTGTGTTGAATGATGTGGGGTGAAGTGGTAAAATATAATCAGGCAGTATTGTCAAGATGAGAAACAATTAATATATAAATAAAAGGAAAAAGAAAAAAACAAAATCAAAAAACAAAAATCAAAATAATAAATTATTATTTTATTTTAAAGTGAATTAATAAAAAAAATATATATACAAAGCAATTATTTAATTATATAACCCTGATTGTTTTATTCTCGTTTTTTTTATTAGAAATTATAATACTAATATTAGCAAAAATATATAATAAAGGCCAAGAAAATGGTAAATGTCAGATATTAAATATACAAGTATTTTGTCTTTTATATTATTGATAAAAGCAAGAGAAATAAATAATAGTTTTTACTATTCTTTAATAGTTAAAAAAACTGGTAATATAATTTACTATTGCTCTTTTAAATACTTAATAAAGAAGTAATGGTAAAACTTAATAAAAATAAAGAGATAAATAAAATAAACCTTTTTACAGTCAAAAAAACTTGTATTATAATTATTTATATTTATATTATATAGCACTGTATTTATTTATTTATTTTTATGTGACTACTTTTCTAGGCAGTGGAATGACAAGGCGTTTTTGTGTTCCACTTTGCATTTTATGCATAGTCAATGCAAAGCATGAATGCAGACGATGCACTAGAATAATGCATGAAGAACTCTCTTCCATGTATACCTTTTCCCACAACTCTAGGCCTTGTTCAACTAACGGCTGGTGATGACTGGACTGGTAGGTGGGAAACCATTTGATGAATGCGAACATTGACACTCTTTTGACTCCACCAATCATGATGGGATGAGTAAATAAGTACTCTATTTGACTAGGGAATTCAGATACATCGTCATTTGTTCTCCCAAGAAACAAAACCCTCACAAAAGACCTGCGCTTCTTCTTTTCACCACTGCAGTACTCTTGCCCCAGCAATGAAATCTTTTTCACCTTTTGAATCCGATTGTTTACAAACACATCCTCACCAATTGGGATTCTCCCTACCACACAGAAGGAAACACTTGTACTCTGGTAAGCCTTGACATAGAATTCAAATAACCACTGATAGTAATTATCCTTTATCATAGTCAAAGGCTGCAGCTTGATTGGCAAAGTGGTTGGGGGCAAGGCCTCACTTCCGGTGACATTGTATCATGGATTTGTGGCAGCTTGCAGAAATATTGGGAGGTTGCATGCCAGTACAGGTGGATGACCATTCTTCAGGCAAGAGAGGGGCGAGAGAGCAGATACCAACATAACTTGGACAACACTCACAAGAAATTATATCATTGGCGGCAAAAGGTTGGTGAAATATGCATGTAGGAAAGTGCTGATAAATGCCTTTTCCAGGAATACTCTCATGAATGTAACCTCAAGACCATTTTGGCGGTTCGTCTTTATGTTCTTCAACTTGCTGTTGTATCTCTCAAAGCTATACAACCAGAATGCATACACTGGACCAAAGTCAAGCATTGACTCATGCAAGTGTATATGCAAATGCATATTTGGCGTGATACTACTCTTTCCATAAAGAATCTCACATTATTTTCCAAATTCTCTAAAGAGCTGGTGTGCACTGTCAATTTCTGAATATGTGACTGATGGACCGGTCAACTTTTGGCATGCCTGAACGAAGAGAGTCCAGTTTTTGAAGTCTTTTTCAGGCAAAGCGTCTTTGAGTATTACCAGCAAATATATGAGACACCACAATCACCACTCGTCTGCCTTCATATATGGGAAGCCCAATTCGATTTTTGCAGACAAAATGATATACCCAGGAGGAACAATAATACCATCAGCAAGGCGTTGCATGCGGACGAGAACAGCAGCAGGGAGATAGCCAAGGTCTTTCCAAACACTGATCATACACTTTGCTGTCTCAAGAAACAAATTGTGCATGAGATCAACAATTGTGCACCGAACGGGATCAAAGTAATACAAACAATGCAAATCGGAAAACTGCGTGCCATTTTGCTTCTCTAAATCTGCTCTTTCTGCATTTGATTCTGCACAAGCCCACATATCGGCGTATATGGCGTTCATCTCCTTTGTTCTTGGCACCCAGCTTTCATTGTCAAACCCAGAGTAATCGATCTTACTTGATCCGGCAATCACAGAGAAGTGATGCTCGCATTTATGACAGGCATTAGTGCTTGCATGCCCTGTAAATCCAGCAGTTTTTCTTGCAGCAGTTATGTTGCAAGCAACATACATAAGAGTGGCGCGGACAATAGTACCATTGGGGAATGCAGCAGTCTTTACAGTTATACTGCCGTACAACTCTACCAGCTCGTCTACCAGAGGTTCCAGAAAGTTGTTCATCTGATCGATCTTTGCTTCCTTTGGACCAGGCATGACACCAACAAGAATAATGTTCTCTAACTTCATTCTTTCTTCCCTGGGCAGGTTGTTCATTGACAGATACAAGGCCCTACTTGCATATGTACAGTCTTTAAATGGTTGAAACCAATCTACATTCAATGTCAGCATCAAGGAATAGTCATGATTAACAAAAGACTTGTTGTCTTTGTCAAGGAGCTCACTCCACATTGCACTATCATATATGTCTGACAAGGTACTGTTAATTGTCTCCCTTGATCTCCATTGAACGATTTGATGCTCAAACCCAGATTTGGCAAAATGCTGTGCAATGGAATTCTTGAGGGAGTTATATGGAAAAACCATGAGAGGGATGGGGTAATCAACTTCTGAGTCAAAGAAAAGAGGATATCCGCAGTATGCTGGTGGTGTAGTTGTGTATTTTTCGAATGTGCAATTTGGTTGGTGATGACCTGGTAAGTAAATTGCAAAACACTTATTGCAGACGGTGTATTTGACAATGCTTTTTGTCATGAAATTGAATCCGTTCATAGTCTTTAATGCATCAACGGTGAGCGGGAGATCAGTATCCTTCTCAAAGACAACAAGAAGATGGCAGAAGAATTTCAGCATAGCAGTTCCACCTGCTTGGACCAAGTAAAACACCTGAAAGATAACACCAAATAGAGCCATGAATTGGCTTGTTTGAGACATTTCATGAATTTTCAAAGAAGCAACTACAAAGGCAAGTATTTCTGTTAATTATTTGTAACACAATATATGTATATTTCTTTTTTAAATGTATGCATACCGGAAGCAACCATGTCTTCAAAATTTTCAACACCGGCAACCTCGACTTTACTCTCATCTTCTGACTCATCACTTGAATCAGGATCGTCATTGTCAGAAGCCAATGATATTGCCTTGACATCAGACTCTTCAAATTGAAAAATCTCATCTTCTCTCAAAAAAGGTACACTCTGTACAGTAGTTTCAGCTGATACAATAGAATAATTGTTTTTATCTATAGTAAAAACAGACTATTAGCTATCTAAATTATGATTTATTAAAAATACATTTTATACTCACAGTCAATCGATGTATCAGATACATCTTCCATCTCAACATCTGTCTCTTCTTTGACAACTTCTGTATTAACTGATAATTAACAAAAAAAATATCAGATTTCAATTTATTCAGTAATGCGCATACTACTCAAATGTCATTTACCTCGATTTTTTGGGCCAATATCTAATAACTTATCAGCATCATTATGATGCTTAAAGGTCTGTGCATTTTGCAAAGTTCTGCCAATTGCATTTTTGGTACATGATGAACATGTACACATAACAGTGTAGGTTTTAGTTGTAGAATTCATAACAGTAAGAATAATATTAATAATAATAAAATAATAAAGAAGTGTATACTATATTTTATATTTATCTTTTATATGTCTCTTATTTTTGTCATTAATAATGAGTTGATATATCTTGTTCACTATGTCATTGACTACATTGAGCTTACCGTCCCTATTAGTAAGAATTACAAATGGATTTTGATACAGCAATCTTTTCTTAAAAAAAGTGTGCCTGATTATTAATGGGGCTTCAATTTAATAATCACTGATATAATGGCGTAGTTTTTCTCTTTCGCGTTTTTTTAACATGACATCAATTCTCGCTCATTTTGGCAAGTGGTCTTTTTTAGATTTTCTTTTTCTTGTATTTTTTATGACATCAATTCTTGCTCTTTTTTCAATTTTTTTTGATATACTTTCTTATTAAAAATAAGTCATATATCATACATTATTATATTCTAATAAAAATCGGTATTTTTTGTGATGCAATAAAAATATTATTGAGTATAAATTAGGTGCATCTGTAACAACAAGTTTTTCCTTCCAGAAAAATAATTAAATACTACATTTAACATTTAATATTTTATTTTTATTTTTTATTTTTCTGCCAAGTCAATCGAAACATATATTTTTTAAGACAGTTGTGCGATTTATTGCCTAATTAATAAATATTTGTGTTTGTATCTGTGTTTATTTAATATAATCAGAAAAAATTGCGAATTCACATCTCAAGAAAAAAATATATTGAAAAACGATGATGTTTGAAATATTTTTTCCAAATTTTGCCAAAATTCAAAAAATAAAATTCAACCAAATCCACCCTCCTTTTGCAGTGATACCCAAACCCCTAATTTCATTCCATTCCTTAAATAATTAGAATACCCATCTACATCGTCACCTCAGAAACACTTGTCACCCACTAAAAAAATTATATCTCTTTCCCCTAATTTTATACATTTATTTACACTATTTTTTATTACATTTTTATTAGACTTCATTATTATACTATTATTATATTTTTTATTTTACTACATCGTTATTATATTATTATCTTACTTCTATTTTACCTCACTATATTTTTACTTTATCTTTATTCAATTACTTTATTTTTACTATACTTTTATTTTACCCTCTCTATATTTTTCTATTATATTTCTACTATCAACACTAGTTACATGTAGTAAAAATTTTCACTTGACTTTCTTTTCTTTTCCTCAAAAAATTATTTTAACCAAACATTTTTGTTTATAAAAGGAACAACCTTTTCAATCAATAAAATCATCATTCTATCCTTGATCTTATTTATTTTTGCCCATAATTATCATTATTCTTCATTCATACACAGTGTCCTTGTTTTTTGGAGTGTTGTCTGTCAATTTTGATATATTTAGTTTCTCTGTTTTCTCTTTTCTGTCTTTATCAAGCTTTGTTGTTGTCACAATTTTCATTTTTATCTTCTCCCTATTTTTTCTACCTGTCTGTCACCAATTCTTACCTGTCAAATTACCCATTCTTTTCCATTCTTATTGTATTCTTCTTCTTGTATTTCATAATTCACATTACATTTATTTGCCAAGTGATATTGTTACAATTCGCAACAAATAAACATATCACGCATCAGTTTTAATATCAGTTGTTGTAAAGATAGTCCATGCATAACAAAATTTTGGTTATCCAGCAGTGCGGTGATGTTGCAGAATTCTTGCAATTTTAAAAAAATTATATTCTATTTTTTTATTTCCAAAGGCAACCAAGATTAGATAGAAAGCAATTTTTCTATTTGAAGAGCAAAACAGCAATAAGTGTTGTATCTAACATAATTATAGATTCAAATAGAGCACACAGACAATAAGATAAAAGCATATTAAAGAAGTAACCAGTATCTACTTCTCACATTATCATTAAATGAAGAACATACTGATAACAAGGTCACACAACTTAGTCAATATCACTAATTGCTCAAACAAGAGCGTGAGTAATAACTTAGCAATATATCATCTATGATATAAGAAAACAGACATCACATGATATACTTATGTCATTACCTCAAATACACATGCAATGTCTATATAAACTCACAGAGCAAATAGCAATAGAAAATCATCTCTCTTTTTATCAATAAACAAAGTCTCACTGTACTTCTTGTCTGTACTTTGTTTTTTCTTTTTTAAAAAATATAACATTTTTTATGGTGAACTATTATCACAATCAAAATATGTCTTCTGAAAACCAGTCTTCTGCCCCCAGTGTTCAGAGCAGCCTCAATACAAGTGAAATTGCAAGCAATGAACAGACCGACAAGTCCATGTTGGCTATTACCAGACTTAGAGATCTTTTGGCTGCAGCTTTCATTGCCCTAGCTGATGCCATTGAACAAAACCAGCCCGAGGACACCAAGAATCAAATAAGACTGACAATTGCGGTCACAGAAGACGATCTGGCTATTCTCATATCAGCACACACCCATTTGCTTCGTTCTGGTCCTGCCTGCACTGAACAAATTGCTCCCCAATCCCGTGTTGTACTTTGCGAGCTCCCAGTTCTTCAGTGGCAAGGAAATGAGTAGAACAACATCCAGAAGGTCTACTTGTCCATTGAAGAGTGTCTGGACAATTTCGAGGATGTCCTCTACTCATACAGTCTGGATCTTAATGTGGACTGGCACCGTCTACTTCCAATTGTTTTGTCAAGAGAACAGTGTTCCTGGTATGACAACTACCTTTGTAGTTCCCCCGAGCTTCTCTGGTCCTTTGTCTGCAATGCCTTTATCAAGATGTATGGAATTAACAACCTTGAGTATCAAGTACAGCTCACATATGAGCTGATGCTTATGAGAATGAGCCCTGCAGAAACTATCAGCAACTACACAAGCCATTACTAAAGGGTTTATTGGGAAGCTGACATGGCAGACAACATGCAGGCAGCCATTGCATACACTGCCACACTTCTGCCCAAGCTGGCAAGACAAGTCTTCTTGCTACAAGTCAACATACCCAGGGAAAAATGGGACACTATTGACAAGGCTGCTTCCCTGTCCCGGTCCATCTACAGCTAGATCTTTCTGATGAGTTTGCACAATAACTCTGTGCACAATAACTCTGTGCCCAAAGGCCACCATCTCAACGCAGAACAGACGACCCACATGTCTGCTACTATCTCTTTTGCCTGCCCCCTTGGTTCTCCCTGTGAAGTCACACAGAGCTGTGAGCGCTCTTCCAGCAAGAGATGCTTGCTCCATGGCAAGGGCAGCCATGACTCTGAAGACTGCCATATCCCAAGAATGCACTGGCAGCAAAAGGGAGCAATCAGATTGAAAAAGCCCCCTACATGAACAAGTATGTTGGTTCTGCTCCTTGCTGTTGGTGTGAAGAAGTTTGGTCCTACAAACATTCACTGGAAAAATAGGGTAATTTCATCTATGGCATAGGGTACTATTATTTGTGGAGTGGTAGCTTAAATTTCCATCACTTTTGTCTTTTTTATTTTCGATGGCAATGATAATGCTCGGTCTGTTTTATTGGATAAAAAAACGAGTTTACTCTTTTTTGTAAAAAATGTCTGCGAGATTTCTTTTTGGGACTTGTAGCCATGTCGCAGAGTCAATAGTTGTAGGGAACTTAAACCAAATGATATCTTTTGAGTGAGATAATAAAGCTTTTTATTGTTGTAATATTTATTTATAAGTATGATGAGGTTAATGGTTGTGATATTACTACAAATATTTTTGTTGTATATGCTCTACAGCTATTAAAATGTACATGACGACATGTTTTAACAAAAGTGTGTATTATTGTATTTTAGAATGAGGCAATCAATTACTGTTTAGAGAACTGCCCATTTTAACAACTGGAATAAACTATGTCATTTTGGAAGCTGATGTAATTTGGAAAGATATATATTAAATTGTGTTCCTGAACAATTTTCTATTTTTGTCAATTCTAAAGACTTAAAAAATAAAACATACGCACACAATATGTCAAACAACAACAACAATTCAGAATGCAAGTGCTCTAAATGCTCTTCCAATAGCATGGGATTTGTTTTGGTGTCTACCCAAACACTCAGAAGACATGCACAACAGGATATCGTGAGACAATATCAGCCAGGATCTTCTTATAAGTTCAAATTTAAGAAAATTATTATTGAGACAATTTTAATTAAATATTTATTTTCATATAATATAGCCTCAGTTATAGAAGTAATGTCGAATGACAATGACATGGAGATTGATTTTGAATACAATGTTGATGCCGAAGATCAAGTTGAAGGTATGCATAGTATTTTTATTAAAGTTTTATAATCATTTATAATATCTAATAATTTGATTCTTTTTTACCTAACAAAACAGCCGAAGACTTACTTCTTTTTGGCATTGATTCCTTGTTTGATTCTGAAAGCGAAGATGAGGGTGTCATTGAAGCAACCATTTTGGATATTTCTGACAATGAATCTGATAATGTTAGAGGTTAGTACAAAAAGCACATATAAATCAATAAAGTCAACAAGTATTGATTTTTTTTTCAAATAGAGCACTTTTCTTCATCCAATATGCCAGTCGATCCTACTCATGCTTTCATTGCTTCTTTTGCTGCCTTCTTTATATCCAAATATGTTGTCAATTCTGGTAGTGCTGTTCTGTTAAAGTTTCTTAACGAAGTATTGGCACACTTTGGACAGTCTTTCCGTCTTCCCCTCAGTATAAATGGTGTCAACTCTATAGCCGGTCTCAGCGATGTGACTCGAGGTGTCCAGCAGTTTGTTGCATGTGGCGATTGTAACAAAGTATACAAAGAGTCTGATGTTGTTTCAGAGTGCTGTAATTTCGAGAGACTCTCTGGTAGAGAATGTGGAAACGCTCTTTTCTTTGCAACATCAAGAGCCTTGACTATCCCCAAAAAGATCTACATGTATAACTCCATAATCAAAACATTGTCTATCCTTTTTTGCTGCCCTGGATTCGAAGACACCATCAACCATTGGAGAATCAGAGTGCAAGTTCCAGGCATGATGTTTGACATTTACGACAGTACGAAGTGGAACAGTCTGAAGGATAGCAATGGTTTACTGTTTGTGAATCATGAGCACTCCATAATGCTTACCATGAACATCGATTGGTTTCAACCTTTCGATGGGGTCACTTACTCCTGTGGTGCGATATACCTTTGCATCAACAACTTGCCAAGATCAGAACAGTACAAGAAGGAGAATGTTGTTCTCGTTGGTCTCATGCCAGGGCCCAAGGAAGCAAAAACAAGTGAGATCAATCACTACCTCCGTCCCCTTGTCGCGGAACTCAACCAGTTGTATGGCAGTGTGGTGATGCCTACCATACAGTGCCCATCTGGTGCTCTTGTCCGTGCTGCCCTTCTTCTTGTTGCCTGCAACATTCCTGCTGCCCGTAAGACTTGTGGGTTCACTTCTCATTCAAGCACATGTGCATGCAATAAGTGCAACCAACAGTTCCCTCGCCTTCCAAACTCCAATGCTGTGGACTACTCTGGGTTTGTGTTTTCTGAGTGGGTGCCTTGCACTGATGCCGAAAACTGCCGTGATGCCGAGTTGTGGAGAATGGCCAGCAGTGATGCACAGAGAAAGAGATTGGAAAGAGAAAATGGTGTCCAATGGTCAGAATTGCATGACCTGATTTACTTTAACCTCGTGGAGTGCACTGTCATCGATCTGATGCACAACCTGTACCTCGGAACAGCAAAGAGGATAATGGAGAAATGGAGATCTTCAGGTCTCATCACAGATGCACACTTGGCCGAAATGCAGTTGGATGCTGACAAGTTTGTACTGCCAGAGGACTACACGCCATTAGGGACAAAGATTGGGCATGGCTTCCCATTCATGAAGACCGATGAGTGGAAGCCTTGGTGCTTGGTGTACTCTCCTGTTCTCCTGCGTGGTCGTCTACCTGAAGCTCATCTTGGTAACTGGACAACGTTTGTCAATGCATGCCAGTACCTCTCAATGCCAAGCATATCCATGGCTCACCTTGATGAAGCCCATCAATCTTTGGAGGCTTTCTGCAGAGAGTGCGAGAAGTTGTATAAAGCCCCATTCCTTTTGCCAAACATGCATCTCCATCTTCATCTGCGAGAGACTGTACTGAACTTTGGCCCAGTTTATGGCTATAAGCTTTTTAGTTTCAAAAGATGCAATGGTATCTTGAAAAACTATGCGACAAATAGAAACGACAGGTTTGAGGGAACCTATATGAAGAAGTATCTTGAAGAAGCATACCAGGGAGATCTTATTCGCCAAACTTTGCCAATAATTTGACCTGAGCATTCGGCAATCATCCTTGAGCTCACTGCATCCATTGCCAATTCCATAGTCACTTCCACTTCCACTGCCACCTCAATCCAATTCGATATCAATGCTTTTCTTGATTCTCCTGAGATCAACTTTGATATCGTCAAGGGAAACAAGCCTTTGCCCACTTCCGCACTTTCTTTAGCTCTAAAGGGGGAGATTTCCATGGATGAATCCGAGTATGAGCATTTGTTGGAATACTATCACGAGACATACGATGATCAAACTCTTGTTCATTATTGTCTGGCTGGTCATTCTGATAATTTTGTTAACAATTGGATACAGAAGTTTGAATCAATCAATCTTCTTGGGCAAATCTACAAGAGCAAAACGAAGAATCAGTGTGGGTCGTTCATGCAAGCCTTGTTTGAGACAAGTGATGGTAGAAGTACCAAGCCATACGCGGGCCAAATTCAGTACCTCTTTGTCAATACTGCTGTAAACTCATTTGCTGGTCATGCGAGCCAGCATGTATTTGCATATGTACGATGGTACAAGGAAGTTTTACTCCAGCCCAGAGCAGGAGAAGGAGTTGAGATGAATGAGGTGGGGTTCGAAGATGACAGCATGAACAGCATTCTCCCAGTGCATAGAATCTGCTATCCAGTTGTAGTAGGTGAGCACCTTGGTCTAGAAGGCGAAGTTCAGATGTGTGTAGTTCCTTTGCCACAAAAAATATATATTTAGATTCAAATACAAAAATAAAACACGTATAAAAAAGAAAAATTAATTAATACAGACTAATATATATAGCTGCACATTTATTTTTTATTATTTCTATAAATTTTTGTTTGTACTTGGCATGCTATACATGCATCTGTATACATCATGCTAATCCGTAAACATAAACAAGTAGAAAAAAGACTCTAAAATAGTTGGCAAGAAAAAAATGATTTATTTTGAAAAGCACCAATCTGGTAAAGTGACTGCCAAATTCTCGGGAATGCTCACTTCTTTCTCATAAGGGATGCGCTTTTTCAAGCTTTCTGAATTTTTCTTCAAACGGATAACAGTAAGTTCATCAATAGTACTAATAAACGTCTGGAGCTGGTTTAAAGAATAAATAGTATTAATAAAGTATTATTATTTTCTTTAAAACATAAATAGATGTTTAACATTACCTCATCAGTTCTCCAGCTGGGACGATATGCCCGCACTTTGTTATCTCCATCCGACTCGCCATCAGACATCACGTCAATAGAAAGAATATTTCCGCAATCATATCGATTCATGCCCTCATGAATAGCCTCTGTGTATGTCTGGTACGTGATAATACGACGGTCAAGAAGCTACCAAAGAGTATTGTATTAAAACATTAAATCAATAGTAAATTAACTTTATTTTAAAACTTACGGTCTTCTTTCTGTTGCATCTTCTTCCAGCTTTATTTCTAACCATAATCTTCTCTGCTGAGGTCCGGAAGACTCGCACTTGATTTTGGTAGTGATTCTTTATTATATTCATAATGACACTCTTTGACACATTTGTGCAACATCTTTGAGGTCTCAGGTACTTGAAGAGAGCCAGTGCAAGTGTCTTGTTGTACTTGTCGCCATACGTGCCAGTCATTGACCATGCTGATCTATTATTATTCTCAGCAACTTTGAGCAGGTCTGTGCTAACAAAGTTTGGTTTCTTGATGTAACTATTGATAAGTTGCTATAAAAACAGTATTAGATATATTAATCAGTAATGTTATTATTATCAATTTACTTACAGAAATCAAGGGATGATGTTTCGCTCCAAGGTCAAGATCATCATCCATGGAAGAAGAAGAATCCGCTGGTACAGCAGAAGGCATCACGGAATTTTGGCTGGTCATTGCCTTTTTTATTTCAGCATTTTCAGTCATGAGCTGAAGGACCGAGTTCTTCAAAAATTTATTTGTCTTGTTGGACAAATCCAGGCCATTCTTCAAATGAGTTATTGCATCAGTCACTCCTTTTACATTTTCTTGCAAGGATTGCATCGACACATTGTTGGCGGCCAACAAGGTAAGGACGTGATCCATTGGGGTCACAGCGACTTGAACTTCAGGGGCTGTGTCAACTGCTACTTCTGGAGTTGGTGTATCAATTGGAGCAACAACACCTGCAATTGTGCTATTAAGAACAGTATTCATGCATAGGTTGGGTCGGCGGGGAGCAGTAGGAATACGCTTTGTCATTTTCTGTTAATAAAATAAATATTAATAATTTTCAACTAATATTGTACAATTCACTACACTTGTTATATCATATTTAAAATTCACATACTAGTAAAGAGGATAAGCGGTGCAGATTAACTCTCTACCTTTCATTTGATATTTAAGCACATCTCTCAACCGCTTGATCCACATTTAGACAACTTCTTTTCTAACTCAATGAGGCACAAAGTAGTATTTCAAGATGACGGTGGTCATCTTCTTTTGGAGTATTACTTTTTACAGCCCGCATTTTGTCAGGGTCAAACTGGATTTTAAGACAAGTCTTTTTTTTTCCTTTTTTTTTCTTTTAACAACATTTATTATTGATATTTTCTTTGTTTCTCTTTTGCTTATGTTTTTACAATTTCACTTATAATTTTTTCTTTCTTTTATAGCTCAATACCAAATATGTGTCTCTTTGTTTGGCTATACTCTGTCTGATATATCAAGGTAAGATATCATTCTCTTACAGATCTTTGTTACTTATCATATTGTTTGTCTAGCCATTGCTACTCATTTCCATTGAGTCTCATCATCTCTTAATCGAACATGATGATAAGTTTTTTTCTTAAAAAAAATTCAAATTATTCTTTTGTCTTCCTCATAAATATATATTTATTTCTATTATGATTTATTAGTTATGTCTGATATTATGCAGGAAGATGTATAATCAGTAATATTTGGTAAGTTAACTACAATATACTTAATAAATACGCCTTTACTACGCACAATATTAATAATTATTCATTTTTAGAATGTATCTCTATTCAAAGACTACTGGTATTGTCTTAATAATTCTGAAGAACATGTTTATATCAATTTTATGTCAAGTCTTCTCCGCCTTGTAAGTATTTATGAAGAAATTTCAATTTAAATCATTTACTAATTCTTCTTTTCTATTAATCATTTTTTAATAGCATTCCCGCTATTAAAGTATGTATTCCATGTCTACTCCCAGAAGGCTTTAAATTATATATAGCGAGCAAGAAGTATTAGCAATTATAATAGCTATAGTATCAAAACTGTCGCAAAATTAGTATTTTTATCTAGAAAAGATTTTCCTATCAAATAAAACAAAATTGAACAAAAAATGTATAACCCAATGTTTTTCCAAAAAATAAATAAATAAAAGTAAAATAAATAAACAAGCCAAAGAGGCTTGTTTATAAAAATCTACCTATGCTTTGTTTCTTTTTTCCATTGTAAAAAAACCTAGTTTCATTGCTTTTGTGTGTATAAAAAACCTAGTTTCATCACTTTGAGCATGTATAAAAAACTAACTATCATCATTTCTTTATATTGTAAAAAACCTACAATCATCTCTTTAATAGTTTTTAAAGCATTTCTGCAGCCAATAAAAAAACCCAGTAAAAATAATAATATGGGACGCTAGCTCTTTATAGACCTCAAAATATAACACATAAAGAGGTAGACTCGATAGGAGTAAAGTGTAACTACAATATTTATTCAGTTTCCATAGTTTGCAGACTGACAATCGTTCTACATTGGGTTTTTGTATACCCGTTGTTATGATGATATGCATCAGCACCATAGATGATATCGTACCATTGCTCAAAATGATATATCACAAAAATTGAGATGATATCGGCTCAATCATCTACATTTTTGGTACATTTGATCCAGATGAAATTACCCTATTTTTCCAGTGTGATGTGACACCATAACAGCAAGGGCAAAGGAGGGAACCAGGTGTACAGACACAGATAAATGTATAGCTTTTGGGGGTTCAACCCATGATTTTTCTATTGGGAGTACAAAGCTCTACTCACTATATCAAGCAAGTGATGCGTGTGGTACTTGTATTTGTGATAAATGTTGACAGGTGATGTTGTCACGGTTTTTGAGATTTAAATAGGTCTGTAGATATGAAATAATCTCTTTTTTCTATAAGAGAGAAAAAGATAAACTCAAATGAGAATGTAAAATTAAAGATAATAAAATCAATAAGAAAAAAATAAGAGAAAATCAGTACTATTAATCAATCGTGATAGACTTAACTCAATATACTTGGATAATCAAACAAGTAAAATATCAACAGTATTAAATATTAAGAAAACTTGTTGTCAGAAAATAAGACGAAGAAAAATCAATGTTTATTAAATACAAATATTGCAATATTTATAGTTTTGCAATTGATTCGTTGAATAATTAAATAAATAAAATTATAAAAAATATAATAAAAGTTGTATAATTGATAATCTATTAAATGTGATTTGTTCTTTATCATCATTAAATATAAATAAAATAATATAATTATTAAGTCATAATCATGAAGATAATTATGCTTGTAAAAATATATAATAATAATAAAAATAATATTAATTCTAAGTTGATTTGTTCAGTTAAATATAGTGAGAAAATAAGATATAATATGTGGTTGCCTGAAGTTATTGTTGACAGGATGATGCTTTTTCGTTGTACTTATTGGTGTTTTGCTCTACGAATAGAAAAATTGCTTTCTATTCAGCCTAGGCCGCTGTCGGAAAATCAAAAAAATAATAATAGAATATAGTTTTTCTAGAATTACAAAGAATTCTGCAACATTACCGCACTGCTGGACAACCGAAATTTTGTTACAATTGGAACATTATAACATTATTTTATGTCACAAGCAACTACCCGGCTTTAGCTCAGTTGGTAGAGCGGAGGACTGTAATGAATTGTAATCCTTAGGTCACTAGTTCGAATCTGGTAAGCCGGAGTAAATTCACATTTTGAATGTGTTGTGTCTGAATTCTTGTCAACTTGTCAAATCATGATCTTGTCGGACATTATTTTGATGAATCCGAGAAATCGGGATAATTGACCGCAGCAGTTCTGTATGTCAAAGATACCTCATAGATAACAAACCGCAGTAATGTCTTGTAAAGATTAACTACAGTAACATCTTCTGAGCATCAACCGCAGTAAAAGGACTTTTCTTGTAATTAAATAGAGTATAATAGTTTACTGCGGATAATGCGCAGTATTAGTTTAGAAAACTATATAAGACAATTCAATTCCTATCAATAAAAAGTGTCTTTTATCCTCTCTTCGATTTTACATATACTCTCCGATCCCCAGTGGGTTTGACCTTTTGACTTTGCTATAGTAAAAGGAAGACCATCCCAGATCAGGAATGGCACACTTGTAACTAAGTCGCAGAATCAATACCACTAGGGATCATTAAGTTTTTAAGAATAGTTTTTAGATAAGAATAAAGATGATTTTTATTAAATGTAATTCTTGACTATTTATACAAAACGGTTGTTGTTTTCTGGCTAAAAGAATAGCTATGATAATATGTCTTAGATGGTGGTTATCCAGTAATATCTCTATAAGTATATTCACTATCTTAAACACATAAAACATACAGTACCGAAAAGAAATGTTTCGCCTATTTTAACATCCGCCATGAATGGTAAAGAAGATATCACAACTTCAAATCCCTTTCTAAAGATGTACAATAGGTATTGAAATATAATACTTGGAACAATAAAAGTGAAAGACATATATATTAATAATGTAAAAAAAACAGATACAGTTTTAATAGCAGATTTGCTTAAATTTCTTTTTCTTAAGTAAGGCCAATCGATTTGGCATATTCAAGCAGCATCTTTTACAAGTTTTTGATGATATTTTGTTCCACTCTTCCAACAAAGCAGCCTTCAGCTCATTCAGAGAATTTGGTCTGGGGCGTCTTGCTCTGATTCTGTGATCAATGATTCTCCATATATTCTCAATGGGGCTAAGGTCAGGGCTGTTGGGTGGCCATTGCAAAACATCAATACCATGTTTTTTCTTGAACTTTCCTGCAACTTTTGATTTATGTGCCTTGGCATTATCTTCCTGGAACTTGTAGCTACCGCTGCTAGGTACAGGAAGAGCATGCAAGAATGGAAGAAAATGGTCTCAAAGAACTTTTACATATCTTGGACCATCCATGTTTTCATCTACGAAAACAAGTGGACTAAGTCCTCCTGACCAGATACACCCCCAGACCATAACCGATCCACCATTTCCTTGCACCTTTGGGACAAAGTGATCCGTATCAAACCTCTCACCAGTTTTGCGCCAGAGTTTTCTGCTTGAATTTTTCTTATACAGCACAAATGACGACTCATCACTCCAGATAGCTGTTTTTCACTGTTTATTCCAGTCTTTCACGGTTTTGTACCAAGCTCGGCGTTTGGCAATGTGTGCCTTGGTAAGAAAAGGCTTTGACACAGGTTTACAGCAAAAATAGTCCATGCTGTGCAAAGCTTTATGCATGGTAACCTTGCTGACATTCTTTCCCATGTCAGCACTAGCATCATCAACAAGATCATCCAACATTGACCACCTGTCTTTTTTGAGATTCGAGACAATACGTCTTTTGTCTCTAGGTGTGAGGATCTGTGGTCTTCCAGAAGACTTTCTGTTATTGGCAGTTCCTCTTTCTTTATATCTCTTTAAAAAATATCGAACTGTTGATTTGGGTACATTCAGCTTGGCTGAAATGCTGGCAACATTATTTCCATCAAGTTGAAGTCCAAGGATCTTTCCTTTCGTCAAATCTGAAAGCACATTATAGGGCCCATGAGAGTTATTCTTTTGTGTGTTTGGCATTATGGTAGATTTGTTAATTAGTTTTTTAAGACGTTGATAAATATAAAATATAGGTTATAAAGCAAAGGTGCAAATAGTGCGCCAGGGTGCGAAACATTTTTTTCTCAGACTGTATATGAAAGACCAATTAGCAAAGTCAAGATCTTTTATCCTAAAAAGTCAACCATTACTGGTTGCTTATAAATCCCAATTTTGGTTACTAATGTCAACTCTGACAGTTATTCCATGAACTTGTCTGTTATAGTAAAAGGTCAAACCCACTGGGAGTCAAGGAGTATATGTAAAATCAAAAAGAGAATAAAAGATATTTTTTACTAATATGAATTGAATTTTCTTATATAGTTTTCTAAACTAATACTGTGCATTATCCACAGTATCTATTATATTATATTTAAATAAAAGGAGAGTCATTATACTGTAACGGTATAAAAACTAAACTGATCCTAATATGAACAGCCAATGAAAAAATTCTCTGACCTATAGGCCCAGGCAGTTGGAAAATTACTTAAAATAGCAGTTTTTTCTTTTTAGAAGAAAAATATGTCAATACTGAAATCTCATACTGAGAAAAAAATCGGGTTTTTTACCCATGAAAGTCTTCTTAAAATGCGAATCTTGAGTGTCATATCAGACGCCAGAGGTAAAGTATGTTTACCTTATACTACTACATGGTTTATATGATACTTTATTCATCAACTCTATTTACTTTATATTGTCTTTCTTACTTCAACATCTTTTAAAATGACTTATACGAAATGCATAATTGTGTAAATATATACATTTAATTTTTTATTAAAATGTATTGTAGCTGATAAAGAATAAGATGAATAGATAATATGATAAAGAATAGTAACAGATAAGAATAATGAGTAACAGATATATGGTAGTGTATATATCATGGCTTTTAAAAAAGAGTATTTTTAATTGCTAGGCTTGTAGCTAACCCATCTAGCCTTTTTCTTGGCTTTGAGCTTCAACAAAACAATGGGGTGTCTATTTGAATTGAGTGAAGGTGGGGTGACACTTATAGCAATTGGTTGCTGAGTAGGTGGAGGAGTAAAAGGAGCAGAGGTAGAGAAAGGAAAAGGCGACGTTGAATGAGTAGTAGAAAGAACAGGAAAGATAGGCAGTTGAGACAAGCTGGCGTTAGTATTTACACTTTGAGAAGCATTGTTGGTAGCCATGAGTAATTGCATTTGTGAATTTAAACACTGTTGCTGGATCATGAGGATTTTTATGTCCTTAGCCAGTTGCTGTGTTGTGTTCATCAGAAGCCAATTCTGCTGGTTACTTTGTTCAATGAAGTTGTTGAAAGAGTTTTCATTTTTCTCAAATCAGCTGTCTTGTTGTTGCTGCAATTGTATGATCCGATGATTCACTTCTGTCACTCTGTTGGCTACCTCTTTGTTCGTATTGACAATGTTGGGAACAAGGCTTTCATACTCTTCTAGTCTACCAATGGAAGGACTGGTAATGGCAGCTACAATATCCTCTTGGAATATTCTGAAGCTGTTACTTGAGAACGGAAGGTTTCTTGTGTTGATGTACTTATTTTCTTTGTTCAAATACAAGTAAACAGCTGCATCTTGTAAGATTATTCTTCTGCATTGTATCAAGAGTTGTAAAAATCCGCGCTTTGCTGTATTGATACTGCTTTGAGTTGCTCTTTGCTTTGCTTTTCTCTTTTTTTCTTTCAACTGCAATCTTCCATCTTCCTCCACGAATTCTACGGAATCTGCTTCTTCATCTATCTCCAAATTTATGATGTTTTCATTCTCATCCTCGTTCTCATCGACTTCATTCATCTCCTTCTCACAGACAGCTACCCACTCTGTATTACCGACACTGAAATAGTCTTCAATCCAAAGAAATACCATCTTTTGTAATTCCATTGGTGGTGACATGCCATTTCTTGCTAGTGAGAAAGGCTTTTCCCAAAAGCCAGCCATACCTCTGGCAAAAGGAGATAGGAGTTTACCCAAGTAACGGGTCTCCAAACGACCAAGTCGATCCTTCCATCCTCCTCCTCACTTGATCAGATCAAAAGGTATCCCTAAGCCCTCAGCTTCCATTGACCCAGCATGACGGCCACCATGCGTTACTCGTGTGGTATATATCTCTTCATCTGCAAGTGCCTTTTTTGCAGTTTTCCATTGAGAAGCACCAGTTAAACTCTTCTCAGGGCTGGTATGTCCATGCAATACCTTCCAGTTCTGCCATCTGTCTTCGTTCAAGAAGTCACCACTGATCTATAATTTTTATCAAGAAAGTTAGAAATTATTTTAAAAAAGTCCTTTTTTTTAGCTGGCCAACCTACTTGAAGCAAACTGAACATAAAAAAGGCAAATGCACCAAAAGGACATCTGAATACGTTTTCATGGCACATGGCACATGCAAATTTGACTTCTCCTTCCTTCAGAGTCTTGCCCTTGTCTAGACTAAAAACTAAAGCAAGAGCCTGTTGCATTCCTTTGTGCTGTTTCTTTGGAATGATCATGCAAAAGTAATCTGCAAAGTTTAAATTTCTCAAATCCTGATCCCTAAGTAGCATATGGTGGTGGGAAGAGATAGAAAACATCTTGCGCAAGCCTGATTTGCTGTCAGAAGTCAAAAGGCTCTTCAGGATTCTTATAAGTTCGCCAGACTTATAAGAGTCCTGAATCATACAATGGGCTGCTCTATCTACGTTTGTTTGTACTTGGTCATAAACAAGGTTGTGTTCATACTTCTTGATCAATTTGATCACTTCTTTAGTCTTCTTGGGAGACAGCCATCCAACTTCTCGGCGCTTGGACTGGAATTTGTGCAAGAACATCAAGACTTTCTTGTATTGATTGACAGATTCAATATCTAAAGGAACTTCAATAACTTTCTTACTACCGTTCTTGTTAGAAGGAGCATTCTCAGCAACTATAAAAATGGGTTGATGATTAAGTATAATTGACGGATTTTTTTTATGTATTTCATGCAATTTTATATTACTTTGGAGCAAAGTCAATTGTCTTTCTTCGTTATCTTCTGTTCTTAAGCCAATTTGTGTTCTAACATCAGTCTCTACTGAAACACTTTTCATATACGTTTGCTTGAAAACAAATTCTTTGAAGAAAGCAATAACAAATTCAGTGGGCCCAACAGTGTATAGATACTGACAATCAACAGGATATCTGTGTTGGTTTTTTTTGCAAAAGTCCTTCAATTTAAGCAACATTAAAAAATGAATACAATCAATACAATATAGATTATTATTCTATTGAGTTGAGATATACCTTCCAATGTTCTAAGGGCATTCTGTAAATTGCGGCAGTGCTGGCACGTACTTTCATTGACAAAGCCTTAAGTGCAAGCTCAAACTCAGACACATTGATTGACGAGCTACTTTGAAGAGCAACAAAGGCATTTGAGCCAACAGAAGTAGACAAATTGGCTGAACTGGACGATTCAGCTGTTGAATTTTCAACCAGCATAATCCTTTTCGATGGTCGACCCCTACGAGCTTTCTTAGGCACCTCTTCAGAAATTGCAGCAATACTAGTAGGCTATAAAGATATATTGTTAATATTGGTGTGCATTTTTTTGCATATAATCTATTGTCTGTTTTGTTTATACTTGAACTCCGCTAGAAATCTCAGCTTCTTGTTGCTCAATTAAATGCTCTAGTTCTTCCAAATCACACTTGTTAACAAAGCGTCTCTTAAAAGTAGTGATATTAGTAGGCAAGGGCAATATAATAAATAAGTTTTTGAAAGAAAAAGAAAAATTTAATTTTAAAAGTTAATCAAACTGTGAGCAAACCAGTAATTTCAACTCGTGAGTTGATAATACTAGAAAGTTCCAGCAGAATCAATAGTATTCTCAACTCGACTTTCAGTTTAATCAACTTGCTACTACCATATTTAGAAATTTCGGAGTAAAATAAAGACATTTCATTGGAGGATCCCATTTTTTATTTCCAAAAAAAATAAAATGAGTTACGATACTGTGGTTAATAATCAGGAAGATGTTACTGCACATAAAGAGGTACTGCAGTTAACCATCTTCAAATTTTACGGATTCATCAAAATAATATCTGACAAGATCGAAAATGATACAGTCAGACAAAAGTATTGTGCCCGAATTCTTGTCAGCCAATCAGGATGACGATTACACAGAATTCTCCTTTGAGAACAATGACCAAAGTGATTTCCTTTTGCTCACAAAAGAATTAGAAAGCACATAGTTTAACAAAAGTAGAATAGAAAAGATATAAAAGAGGGTGTTATTTCATTCAATAAAAGTTATCTATCTTTCTATCCTTTTTTTATTCTTTTATCTTTGTTTACGATTCCCAGTGGGTTTGACCAATTTTGGCTGTGTTATAGCATTGGAAGTGTTGGACATTATTTTGATGAATCCATAAAATCTGAAGATAGTTAACCATAGTACTTCTTTATGCACAGTAATATCTTCCTGAGCATTAACCGCAGTATAATGACTATTTCTTTAATTAAATATAAATAATAACTACTGCGGATAATGCGCAGTATTAGTTTAGAAAACTATATAAGACAATTCAATTTGTTGTGGTGGTTGAAGTTGAAGAAGTTTTTAAGAGGAAGAATTGAAGATTTGAGATTAGGAACGAAGATTTGTGAGAACTTGCATAAGATTTGTTTATTGAGAAAGATTTGGTATCAAAATTTGACCAGGTTTCTACACTGAACTACCACTGCTATTTATATTGTTTTGGATTGGGAAAATTATATGACTGGGGTCAGGTAATCGATCCTATCTGAACCTTAATCAGAACAACATGATCTTGGAATAATTAATATATGATTAATTATATAAATGTGTGTAGTCCCAATCAAGTATTAACATCAAAAGTAAATGTGTTTATGAGTTATAATTATGCTTATAATAATCCACTGATGTATCCTATATTATGGTGATATCATCATATGAAATATAATCACTATCATGCATGCTAAACCTGTGTGTTAAATAATAAAGTAATTGGTAGACACCTTTGACTGGAATAGCTGAGGCCTTATATTATTTCCTTCAGTCTTATTCTCTATTACAGCAGTAGTCAATACTCATTTATAACACAATTCATATTAATAAAAGATATCTTTTATCCTCTCTTTGATTTTATGTATAATCCTTGATCCCCAGTGGGTTTGACCTTTTGACTTTGTTATAGTAAAAGGAAGACCAACCCAGATTGGGAACGACCACTGGAAAAATAAGGACAATTAACATATTGTCCAGGTAGTCGGATCATAGTGGATATGTCAGGATTTTTTTTCATCTCAGCAGTTTTTTTTTATCAAGTTGGGGGTGTAGTTTTGATGTATTCTATTGGCTTAAATAAAAATAAAATAAAAATAAAATAAAAAATACGTTTTGGTTTACTATAAAACCGTATCAAATGAAATATTTGTAGCACTCTTGTTTCCTTTTTTATTTTATAATTCAGAATATATACACTATGTTTCCTTCTATTCAAATGCACAATACTGATTGCCACTGCACCAGATGCAATAATAATGATCAAGGAGTTTCCCAAGTATCGAGACGTACTGCTCAGCGTCATAATAAAAGAGCTAGATTTGAAGGTACTGAGATATTCAAGAGTTGTATAATTTATTCAGTGCTGTTATCTGTCTACTGAGTAATAATCGCTTTTATTTTTATTTTTTATTATTTTAAAAAACATAGCTGAAAAGAGAAGCATGGAAGTAGATACTGAAAGTAAGACATTTTTTATATGAAACGCAGAAGAAAAACTAATAATAAACTATTATATTCCATATTTGTAGTAATCCCGATGTATCAATCCGATTCTGTGGAAGCAATGGACGGTCAGGCCAACTCACCTATTTCGGATGCCGTCTCAACGTTTGACAATGACGTCTTTGTTGGTAATGACTACAATGGTGATGAGTCTAACACGACCGATGACAATGACAGTGATGACAATGGCGAAGAAGACACTGCCGAGATTTATGTTGAAGAGTTTAACAATGAGGGTCAGTTTTAAATACATAAAAAAAAACTAAAAAAAAATGTGTGTTAATTTTTTTTTAAAAAAAAAAGACCCTTTTGCTGCTTCTGGTATGCCCGAGAATCCAGTGCACAGATTTATTGCTACTTTTACAGTACTGTTTGCATCTCGTTACGTGGTCAATAAGGGTTCTGTTGTCTTGATTGAGTTCATCAACGAGCTCTTGAAGATTTATGGACAAGATTTCCAACTTCCCAAAAGTCTGGCTGGGCTACATAAAATGACTGGCTTTTTGTCTATCACCAAAGGCATCAAGCGATTTGTGTCATGTCCAAACTGCCATTGCATCTATGAAGAAAACATGTCCGTACCTCCCCATTGTGTTTTCACAAATTTTGGTGCATGCTCTCCTTGTGGTTGTAAGTTGATGAAAGAGTCAACTTCAGGTGCACTGGTATCAAAGCAAGCATACTTGTACCAGTCCCTCAAGCAAGCTTTGTCTGTTCTTTTCCTTCGTTCTGGTTTTGAAGAGCAAATCCGTCACTGGAACACGGAGCTTAAGATTGTCGATACTATGTGCGACGTATACGATGGAGCAATGTGGAAAGAGCTGAAGGATGCAAGTGGTGTCTTGTTTGTTACTTGTCCTCGCTCATTGATGTTGACACTCAACATAGACTGGTTCCAGCCGTTTGATGGAGTTAGTTACTCTTCTGGTGCAATTTACTTGGTTGTAAATAATCTGCCTCAAGAGGTACAGTTCAAGCCTGAGAACACAATTCTGGTTGGTTTGATGCCTGGTCCCAAGGAGCCAAGATGCGAGGAGATAAATAACTATCTCAAGCCCATGGTAGATGAGATGAAGCAGTTGTATGTTGGAATGCGAGTCCCAACCTACAAGTGCCCTTCTGGTGCTAATGTCCATGCTGCTTTGCTGATGGTTGCGTGTGACATCCCTGCTGCCAGGAAAACAAGTGGATTTACAGCCCACAATAGTACATGTGCGTGCTACAAGTGTACAACCCAGTTCCCCAGATTGCCCAACACAAATCAGGTGGACTTCAGTGGATTCGATTATTTGCTTTGGAATATTCGTAGCGGTGTAGAGAACAGGTTGCATGCTGAGGAGTGGAAGAGTGCGAGTACACCCTCAGAAAGGCACCAGCTGGAGGTCGAATATGGTGTTCAATGGTCGCAGTTGCAACGCCTTGGATACTTTGATCTAGTACGTGGAACGATCATTGATCCCATGCATAATTTATTCCTGGGGACGCCCAAGAGAATGATGGACCGGTGGGTCGATAAGAAAACGATTGGAGCCGAAGAGTTTGCTGCCATGGAAAAAATCGCAGAGACAATGGTCCTTCCGAGGGATTATACAAAGCTGACATTGAAGATTGGAAAAGGCTTTCCTTACATGAAAGCCGACGACTGGAAATCCTGGGTACTGGTGTATTCTCCTGTTCTGCTGCATAGTGTTCTACCATTTGAAATGTACAACAACTGGATGAATTTCGTCCGTGCATGCCGCTATCTTATCAAGCCAAGCATCACATTTGATGAAGTGAACAGCGCCCACGACTATCTGGAAATGTTTTGCAAAAAGGCTACCAAACTCTACACTCCCACCATCCTCACCTGCAACATGCACCTGCACCTCCACCTTCGCGAGACCATTCGTGATTTTGGACCCGTGTATGGTTACTGGCTCTTTGGGTTTGAGAGATACAATGGCCTGTTGAAGCATATAAAGACAAACGGAAAAGATAGTTTTGAGGCAACATATATGAGAAGTTTTGTTCAAAACGCATTCAAGGGTGACTATGCCAATGCTGTTCTGAAAAGTTCTAGCCACGTCCCCTTTTTCAACATTCTCTCAAAGCTTTCTCCGAAATTCACACCTACCACCACAGTCATTACTCTCTCCCCCCATCCATTCCGATTGCAATCATTCTTACTAGCACTGCAAAAACAGATCAATTTCGCATATGTAAAGTATACCTAAGTTCTGATAAACAGAATAGGTAAAATTGTAGTTCAGCTCACTTTTGTGAGTAAAGTATTTGAATAGTATTTTAAGCTACTCTATTGGCTACTGGCAGCTGTGTAGCATTAGAATGCAACATCAAACTCAAATAAAATAAAAGTGTGTTTTCTTTGAAGTCTCTTTCTTTACTATTAAATACTATTGTAAACCTTTCTTTTCATTTTAAAATGGCTCCTATTCGCAAACCAACTGTTAGAAAAGAGTGTCGATGCTCTATCTGTAAAAGCAAGACACTAGGATTCGATCGTGTATCTGTTAAAACATTTAAACATCATCAAGAAAAAGATAATCATGATATTACACATGTTCAAATGCGTACGGTTAATACATTTGCTTTACTTTACTTTATTTTATTTTATTTTATATCATTTCCTTTTTTATTATTTTATATAATAATAATAATAATAATAATAATAATAATAATAATAATAATACTAACACTAATAATAATAAATGTGTAGCCCATGAAGACACATGCGATACAATTAGTAGTGCTGTTTCTGAGCCTGTAAATCAAGAGGAAGATGGTTTTGAATTTGAACAGGAAGATGTTGAAATGAATTCTGAGCTTAGAAGTAAGAAAACTTATTTTATTACATTGATTTATTTGGGTCTAACATTCCGCTTTTGTAGACCTAAATGACACAAATGACATTTTGGATATACGGACAAGAAACCAACCTTTCTCTGAAACGGATTGCGTGTTTGGCCCTGAAGATAATGTCCAGTATACAAGTGACACTTACGAAGAAGAATATGAAGATGAATCCGATGTTGAGATGGACAATGATGAAGGTAGGTACACAGCTTTAGATAATATTATATCCTAGAAAATAGAGAGTTAATCAACGTTCTTTAAAAAAAATCAAATTAAAGATTCTTCGTTGGAATCAATCTCGGAATTGAATTTGATTCACCAATTCATTGTTATTTCGGTTGCTCTTTTTGTCTCGCTATACGTCGTGGATGAAGGAGCTGTAATCCTGATTGCCATAATCAACAAGATACTGCAGTTTTTGTTTGACCCATTCCGCCTTCCAGTGAGTGTTGCTGGCCTCAAACGTTTGGCTGGATTTGAAGCGTTGACAAGTGGTGTCAAGAAGTATGTTGCATGTAGCAAATGCCATGCCATATATGATAATGAAGCCGCCCCTTTGTGTTGTACATCACCCAATTTTGGTAAAACCTCCTTGTGTGGCAACAGCTTGTTTAAGTCTGGTCCCGGGTCAAAAGCACCCAAAAAGACATATGTATTCCACTCCGTCAAGAAAGCCCTAAAGACGTTTTTTCAACGCCCGGATTTTGAAAACAACATCAACTCATGGAACCGCGGCCCGAAAATGGATAGCACTTTATTTGACATGTACGATGGTGCGATGTGGAATGAGATAGTAGACGTAGATGGTATACCTTTTGTTGACACCGAGCGATCACTCATGCTCACGCTGAACATTGACTGGTTTCAGCCATTCGATGGTGTTACCTACTCCTGTGGTGCCATATATCTTGCAATCAATAATCTTCCACGCAGTGAGCGGTTCAAGAAGGAGAACGTGATTCTTGTTGGGTTAATGCCAGGGCCTAAAGAAGCAAGCACTTCTGACATAAATAACTATCTGAAACCGCTTGTGGATGAGTTGATGGAGCTGTACAAAGGTATTAAGATTAAGACTCACCAATGTCCAAATGGTACTTCTATCCGAGCAGCCCTTCTCATGGTTGCCTGTGATATACCTGCTGCAAGGAAAGTATGTGGGTTCACATCCCATACAAGTACAAATGCATGCCACAAGTGTAAGTGTCAATTTTCGAGGTTGGCTGGAACGAGTTCCGTTGATTATTCTGGATTTGATTTCTCAAAGTGGCTCCTTCGCACTAAGAATGACAATCGTAAGGATGCAGAGATCTGGAGAAATGCAACCAAACCGACTGAGAGACAGCGTCTTGAAGTTGCACATGGTGTTTGCTGGTCCGAACTGCATCGTCTTCAGTACTTTGACATTGTCCGCTGCACGATCATCGATCCCATGCACAATCTTTTCTTAGGCACTGCCAAAAGAATGCTGGAGAGATGGGTTGCGGATGGATTAATCAATGATAAAAAACTCGTTGCCATGCAAAAGGCTGTTGAGAAGGTAGTGTTGCCGCCCGATTACACGTCACTTGGGACAAAGATTGCCAAGGGATTTCCCTATATGAAGGCTGATGAGTGGAAGTCTTGGTGCCTTGTGTACTCTCCTGTGGTTCTAAGGGATGTGTTGCCGTTGCCAGAGTTCAAGAACTGGATAGAGTTTGTTAACGCATGCAGATACTTCACCAAGCCTAGTGTTTCTGAAGAAGACATTGAGAAAGGACACAAATGCTTAGAAGAATTCTGTAAAGGGTGTGAGACATTGTACGACCTGGACCTTCTCTCTCCCAACATGCACCTGCATCTGCACTTACGCCAAACAATGATTGACTTTGGGCCCGTCTATGGCTATTGGCTTTTCAGCTTTGAAAGGTACAATAGTGTTCTGAAAAATATCAAGACCAATCGAAGAAACGGGTTCGAATCGACATTTATGAGACAGTTTATTGAAGAGTCGTGGAAGGGAGATTTTGTGCGTCGACTTCTGAAACCTATGCATGCACTTGCATGTTTTGAAATTTTCGATAAGTTCACCACCAACAACAACAACACCAACACCAACACTAACACCAACACCAACACCAACACCTACCTCTCTCACTCTTTCTCAATTTCTGAATATCTTGAAGCTTCACAGAATCTTTCAATGATAATTCGTGGAAACGAGCCCCTGCCACCATCCGCCTTGCCATTGAAAACAAGACCATTATCATTTATGCCAAAACATGAATATGATTGTCTTGTAGGATACTATCAAGCTGCGTACAAGAATCCACAGATCTCAGGTTGCAAAGATGTAATTGATGACTCACCTTTCGTCAATGACTGGATCGAAATGGTGAAGTCCGTTGATCTTCTTGGGCAAAGCTACAAAGGGTGCATTGGCACGAATGGCCGCGGATCATACATACAAGCATATTTTACTGAACGAACTGGGTCGGAACATGCGTATGTTGGAGAGATTCAGTACCTTTTTGTTCACAATTTTAGACCAACTGTTTCTTCTCTAACATACAGAAATCCCCATAGTAGTCAGCATGTATTTGCATTTGTCAAATGGTTCAAATCCACTTTGGACAAAACAAGAGAATTAGAAGGAGTTGAGTTGTTACAGGATGAATTCTACAAGCAAGATTTTCAAAGCATCCTGCCAGTACATCGGATTCTCCTAACAGTTGCAATAGTAGATTACAAAACTACAAAAAATGTCAACAAAAAACTCGCGATTCCTTTACCAAAAAAAATTTACTATTAATTCTCATACACACACTTACTTATATATTTATCCTCTATTATTATTTCCTTTAATCAATTCAATTTCAATTATTACTATTTGGCCCTACAACAGAACATAGTAAAAAAGAAAATGTTTATTCATCGTTGATTGCCCAACGAGGCAATGACTGGGACAGAGTGGCAGGAACAGAGCAAGGCAACAATGTTGCTGGATATCTGTTCATTCTTGGCTTTGTTCCCACGCCCGCATTTAACACGTGATGGGTACGATCAATGTCGTCAACCATTGTCAACAATCTGTTGAACTGTATTTATTTTTATTAGTTCTTTATTTTTCTTGTTATAAAACTTATTTATTTATTCTAAATATTATTTACCTCTTCACTTCTCCAAGTGGGGCGAGCCACATGCAAACACCGTCGTGGAAGATTGTCCACAATCTCAATATCCGACTCACCATCAGACATGGCATCCTTCTGAAAGAGTTTGAGATAGGCCTTCTCAACAGGGTTTCCAGTCTTATATCCCATTGCAGCATCAATGGCTACCCAGTTGTCCATGTATGTCGACTTGCGTCGGATAGACATCTGGTTATATAGATTATAGCTTGAGAAAATAGTAATATACCAATTAATTTTTTATATAGTATATACAAACCTGAAGAGTACGACTGTTTGCTCTCCCCTTGCTGTTTTTCTTGGCCTTCTGCTCAGAAGACTCGTGAAAAGTACGATGACTGTGCTTGTACCTGTTCTTTATTTTATCACTTATCACCCGTGGGTGAGTACCAGCTAGACGAGTCTGGGTGCTAATGTAGCTCTTCAAGTAGTTGATAACAGCTACGTTATCGCGGTGGTTAATCTTCTCGTTCAAGTTCCACTTCTTCTTACTCTCGTTCTCAGCAACAAGAGCAGGGTCGTCAGACTCGAACTTCCAGTCCCACAACTTTTCCGCGAAGATTTCCTAAATACAGGTTGTTTAATAAGTTGTTGATACTAACATATATTAGTATTAATTACCGAGATAATGACAGAAACCTCGGCATCACTGAGGGAGGTCTGGGGGACATAGGATGGCATCAGAGATGGTCCTAGACTAGCCATACGAGTCTGATTGTTGGCATAGGCAGTTGCAAAGTCTGCAAATGCCGTATGTGTCTTTCCAGACGTGTCAACAACAACGCCCATCCTGTTTTTAAAGGCTGCCATGTTGCTATTGACAGCAGCAATGTCATCCTTGACACCGTTGATATTGTTGTTTACTTTGTTAAACATTTCAACAATTTCCGCGTATTGCTGATCTTGGATAGTTGCGGATGAGAAACTGGGGGCAATTTCTCGAGGTCCAACACAGCCAGCCAAAACACGGTTTGCAGAGGTAGATATACTTGCAGATGCTTTTCCTTTTCCTTTACGGTCTGTTTTTCTGCTGCTATTGGAAGGCATTTTTTCTTTATTGTATTTTTATTAAAGTTTTATACATTAATAAATTATTAAAATAAAATAAATGTATGGGTTGAAATATATTTATTTTTGTTTAATCAAAGATATACATACAAAATAAGTTAATATAAAGTAGATTTATGAAATAGCTGAGAAAAGGAAGGGATTATATATTATTTTCTATAAAATCCTTTATAACCTTGAACAACTTCTTTAATATTCAATATAGAACTTAGTGTTACAATATAATTTCGGACTATTCATTTTATTACTATTGTATTTTACTAGAGTCAATTCTCATCTAAACTGCCTTCTGTTTGAAAGCCCACTTTTTTTTCTTCTTTTTCTTTATTTTTTTCTTATTTCTTTTTTTCCTGTTTCTTTTCCGCTTTATTTACTTTTATTCTTATTGATGTATTTGAGTTCACACCCTGGTAAGCAATTTGTTTTTATTATTCTACTGTTATATTTATTCTTAATGTTTTTTCTTTTATTATTATTGTGGTTGCTGATAGTATTACAAGTCTTTGCCATGTTGATTAATGGACAAGAACAAAAAGGTAAAACGCGGTTATTGTGTATGTGCTTCTTTATTAATTATTTTCTTTTTCTCTCCTCAGCTCATCATAAAGACATACCAACAGCAGAAATTTATCCGGTAAGTCTGAATAATGTATTTATTTGTTTTATTCTTATATCTAATTTTGTTTATTTTCTATCTCTGTTAGTACTGCCAACATTTCTATGTACCTGATTGAATGGCTTGTCTTTGAAAACCGGTTTTCTTTGGTAAGTAATAAAGCCAAACTTTATTCCATAATCTTTACTAATGCGTTTTATTAAACCTTTCAGAACAACAGTCAATGTGCAATATGCCTGGTTCTGACGAAAGTACTGGTAAGTAACCATATTATTTAAATTAAAGAAAAATAAATATTTATATAATCTAATATAATTGAATAATTTTTTAGCCTTCTCTTACTAGTGAAATACCGTAAACACGCGTTTCTTTTTAGGATTCTATCGTATTGGAAGTATTTATATATTATAATATATGAAAGGGTTTGTTATTATATTAATTATGTAGTAGCTTATATATTAGATTAGACTATATATTGTCAAGCCGTACATATTATAAGCAAGAAGCTTTTTTTTTTTAAATAAAAACAATTTTTCCAAAACAATCCCTATAAAAATATTTGAAATGAAGTGCAAGAAGTATTGCAGTAGCATGGCATGTGTGAATCCTATAGTTTAGCCGTGCATAATTGTCCAATAAAAGTGTTTAGATTCGGAAGACAGTATACATAAATCCTGTTTCTTCTGTTAAATGATCCAATAGAATATCATTATTTCAGTAGACACTTTTCTCTGTAAAGTAATCCAATAGAATTCTACTATTTCAGTAGACAGTTTTCTATCAAAAATAGATTTTTTATTAGAATCTCTGTTTCAAATCAAGTTTAATTTAATGTAACATCCAAAAAAAAATGCCATAATTTGATTATTCTCTCTGCGATTAAATAGTTTAAAAGAACCTTACATCTCTATATGGATCATTATAAGTTCAGAAGTTATATGGACAACTCACAGGTAACATAACATATTGCGAACGGAATCTATAAATGCCAAATTCCAGAATTTAATTATTCTGTCACTCAGAATTTCCCATACTATCGCATATGTGTAGAAATCTAATTCCCCAGTGTAGCATCATCCAACCCACATCTTCCTCCAAAGGGTAACGAACCTCTCCCTCCTTCAACTTTTCTTCTTCAGCTAAAAAAATCATCACTGATGGATGAAACTGACTATGCCCATCTGCTTCAGCACTACAAAACATTCTATGATCTTCCCGACCTTGTCAGTTACCAATATGCCATGCTCACAAACTCCTTTGTTGACAATGAAATCACAAAGTTGAAGTTCATTGACTTACTTGGTCAACAGTACCGTGGTAAAAACGGTTCAGCTAGTTGTGGTTCTCTTGTCCACGTAATGTTTGTTGGTAGTGACGGTAGAAATACCCTAGCCTATGCTGGACAAATACAGTATCTCTTCACATACTCCTTTACACACCCTTCTAACAGCAATATCCACCTGACTCGCATGGTTCATGATCATCGACATGTATTCGCATATATCAAGTGGTTTAATACTTCCTCTGATAGATCGCGTGAGGATGACGGTCTTGAGTTTTGTCTCCCTACCTTCTCCCCCAATAGTCGCCATTGCATTGTACCTGTGCACCGCATCTTTTTAGAGATTGCTACAGCCAGGATTACTACAAGTAGAAATGTTAGTAAGATGTTAGTAATTGCTTTGCCAAAAAAGCTTTATGCTTAAAATAAAAAAAACCCCACTTGAATTTCCTTTTCTTATACAAAAAAAAACAGAACAAATTCCCTATATATATTGATAGTATTGTGTATGTAAAAAGTAATCGTAGATAAAAAGAGAGAAACATTTTTTTTTATTTAGAGCCCATCTCTAAGAGCCCACCAAGGAAAATTGGGGCTAATGTTATCCGGGACTGCTGAGTTGGACACACTAGTAGTGATCCTACGGATCCTTTGATTAGCACTTGACCCCATGGCCTGGACAGCATAAGTGTCAACAAGTGCAATGAAATGGTTGCACTGAAATACATTCGTTAATAATTCACTCAATATAATAATACACTAATACAAACATATTACTCCAAATTAATCTACCTCATCGCTTCTCCAGCCTGGTTGTACAATATGAATGACATGTTTTATGCCATCCTCATCCATTTCATCGGCAGACTCTCCATCTGACATTACTGCTTTTTGGAGAGTGTTGGCACAGTCTCTGAGCATTACAAGATCAATTGCCTCCTTATTGTCTTTGTAGGCCAGTACACGGCAACACTCATTCTAGTAATAAGTTTTGTTAATTTGTTATTTTTATTTTTAATTTTCAACTATAAACTATATATATTAGCATAATACTCACATCATCTGCACGGGCTGCTCTTTGTGTAAGAGCGTTTGTTTCCACTATCTCATCATCAGACATTCTCTCATGACGGGTTCTACTAGTGAAGTTGGTGTGCAACCTCTTTCGGAGGTCACTCTGTCTCATACTAGAGGAACCAAACATGTGCTCAAGGTTAAAAAGAAGTCTCTTGGCTATCTCCCTGTTGGGAGATTTGTTGAAAGCAACATTTGTATCCCATCTGGGCTTGAGGTTGTTGGCCAGGATATTTTCTGGCGTTCTCAAGCTAAGCTTGGGTTTTCACATAAGGTTGTGAATATGTGCCTGATAAATAAATCATGAGAAAATGAATTGATAAAATATTTTATAATATGTTACTCACATAAACTGCATTAGATTCTTCACGGGTAGGCTCATGGTTGGAGATGACAACAGGTGCAGCAACAGTGAGTTCAGCTCTCACAGGAGCAGCAAGGGGAGTTCTGGCCAAACTATCTATGGCACTGATGGTTTTGGTGCTGGTGGTGGCAAGAACGCCAATTCTGCCATTCATGTTGGTCAGAGTTTGCTCAACATTGCCGATCTGTTCTTTTACGGTAGACATATCAGCTCTCACAGTAGAAAGTATTTCCATAAGCTGCTGATTGGTAATCTCAACAGGACGAAGGGCAATTGCGCGTTCACGTCTTGTGTTAGTCATTGTCTACAGAATATAATAAAATGAAAGGTTATAATGATTAGTTTCAGATTATATTATTATTATTGCTGTCATTCTACAATTAAATTTATGTAAATTTAATTAAAAATAAATCGTATCAAGTTTACATACTTGAATTGTTAGAACAAGTGTATTGATTTGGGAGTATAAGTGTAGTAAGTAGCAAGAGAGTAAGAGCAAGGGAAAGTGTATTATATGAAAGGTATAATTATTATATATATTCAAAATATATTTGATATATGAATCTCTATTAATACTTCTTGTAATGACTGAGATGTAAATCGGCTTTCATATTGCTTTGGGACTTGATGAAATCATTTTAGTCTTTTGTTTTAAACACACTTTTTTCTTTTTTTTTTAAGATTTTTTTTTTACTTTTTTTATTTGTTTTTTGTTATTTCCCTCTTTTCTCTCTCTTTTCAATTCTTGTTATATTTGCAAATTTTTCTGGTAAGATTGTTTTTGGTTCAAAATACTTCTTTACAAAGAACAAAAGAATTAATTTTTTTGTCTGTCATAGGTATTCTCTGTTTCTCTCTCTTCACTCTTTACACTCGCAAGGTTTTATGGTAAGGCACTTTCTTTGTTTTAAAAGAAATATATACTTCTTTATGTATAACTAAAAAAAACAATATATTTTAATGTCATAGAAACTCACTCTTTGTCTCATTCTGATGCGCCATCTTCACAACAGTCATCCGGATTAGCCAGGGTTAGTAAATATACTTTATGCCATCATTCCATACAATCATTCTGACTTTTTTCTTTCTTTAATATAGGCCACATCGCCAAAAATACTCTCTACAATCAAACACAGATATTGACACAGTAATATTCTATTTTATTTTAATCTATTTCTTTTTAATATTTATCTAACTGAATATAATTTCTATTATAGATGAACATCCCTCTTACGAACGTGCCATTCCTCAAGAACTTCCATCCATGCTACCGTCATTGTCATGGTAAGCCTTTTATTTACTTCTATAAATACAATAATATTATTTATACTGTATATTAATGTATATTCTCTACTAGAGACGATATTACCGCTTTGCAGATAATATATTGGTCTGCAAAGAAATCCTTTGCCTTTGATATGTAAATCAATTATTCTATCACGCAATTCACAAAAATTAATTCTTTCCTATCGTTTTATAGTCAAAGAAATCATAATCCCGTGCTTTACTGTAAATGTTTTATTTCTTTGTCCATTTGTACTGAGTACTTCCAATGTAAGTATTAATTAGTCCATAAAATTTGCAGTATAAAATACGCACGCACTCCCATCACTAATGTTTTATCTATTCTCAAAGAGTACTGCTCTTACCCCTAAAAAAAGGTAACGAGCACCTCATTTTCTTCAGGTATTTGTTTTTTGTAGAAAATTTTTCATCCCAAATATAACAAGCTTGCCAAGCAAGAAGTAGCTGAGGATATAGAATAGCTTTATTAGATTTGAAACCTAGAAATGTGGTACTTCAGGTACGAAACAATAGAAAAATAAAATATTTGATAATAGAGACGTATAGAAATACTTTGAGACTGTATATAAGTTTTTTTTATTCATAAATAAAAAGTGTCCCTTTTTATAAGAAAACACAATCTGCTCTTGTCATTACGTCTTAGTTTCTTAAGGCTTTCTTCCTTTACTATATTTGGTTATTAGAGTGTATTTACTGTTTAACTAGTGTCGGTGTTACAATTATGACATCAAGTCATAAATCGTACTTCTTTAGCTCTTAGCTATTCTTTTCTCTTTTATACTAGAGCTTTAGGACTTCCTACTAAATTAGCTCCATATCGATCTGACACAGTTTACCCGGCAGTATGATATAATTATCTTAACAATCTTTAAGATATTATCTACAGTACTAACTGTAATAATTATTGGGCTGATTACTTAATTGTTTATATATATTTTATACTGACAAGATGATAGCTACTACGCTATCCCAATATGAATATGTTCTTATATGTGATAAATCCAACATCCGAGTGTCTGGATCACCACAAGAAACATTCTATTCTTTCCAATAAAAATAAAAGCGTAAACCATTACCAACCTAACAAGAACGGGAAACCAAATAAATAAAGAACATATTACTGGTCCATAATTTTAAAGACGTGTTTTTATGCTGTTGATGATTGAAGGTTTTAAAGAACTGTCAGTATAGGTGGTCAGTAAAGGTGGTCAGTAAAGGTGAGGTGTAGTACAGATAAACCATTGGAGCAATATACATCATGTAATCCATCTTTGACCTTTCCTGTTCTGTGTCAAAAATACCGAGATAAATCCGTAGTTTTAAATATTTTTATTTATTTATTAAGCATAATGAGTATATCAAAAGTGCTACCAAACCTTACTTGTGGAACCCCCCATCTACATATACTGTAGTGTTTGTAAGTCTTGCACATACAGTGCTAGATGACCTTAAAACCTAGTGGAAAAAAATATCAACTATGATATATCACATTATTCCAGTACCGTTTGCCCATATATACATGTCAGTATTTTTCTACTTTTTTCCATTGGACAGAAGTGTCAGAGTTGACACCGGTGAACAAAAGCAGTAGTTATAAGCAATCAGTAAGAGTTGACTTTTTAGGATAAAAGATCTTGACTTTGCTGATTGGTCTTTCATATATGTTTTAGATGTTTAAGATGGTGAATATACTTGTAGAAGATATTACTGGACAACAGGCATCTAAGACATATTATCGTAGCTATTCTTTTAGCCAGAAATCAATTATCATTTTGTATAAATAGTCAAGAAATATATTTAATAAAAAGCATCTTTATTCTTATCTAAAAAACTATTCATAAACTTGACAATCCCCAGTGGTATTGATTCTGCGACTTAGTTACAAGTGCCAGAAAAGAAATACCAGATCGAGACTTGACAGAAGAACAACCCAGATCGAAAACAACAAAATAACAAAAGATTAATATATTCAAACATAACTAAAATGCCCATTACAGGGGTCGAACCTGTGGCCTTGGCGTTATTAGCACCACGCTCTAACCAACTGAGCTAAACGGGCACTTCTCTTTTACATAAGCTTTACTTTTTTACATTATAATGTTTTTATAGTTTGCATCCATACAATTATATCATCAATCCATTCAAAATATTGCTTCAACCATTGCATCCATTGTCAAACACAACACATCTATCCTTCTCAACACTGCATCCATTGTCAAAAACAAATTTCCTATTGTTCCTGCCATTTTATCATCAATTTTCACATTTTCTCTGCCGATTGCTGCCATCTCAAGATCATCACCAAACATGTCACAATTATTGTCTGCTAATTGCATGCAAAGTCTTCCAGCCGAACTTGTGACGTTTTTAACCAGTATGCAGTCACAGTTCAACGCACTTAACGAACGTACATCACCTTTGGAATAACTTGCTGCTGAAAATGTCTAATTGCATGCTCAATTAGCTAATGTCTGGCAGGAGAATGCTGATCTCCAATCTCAATTGTTGCAAAACAATGGGACTGGTCCTGTTTCCAGCTCTGCTTCTCTTCCTGCACCTCAGTCAACTGCAGACCTTGGAACTGCTGCCTCCACTTGGGCCACCAAAACAAGCTTGATTCTGCTAGCCAAGACACCTCGAGTTTCTTCTGCCTGCTGGGTTGCTGCCTCTCAAAGACTGTTCTCTGACAAAACTGGTTCTGATGGTTTTGAATATGTTCATATTCCTCGCTCACGTCGTATTACGCACAGTGAAATGCACCGCTCTCTCCGCACTCTTAGTGTTGACACTGGTCACCTGTTAGATATTAACTTTCCTGCTTGTGGGGTGATTGGCGTTCTTGTCTATGTGCAATATCTTGAGGAATTTAAGTCCCAATTAGCTAGTGCTAAGGTCTCTCTTGTCAACAACTTTGATCCACTTGATCTCAAAAATGTTGCTGATCCCAAGTTTGTCAACTTGTCTGTCTCTGGTCTTGAAACCCAGGCTTTGGTTCTCCAAAATGTCTACTGTCTCCAAGCTCTCAAGTTTTTGCGTTCTCACTTGGTTCTGCCAGTTGCTCACTTCTTTGTCCAGTCAGGATGGATTGGACTTGAAGAAATTCTTGCCTATCCAGTAGCTGAGCACTTTGGTGATGATCCAAACAAAAAACGTGCTCTTGATGCTCTCACTGCTATGATTGAATAAGTGACTTTTCAATAGGATTAAGGAATGCTAATGGACTTCAACCTCGTGCAATCAAAGATGTGCTCAACCACTGTCAATCTCTTCATATACTGTTTATCATTGAAACATGGCTTCTATCTCCAGCCCGTCTTCCAACCTTATAGTCTCAATATCATCTCTATGGATCTCCTGTTGCTGGCAACTACTGCGAATCAATGGGGGTGTCATTGTTAGTCTCTCCTTCATGTCCTTATGCTGTCACCCAAATCACTGCAAAAGGAGGGCCAATTCAGTATACTAAATCTTGACCAAATACTGTCTGAATGAATAGAATTCAGCATAAATTCGATTGGAATTTATGATGCCAATTTTTTAAAATTTGTGAGCTAAATAAATACAATTAGTATACTGAATTTTAGGAATGCAAAAAGAAAAAGTGTGATATACTTTTATGTGATATATTTTGGTTATGAAAATATAGATGCACTTTTATCAGACTGCAGATTTTTCATTTTATATTGGTTTTGGATTTTTTTAAATACAGCACATAATATTCAACATCTTTTTATTACTATATATGGGTTGTTAAAGAAGAGATTTGGTCAAGATTTGGTCAAGATTTAGTCAAGATTTAGTCAAGATTTAGAGGTTTATGGGTCATTTTAAAGGTTTTTATTGGTTTGAAAAAACTTTCTTATTGTTTATAGCTATTTCTATTCGTCTACATCACTAATCGTCTTCTGTTGCAATTGGGTAGAAACATCACACTCGATGCCGTCATTTATTTTAGTGGATATTATGTTATTCCTTTCGAACATCCATTGGTCCACCCCTGGTGCAATCGACCCCTACTGTATTCCATTGCTTGCTGCGGCACGCCTTCTTGGCCCATTTGTTTACTTTTATAAAAAATAATTATAGGGTGGATTAGAAAGAATGTTCTAGGTATATTTATTTGAGAGCAACAGATTATTTAAAAAATATGAATGTACTTACAATAAAGTTAAACATGAGAACAGATAGATGTCTTTAACATAAAGATAGATATATCAATGTTTTAGTTAAATGTCTCAATTATAGTGATATTGTCTATAAAAATAATAACTTTTATAAATACAATACAAAGTAAATAAGACTATGGTTTGCTTACCAGACAGTTCAGAAAACAGAAGAGTTGACAAACAGAAAATACAATGACATTATCTATAAAATATAATTTTTTATTAGAATGAAATAAAGAGTATCAGACTATTTTTTGCTTACCAATTATTCAATACAGTAAAAGAGATGGCATGCAGGAAATGGAGATATTATCTATAAAATAATTTCTTTTCATTAGAATTACATACAAAGAAATGGAATGATTATTTACTTACTTGTCTGTCTGTAGAGAATAAGAGTTGGTATATAATCAAAAAAGAGGACCGAGATAAAGACCAGTGACTATAGAGTGTATGGTATACATAAGAAAAATAACAAATACAAGTTGTATCTTGAAGGTGTACGTTAATATTTATAAAACATACTATTTTGTAAACCCTTCAGAGGTATATGCTTTTGTTAATGAGCCAGAAAAATCTAAACAGAATAATTAATACATAAATCATGAATAAATATTCAAGTATATTTTTATCACCTTTTTATCATTATTTTTGAGGCAGTTAAGAAGGACTTGGTGTTTTAAAGCATAGAGTATTATGCTAAAATAAAAACAACAAGATGATTAGGTTTTGAAACTTTGATGTGAGTTGATGCTTACCATGTTAGACATTAAGAAAGAAGTAAAGAAGAACAAAGAAAAAATTAAAAAAAACAGGGGAAATTCAAAATTATAATTTTATGATTGTTGACCCTGAGAAACTGATAGAATCAATTTAGCAAATTGAAAGTCATTCAACCCATCTCGATTGAGCCAAGACATTATGTACTAAACTATAATCTCTCACATCTTTGTAATAGATGTAAGCTATTACAAATGCCTTTTCAAGTCGGCTTATAAAGAAAAGTATAATATAGAGATCAAAATGCTATAAAGAGCATCATCAGAAAAATAATCTTTTGGTGCCTTACTTTCCACATTTATGTATGTTTTTATTTATTTTATTATTTTAAAGAAACCCAACTCTAATTATTAAAGTATTCACATTGTTTCCATTTCTTTCATTAGCCTTAAATATCTCAATTCATGTCTTCTAATATACAGCAAATCAAAAAAACGAAAAAGATGACTACAAAAAAGTCTGTTCAACAAACCACTGGGACAGCAGCAAGCACAAGACAATGACAAATTCTTCCCAGCTTGACAGTTAGCGCAGAGCTAGATGGTACTGTACTGTCCACTTTGTCCACCATGAGCACCCGGCTGAATGAATCTCATTCACTTCTGGAGAAGGTCTACTACAACATGGGAGCAACCAATGGCCAGAATAACAATTCGAACCATAGTCCCATTGGTCAGGCTCTTACCACAGGATAATATATAAAGTACCACCTTCCAACGGTTTCAGTAGGATATATATTAGTAATAGAATATTGCTAAGTTACTTACATTATATTTTGCAGAGATTGATCCAGTCTCAAACATGAGCAGTTCTGGCAACAATGCCATTGATGGTCAATGAGGGTGCCTTCTCAACATCCAACCATCCCATTGCTGATGTAGTGCAGAGCTACACACATCAGCAAGCTGAAGTAAAGTCTGTTTCGTCTGCAGTTGTGGAAGAGAAAACCTGAAGACATATTTTGTATATGCTTCAAAGGGCAAAAGCTTTGCCAGAAAAGATAGCTCGACAAAATCAGATTTCTCGACGCCGGTCCAGAAAGAGAAACATAAGTATAGTCAACAGTTTTTGTGTAAACTATTTTAACTTTTTTTTCAGATTCTTGCAGACTACAAAGCAATTCACTTAGCTGACAAGGCAAACCTTGAGTCTAAGTTTGGTGAGACTGTTGTTGACCTTCTGGACTATGACATGTTGTCTGATATTGAGTCAGATGAGGAGAAAAATAAAACTAGATATACTCCTAGAAATAGACATCTCTTGGTAAGGCTCTCATGATAAAAGTTATTTTTTTAATACTTCTAACTCAAAAGTATTTATATTATAATGCAGGTGGATGAATACTTTACTGTTTTGAAGAAACAGAGACTTGCTAACAAGGGACCAGACGCCATTGGCAATTCTGTCTATTCAATTATTTTGAGAAACACCGAGTTATCAAACAAGAAAAAGGAATGTGTTACTGCTTAGATTCACACATGCCAACAATAAATCGTTATTTTGTTTACAAAGCACATATAGTACTTTAATGATATTTATTGATTGTGTTGAATGATGTGAGGTGAAGTGATAAGATATAATCAGGCGGTATTGTCAAGATGAGAAGCAATTAATATATAAATAAAAGGAAAAAGAAAAAGACAAAATCAAAAATCAAAATAATAAATTATTATTTTATTTTATTTTATTTTAAAGCCAATTAATAAAAAAATATATATATACAAAGCAATTATTTAATTATATAACCCTGATTGTTTTATCCTCATTTTTTTTATTGGAAATTATAATACCAATATTAGCAAGAATATATAATAAAGGCTAAGAAAATGGTAAATGTCGGGTATTAAATATACAAGTTTTTTTGTCTTTTATATTATTGATAAAAGCAAGAGAAATAAATATTGGTTTTTACTATTTATTAATAGTTAAAAAAACTGGTAATATAATTTACTATTGCTCTTTTAAATACTTAATAGAGAAGTAATGTTAAAACTAAATAAGAATACAGAGATAAATAAAGCTAAACCTTTTTACAGTCAAAAAAAATCGTATTATAATTATTTATACAGGTAACCTAAATAGTTGTTATTTTTTTGTTTTTTATGTGACTACTTTTCTAGGCAGTGGAATAACCAGGTGCTTTTGCGTCCCACTCTGCATTTTATGCGTAGTCAACGCAAAGCACAAATGCAGACGATGCACTGGAATAATGCACGAAGCATCTTCTTCCATAAATCCCTTGTCCCACAACTGCAGACCTTGATCAGCTAATGGCTGATGACTACTTGAATGGTAGGCGGGAAACTATTTAATGAGTGCAAACGTTGACACTCTTTTGACTCTACTGACCTTGATTGTATAAGTAAATAAATACTCTATTTGACCAGGGAATTCAGATACATCGTCATTTGTTCTCTCAAGAAACAATACCCTCACAAAAGACCCGTGCTTCTTCTTTTCACCACTGCAGTACTCTTGCCCCAGCAACGAAATCTTCTTCACCTTTTGAATCCAATTGTTCACAAATACATCCTCACCAATTGGGATTCTCCCTATCACACAGAAGGAAACACTTGTACTCTGGTAAGCCTTGACATAGAATTCAAATAACCACTGATAGTGATCATCCTTCATCATAGTCAAAGGCTGCAACTTGATTGGCAATGTGGTCGGGGGCAAGGCCTCACTTCCGGTGACATTGTATCATGGATTGGTAGCAGCTTGCTGGAACATTGCTAAGCTAAATGGCAACGCAGGAGGGTGACCAGCATCCAAATTCAAGGGAGAAGAGCTGTCGGAATTTGATTTTACTTGGGCAACCCCCTCAAGGAACTCTATCAGTGGTGATGAAAAATTAGTAGAATATGCTTGAAGAAAGCTACCAATGAATGTTTTCTCCAGGAAGACTCTCATGAAGGTGACCTCAAGACCATTGCGACGGTTTGTCTTGATGTTCTTCAACTTGCCGTTGTATCTCTCAAAGCTACACAGCCAGAATGCATATACCAAACCAAAGTTAAGCATTGACTCACGCAAGTGCATATGCAAGTGCATATTTGGCGTGATGCTGCTCTCTCCATAAAGAGTCTCACACTCTTTTCCAAATTCTCCAAGAAGCTGGTGTGCGCTGTCAATTTCTGGATATGTGACTGAAGGACTGGTCAACTTTCGGCATGCTTTTACAAAGAGAGTCCAGTTTTTGTAGTTGTCTTCAGGCAAAGCGTCTTTTAGTACCACCAACAAATAAATGAGACACCACGATTGCCACTTGTCTGCCATCATATATGGGAAACCAGATTCGATCTTTGTTGATAAAATGACATACCCAGGAGGAACAAGAATACCATTAGCAAGACGTTACATATGGACGAGAACAGCAGTTGGGAGATACCTCAGGTCTTTCCAAACACTGATCATACGCTTTGCTGTCCCAAGAAACACATTGTGCATGGGATCAACAATTGTGCATCGAACGGGATCAAAGTAGTGTAGGCAATGCAACTCAGAAAAACGGGTGCCATGCTGCATCTCCAAAACAGCTCTCTCTGCATCAGATTCTGTGCAGAACCACATCTCATCTTTGGTTGCATTTTCCTCTTTTGTTTGGGAGACCCAGTTCTCATGATCGAATCCAGAATAATTGATCTTACTTGTTTCAGCAACAACAGTGAAATGATGCTTGCATATGTGACAGGCGTTTGTACTTGCAAATCCTGTAAATCCAGCAGTCTTTCTTGCAGCAGGTATGTCGCAAGCAACACACATAAGAGCAGCGTGGATACTAGTACCATTGGGGAACTCTGGAGTTTTCATAGTTATGCCACCATATAACTCTACCAGCTCGTCTACCAGAGGTTCCAAGAAGTTGTTCATCTGGTCGATCTTTGCTTCCTTTGGACCAGGCATGACACTGACAAGGATAATGTTTTCCGGCTTCATTCTTTCTTCCCTAGGCAGATTGTTCATTGACAGGTACAAGGCCCCACTTGCATGTGTATGACCATTGGATGGTTGAAACCAATCCACATTCAATGTCAACATTAAAGAATGGTTATGATTCACAAAAGGCTCGTCATCTTCATCAAGGAGCTCAGACCACATTGCACCATCATAGACGTCCAACAAGGTACTGTTTACGGTTTCCCTTGATCTCCATTAAACGATTTGATGCTCAAACCCAGGTTTGGCGAAATGCTGTGCCAATGCATTCTTGAGCGAGTTGTATGGGAAAATCATGAGAGGGACAGGGCGATCAGCTTCAGTGTCAGAGAAAAGAGGATCTCTGCAGTATGTTAATGGTGTGGTTGTGTATTTTTCGAATGTGCAATTTGGTTGGCAATTGCCTGGTAGGTAAATTGCAAAGCACTTGTTGCAGATGGTGTATTTGACGATGCTTTTTGTCATGAAATTGAAGCTGGTCATAGTCTTTAATGCATCAATGATGAGTGGGAGATCGGTATCCTTATCAAAGGCAACAAGAAGATGGCGGAAAAATTTTGATATAGCAGTTCCACCTGCTTGAACCAAGTAAAACGCCTGAAAGATAACGCCAAATAGAGCTATGAATTGGCTTGTTTGAGACATTTCATGAATTTTTAAAGAAGCAACTACAAAGGCAAGTATTTCTGTTAATTATTTGTAACACAATTTATGTATATTTCTTTTTTAAATGTATACATACTGGAAGCAACCATGTCTTCAAAACTTCAACACTGGCAACCTCAACTTTGCTCTCATCTTCAGACTCATCACTTGAATCAGGATTGTCATTGTCAGAAGCCAATGATGTTGTCTCGACATCAGACTCTTTGAATTGAAAAATCTCGTCTTCTCTCAAAAAAGATACACTCTGTATGGTAGTTTCGGCTGATACAATAAAATAATTGTCTTCATCTATAGTAAAGCCAGACTATTAGCTATCTAAATTATGATTTATTAAAAAGAAATTTTATACTAACAATCAATCAATGTTTCAGATATATCTACCATCTCAACTTCTGTCTCTTCTTCAACAACTTCTGTATTAACTGATAATTAACAAAAAAAATATTAGATTACAATTTATCCAGTAATGTGTGTACTACTCAAATGTCATATACCTCAATTTTTTGGGCCAACGTCTAATAACTTATCAGCATCATTATGACACTTAAAGATCTGTGCATTTTGCAAAATTCCGCCAATTGAATTTTTGGTACATGATGAACATGTACACATAACAGTGTAGGTTTTAGTTGTAGAATTCATAACAGTAAGAATAATATTAATAATAATAAAATAATAAAGAGGTGTATACTATATTTTATTTTCATCTTTTATATGTCTTTTATTTTTGTCATTAATAATGAGTTGATATATCTTGTTCACTATGTCATTGACTACATTGAGCTTACCGTCCCTATTAGTAAGAATTACAAATGTATTTTGATACAGCAATCTTTTCTTAAAAAAGTGTGCCTGATTATTAATGGGGCTTCAATTTAATAATCACTGATATAATGGCGTAGTTTTTCTCTTTTGCATTTTTTTAACATAACATCAATTCTTGCTCATTTTGGCAAGTGGTCTTTTTTGGATTTTCTTTTTCTTGTATTTTTTTTATGACATCAATTCTTGCTCTTTTTTTCAATTTTTTTGATATACTTTCTTATTAAAAATAAGTCATATATCATATATTATTATATTCTAATAAAAATCAGTATTTTTTGGGATGCAATAAAAATATTATTGAGTCTAAATTAGGTGCATCTGTAACAACAAGTTTTTCCTTCCAGAAAAATAATTAAATACTACATTTAACATTTAATATTTTATTTTTATTTTTTATTTTTCTGCCAAGTCAATCGAAACATATATTTTTTAAGACAATTGTGCGATTTATTGCCTAATTAATAAATATTTGTGTTTGTATCTGTGTTTATTTAATACAATCAGAAAAAATTGCAAATTCACATCTCAAGAAAAAAATATATTGAAAAATGATGGTGTTTGAAATATTTTTCCAAATTTTGCCAAAATTCAAAAAATAAAATTCAACTGAATCCACCCTCCTTTTGCAGTGCAGAGCTCCAAACACATATCGTTTATCAAGATAAACACATGTTTGCATTTGTTAAGTGGTTCCAGATTAAGCATGACTGTTCAAGAAAGTTGGAAAGTGTTGACATCTGCAATGCAGATTTTATCAAATGTGATTTTGAATGTATCTTACCAGTACATCAAATATCATCAGTTGTTGCAACATGTGATTATAAAACTAGCACAAATAATAAGAAAATACTTGTCAATACTTTACCACACAAACAATATAATTAATATTTAATACATTTCTTTTTTAATAAAAAATTTTAATACATAAGCTAATGTAGTCTTATTATATATGTTGCGAACAATACATATGTGTTAAGAAATTTTGAGAGTAAAAAAAAAGACAAAAAATGAGTTTTATTTATGACCCACATTTAAGAGCCCATTGAGGTAGAGCAAGATCCAAATCAATTGGGGCTGTTGATTCCACTGTTCTACCATAAACACTCTTAAGCAGTTGGCAGGAATTTGCACCCAATTGCTTTACAACAAACGAGTCAACCTCCGTAATGAAGTTGTTAAGCTAAGTAATAAACATATATTAACAATCAGCCTGGCATCATTCAAAAAAAAGTTAGGTTTTACCTCGTCACTTCTCCAACTTAGGCAAGCAACATGAATCTCATTTCTTGACTGAGAGGAGGACATATCATTGTCTGATTCGCCTTCAGACATGACTGACTTTTGGATCAGTCCAGAGCAGTTTCAACCCATGTTGAGATCAATGTCAGCCTTGTAAGCATCATAAGCAAGGCGACGGCAAGTGTAGTTCTAAAGGAAAAAGACAATACAATTAATATTCTTATTGTTATTATTTAGCATAAATTGAAAATATAGTTTACATCAGTTTCACAGCCAGATCTTCTTGAATTAGTATTCAAGGCTTGTCTTGTTTCTGGAAGTTCCCTTTGCTGGCAACATCTACTACAGAAGTTTGTGTATATACACTTACGAAGGTCGTGTATCCTCATATCAGTGCCAGCAAACTTCTTTTCCAAGTAATACAAGAGTTGTTTGACTAACTCTCTATTTGGAGAGCAATCAAAATGAATATCAACTGCCCACTTTGGTTTTATGGCATTCACTTGAATTTCTGCTTGGTCTCTTGATTTTAGCTTTGGGTTCCACATATAACCATAGATGTATCCCTATCATATTTTAACTAGCAACAAGATTGACAAGTGTTTTTTGTATCTTTATACTTACAAATACAATGTTAGTATCATCTGATTTGGAGGTGGGAAGGGCAGCAGATGTGGATGCAACAATAGTAGATATATTCACAGGTGCTGGGAGGGCAGACAAGACATCAATTCCATTGATGGCAGTTGTGTTACCAGTGATGACTACATCAATTCTTGTGCCTATCAGGATAATCTTATCCTTCATGGTGTTCATCTCTTCTTTCATCGCATTCAAAGCTTGTAGCAACTGGACATCAGTGCTTGTAAGAGAAGGAGTGAGTCTGCAGTTGGGGATAGATATTATCTGTAATACATCATAATGTTTTCAATTGTTAATATTAGTTCTTTTTCTTTTTTATTCTCTTTTATAAGAGACAATCCATCTATTTTGTCATGTAAATTACAGTAAATTTGCAACATAGATTTTTTGAGATGATATAATCAAGAGTGAGTAACATTGAATTGCAAGTAGAAATATTAAGTATTTATAGACAGTAGTGATGGTTCAGGAACACTTCAAGGACAACTTCTTGAAACACTGAGACGCAAATTGGTCTTAATACATTTTTTGGCTGCAATTGATCACCAATTTTCAGTTTTTTTTTGCTATTGTTTATTGGGTTAGCTTTTCAGTATTTTGTTTCAAACGCAGAAAAAAAATTACGTATTTTTCTTTCTTCTTTTCTGCTTCTTTCCTCTTTTCCAACGTTTGTCATTATTATATTAGTGGCTTTTTTTGGTAACATACTTCTTTATTAAATACTTTTTTATAAACAATAAAAATTAATACATTCTTTTTTATCATAATAGATACTTGTTTGCTCTCATTTAAATGCATTCATTTCACAATTGCTGTCCAGATTAACAAAGGTCAATATTATATTTTGCGAAATTGACATCTATAAAAATCCTTCTGACTTGTTTTTTTTATTACAGACTTGATCATCAAGAATAACTGCTACAAATGAATTTGGTTAAAAACATCAAGGTAGTGTATATATATATATATTATTTTGACATGTATCTTACTAAAATGAAGTCTTATTATAGATGAGCACTATTAATCCTGTCTTTGATTTCCCTTACATTATACAGCTGGAAATGACATTATATAGTAAGGATCACTACTTTATTTTTTATTTTAGTTATATTAATACTATAATGTGTTAACATAAAATATTATTATTTTTTACTAGAGTTCTATCAAGTGTTTACAAAGACAATCTATCTCTGTTAATATATATTCTTACTACTGGTATGTAAATTATTTATTATTTTATTTGATTCACAAAAATTAATGTTTTTCGTTATTTTTATAGTGAAAGATATCAAGGAATGTCATGGATTATCAATATCAAAATCTATTTTTTGCTCACTCTTTTCCAATATTTACAATATAAGTATAAAAGTGTACACAAAATGTAAAAGCATACTACATTAAATGTAGTACCCAGTACACATAGCTAATAATTTGTCTATGCTTCTTAAAGACTGTTGTATTTCAATAAACAGTCTGCTTTCTTTTTATATTTTCAGGTATTTATTTTCTGTAGATAATTATTTTATTCAAACAGTATCAAGCAGACCAGTAGAAGTAATAACGGATATTCAATAAATCAATACTATAAGATTGTTATAGTTCTAGAAACATTCTGTTCTTTCCAAATAAATACTATTATAAACTTTTACCAATAAAACAATTTCTGAAATTAAAATAAAAACGATTGAACTAAACTATGATTCAGAATCCAAAGAATTGCTAAAGTATTGAATTTATTTGGATATAAAAGATAAGGAAGAGGTGTAATGTTGAACTATACTACTATATCAAGATCAAAAATAAATATATTAGCCATCTTTAAAGCTCCATATAAAACATATAAAAATAAAACCTTGGTTTCAAAAAACTCTTTTCAATATCCCAGGTCAGATCAGCACACCAAAAGTGCTGAAGAACCATATCTCCATCATTTTTATTTGACTCCACACATGTGTAAAGCTGGTCATGGCACATGGTGCTAAGACGAACTTGTTACATGATGATATGTATCTGGACTCAATATTAAACCCCATCTTGACACCTAAGTAACTACGCCTTTACACATACATATGTCAGATCATTTTTCCAGTGTAAGACAGATTGGAGCTCCCTTCTTGAACTTGGACTCATATAGAAAAGTATGACTATTTTTAGTTCAGACCTGAGTAGTCTGTCTATAGGACATGGCTCTTCCTGCTAAGACTCCATCACTCCTACCAAGGGACCCCTCACCACCTCCTGGCTCACCCACGCTATCACTTAACACTCCATCTACACTAACTGACTCACTACCATTGTCTCAATCTTATGTAGCTGCGGCTGTTAAGCCTATAAACAATTCTTGTACATCTTGCATTGTCGGCTCCATCACTGATAATGGTGCTCCATGCATATGGAAAGAAGACTCCTCTCCATTTTTTGTTTTTTACGAGATCCCTGCTGAGGGAAACCCTCTCTGTCCTTTGTTCTTTGATGCTATTAATACCACCTTCCCATTGGGTGTTGGCCGCGGCCTCACATATGCCTCTTGTACTTCCTGCACCTCCTTTGAATTCCATCTAGTAGACCAAGAAGCATGCTCACGCGCATGCCAAGTTGGCTTTCCTTTTAATGAATGTACTGTCTTTGCTTCTCCCACTATTTCTTTGATGCTTAAGCTCTTGTGCTTATATGTGTCTCGACTTCCTCTTCACTGATATGCGGATTTTGATGAACTTGCCAAGAATCTTTACCACTGCCTTGCTATATATGGACAGGTCAGAAAATATCCTTGAATTTGAAATATAACTACCCCAACAGCACAGATACCATCCATATGCTACGCCCATCTAATCCTGATCTTCATCTGCGTCACTTGGAACATGAGATCAAGTATAATGAAACTATAACTTTCCTTGCCACTTGGGCACATATAGATGCTCACTATACTTTTTGTAAAGAGATGGGTCACAAGAAAGAAGCTTGCATCAAGAGACTCAAAGAAACCCGCACCTGCTTCTGCTGTAGTAAGGTTGGTCACCTTGCCCATCAATGCCTACAAAACAAGGAAGCCAAATCAAAACGCCCTCGCAAAACTGCTCACTCCCCAACCCATGCCCCTGCACCCCCAGCCGCTCAGATGTATCATGGTCTTCTACCCTCTGAAACAATCTACGGCCCACAGCACGCCCTGCAGAACATACTTCTACCTCCCTTGGCTACTGAATCCCTCTCTAGACCACACACGGCCCAGGTGCCATTCCAGATATTCTTCTTGCCAATTATTCTGATTTCCTGATAGAAGCAGTAGCTAGTACTGGCATGGATGACCACATCCAATTGGTTAAGACCAGTGATGACAAACTTGGTAATGAAGAGACGAAGAAAAGCAATGATGAGGAATACTACAGTGACAATGACATCGATGAGGTTGCCAAGTGTTTTGCTCAAATAAAAGATGATTCCATGAATGGTAAAAATGATGGTGGACAAGATCCTTCAAATCTAGCTCTTACTTTATGATTAAAATCTCTACAATAAACTGCCAGGGACTGGCAAAATTAGTCAACCCCACCTTATACTTATTATTTATTCACCACCTATAGTGTATTTTTCTTATAATCAACAAAAAAATTGTACTCAGATAGTTTTTTTTCAAGACCTAAAAAGTGTTGTCGGAAATAACAAAACTAAATATCTTTTTCATTTACTTTGTTAAGAAACAGTTTCTCTATAAAGTAAACAGAAAACATGTTTAGTTTTGTCATTTGCAACAGCACTATTTAGGTCTTGAAAAAACGTGGTATTTGAATTTAATAGTGGAGAAAGAGAAATATTGACACTAGATTTTCTATTGATAATGACAGACAATAAGAATTGATCCCCTAAAATAGTAATACTATATATTACTTTGTGTTTAAAAGATCTTTTGTCATGAATATATAAAGTTGTGACTGCATAAAGTTCAATATTTAGGATTTTTTAAAAAACTGATGGACATTAAATGTCATTTTCATATATTGGCATTTGAAATAAAAAATTAACACAAATCTTGAAATTTGCGATTATTAAGAAAATACACTATACACTCTCAGCATGTCAATATACTTGCTCTGCAAGAAACTCATGCTTCCTATATGGATATACTGAATACATTCAATATGCAGTTTAGGACTACTTCCTCAGTTTGGTCCCAACATTGTGGTTTAGTGTGCCTAACTCCTATGCTTTCTATTGTCAACCCTTTAATCTCTGTCTGTGTCCAATATATATCTGCTACAGTTGAGCATACCAACAATAATTTTTCTCTTTTCAGATCTGTGTGGTATACGCCCCAGCTACAGTTGGACAGTGGTATAAATTTCTATCTGCCCTGCTTGCTAACTCTTTATTATTGCCCACTCATCCTTCACGCTTCATCCTGCTGGGAGATTTTAATCACTCCTATTACACTCGTTCACCTCGTCCCCAACTTGCACCTCATATGTGACTCTAATTCCTCTCTGACCACCTCTTTAACTGCATCACTATGCCTGATTCTATCTCTATGCCTATCTTCTATTGCGGTACAACGTCCTCCATCTTGAACTATATATTCTTCTCTTCTGATATGTTTTCCCACCATATTTTGTCTTCTGTGGATGATATTTATCCGCAATGGTCAGACCATTTCCTAGTTTCCGCATCTTTTCTCTTTGATTCAGGCACTGTCTTGGGGAAAGGCCTATGACATGCTAACCCACATCTCTTCTACAACCAGCATTTCTGTCTCCAACTTGACTCTCACATTCATTCTCTTGTCTACTTGCTACCAACATCTCTATCTGTTCAAGAACAGTGGGATAGTCTCAAAACCAATATCATCCATTTTATCTGCTCTTATTGCTGTTGCCCTTGCTGCAACCTTACTACAACAGAAGCCCAGTTGCAGAGTAAGTGCGCACACCTGATACAAAAGTACCAACTCAACCTCTCCATTAACTTTCAGCTTCCTTTTGTGGAACGACAGATTCAGGACATATGACACAAAAAAATAGAAACACAGACATTGCACACTGGAAAACACTGGCAGAAATAAGTTGAGACCTCTGTCAGTTACTTGAAACGTACGATTGAAACATGACAAGTCTGTAAGACAATCTCTGGCCTATGCCACCTCTTTACCAATGTCTTTTTGACACAGCCTTCTATCATGACCGATTCCACAGCTGCATTTTATGAAGATTTGTATTTCCCTAATGACATTGAGCAATCCATTGTAGATGACCTTCTATGTAATCTTTCGACTCATATTGTTCTCTCTGACACTCTTGTAAACTAATTCACTTCCTCCTTTTCTATCATAGACATACGAGAAGGTGCACAGCAGTCTCCTTCTACCAGCAGTCCCGGTCCCAACAGGATACCCTATGAAATCCTTTGTCTCCTTTTTGACTATTCCGCGTGTGCTCATATCTTGGAAAAGCTGTACAATGACGCTCTCACCACTGGAGTTTTTCCTGCCTCCTGGCAATCTACCTGTCTCTTCTTGCTACCAAAGAAAGGAGACCTTACATGTTTGAAGAACTGGCGACCTATTGCCTTGATTAACACTGATGCAAAGATTTTTACTTGACTACTCAATGCCTATATGATTTCTGCTGCCAGCTCAATTGTGTCTTAATATCAAACTAGGTTTGTGAGGGGAAGGTTCATTGCTGACAATGACATGCTCGTTAAGACCATTATGGAACAGGCCTGGCTCACTCAATCCACCAGATTTGGCTTGCTCTTGGATCAAGAAAAGGCTTACAATTATGTATACCCCTTGTCCCTGCAACAAGTCCTGCAACATTTCCATTTCCCTTCCTCTCTCGTTGATTGTATTTGCAACCTATTCTTCTCTACTCGAATACAAGTCAATGTGAATGGTCATATCTCCTGAGAACTTGTTCAGAACCACAGTCTTCGACAGAGCAATCCTCTGTCACCTGTTCTCTTCAATCTAGCCTTTGAGTCTCTTCTACGCCGCCTCCAACATGACCCTAAATTTTCTGGGTTTCTCCCACCTATCTCGCCAATCCTTCCAGCCCCCCCTCCAGTCAAATGTCTTGCATATGCAGAAAATGTCATTGTTTTCCTCTCCACACCCAAATGTTTTACACGCCTCCACACACATCTTTCCACTTACTCTCAGGCCTACAATGCCAAGATCAATATGGTCAAGACAGAGGCCATATCGCTTTTGGACAACCACTTCCTTACTGGATCACGTTCCTACAGGCCCACCAAATAACATTCTGATATGACTGCTCATATCCTGACTCTCTCCGCTACCTTGGCTTCCCTCTTGTCAGTTTGATTGCCCAATGCAATGCCTTTTGTTTCTCATTGTTAACAACTATAAAATCTTCCTGCACCATACATCTCACTCAATCCTTATTGATCTGGGGGCATGTCACTGTTCTCAATACTCTCATTCTCTTCCATCTTTGGCATTTCCTATGCGTGATTTCTGTTCCTGTGTCATTTCTTGATAAAATAAAGTCAGCCATGGGTCAGTTCTTGCAGCACCAAATGTTTCCTCCCATAAAGCTGTCTACTCTTTGTCTCCCTCTTCATTCTGGCAATCTTGAAGTATTAGATCCTTCTATACAACAAGGTGCTCATCAGCTGCGTTGGTTACGTTCTCTCTGTCTCTCTTCTCACTTTACCTCTGGCTTAGTTCCTTCTTGGCTGTCCTTTCTCTTACGTTATCATATGTCTGGCACTGACCCCTGATTGACGCTTCTCTTTCCCAATTTTCGCCCCCCCCAATCTGACTGGTCTTGCAGGTTGCTTCTGCAACATATTCTCTGCTATTGATAGACTTCCGCACGACTTCTTCTCCCTTGCCCCCAACATTGCTACGTGTTTGGCACTTCCCCTCCGCTCAGTATGCCTACCAGCCACAAACACTATCTCCTTCCTTCCCTTCTTGCGACACCTCCGCATTGAAGATGCCTTTCTTGTTGACTCTTCTTTTGACATTCTCTGCTGTTGAGCGCAGGCTGATTTCCCATGCAACCCACTCATATTGCGCAAGTTTTTCAAGAGAGTTGACTCTTGCAATATCTTGCTATAACCTTTCCTTGTTCTTGCTTTCCTCCCTTCTCATATCCTTCAGCTCAATGACCCTTCCATTCCTTCCCATTCAGGTTTATCAATCAATGCTAGCCCTTTTGTTTGCAGTCTCTTACCTGGAATACCATGGTCCAAGCTGAAACCTCATACATATCAGTCTTTTTGTTTCTCTTTTATTCCTCCTCCCCTGTTGTCTACACTGTCCAGCTCACATTGGCAAATCTTTTGGAACCTTCCTATACACCACCATGTCCACAACATCTGATACCAAGGTCTACACCACAAATTGTTATCCCACTCCCTGTTGCATTGCATACTTCCTGACCCCTTCCCCATCAACTCTTGCCCCATTTGTGAAGCCTCTACAGACACACCCAACCATTTCCTCTTCTCCTGCCCCCTCAAAATTGACGTTTGGTCTACATTCTGGCAAGATGTCTTTGGATCTCATCCTACTCTTTTTATACTCCATGATGCATTTTACAATCTGTCTTTCCCCTATACCCACCCCTCTGATATTCATGCTGCCTCTCTCTTTAGCTGTGCCCTTCTGGCAATCTGGCAATATCATTGGGTCATGGTATTTGACAATACATCTTTTGTATCTTTCACCATTCTATCTACCGCTTCCCGCTTGGTTGCCATATTTAAGGCTGAAAAATCTCTTGATGACCTTGCCTGTTCTCTTGCTACTTAGCTCTACATTTAGTTTTCTTTCTTACATATACACCTAAAAAAAAAAATCAAAAACCCAAAAACAAATTTTGTGATGTGCATCATTTCTTTTTAGCTAGTGATCCTCACAATAAAAATTTGAGCTCTAATTGCTCCCTACAAAAAAGTCTGTCTATAGGAAGAGATACAGATTTTGCTCTAATTCTTAAATTGCTATACCATCTACAGTAAATAGATTAAACACTACGGGAAAGAAAGTGGGGTTTTATGGTTGCTTTATGGCAGTTTGACAAGGCGGCTTTGTGGCGGTTTTTTGCTAAATATCTACTTTGCCCCCCTGGAGTTTAAATATATATTACAGATCTCTGCTTTCTGATTCTCCTTTGTTGGCTCTTCTATTGGACAGTGTTTCATTCTTTATTGTATAAAGTATATTATATAATCGATTATGTTGTAAATGAGTATTGACTACTGCTGTAATTGAGAATAAGTCTGAAGGAAATAATATAAGGCCTCAGCTATTTCAGTCAAAGGTGTCTACCAATTACTTTATTATTTAACACACAGGTTTAGCATGCATGATAGTGATTATATTTCATATGATGATATCACCATAATATGAGATACATCAGTGGATTATTATAAGCATAATTATAACTCATAAACACATTTACTTTCAATGTTAATACTTCATTGGGACTACACACATTTATCTAATTAATCATACATTAATTATCCTAAGATCACGTTGCTCTGATTAAGGCTCAGATAGGATCGATTACCTGACCCCAGTCATATAATTTTCCCTATCCAAAACAATATAAATAGCAGTGGTAGTTCAGTGTAGAAACCTGGTCAAATTTTGATACCAAATCTTTCTCAATAAACAAACCTTACGCAAGTTCTCACAAATCTTCGTTCCTCATCTCAAATCTTTAATTCTTTTTCTTAAAAACTTCTTCAACTTCAACCACCACAACAGATTACTTTTATTAGATACTCTCTTAAATGTCATTTATTACTTTAACATTTTAGCTTAGAAAGGAATTCTATTAGACACTAGAAATTTTTTTTAATGTTACTTTTATGAAAACAGTTTTTTATTGGATAATATACATGTAAATGTTTGATTATTTTAATAAATACAAATTTTTATTGGTTATTACAATAGAAGATCATTTTTATTAATCATTTTTATTGGTTGTGGTGATCCAGACACTTGGTTGTTGGATTTATTACATCTAAGAACATATTCCTATTATTATAGTAAAACAGCTATCATTACAAGAACAAATGAATAATTTATTTATTTTACTTATAGTAAATCAATAAGACCAATAATTAATTACAGTAAGTACTGTAATTATGACAGCTCAGTAAGCACTGAGTTAATATGAGGACACTGCAATTAGATTAAATTATAAACATAGCAGTACCAGCTCTCTAATATATAAATGAACTCAGACTTAAGAAATTAAGATGTGACTGACAAAGCAGATCATGTTTTGATATAAAAAGGACAACTTTGTATTCTTTAATAAAGACAACCTATATACAGTCTCAAAGTATTCTTATATACGTCTCAATCTTTTTTACTGTTGATTTTATTCTATAAAACTTCACATTGGTTGTTATGACAGAAAAAAAAATATATTGTTCATTTTATTGGTTATTATGACAGAAAAATAAATAATATTGTTTATTTTATTGGCTGTTAAAACATAGAAAAATCTATAGATACATTTTATTAGCTATAAACTATTTAATATTCTAGGTTTTCATAGTAAAATATCCTATTCAATTCTACTACACCGGATTACTTACAAGACTGTAATCTTTTATGGCAGTCCCTCCAGAGATATGCAACTCTTGCAGTTGATGCCCAGTTTCCAAGACATCTAGTGAAGTCTATACCAGAATCCTTCATTATATTTGCATGTCTGGCACACATTTCTTTCTTAAGTGCTACTGGTATAGACCCTCAGCTAGAATTAGGACCAAGAGCAATCACCAAAGGATGGGCAGCCATATCATCACATATAAGCTTTGTATACATATTGAGTGTGGCCTTTTTGTTACTTGTTACTTCAATGCCAAGATCTTTACTTATCATCTTGAAGATATGCTTTAAAGTTATTTCACGGAATATACTCACTGGTTTGTGGATGGTATTAGCACTAGACTATTAAATAACATATTAATATATATTCAACTCGTTTTATTTTTTGTCTTACAATGGCAGAGACAGAAGGCGAAGTGTGTTGGTTAAGAATGTTTCTATTCTCCAGTTGACTCTGGAGAGCAGTAATCTCCAAATTCAAATCTTCAATGCTTATCTTTATTTCAAGCTTCAACTCTTCGATCTGTGCCTCCATTTCAAGTTTGGCCTTTTCTTAGCCTGCCTTCAAAGATAGTATCTCACTGTACATGACGTGTAGCAAAGAGATGGAATTGTTATCTGTGTTATTCATGTTGAGAGTTTGGTTTACCTGAGAAAAAGAATTGTTGTGAAAGAAAGATAAAGACCAAAAAATTTTCTATTGTCTATTATTAGTTTCATATAAATGAGTTTAACCTATTGGTCCAGCCAATATTATTATTGGGTTACTGTAGTTCTAATAACAGCTATTACACAATGTTTTAGCTTCTGTTTCTGAGTTTATATTTGTATCATCTATGTCATTGCCTACTTGTAGTCATTAAATCTATACAACTCTCAATGCTATTAAGTATAAAGGCATATTATTTGAAAGGAATTATCAATATTCATACCTTTATTCTTAAGTGTTTATTTCCAACCTAAAAAATGTCTTCAAATTCAATCCTTGATAGTTACCAATGCAATCAATGCAAAGAGCGCCACACCAATTTAAAAAAAGCCATGAGTTGTAGAGCTCAATGCTTTAAGAACCATCATAGAAGACATAATGATATCCAGACTTCGCAAACCACGCCTGTTCCTAACCAAGTCAGTATTGTTTTGAACACTGTCTTGAACGACACTATTGAGTAAAACTACAAATCACATACATACTATTAGAAAGTGTAATTAATTATATTGTTACCTTCATAAACAAGCAGAGAACGTGCAGATGCAATTGAAGATCAGATCATGGATACACTCAACAGCAAAGATAACAATGATCCAATTATGAATATTTTCAGTAATGATGATAATGATGAGTCTATGATAAGATATATATATATACATGTCTTATTATATCATGCTAATTATTATTTATCTTGTTAAAGTATGATATAGAACTTGGCAACGACATGGATATCATTGAAAACGAAACATCTCCTTTGGTTTTTGACTTCAGTCAGCCTGCACCTACCTCTGACAAAGACGATGCAAAGAACCTTGAGGTTCTCAAGATCATTAAGGATTTTGATATCTCCCGCAATGCCCATGAAATGATAGTCAAGTATTTCAACAGCATTTTGGAAATGTCAACTTGTATTACATACAGAGCATGTACTCCTCATCTCAGCAAAAAGCTTTTGAAGTGTTTCTCTGGTGTTGAAGAGACAGTTCATGATATCTGTCAGAGGAGATGTATGCCCTTTACCAGTCCATCCCAGACTGAGTGCTCCAACTGTGGACAAAGTCAGTACAAAACAAGACGTGGAGAAACCGAGGGTGATGATCTGGTTGCTGCTGCCAAGATGATACAGCTTCTATTGGCGAGACAACTGGCTCTTGCATTAGCCAACAAGAATACAAGAGCAGATATGCCTTACTGCCATAATCATGAGTCAAGCTTGGATGGAAGTAAAACCAATGTGTTTGATGGCCAGGTTTACCAGCAAGCAAAACATCTGTTTTTCCAGAAAAGATGACATTGCAATTTCTTTGTCTGTTGATGGATTCACACCACACAATGTTCCTGGTGTTGGAGAGCAAAGGGATGGTTGTCAAGACACCAAACGAGACCACTTGTGTCAAAGTACATGTCTTGATAGTCACTGGTGACATTCCTGCCTTAGCAAAGTTGGCATGTCATGCTGGACATATGAGCAAAGACGGTTGCTGTATCTATCATGCTGTCGGCCAATGTTCCAAGTATGGACAATACTTCAGAACTTTGTCCAGTACCAATATCTGTATGCTGGAAAGTTTCCAAAATTTTTCCCAGACCAGTGCATCCAGCTGCAAAGGGTCAAACCAACAATCCCCCCTGGCAACATTGAATGTATTCTCTGGACCATTGTTTTTTGCCCTTAATGAGATGCATGGACTTTGCCATGGAATAAGCAAGCAGGTCTGGGGTTTGGTTTCTGGTACCTATGGAACAGACCATTGTTTTGCTCTTTCTTCTGGTGTTCGGAAGGAGATCGGTACAGCAATGTACAAAACAAGAAATACCATCCCTACATCCTTCCATGGCGATTGAAGGGATGTATACAAGAACCCAGGGTCGTTCAAGGCCGTCAATTGGGCAGACTTTCTTCTGTTCGTCATCATTATGCTGGTGGCAGAGCATATTGGAGATGCAACTGCCCGGAACACGTTACTTGGCTTGGTTCAAGCATGTAACCTACTCATGAGCTGGAAGTTAGCAGCAGAGAAACAAACCTCTATCAAAAGGTATATTTTAGTAAAAGCTATGTGTTATTCTATTATTTATTCTAACTATTTTTCTTCAGTAAACTTGAAATATTGGACATGTACCTGGAATCGTTGCTTACAAGTGGAAAAATCAAAATCAATATTTTCACTAGAAACCAGCATCTTCTTCAACACTATCCTCTCATGATTGATGCATACGGCCCACCTCATGTATATAGCACCAGATCCATGGAATGGGCAATCGGTGAATACTCAAGGGCTATCAAGAGTAATTCTGCTATAAATGATAATGCTGACAATATCATGCTTGGCTTAACACAAATATGACAAGCAGAGGCTGGAGCCACTGTCATAATTACAGAAGCAAGAACAGCACAACACTTACAATATGAAGATTCCACTGCTGGTTGGCCGTTGACAGATGAGGGTAAGTGTGTTGGTGCTGGGTCTGATATTGAGTTCTGGGGGCCTTTAAGAAATAGAATGATCCGAGATAGTTTTGAAGGCATTTCTTGTTTTTCGAAACTTCTTGAAGATTTCTACGAATCAAAGGGGGAAGAGTGTAGTGTGATTGAAGCAGCTATACAAACTAGCTGCAAGGCATTTGTCAATGGTTGTGCGATTGACTCTGCACTCGATCAAATTGTGTAAGGGAGGCACATAACATCAGATTACAGATTCAGGTTGATGAAAACCGCAACATAAATTCTGCATACTTCCCGGTTTACAAGGATTTCTTCGGAAAAGTTGTTGTCTTCTTTGAGCACAAGCTCAACAACAAGAAGTGGTTGCTTGCTCTTGTAGAGATTGCATCAGTCCGTTTGGTAAATGGTGTACCAGCTGTTAACAATGGGCATATGAAACCAAAGATAGTTCACCTGGCAGATGTCAAAGAATTGGTTGGTTTAATGAAGTTGGACGCAACTATAAATACAACAACAACAACAGCAACAACATACATAGTGTGGCCAGAGCTTAACCACGGCCCAAAATTGTTACTTGGTTCTCTTGCAGACCTATAATTTGTTTTTTTTTATAATACATTTTTTTAAATTATCTTAACATATTTTATTCTCTCGGCAAAAAGTTAAGATAATTTCTTCTCTTTTACCTCTGACTTTTAATAGTCATCAATTGCAATATACATTTACTAAGAATGTAAAGTCTGTAGTTGAAGCTTACTTTTGTCTATCAGGAGTGTTGTAGTGGTTGAAGTTGAAGAAGTTTTGAAGAGGAAGAATTGAAGATTTGAGATTAGGAACGAAGATTCGTGAGAACTTGTGTAGGTTTTGTTTATTGAGAAAGAATTTTGTATCAAAGTTTGACCAGGTTCCTACACTGAACTACTACTGCTATTTATATTATTTTGGATCAGGAAAATTATATGACTGGGGTCAGGTAATCGATCCTATCTGAGCCTTAATCAGAGCAACATGATCTTGGAATAATTAATGTATGATTAATTATATAAATGTGTGTAGTCCCAATGAAGTATTAACATCAAAAGTAAATGTGTTTATGAGTTATAATTATGCTTATAATAATCCACTGATGTATCCCATATTATGGTGATATCATCATATGAAATATAATCACTATCATGCATGCTAAACCTGTTTGTTAAATAATAAAGTAATTGGTAGACACCTTTGACTGGAATAGCTGAGGCCTTATATTATTTCCTTCAGACTTATTCTCAATTACAGCAGTAGTCAATACTCATTTACAACAAGGAAATTTAATTTTAGGTGGTCAATTTACTTTTTGTCAACCTTTTCAAAAAACAGAGATTGTCTAGTTTCATATTAAATTTTATTGATTTTTTAATTATTATAGGCCGAAAACATAGTCACAAAAGCAAAAAACCACCATTCTTTCCTGTAGTGAAAACACAGGGCCATTGACTATATTAATAAAATGAGACAGTTGACAAAGTGAAGACAAAAGATGTGGTATAGACTCTCCAAGCCATGCTTTTATTTTTTATAAATATATAAATTAATAAAGTTATCATTCACCCTGTTCCTTATATCTTTCCATGCTTAGCTAGTAATATTTTTTGCTATTGATGTTGTAATTGAAAAGGGAAAATGTCTTATAAGTATGTGGTATTTCAGATACAAAGCAATAGAAAAATATAAATTTGATAATAGAGATGTATAGAAATACTTTGAGACTGTATACAGTCATAGCTTGATTTAATAATGTTTGATTTAGTGATAATCATGATTTAGTGATATTTTTTTGAGATTTTTTATCTGTTCCCTACTAATTATCACTATTTTTTGATTTAGTGATAGTGGTGAAAAAAAATCCACCAATATCACTATACCGAATGCTGAGTTTGTTTTTTGTAGTGAAAAAATAAAATTAGTACAAATTTCTGCTCAATATTTTTGAAACATGACAAGTTAGACTACTTTACTTTTATATAGTGACACGTAATGTGTTAGATTTGTTGTAGATTGTAACAGATCACTTGGCAAATAAAATACAATGATAATAGAATAGAACATAAGATGAATACAGCAAAAGAGAGCAAGCAGCAATAGTTGACAGGTAAGAAAAGAGAGAACAACCAATAGAATCGTTGTTAAAATTGAGAGAGAGAGAAAGATATATGAAAAGAGAATAGTAAAATATGATGTATTTGGGGATAAACATCGAAGTTTTCTAAATTATTTCAATTTTCTCTTGACAAAACTCCGACACCAAATTGGTTTAAAGTCCACGTGTGATATTAAATAAAATTGTATTTGGTATATAAGGGTTAATGCTTAGTAGATCAGACAAGTAAAGTTAATATATATATTTTAAAAAAAAGAAAAAAAGTAAAAAATGAAATACAAATTATAGTAAAGAGAAAAAATACAAATACAAATATTAAAAGGGAGAGTAAGAGTCTATTCCTTTTCTTCATCATGGCAATAAGAAGTATATTTTCTTGAGGTAAAGCTCTTGACAATATCATGGGCTTCTTTCATGTTCATGTCTTGGCTGTATGCCTCAATATAGCGCCACAAGCAGTTGTAGTATCTTTGGATGTTTTGAAGCTTTCCAGCATGATCAAGAAAAGAATGAATATTTTTTTATCCAGGGACTTATATGTATAATCACACTGAAGCCAAGCTTCACGTTTGGCAGTGCCCCAGTACCTCTCGATCCAATTGCATTTGCAATGAAATTTAAGGTATAACCCAAAGATGTGGTCAGATACTTCAACAGCCTCATGAAGTGCAGTTTTCTGTGATATAAAATCTGGCTGAGAAGTCAGAAAATGATGTGCACAGCACTTGCTATCTTCAGAAGCGTCTTTTTTGCAGTGCAATCTCCATTTCTTGGTAGGATTGTATGGGTCCTTCTCCAATCACATACCACGCTTCTCTAGGATTGTACAGATACCCTTCACGTATTTCACCTTCTTTGTCACCCACTGCCCGCTCTTCTTTGTGAACCACTCATCCTTCTTGTAGTACATAGACTGTATTTGTTCTTCACCATCCCAAACAAAAGTAGTATCCTTCAATGTACAAAGATTATCTTCTTCAACCTCTTTGTCACCTAAGGTTATTTTGTTTGCTATTAAAGCATTTTGACTGTATGCCTTGTGGTTTGTACTTTGATCAAATACAAAGGCGACCTTACATCCAGGGTGAATTATTTCGAATAGAGGAATTGCGTTACTCTCCAATTGCTTCAACATATGAGAACTAGTCCAATACCCATCTCTATTGGCTCCAGGATGGAATACCTCCCAACTAGATCACGCACCATTAGACATTGTACCATGAGATATACATTTGAATTCACTAATCATAAGTGACATGCCAGGACTCTTTTTTCGAATTGGATTTTCACCTTCCACTAGCCACATAGCTTCTTTTCCATCATTTGAATAGAAAGTTGACTCATCATGGGTGACAAGGACATGTTCTACTTCATCAGTTGATAGCTGTGGCATAGTTACTTTGTCATTCTCACCAAACCTCGCCATCTTTGTCTTATACCCATTCATTTGATTCGCCTATTTCTTTCGGTATTCAATAACGTTGGCTTTCTCATGACCATCATAATAAATATCTTTAGAATTTTTTCTGAAGATATATCCCCATTCGTGAAGATATTTCCAAACTGTACTCATCGAGACACTTCCTGGAATTCCAAGTTTTTTTGGTATAACAACCTCATTGATGTGTTTCTTAACCAGAATAGTACTGCGACTTTCTGGCTTCTGTTGCTGAATCCATTTGCAAATAGATACTTTAAAGTCCTCGTCGAAAAACAAAGAGAAATGAATAGCATTTTTTCCTTGCTGATGTAATGCAATTGATTGGAAGTTGATATATTCTTTTGCATATTTTCTTATCATTGCTGGTCAATAACTATTGGTATGTAATCATACTTCCATAGCTGCTTTCTCTGATACTTCCATTGTCTTACTTCCTGAGAGTCTATGTCTTAAAAAACTTTTAACAGATTTGAGTTTGCAAAGCTCATAATAGTCTACTGGCAGAGATGAATCACTTATACAAGTAAATGGAGCAATTTCTTCTTTTATATTGTTAAAGGCAAGCTTGAGAAGAGAAATTGTATTCGCAAATATTTTCTTAGATGTAACTTCGACTGGCTCTAATTCTTCATTGACAGACTCTTTTCGACTCAAAATTATAAAGCCCTTTTCTGTTAGACGATAACTTCCTTTAGAATCAAAAGATTCCTTCATAGTCTTTCTCTTTCTCCACTCAGTTGTTAATGAATTCTTCTGATATGTACCACGGAGGGACTTATCAGCTCCCTCATGCCATTTGAGGAAGTTGCTAGAATAGATGGCAGAAGTAACATCATCTGTAATTCCCTGAAGCTCTCTGTCATTCACAGTAATACTTTCTTCAACGTCAATCTCAAATAAGTCAACCAGGTCGTCATTGCTGGTTTCTATGTTTTTAGAGAAACAGTTTCTAGATTCTGATTGGGATTTGCTTTTTGCTAATCTTAATTTCTTGCTGGCAGGAGGCATTTTGACAAAATTGTTTTGTAGATTAAAAGGTTTAAGTATTTAGAAATGTTTTGATTGATGAACCAAAAATAAATATAAGATACGTATTAAACATGGCAGTCTATGTTACACACATATGCTTTTATAGAAACGGTACTATTAATCCCCGACATGGGCAGGGGAAAATAATTTTTCAATATTCAAAAAAAGAACTAGAACTCCGCTATTTTCTACAGATACCTCTTGACTTTGAAGGTCTATGACTTTTTATTCAAGCCTTTTTTCCAGAATCGCTTAAACATGTTTGATAGAGAAGAGTCTCCTCTATCAAACACGTTTAAGCAATTTTGGATAGCTTGTTTGTAGCAAAAGTCATGGAACTTTGAAAAACACCCATAAACTTAGATGGTTATTTCCAAACGCATCATAGAAAAGTAATAACCAACGAAGAGATCAAAACTGACAAACAACCTTCCTAAAGCCAAGGAATCAATATTTTATGTTGCAAGATAGTATAGATCACAAAGAGAAGAAAACAAGAAAAAGATACTGAAACTAATTGAAGGATTGATTCCTTCTTTTATTGAGTTGAGTTTGCTTCTCTTTTATAGTCAACAAGATTTTAAGTTGATAATAGAAGTTCAGAAAAATAAAGATAGTAAAAATAGAATGATAAATAATTGATACGGCAAGGATAAAATATATGAATAAAAATACAGTAAAAATATAATAATAAAGGTACTGATGTTGCGCAGAGATGTTGGCAAGATGAATTATATGCATTGTAGAAGAGGAATGTTACTAGCATGAGGGACCATGATTTTGAATGAGTACAATGTGAACAAATATGTTAACAAGGGAAAAGGAAAAAGTATTGTGTGTAGAAGGAACAGAGAGTGGAAATGAGATTTTTTCTGTGCATAGAAAAATTCTCCTCTTACTACTGAGGGCACAGCACCACATCAACAAACCATTGATATCAGCCTCTCATAACCGGGATGACATGTCATGACAAACCACAAGACAAACCCACCAAGCAGACTGACCTTCTAGTACTGGACACCATGACATGGCCAAAAGCCAGACCTGCCCACAACAAACGTGACAATAGAAGAAACATACTTGATTGCAATGTCAAGTGCGCCGATACTCTATACCAAATACTAGGTTATCAAAATGTTATTTTACAGCTTTATTTTTATTTTTATTTCTTAAAATTATATAAACTATATGGGATACATATTGAAAAAAATAAAAAATAACAGTAATTTTCTTAGTAAATATAAATTTAAATATAACATTTTGTAAAAAAAAAAGGATTTTATTATAAGATATATTATTACTATTTACAACTATTACTATTTACAATTATTATTTAAAGTATTTTTTTATATTTTTTTGAAGATTTTTTCAGAATTTTCTTCAGCTTTTATATCATTCATAAATTGACCAGTGTCTTCATCATTATATGTTGATAAGGCTGACTATTTGGTACTACTAAATGTATCAAGTTGACTACTAACTCTTTTATTATTTTTCTTTTTTTCTTGAGAGAATATTCATTTTTTTCATCTTCATTTTCTTCATTTTTATTTTCTTCGTCAAGGATATCATCTTCTAGGGTATATAGAGATTCTTCTGGGGTCTCAACAACTTCGATATTGTTTTCTATAAGATGTTGGCATCCGGATATGATAGTTATATCTTCAATGGGTATATTGACAGTCTCAGATATAATTGGGGGTATGCTGTGTAGTGTGGATATGTTGTCATCAAATAATCCAGTATGATTAAAGCAATTGGTTAGGGTTTCTGGAGTCACTTGGTTTCACACCAACCTGGTAAAATTCATGACTTCTAGTTGTGAAAGCTTGAAGTAGTCATCAGGATTGATAATCATGTTGCTGATATATCTTTGAGTGGCAAGAGTATATTGGTAGTGTTGATATTTGACTTTAAAGTTCTGTATAAAGCTGGTATCGAGTGGCTGAAGATACAATGTAGTGTTTGATGGGAGGTATAGAAATTTTACATTGGTATAGTTGTCATGGGTATTGTGGCAGGCTGCGTTGTCAAGCAGAACAAGTATCTTCCTGCCCAAGTTTCTTACTTGATGGTTGATTATCTTGCATATATCTCTAAATATTACACATGCTATCCAGCTTTTATCATTGTGATAATACTGAAAGCTATGTTCTGGGCCTGTTTTATAAAATCAGAACATTTAGTATACCAAAAAAATTATTGATTTCAGCACATATAAATAGTGTAATAACTTATGATTCTTCTTGCTGAAGCAGCAAGGCTTGGTATATTTGCCAATGATGAAAGACTTCAGCTTCCAGGAGTCATCTGAGTTACAAATCAATGCAACTTTTAGTCAAACTTTATCGGCCTTCCAACCGGAAATTGCTGCTGTTGATATGGTTGAAATTGGTGGCTGCTTATAGAAAAGACCAGTTTTGTCAAAGTTGAAAATGTCTTTTCTCTCATACATTCTCAACTTCTTCTTTATCTCTTCTACTCTCAGGTTAATTCCTTTGGTGTCTTTAGGAGCAAAAGAACTTTTGCCATGCATCTTTCCACTTTTTTACTCTGAGTCTCTTCTTCAACTTCGCAATCCACCCATCTGAAAAGCTCAACATGTCTTCCTGTGTGATGTTGTATTTGCTTACTGCAATTACCTTGGCATAGTTTTTGATCGAGTGGACATTGATTGGAACTGCTTTTTTTTTCCATATCCAAAATAAGCTGATAGACATCTTCTTCAACTTCTTTTTAGCTCTTTCTAAGATCTTCTCTTCTTTCTGCAAAATCTTTGATATGGCTGCCTGAGATGGGAGCTTGGGCAAGTCAAACTGCTGTTTGGCCCAGACTTTCAACTGCTCTTAGTTAAGTCTATGTCTAGACTTATTGCAAATAGCAAGCTTCGGATTTCCATTAAGATGGACATGACCTATGTCATTGCTGTTGTTGTCAGAAGAAGTATACAAAGTGTTAAATACTCTGTGCATGTTAAAGAAATAAAGTGATTGAAGATGTGTGGGTGTGTGTGAGTGTGTGTTTAAAAAGAGTGTATAGTAAGAATATTTTTATCAATAAAGATAACAGTAAAGATATGTTTTACGGTATTTCTTTTATATTAATCATATTATTATTGAATGAAATATATTACTATTAAACAAGACAGCACTTATAACACATCAATCATATTTTTTATTTTCATGGATAAAGTATAAGAAGATTTTTGGTTAAGCTTTTTGTCTCTTAGAAGAAGTATAAGCCCATTTGTATGATATAAAGTGAAACATAGTAATACACCTAATTGGTTTTTACTATATCTTAGAAGATATGTAAACTTAGTTAAGTTTTATTGGATTAAGAATATATAAAACAATTATTACCATCAATTTTTTTACAAAGATGTTTCAAATAATGTTTCATTTATTATTGGTTCTTAAGATTATGTATCTTATTATAAAGATGTTATAATAACTCATTGAATAAAATAATATACAATTATTAATAGAATATATATTCTATATGTCTTATATTGCCCATCTTTTCCTGTAGTGTTTGTTTATATAATATATAAATATGTGATGGATGAATGTAATTTTTAAAGGCTTTTATTATTAATACATATATCTATCTTTCTTTAAAATTATTTATTAAAATACTGACTTTACTTTATAGATCAATATCTTGTATTTAATATATTTTTATATACTTAATAACTTTTATTACTATTGATCTTAACATATAGAAAATAATTTATGATCATCTTGCTATGACAAAAGTAGCAGTCACATACAACTGAGTTCTAATATCACAAAAATTTTCGGAGTAAGAAAATATCATATTTGATTTAATGATAGTGATAAAATTCTGCAACTCTCAACTATATTACTAAATTGAGCATTAACTGTATAAGTTATTCTTTATTCATAAATAAAAAGTGTCCCTTTTTATAAGAAAACACAATCTGCTCTTGTCATTATGTCTTAGTTTCTTAAAGCTTTCTTCCTTTACTATATTTGTTTATTAGAGTGTATTTACTGCTTAATTAATAATATTGTTACAATTATGACATCAAGTCATAAATCATACTTCTAGCTCTTAGCTATTCTTTTCTCTTTTATATTAGAGCTTTAGGACTTCCTAATAAACTAGCTCCATATTGCTCTGACACAGTTTAGTCAGCAGTATGATATAATTATTATAATGATCTTTAAGATATTATCTACAATACTAACTGTAATAATTATTGACCCAATTACTTAATCGTTTATATATATCTTATATGCTGACAAGATGATAGCTACTATGCTATCCCAATATGAATATGTTTTTATATATGATAAACCCAACATCTGAGTGTCTGGATTACTACAAAGTATATAGAAAATAATGAATAATAGTCAAATTGATAATAGTTTTGAGTACTAGCAGCAAGTAGCTATCACATCTTTTGTCTTCACTTTGTCAACTGACCCATTGTATGTTGTATCTATCACAATTGGTATTGACTCCATTACAATTACAGATATGATACTGTTCTTATTACTAGATACAAATATAACTTCTGTAATCTGTGCTCCTATAGAATGTTGTTTATTTGGCTTAAAGTAATATTGCTCAAATATATCACTTGACAAATTCCAATTGACATGAAATTTAATCTCTTCTACTAGTATTTCTTGCAGTATTGCATTAGTATTTGCAGCTGATCTTGTGGAGTATGTTGTATTTTCCCTGGTATTGATTCCAGCTTCTTTTAAGATGTTAATCATCCAGTTGGCTGCTGTTGTTGAATTTATAAGAGTCCGTTTATCTAAGACAATATATTCCAAGAAAAGAGTGTGATCTATTTCTAACTTCTTTCTAGCCATAGCTGTTCTTTTCACAAACCAATTCAAGATCAAAACTGTGCAGATCTCTGAAGTGCAAATAGTTTCTAACTTTAAGAACTTGGTCTGAGCCTCTTTTGACTCCCATGCAATCAATGTAACTCCTACTAGTTCTAGTTTTTCATTGTAGTATAGTTTGACATCTCAAAACTATAGTCGGCCCATATTGGATCTAAGTTGTCATATTATCACTAAACACAAAAGCATAATGATCTTTCATTATAAATTTGCTAAAGGAAGATTTTTGCTCGGTTTCCAAGACTTCAATAGCTGTAATACTAGTTGAACATTGCATGTTTCATTGCTGATATTGGGTAATTTAAATGTTGTTCTTTTCTTTGCTTTGAAGAAGTTTTGGATCAGAAAATGATCTGCCAATAGAATTTTAGTAGGATGTGTAATGCAATATATGGATCCCAAGAATGACCTTGCTGTATTTAGTGTTTGAGATAACTGATATTTTATTGATAAAAGATATTGTACTATTTGCATTGTGTTGTATCCAACATAATCATAGATTCAAATAGAGTGCACAGACAATAAGATAAACACATATTAAAGAAGTGACCAGTATCTTTTTCTCACAGTATCATTAAATGAAGAACATACTGACAGCAAGGTCACACAACTTTGTCAACATCACTAATCACTCAAACAAGAGTGTGTATAATAACTTAACAATATATCATCTATAATATAAAAAAACAGACATCACATGATATACTTATATCATTACCTCAGATACACACACAATGTCTATATAAACTTACATAGCAAATAGCAATAGAAGATCATCTCTCTTTTCATCAATAAACAAAGTTTCACTGTACTTCTTGCCTGCACTTTGTTTTTTTTTAAAAAAAATATAACACATTAGTTGATATTCTTCTGATATAACTTCTGATGTTTGATGTGCACACCACTCAACTCATCTCTTCCATTCACTATCATATATTCTTTGTGTGCTACTTCTGATGGATTGAGAAAGAAAATTAATATTATCATTGTCTAATACATCTATCTCTTGTTTTTTGCAAATAATATCCATGCCATTAGAGGTCATGCTCAGTTTATTGGAATGTATATTGGTGAAGTAATACTCATCTGTAAAAGCATTGGCCACCAAAATTGGGTAGACCAATTTGAGGCCACTAGAATCGCTTTCTTCATCTTCTGTTTCTGGATTTGTTGCAATACTTTGAAGATCAACTTCTATGGTAGACATAAGTATAGTTCTATCTGTGACTAGTTTTGGTAGAATGTGTCTCGAGTTTCTGCTTCTGGGTCTGAAAAGAGGCTCCAAAACCTTAGTAGTTTTGTGTTGTGCTATGCTATAAAAGTGTCTATCATTATTTTCCTCTTCTATTGTTATTGAATCTGAGAGAACCATGTCCATAGTAAACTCCACTTATAAGTCTGTATTGCTTGTTAACTGAGATAATCTGCTATTATATTGTCTACTCCAGCAATGTGTCAGTATTATATAATGAGATTGTGGCTTTTGGATATCCAGTATATCTTCAGAGACAATTGCTACAGTATTGCTGACGTGGTTTCTCCTAATTTGTAGACATACTTCAGTGTTGTTATGTTGTCTGAGTATATTATTATGGTAGAGTTTTTGGATTTTCTTGTATGCAGTCATAGTGCAATCAAAATTATCTTCAGCTCTCTGACATTGATCGAATCTTCTTTTTTGTTTCTTGTCCAATATATGACTGTTTCAATCATCTGGGATGAGACTATCCAGCCCAAGTTGGATGCTTCAATATGTATTGTGAGTGTTGGTAGTGATAGTATTGGTTTTCTGATTGCCAACCCATTTGTGGCTTCTGCGTTTTTGACTCACCAGTTCAACTCCTTTTGTGCTTCCAAAGATAAAGGGCAGCTTGCTTCCCATCTTGTTGATCTCGCTTGAAATGCTTTTGATAAATCTCTCTGTATGTACTGGACGTGAAGCAGTGACTCCCCTATTGCTGGAATTATAGCCGTCATTTTTCCTATCAAGCTGGCAATCTATTGGCACGATCTCACTTGTGTGAATGCCTGTTTGACTTGGGCGTTCAAGTTTATTATTTTCTTCTTTGGAACGTTGATGTCCATAGCCTTGGTATTAAATTGAAAGCCTAGGAATTCCTGTTTGTACAAAGATATTAATACACTCTTCTGTCAGTTGATCAGATATTCTAGAGATGTTAGATGTTGGGGTACTCAAGATGAGTGCTGTTCCATCTCTGACTTGGTTTTTGCTAAAATATAAATATTATTCAGGTAATATACCAGACGTATTTCCTCCTTCTGAAGAGGTTCTATCATATATTGCATGAGCTTTGAGAATACTCTTGTGGCCACACTCATTCCAAATAATAGAGACTTGTACTGATAAACTGCAGTCTTATCAATTAAATGAAAAAACTTTAGCTTCTGGCAAAATGAAAAAATAACATCCTTAACTCTCTCTTTATTGTTTGTCTACTTTTATTTAAGAAACCACTTTTAAAAATTATTGAAATAAGAATATATAACCTTTAAATATTAAGAAAAGTAATTTTTTTGCAAGTTTAATATTTAGTAATATCACTGCAGGTTTTCTTCATACAGGCTATACAAGTTGGCATAGACATGCAGTATACAAGACATACTGCAACCAGTATTTTCTTCCATTCTTTATGGATAACCTTGTCTAGCTCCTTAATAGTTCTTGAAGCTGGTACTCTTGCCCTTATTATCCGACCCAAATGAGCTCATAGGTTCTCAATATAACTGAGATCTGAGCTATTTGGTAGTCATTCTGTTATTGGTACATTATGGATTTCTTCCAGTTCTCAACAAGTTCTGACTTATGACAAGAAGCACTGTCTTCTTAGTAAATAAACTTCCTATCATGTCTTTCACTTAGGCAACTGTAAAATGAGAGCAACTTTCTTTTCAAAAAGTTTATATAGCCAAATTGGTCTAGGCTGTTAATAATTGTTTTTAGTAAGCCTACTCCTCCTGCCTACACACAGCCCCAAACCATTACTGAACCATCTCCAAACTGTATTCTAGACATGATACAATCAGACTTGAACTTCTCCAGAGGAAAGCGCCAAATTCAAAGGTTTCTATCCTTTGAAAAAACCATAAAGTAGGACTTATTGCTCTAAATCATATGATTTCATCTTGTCAGGACTGGATTGTAATTGACACTCAAGCTCAGTATTATGCAATCATAAGGCATTGTCTTATTAAGAATGTTAATAAACAATGACTAGTAGACTAAGCAATAACAAAGAAGTAGTTGGTAACAAATCACTTAGTAATAACTACTTAGTAAATATTTGGGTGTTTCAGCAGTTTTAGATATTTAGATTTTACTTTTGCAGTGATTTAATTTATTAAATGATTGGCTCTTACTAATCTAAATTTGAGATATTTTCAATCTATAAACAACTGAGGACTACCCTTAGTTGTTTATAGAATGCAGATTTAGATTCTCTACTTTTGCCTATGAATATTTCATAAGAAAATAAAATTAAGAGCAAAAGAAAATACAAAAGCTTTCTACAGTTTTATTTTCATATCAATTATCATTGGCCCACTTATTGAGTTACCGCAAAAGTAAAATCTAAACATCTAAAACTGCTGAAACACTCTATTGTCTCTTAGTCATTCACCAATTATATAATATATCCTAAAACATATAAATATCCAAATATTCTAACAAATAAACATTATCTTTATCTTCATATTCATTCTATTCATATTCTCTTGTGGTGATCCAGACACTTGGTTGTTGGATTTATTACATCTAAGAACATATTCCTATTATTATAGTAAAACAGCTATCATTACAAGAACAAATGAATAATTTATTTATTTTACTTATAGTAAATCAATAAGACCAATAATTAATTACAGTAAGTACTGTAATTATGACAGCTCAGTAAGCACTGAGTTAATATGAGGACACTGCAATTAGATTAAATTATAAACATAGCAGTATCAGCTCTCTAATATCTAAATGAACTCAGACTTAAGAAATTAAGATGTGACTGACAAAGCAGATCGTGTTTTGATATAAAAAGGACAACTTTATATTCTTTAATAAAGACAACCTATATACAGTCTCAAAGTATTCTTATATACGTCTCAATCTTTTTACTGTTGATTTTATTCTATAAAACTTCACATCTCTTATTATGTGACTTTTTGCACATTACAATCTTTGATTGATTTCTTTACAACATTTAGCAAACAACAATCATTTGTTTACATGTGTTCTGGATAGCTTTGTCTTAAACACAGAATGACAAGAAGACATTCCAATCTTACAAATAGCTTTGCAAATGATATTCTTAGAAATGTACTTGCCAATCATAAGTCTTATAGCGTTTGTGAGTTCTTTATGTGTGGCATTAGTATCTTTCTTCATTTTGTTTTTAAGCTGGCATATATCTCTCTCATCCGAAATTGATAGACGTTCTTAATATTTTTTTGTTAATAGCGTATCATTCTGTTTCCATCTTTGAACTGTGCTATATACAGCTTTTATAAATATGTCTGTCTTCTCTGAAATGACAGTCAATGAAATATTATGGAGAGCACCACCAATAATAAGTTTTTTTTTCATAATCTGAAAGCTCTTTTCGCTTCTTAGGAATACTTTTATTGATTTGCTGAGACATTGTGAGATTTGAATGAGAAAAGTTTTTTTAAAAAACACAACAACTTTGTATTAAAGATGTTCTATTTAGTTGAGTTTAAACTTTTTTCTTTCACTTATTGTATGAGTCTGTATATTCTTATGCTTAAACGTGAGGAATCGTCTGGATTCCTTGTGTATTGGTATAGAAATTTATGCATCTTTTAGGTATATCTTGGTCATCAAGTCTCCTGGCTCTATTATGTCTCTCAGGTCAGGTACATCTTCTATCTTGAAGTGGTAACACTGGATAAACTGGTTGATCCTCTTGCAGTTCAGGATTGGTCTGCATTAGATTGCTTTCCTGACAATAAAAAATTGAGATAGGTAATCCTCATTCTATGTCAGTGATATTTCTATCACATTGAAGACCTTGAATTTCTCTACTGCCAAATCTACTTCTTTCTGATCTTTGGATGGTAATGACAGTGTTTTGGTTTTCCAAGCAATGGGGGGTGATGTCTATTATATCTGGTAACCTTGTTCCACTACCATTATTGGTCATTGTTGGTTGCTGACTTTCTTCCAGACGGATAGAAATCTGTCCAATCGTTCTTCTGGAGGAATTCCATCTGTTAGTATGTTGTAGTGGTGTTGTGTAACTGAGATTAAGTTTAACGGGTCTTGTGAGACTGATACTGATGTGCTCTGATTTATTTCTGGCAAATTCATTAAATAATCTAGCTGTAATACTAGATGATCTTTCTTTATTACTGGTTGAGAGGATTGTTATTTGTTGATGGGCTCAGATGAGTGTTGAATTGACGCGTGTTGAGTTTGTTGTGTGTGAAACTTGGTCCGAAATAAGAATGGAAGAGTATTGAAGAAGAATTAAAAATGTAATTCTGGAGTACAAGTTTGGTGGGAAAGGAAATAATAGAGGGAAAGATGAATATAGAAAAGATACAGGGTATTTAGAAGGGCGATTGAATATTCAACTTTACTCAGGACAGTTGAGAATAGAAAAGAAGTAGAAGTGTTAAGATAGAAGGTGAAGGAAGATATAGAAACACTGTTGATTTCACTCGGGGCAATCCAGACAGGTAAAACAGCAATGCACAAGAAGGTAAAGTAGAAGAAGAAAATAAAAATACTGCTGATTTCACTCAGGACAATCAAGACAGATAGACAGCAAGGTATGAGAAAGTGAAGTAGAAGAGAAGGTAAGAAGACACTGTTGATTTCACTCAGAAAAATCACACAGATACAAAGGAACAGAAAGAAGAAAAAGGGAAAGAGGATTTTAAACAGAGATGTAAGTCTTTAATGTGATGTATGATTGCTTTCCTATGGGTCAGACAGAAAGCAATTCAGGGACAGTGATTTTAAGAGAGAGATAACTGATGATGTGTTTTGTTTGTAAAATAAATTTCTTATATACCTTTTGTAAAATAAAAAATATGAGAATAAAATGTTTAGAGATTGTAGATGTGACTTATAGCATGAGAGGAGATGTTATGTAAAGGCGAGTATATGTCAATTTCAAGAGAAAGAGTGGGATAATGTTTGTGTTTTTGGTAAAATGTAAAAGGTAAGATGTTAGAATACAATAAAAATAGTAATAAAAGAGTAATAAAGATGAGATACAAAATGATAAATTAATAGCAGTAATATTGAAAGATAAGTAGTGTAAGCAAAAGGAAACTGAAAACTGGAAAAAGAAATGGGAAGATGTATGTAAAAAGAGCAAAAGTGCTCTTCAGCAATCTCAGTATAATTATTTTGGTTATAAAAAAAAATGGGAAATTACAAATAAAGTAGAGAGACTGCTTTTTATAGTAATTGTAATACACAGCCATAGATTTTGTTCCAAAATTTGATGCTAATTATATGATTTAATTGGTGAAAAACTTTGGGAAACTACTTAGTAAAACTTTATTGAAAAAATGCTGATATAATTAGAAATGATAGGACTAATTGCAGTCTGCTAAAATAGCTATTCATTTTTGGTGACTTTCTTTAATAAATTTCTTTATATATCTTTTATCTTTGTTCTTATAATATTTGCATAGAAGTTTCTTTTTTTTAAGAAGCCTATAATATTGAGCATATTTTTATCTTTACTAAAGTTAATTTCAGATAGTAAGCAAAGGTATTGTTGTTTATATTCAATATTTTAAAAGTAAAAAGGAGTGAAAAGAGTTGAGTATAAAAAATAAAATTTTTAGAAGACATTTTAGCAAAACCATAGTTTAAAGTTATTTTTATTATTTTAGCACCACTTTAAGTTATATCAAGTAGTTTCCCCTGCAAATTCGCATGTAAAACTACTTGGTAGAATTAACAATTTTCAGAAAGTAATTAATGATTTTTTGGTGTATAATAAAGAAGGTGTCGAGTTGAGATAAATCCAAGATTACCAAAAAAAATATTAGTAAAACCCAGTCAAAAATAAAAAATTCTGACAGCTTTTATGAAAATTTATCCATTGGCAAAAATCTCTGGATTCAGACCTTTCTCTCTTGTTCTTACTTTGTTAAACAAACTATTAAACTCATATATATATCTTTATAATGCTTATTATCAATGCTGCAGCTGCTGCCTTCCTATTTTTTACAGCAATAAAGTTTCTGGCAGCAAAAGAAAGAGAGCTATATACAGGCGTTTGGATCTTGCAAAATATGCTGATCCCAGATGTAAAGATGAGTTTTGCTTTACTTTGCAGGAGGTATTTTACTCTTTATAAGTCTGTTTCTGTGTTATAAGAAACATGAAATAATATATTTTTATATAAGATAAGACGTATGTGTATTGCCATTGAGGTATTCGGGATTGTTTATGGGTTAGTATCTCAATAATGGGAAAAGTAGATACTGTGAGAGTGTTATTTATTAAAGAGACAAAATAATATTGTTTATATCTGCTACTATTCAAATCCCTGTAATTCAAATCCCTGTTGTGTAATGGTTGGTTTACACTGTATGAGTGTGTAGTGTACGTGTGCCTGGTGTGTAACAGTTCCGGAGATTGTTAACTTGCCAGGTTCATTAGCAAGAAGGAACCAGTGTTTGGTTGTGGGGTCTGTTCTTCACTCAATTGTGGTGTGTATACCACAGCCATGAAGCTCCCTTCTACTCTGAGCCTCAGACGTTCTGATATATATGATATTTGCATGTCACGCAAGTTTGCTTTTGCTTTTGTACTATATTGATATGCCTTTTCACACCAATATTCTAGTATAGAAACCATATGGGGAATGTCATGAAAGAATTTGGCATGTATTGTAAACGATTTGCAGAAACAATTTACAAAAAAAGTAAGTATACACTATTTAATACTCTTATATAAGTATTTAACAGACTTTTGATTAATATATATATATATATCTTTGTAGACAATGTATATAATCGAATTATTGGTTTTGTAGATGGAACAATGCAAAAGATTGCTCGCCCTAATGTTAACAATGAGCAAAGACTTGCTTACAATGGATGGAAAGTGAGTGAAATATCTAAATACTTAATTAAAGCATGAATTTATATAGTAAAGTACTAATATATATTTGTGCTTAATTTGCGGCTTAAATAGCATATTCATTGTCTTAAATATCAGACAATTGTAACACCTGATGGTATAAGCAGCAGCTTTATTGGTCCTTTCCCTGGCTCCACTCATGATGTAAAGATATTTGATGACTCTAAAACACTAGAGCGTCTCATCTTTTAACTGGGTGTGATAAGTTCAACAAACAGTGTTTACCCACCATATAGTATTTATGGTGACCAGGCATACAGAAGATCACTGTTTGTTTACAAGCCATTCACAATATATGAGATAGAAAAACATCATAAGTTATTTGATAAGCTCATTTTTCGTTCGTAAATCCCAAATTTTAACAGATATATTATATGTAGCTAGTTTAAAAGAAATCAATAAGGAAATGTCACACACCAGAGTACAGGTGAAAATGGAATTCGGAAAAGTTAGACAGTATTTTAAATACTCTACATACTATTATTCTATGAAAGCCAAAGGAAACATAAAACTAGCAATGGTTTACATTCTTTTGACTCTTTTTAAAAATATGCACACATGCATAAACGGTTCAGCAACAACCGCAATTTTTGGCTTGGCTTCACCAACAATTAAAGATTATATTGATAGATTAATGCGCAAACAACATGTGGTGATTCAGACACTCGGATGTTGGATTTATCACATATAAGAACATATTCATATTGGGATAGCATAGTAGCTATTATTTTGTTAGTATAAAATTTATATAAACGATTAAGTAATCAGCCCAATAATTATTATAGTTAGTACTGTAGATAATATCTTAAAGATTGTTAAGATAATTATATTATACTGCTGGGTAAACTGTGTCAGATCGATATGGAGCTAATTTAGTAGGAAGTCCTAAAGCTCTAGTATAAAAGAGAAAAGAATAGCTAAGAACTAAAGAAGTACGATTTATGACTTGATGTCATAATTGTAACACTGACACTAGTTAAGCAGTAAATACACTCTAATAGCCAAATATAGTAAAGGAAGAAAGCCTTAAGAAACTAAGACGTAATGACAAGAGCAGATTGTGTTTTCTTATAAAAAGAGACACTTTTTATTTATGAATAAAGACAACTGATATACAGTCTCAAAGTATTTCTATACGTCTCTATTATTAAATATTTTATTTTTCTATTGTTTTGTACCTGAAATACCACACAACAGTTAAGAGATACTATTGATAATATAAGTGCTATTATAAACAATTTGTCTAACTTAGTTCAGTCTTGCGATAATGCTAATAAAGATCCCATATAAGAATGAAAGAAATTATTAATTGAAATTTCAATAGATATTATATGGTAAGTTTTATTGTTGTCTTTCTAATCTCTTCTTGAGAGCAGAAACAGATCTGGCAATTTGTTGTAAAAGTGGAAGAGCATTATTATAAAAATTCTCTTGCTTTTTTATATGCAAGAATTGCTCATCAAATTGTTTTTCTTGCTTCTCCAAAATCCCAAGAATCTTTTTTTTATGACATTGTCAATATTATCATCATTTTTACTGATATGATTCATGTCATTTCCAGTCTTCTCTGTCTCATCAGCTTCAACGTTCTTGTTATCTGTGGAACAGGAACTCTCTTCATTTTCCCTTATTGTTCTCTTTGGTTCATAAAGAACTGTTTCCAAAGACTCATCTCCTGTTGTCTTGTCCAATTTTTCTTTTGCAAGCTTTGTTGCATTTTCAACTATCTTTTTTTCTTCATAGTCTTCCTCCTTTAAAAATGTGTTATGTTAATAAATCTATCTTTTTTCTTTTATAGATCTGAGACAATTACTTCTTTTATTGCCTGGTATATAGCTCTACCAAGTGCTGTCTCCATCATCAAAGAAATTTGAGCCTCTCTCTCATCTTCTGAAAGTCATAGTGCTGGCTGGTGTTTATGAAAGAGTTCTTTCTTTTTGTTTTGAACACACGTTTTCTTAACCCATTTTGTTTATTAGAATGGACAGCATTAACAGCGTCAATAATGCTATTCCATACACTTTTCTTGCTTTTATGAGGCTGTGAATAAGAATGATATTCATAATAAGCCTGCATCAATACCAGCTCTCTTTCAGTGTCCCATTTCCCCCAACTTGAAACTTTGAGTAACATAAATTTTATCAAGTAAATACAATTAGTTTCTTGGAATATTTTTAGGCTTAATAATATTATTTGTTGAATAAATATATGTCAAGAAGTCAATGATATTATGATTCTTTGTAGCATTTATACTCTGAATGAATTGTCTGCACTTCATGTTTGGATAAGTGAGATTTTTAAATATGTTAAGTGTCAAGAAAGATGAACAGCAAATCATAATAAATTTAGAATCATTCTTTTAATAAGTTTTTTTTTGTATTGTTTATTTCTTTTAATAAAAATGTTCTGTAGGGGGCTGGTTTATTAATTACGTATACATAATAGACTCCTGACTATCATATATTTTGTTTTGAAGTAGGGGAGATAAGCTCAAATTTTACTAGAAATTAAGTGAGCATTTGGAGTCAAAAATCAGGGAATCCCTGATTTTTGACTTCAAATGCTCACTAAATTGCCTTAACCCTCAAATTTGCAGAATAAACATTGGAAATTAATTCGCCATTTAAAATAAAAATTAGTAAACACAACGGGAGATTTTTCTAGTGTTACAAATGACTGTTTTGTATGACAGTGGCTCGATTTTCTTTTTTGGATTTACTATTTTTGAAGCTTCACGATTTTAAAAATAGACTAAATTTGAAAAATAGAATGCTGACAAAAAAAAATTTTCGGTTTGAAAAAAATATCTTTATTTTATTTTGTGGGTTGAAAATATGGGGGTCATAAAATACTAGGCTACCAGTACCAGCCTAGTACTGACTGCTATTGCAGAGTAGACAGGAGCTGCTGGTACTGGTAGCTATTACTATAAATAAAAAGCTAGCTAGCTACTTCAATACAATTTACAAAATAAAAAAGCTATGGATAGAATCTTTCCATTTCATTGACCTTAAAGTGTTTCAAATCTATATAGACGACAAGAATAATTAGTGGCTGCAATCTTTATGAGTTGTTTCCAATAACTTACCTTTGATAATGATGATAATGAATAAACCTAGAGTAAGACATAAATTTGTTTTTGTTAATATTCATATTGTATAGACTACTCTTAATGTCAACACACATACCTTTATAAGCTTAAAAAATTGTTGGATCTTATACTATTTTGAGATTAAATGTGATTAGTAAATGCCAATTAAAATAAATGATACTTTATATTAGTTTTTTAGAAGCTGTCATATATATCATACCTTAGATTTTTGCAAGAAGAACATGTTATTGTATACTAGCATTAAAAGTTTGATTAGTAACTTGATCGTGTTAAAAAAATACAGAGTAAAGAATGTTTTGGTTTATTTTTTTATTTTTTCTTGGTTTTTTAAAATCTAAGCAAAATAATGCAATTTAATTGATTTGTTCATAAAATAGGCACGTTGTAACTTGAACAAAATTAAGAGGTACACATTAATTCTATCTATCTTTTTGTTTTTACTTTCTTTATATTACAAACAACAATGAACAGAGTAACAAAAAAACTTGCTCCAGGAAGAGTATCAGTACCTAATCTGAGAATTCTGGGCCAACTCAACTTCAGTCTTGTTGACATTAGCAAGTCTTGCTCACTTTGTGAGAAGTCCTTTAAAGATCACTGGAATCTTAAAAGACATTTGCAAAGATGTCATAACATAACGAAAACAGTTGCAGATGATATGAGCATAGTCCAGGAGACCAAATATCAAGATATACAGATGAGCGACAGCCCAAAAAATTCGCTTACACCAAGTGAAAGTGTGGAAGAGGAATCAGACGTTGATAATGAATACTACAACAGTATCTTAAATTATGACAAGTGTGAAGAAAGTGATGATGGAAGTAGAGTTGACAATAGTGATTTTGATGTTGAGGAAGACACAGAGCCAAACGCAGGCATTTCTCTGTTTAATCACATCTTGAACAACATGTCTGCTTTTGCCAATAACAACGAATCTTCAATTGATGAAGAGGATGAATTCCGGAGTGAAGTGTTTAACTCTACAGTCTGAAACAGATTTACACCATATACTTATCCATTTAAAGATATCTAGACGATTATTTTGCTCGCACTTGTTGATGGTGATAACAACATGATTTCTCATAGAATGTTAAAGAAGATATTATTTACTATTAATCTTCTTCTAAAGATCCACGAAGAAGCTATTAGAAAAGATATTTCTTTCAAGTTGCCCTGGTTAGATACACTCTGGAATTACCAGACACAAAAAGAATCGAATATCCTAATTTTCAAATCGAAAATTTTAGATGTTACTCTCTCTGACAGCACAAAAGTCACTGCATTCCTTAACTTGCCTTCCAAGCACATCAAACTCCTTGCTGCCGATCCTATAAAGTCAAAATCAATCTTTTCTTTACCTGATTGCACGCCAAATCAATCTGTCTGTCTTCAACAAGGAGAAAAATGGAGAACAAATCTATACTTCTAACAGCCCATGTTTACCCACAACAATGTTGATTTCTAGTCTGGTGACATTGTTCTGTTAAAAGATTGCTTGTCTAACATTTGCTTTCTGGTGAAATCTTTCCATATAATAGATACATCTAATGCTTTCTCTCGTGGATATATTGTTTGAACTCCAAAAGATGGTTGTAGCATTGACATCGAAATCAATCATACCAACATAAATATTGAATCATTTCTCTCTGTCGACACAACCCCATTAAATACCTCCTTATGTTGCAGCATCTCTCCTGACATAATTATCTCGCTCATTCCAACTCATTGTAAATTACTTGAAGAACATTTTCTGAAGAGGCTTATATGCGACGGAACTGATCAAGAAAACAACTGAAGAAAATATTACAAGGTAAAGATTGCACCTGTAATTCTTTTCTTGGATGATACTTCTGGAAACACCTCTAAGCAATTTAATCCATATGAGAGCTGGTCAATGAAATGTGCAGCCCTCTCTTTTGAGGAAAGGTGCTCCATAGAGAATATCTTATTTATATCAGCAATTCCAAAGAAGAAAGATGCAAACGCTGTCGTGTTGTTACCTGAAATTGTTGATGATTTGAAGAAGCTAGAAAACGGCATGGTAATGTTCTCTGCAGAAGATAATGCATATGTTCTTGTGGTATCTCCTTTACTTTAGATTGAGGCAGATACACCTTGTCACTCAGAGCTTTGTGGTTTAGGTGCACCCAACTCAACTTACCCTTGTAGAAAGTACTACATTAAATTGCAAAGTCAAATCCCCAAGTTGAACAAAGTTGAATACTATACTAACAGGCATCCAACAAGAACCAAGGATCATTATATCCAGGCCGCTTCTATATCAGACAGAGATACAGTGATCCCTGATATTCCTTACTTTGACAGCAAAAATACAGCAGAAGAGTTAAGTCTTAAAAACAAGTCAACAGACAAACTGCTAGAACTTAAAGCATATGACCAGTCAAAAGACACTCCTGCTGAAATATTGCACTACATTCTCCTTGGCATTGCAAAGTATCTTATTACCAATCTGGTTAAAGTTGTCTTGAACAAAAACAAAAAAGAACTAGAAGAACTGTTTGATTATGTTAAAGACTACACAAATTCCAGAGACATATCAAGAGCGTTTACAAGGTCTCTCACTCATGCTGGTTCATTTCTTAGTAGAGACTTCAAGGTACTAATCCAAATACTTCCGGCAATCCTGGCCATAAAGTTTGCAGATACAGAAGTATTACAGGAAATCACTCCCCTCTTTGTTCGTCTCGGCCGTCTATGCTCTCTAGTATTTGTTCGATCTATTGACAGTCAATATGAGACATATATCAGTGAAGTAGACTCTGCCATTAGAAGTCTAATTGAAGCCCTACACAAATACGACACTAACTGTAAATATAAAAAACATGCATTCTATACGTCCAAGTCAAAAGTCCATCTGTTGACCTATCTACCTGAAGATTTATGAAGATTTGGGTCTGCTCTCAACTACAAGACCGAAAAGGGAGAGCAGTTCAACAAGCACATTTGTGAACACTTATTTCATACAAACCATATAAACACATCGAAAGATATATGTCTCAAATTTGGTAAACAATATATGACAAGACATATTATTGATGGTGGTTCATGGATAGGCAAGAATGGTTTAAGGGAAACCCGTGGAAAAGCTATTGCAGAATACATGCAGCAAAACTCTGATGGGAAATTCCATGAAACTTTGCTCGGTGGGTCCAGAGAATTTGCAGACAACAATGGTACAGGTTTGACCCCTGGAAGGATATTAAAAGACAATACATTTTCTCTATTTAGACAAAGCAATGGACATATCATTATTGGAATAGTGCTTTTTTCTAAAGTATACCATTTGTATATCGAATATCTATCCGCACATGCTGTTAACAACAATTATCATCTAGCACTCAAATGTGCTGATGATATATACATGCCACTAGATGAATTGAAGATTGTTTGTCTATTAGACATGCATCTGAAAGTTAGCTGTAAATATGTTGTTAACCTCAACAAATTTGGTTCATACTAGTCCTTCCTTTATTCCTTTTATTAATTTTTTATATTTTTTTTTATCTCAATAAAACATTCTAATTTCTTTAAGTCATTTTTTAGTTCTCTTCTGTTACACTAGAAATACATTTGTAGATGTCTGTATTGCAAGCATTCCCTTATAAAAAACACAAGTTTTGATTTATAAGTATAAAAGAAAATTACACAAGTGATATATTTAGTAAGCAAATAAGATAACAGATGCGTTTTCAATTTCCTAATTTGATATCAAATTTCATCCATGGTGAACATTTGCGATTTGAGCACGAAGACACCTTATCTAATTACTATATTTAGATAAAACTTTTCTTTATCACATAATTATTTTGGTTATAAGAAAAAAACGGGAAATTGCAAATAAAGTAGAGAGACTGCTTTTTATAGTAATTGTGATACACAGCCATAGATTTTGTTCCAAACTTTGATGCTAATTATATGATTTAATTGGTGAAAAACTTTGGGAAACTACTTAGTAAAATTTTATTGAAAAAATGCTGATATAATTAGGAATGATAGGACTAATTGCAGCCTGCTAAAATAGCTATTCATTTTTGGTGGCTATCTTTAATAAATCTCTTTGTATATCTTTTATCTTTGTTCTTGTAATATTTGCATAGAAGTTTCTTTTTTTTTAAGAAGCCTATTGTTGTGAATGAGTATTGATTACTGCTGAATCTGAGAGTAAGACTGAAGGATAAAATAATATCCTCAGCTATTCCAGTCCAACGGATCTCCCTTTATGATATTATCTAATACACAGATCATCATACACATAATTGATTATTTATTATTATCACCATGACATGGGATATACAAATACATATACATTATATATATGGCATCATTATATTTCATCTACATATTTCTTTTATTATACAAATACTTAATTGAGAGACTACAACTACAACTATCTAATATTATGAAACATTACCTGAGTATCTGGGTCGGAATACTAAAATATTACCAATAGCATAAATGCTCTTCTTTACCAAAACTCTTGGACTGATCTGACTGGAGAAGTATCATATCAATTGGTCTTTCCGGATCTTTCCAGAAGAACAATACTCCTGGAAGATGACTCATTGTGATAAAGATTACTTAAGCACACACTGAATTACAAATTAGAAAAACATATAAATATCAGTAGATAGTTCCATGTAGAAAGACAATCGAATTTTATCATTCTTTACTTTTCTTTGGAAATAAACAACCTACACAAGTTCTCACGAATTCTTTCGTCTATATTATATTTTGCTTTATTTTCTCCCCACAACACCTATAATATTAAGCATATTTTTATCTTTACTAAAGTTAATTTCAGATAGTAAGCAAAAGTATTGTTGTTTATTTTCAATATTTTAAAAGTAAAAAGGAGTGAAAAGAGTAGAGCATAAAAAATGAAATTTTTAGAAGACATTTTAGCAAAACCGTAATTTAAAGTTATTTTTATTATTTTAGCGCCGCTTCGAGTTATACCGAGTAGTTTCCCCTGCAAATTTGCATGTAAAACTACTTGGTAGAATTAACAATTTTCAGAAAGTAATTCATGATTTTTTGGTGTATAATTACTATATTTAGATAAAACTTTTCTTTATCACATAATTTTGAATTATACCAAGACCGCTGAAGAGCACCTTAAAGATGCCAAAAGAAGAATATGCGCGGGAGATGAAATGGAAGTGATAATAAAGGTAAAAGTATGTGTAAAAATGTGATTATGGAAGAATGTGATAATATGTAGAAGTGGTGAACGAGAAAAATAGGAAGGGAAACGATCGGAAAAGAAGGAAATAAATCAGGGTGGGCGAAGCTGGAGAACACACAACACCCATGTCAGAATCCTGATGGATTCGATTTTCCTCTCCCAAAAAAAAGGTTTTTGTGTGTAAGCTGACTGTCCTCTACTAAAGAAGTTGCCTCTACGGTCTCTTCCTCTGCCTCTATGACCTCCATTGGAGTACTATCCAGTTGAATATGCTCCTCTCTTGTTACTGACAGCACTCTGGTGGACAGACTCTTCATATCTTGCTTGTTGGATTTTCTCCACCCACTCCTGATCGAAGGCCATGTCTTTGTCGTTGTCATCTTCATCTTCGCGATATCTTGCTCTTGTGGGGAGCTTGATTGCTCGGATGCTGAGTTCTTTGGAATCTTCGTCCAGCGTTTTTCCGCTTGCAAACGCATAGACAGCCAAACGCCTTACTTTTTCGATGAGTTCATCGAAATCGGATGCGTCTTTGTTACTGTTTTGTTGTGATTTAATATACTTGAGGTCGTTGAAGTCTTCACTTGCTGCTCTTCCTGCAATTCGAAGTTTGTCGCCATCTTTGTATTTGCCTTGTACAATCTGATGGGCATCCATGGTGTATTTCTTGAGGTCAGGGACGAAGATCTGGTTGATCGCTCCTGACTTTGTCCATTTTCCACCCTCAAATTGGAGGGTGTCTTTTGTGCATCGAATAATGTTCGACTTGAGACCTTTCGCTGAAGGCTCGTCAAAATCTTTGAGGATTTCTTCTGGGAGGTTATTTCAGTCATAATCTCGTTATCTCTGTTGTGTCTGCTGTCCAAGCTTAATAAGCTCGAGGATTTGTTTGGGTGAGAGTTCATTGATATTAATTTAATCCATGGTGTGCGGCTTGGAAGGATATGAGGAACAAGGGGAATGATAACTTAATTAATTTATATATTTTCAAAAAATAAAAGCGCGGCTCGGAGAGCCTATACCACATCTGTAGTCGTAACGGAGTCAACACCAATTGTGTTAGGTACGACATACAATCACTTCTTTTCATTTGTTTTGTTTTAAGAGGGTATATTAAGAGATCCCTGAGTAAGAATGAAAAAACGAGAGCTACACTTAGTTACGACTATACTTGACAGCCCTGAATAGAAAGCCAAAAACTGCTCAACTTAACGTCCATACTATCCCTGTGAGCAGTATCAACGAAACCAACAAAGACAGCCTCTACCAGCCATATACCAGTGCACATTACACCTCCCCACAAACACCTATTAACATATTACCCTATTCTTTTCCATTATCTAGCCGGACTACCCCAAATATATCGCTCTTGAAGTCCTTGATACAACATTCTTACCCAATATTACAGTTCATATTAAAAAAATAGGATAGACTAATTGTTAACCACTACAATATTAATGACAGATATTATGTATGTTTATTCTTCATCTTCGTCACTAGAAAATCGTCTACGTTTTGGTCTTCGAATCGTCACTGTCTCGTCTTCTTCTTCTTCTTCTTCTTCCCCATCCTCTACCTGATCTTCCTCGTATCCCAAATCTTCCTCTTCCTCTTCCTCTTCTTCTTCCTCTTCATCACTATAACCACGTTTATATTTATTTGTTGATCCTCGTTTTGCTTGGGAAAGTCTCTGCTCTCTAGATTTTTCTTCGTCTTCATCATACTCTTCATCATTCACAAAATCCTCTTCATAAGCATCTTGGTGGTTTACACGACTCCTGGAACCGTAAGATATTTCTTCATGACCATACTCGCGTGTATTTGAGTGACTGCCATAACGCACATCTGTCTTTTTGCGCTGATTCTCTAATTTTTTTTGTGCACGCAGGCGCTCACTCTCTTTAAGTTCCAGCTCTTGCTTGAGTTTTTCGGGATCTTTTTCAGTAAAGAACATTTTGGTTTTGATTTTCTTGACATGCTTGTTCGCAATTTGGGCTGTTAGATGACGATGGGTTTCACTTTTGAGATCTGAGGGTCTAAATGTCATGTGGTCTGTGATCTCTGTATGACTCTCCAATGCACCCAGCTGCTTATGTTGCGCAAGCATGTAGACATGTTCTTGTGGAGCTGCAACTTTTTGAGTTGCATCAAAGCATTCATTTCCAACCATTAATGACATTGTACCATCCTCCCACTCAACCAAGTGAGAATTTGATTGTATTTCCTAGAATATAGATATATATATATATTCAAAAATTTAAGTTTTGCATCATATATTTAAATTTTTTGTTTTTTATTCTTACATGGTCATTTTTATCATTCATAACCTTGCGCCATCGTATTGTACTTTCTACTTGTTGACGAACTACTTCATGACATTGTGCATCTGTTAAGCCTTCTTCGGTTTGTATCTCAAAAGATTCAGGTTTGAACCGGTTTCTGTCGATATCAAGAAACTTTGGCAGTTTTGTCCAGTAGAACTGCTTACAGATATATATCAATATCAATCAGTCAAGTGAATCCTTCTCACCTTTCCATCATCGCTCTGGGGTAATGGAAGGGCTGGCATTTCAAGGGATATTTCAATACGCTTTCTATGAGAGTCTTCGTCGTCGTCTTCATTGTCGTATTGGCGTTGATATTTTGGACTAGCAGATCTTTCTTCTTCACTTTCATAATGAGTATAACTACAAAGATATTAGAGCCGTTCATCCAAGCATTAAAGTGTACCTCTTAGTCCGCCTCGGAGATTGGGGTTTTATTATTGGTGTATCTTCTTCGTCACTTCCAAAAAGATCATCTGTGCCAGAGATCTCTTCTTCTTGATCGCGAACATTAGACTGAGGTGTTAATGCCTTTGGCTCTCTTCTTGAAGCATGTGAAGATTGGGACCGTCCATCATCAATATCAGATGCTTCATCATCGGATCCGAACAAGCCATCGAAGTTGTGATCGTCAGAGCCGGTTGGTGTGTCGTTATCGTAAGCCATAATTTAAGCAGACAGACTATCAAAAGAGTATGCAAAGGATGGACTTGTACTTGGACTGCGTCACCGACTTGTCGCACATTTAAAACGAATTTTAAAAAATATGGTAAATATCGATGCTTCAATAAGACAGTAGCACTAAATGTGCAGCAAGATCAAGCAGTCACATGTCTCTTTCATAAACTACAGTGTTTCTACATAAGATTGAGACATCTTAGAAAATGTTTTAGACGAATCAAAATGTAATTTTAGACAATATGCTTACTTTTTGTGGACGAAACGAGTGAAATTTAGACAAAGAGGAATTAGTTTTCAAACAAAGTAGACATCTATTCAGACATTAGATAGTTGCTTTTCACCAGCGTACGAGGGAATCATCAAGGGAATTGAAAGAATAATTACTTTTTTATGTTAATTTATTCGATTCCGAATGGATATACATGTCAATTACCTTGACAATTACATGTTGTTTTGACCATGAAATTGTTTAGGGAATCTATAAACTTTTTAAAATAAGGACTTTATTTACAAAAAAAAGATGGACTAAATAACCATACTTTATAAAGCTAATTTTCTATAGCCAATATGAAACAAGCTATTAACAAAAAAAATGAACAAGGTATTTTAGTAAAGAATTAAAAAACACATGCTGAATAACAATCAGGATCTTATGTGAGGTGATTCAATTTCCTCGTACGCTGGTGGATAGCATTGGCCACTAACAATGAAACAGAGATTGGCATTAGAAAGAACTGTTTGGCAACATGATCTGGACAGAAGGGTATTATGCAGATGTATTGACTTACAACTCTATCATAAAACCGTTTGACAGTTTTGAACCCGCTTATACCGCAGAAGACCTAAATGATGTTTTGTGGATTGAGAATATATCAAGCTTCTTTGCGACAGCCGTTGGGCCTGTTAGAGCAATACTTTTTACTACATCAAAAAGAGAGGTCTATGCCTGCTTCCAAAATTGACGAATGACAGAAAAAAAGTGTGACACTTGTTCCAAGGCAACAAGACTAGCAAAAAAAGAAATAAAAGGATACGCTGAAGAATTGGTCCAGCATTTACTTTCAGGTAAATCGACTACCAAAACTGTATTATCATCCAAATTTGTGGCCTATATTCAATATGCACGCAATAATATACAACAACAAAAGAATGGTTTTCATTCTAAAGATATGTGTAACTGTCAATTCTATCTTTATCAAGATCATCAACGTGCTATGGATGAGATAACGAATGTACTTGTAAATAATGGAAAAAATACAACAGGAAAGATATGAAGCGCATTAAAAAGAATAGAAAGCGTAGAAAGAAGAAAAACAAAAAAGGAAATAAGGGAAAAGAGTAAGTGTAGTATTATGCCCCTGCTACACACCAGTTATTTTCGAAACCACATCATATATATCTCCTATTGGCTTTTGGGGACAATGAAAGATCAGTAATTAGTCTACCAAGATTTCAATCGTTGCCTTTTAAGAAGGCATGAAAAATAAATATACATCAAGAATTAAAGGCCCTAAAGTGGGCTTACTGAAAGTTTTATACCGTTTAGTGAAGAGACAATAAAAATAAGGAATGTTGTGGATAGACTATGTTAATGAATTCAGAACATCAAATGTAAAGCGAAACATATTGACAATTATTATAAGCAATAACAATTGCAATCAGGCTTATCACTTATGCAAAGAAGTATAAACGACGTTCGCATACGAATGTTTCTTCAGTAACTAAACTTTTCAAATATGTGGGATTATGGGAAACCGTGATATCAACGCGGTAGAAAACATTGTAGATATCGTTCACCAACCCACCCAAAATGGCACCTGTCTCATACACAGCTTTCTTCAGCTTCGATTGAGAGATTAAGATCTCTACAGGTATATGCTTGGAAACTATTTTGACCATCTGAAAACTAACTCTATTTTCTTAATTCCTTTTACTCTTTGTCCAAATTTCATTTTCGTTTTATCCGCAAAGGCTAAGATAAACATCTGAAAATTAATTTTGATTCGTCTAAAAAAAATCGTAATGTGTCTCAATTTGAAGTAGAAACACTAAGTTGTGAAGATCTTTATAGACCTTATTACTAAAAAAAAATTACAAAAATTAAAGTAGAAAGCTGCTAGTTTTGTCTTCATCAGCCTGTTAGAGAAATCAGATCATTACCATTAACCTTAAAAAGAAGTTCTCTGTAGGATAGTGAATAATATACTCTTATAAAAACAATATTTTCTAATCTACACCATATTATTTTCAAAACACATTTTATGATTTGTGGCTGCTAGAAGCTGGTGCAATTTAAATAACATCAGCAAATTTACATTATGTTGCCTGTAAATTGAAACGTAATCACTGTATAGGCTCTGACTATTTAACGACTCGTAGGATAAAGGTTAATTAATCAGATTGATTTAAGGAGAAAAAGATGCGTAATTGAAAAGCTTATTCAATTTTTCACCCTTAAACTGTAAACACTTTACCTAAAAATTACTTCCTTGGCTGCAAAATCTTCCACGGATACCGAATAGGAATTTCATGTTACAAGAAAATGTCAGCTGTCATAATGGCTCATATTTAAAACGGTGCAAATATAGTCTCAGAAACCAGGGCTTTGACAAGTAGCAAGCACAAAGTCCGGATCTCAACCCCAAGGAACATGTCCGGCTGGCTTTTGAGACCAGGATGAGTTACGAAAAGTCTAATGTAAAGGATGTTGCTAATTTGAAATATATAATTTAACAAAAATGGAAGGAGATGGGGATAAAATATGCGTCACGTTTGGTAGACAAGATACAGCATCGATACCAGTCTGCAATCGATATCAAATTCCAATTTATCCCAAGAGGGATCACACCAAGTATTAGCCTTTATATATATATCAATAATAAACATGAATATAAAAGCATCTTCAGCAGTCGGCTAACTTTTATTTTATCTGGGATCAAAAATTGTCACTTTTACATAAAAAAAAGCCACTCTACCCAGCAATTTAATTTTTCTAACTTTTAAATAAATTTTGAGAGTGCTTTCAGCTAGAACTTTTAAATCCCTGTCAAATATAGCAGCTAGATAAAATTTAGGACCATAAATTTTTCATAAAATAAAATAAAATAAAAGGAACTGCTGGGAAATTAACTTTTAGATAAAAGTCCAAATGCGGTATAAAAGTCGGGATAAAAGTTACTGCTGAAGATGCTCTAATCTTTTAATTGAAGTCTGAAAGTTTTAAATATTATTACTGATTAGCAATTGCGTGAAGAAGATATTCATTGACTTCTATTATGAAATTGTCAGGTTCAGAGGTCGAAAAATATTTGTCTGTGCCTGTAAGTATGTCTGTGTGTATTTTTTTTGGATATCTTGGAGGCCTAAATAAGCACTCTTATGTACATAAATTGTTGATAATTAAGCATCGCTCTCTCTCTTTTACTCTTCTTTGTTTTTGGCAGTTTAATTTCATACTAGACGATTGGAACGGTGTTTGGGCTTTTTGCCGATAAACCCTCGACATTTTTCGCTGCCACAATGACATATCTGTTGACTTTCTGCATTACCAAAAACCGAGAAATTATAGTCGTAAAATAGTTCAGAGTTTGCAGGGATATGTCTTGATGCAAAGACACCAACAGCGAGTTCACCTTTAAGAGTCCTAATTCAATCAATTCATCGATATGTATTGAGAAACAAAACATACACACACACACACACACACAGTCGATTATATATTACCATTTTTCAATGTGACAGTTTGGGTCACAGCTGTGGTTTATAAATCTTGCTTCACTGCCTTTTGAACATGCATCGACTACTTCGCCTTTTTGGTAATCGAGAAAATAAAAGTTCTTTTGGTCTATGTACATTGTACGCATACGTTCCTCACATGTCTTGTGCGAAATAATTTCGCCTCGATATTCAGTCAATAAATCCCCCTGATTTATATCAACAAGTGTTCGTAATCCCCAGCCTCTTTCACGCGTCTATCCCACATATGCATCAGAAGAAATAAGCGGAAAACAAAAAAAAAACAAAAATATCGTACCAAATATATCTGAAGCTCCTTTGCGTATTCTCTGCGGTGAAACCTTTGATTTGAGCATTGGCTCTTGCAAGGACATGATTTTGGATCGCATTCATAATATAACATTCTAGAAATATATAAATAAATTTGTGTGGCTGTGGAAAAGCGACATAATTGCAATACGATTATACCTATTCAAACAATCTTCACCACAACCTTGGCTACCATCTGGAGGAGGTACACATTGGCAAGGTGCCTGATGCTCTGTTCTGTTCGGTTTCCGCTCTACAAAAATATCTACTTAACTGTAAGTGGATTTTCCGTAAATAATATATATATATATATATATATATATATATGTACAAATTTATCCATTTGAATATCAAACTCACTGGATCTTAATCTGGTGAAAATTGGCTTCTTTACAGATGTAGGTCTTGCTCCAAATTTCCCTATTAATCCCAGACTATATTCTTCCATGATGTCGGGTGGTAGTTGAAAATCAGCATATGAGTCTATTAATAGTGCTCCGTGGTGGATAGGCATAGGAAATTTGAAGTTTTTCTCTTTTATACACTGAAATGTAGACTTGGCTTCTTTCTTATTTATTATGTTCGCTCCTTCTTCTCTTTCTTCTTCGTCTTTGTCCTCGTCTTCTTTTTCTTCTTCTTCTCCTTCTTTTCCTTTTGAAGATGCCTTTACTGATTTTGCTGAATGCGAGGATAAGTACTTGTGTTGAAGTGAATAAAGCGCTGATCTGAGGAACTTCTTTCGTTTGTGCAGAAGAATGTGGCGTTCTGGTGCTTCATGTTCTATTATATCAGGTATTTCATCTATTGATTGCTCGTTGGGAGAGTTGACTTTATTTGTTTGTGTTCGAATGATTTTGGACCATCTTTGTCCACATGCATTACAGAGACTATTGAAAATAGATTTATGTTTTGGATCGTGTGTTTTTTTTTAAAAAAAAAAAAGAATAATCATGATTATTATTATTATTTACCTCCTTGGACCAGACGGACCTCGTCTCCAAAGGCTTGTAACTAATCGACCACAATTCTGACAGCTGTTTGCATCAGATCCAGAATCTGATTTCTTGGAAGAGCTTTTTGAAACCCCTTGATCGTTAGGCTCCTTATCCACAGTTTGGTCACCTGTTTGTTTGGAATGATTATCAATGTAAATGAGTCTGGTTATTTATATTTATATTTATATTTTTAATTAAATACTATACTTTTCTTTTTATACCAAGAAACTTACTTTTCCTATCTTTGTATTTTAATCCAAAGTCCCTCGGGGCTGTAATTCTACATCGGGTTACCAGTGTTTTTATTTTCTTGAGTCTAGGTTTTTTAGATATTCTGGGTTGGTCATCGATTGGTGGTGGTGGATAGTGTAGATTGTCATATCCTTTGGTACATTTTCCACGACTCTTCCAGCGAAGATGACATGCGTTACACAGACTAGTAAACACAGATCAACAAATGTTTTCCCTTGCAAAGTGTGTATTAAGAATAATAATAAGTTTTCCTTACGTCTGTTTTCCAAGAGGTCCGTATCTCCACCGACAAGTTTCTGTAATACCGCAGTGACGGCACCACATATCTGGGATCACGATCTCTTCTGCAATATCTACAGCTTTTGGCGGCGATTGTAGTTGTACTTCTGGCACTATTACCAATGTTTCAGCTTTTACAGGTGTGTCTGGTTTATCTGGTTTATCTGGTTTATCTGATGTGTTTCGTGTATCCAATGTATTCAATGTATCCTGTTTGTCTAATGTATTCAATGCATTCATTGTATCTAGTGTATCCAGTGTATCCAGTGTATCCAGTGTATCCAATGTATCCAGTGTATTTAATGTATTCAGTGAGTCTGTGACCTCTTCTTTTACTATTGGCGTTTCTGGTATTGGTGGAAATGCTTTTTCTACTGGTGGTGATCGATGCTTTTTTCTGCATGGACCATCACTCGGTTCTTTGTTTAGGGGTATCTCCCGAGTGACTTGATCTGATTTACGTTTTCGCAATACTCTAGGCGGTCTTGCTGTCAAGATGGTGGGTTGAGGTGATTGCGGGTCAAGTGATGAAGGTGGCGAGGGCAGTGAAGTTGTATAGTATTTATGAGAGTGGTTTTTTAGGGTTTTGGTAATTTTTTTCGTTGGTATGTCTTTAGACACTGTGTGGGTATCATCTCCTTCAATCAAGGCATCAGATTGAAGTGATTCTGGGGATAGAATTCCTTGTTCGGTGGTGTTATCTGTAGTTGTGTCAATGGTCTCGAGAGTTTTAATATCCCCATGGGTCTCATTGGCGACTGTTTTTAAGACAGTAGTTGCCGCTACAATAGAGGCTGTGGCAATTGTCATCTGTTCCGATTTAGTACTAAAGCTAGGGCCAACAAATGACTTGTTGGGTTCAGGAACCATTACAGCTGTTTCTTTCATGACTGGATTTCAGAGTAAGTAACTGCGATGGATTTCGTTTCTTTTCTTCCTTTTTCTAGAATATATTACATTTTTTTAGAAACTGCTGGACACTCTAATGGTAACAAGAAGAATATTTCCTTTTTGTCTGGCTGTACAGAGACGCGTTATAAATTAGAGCAAGAAGGGCTTTAAAAGGCTCCAGAAAAGAAAGGGAAACAAAGAAATATATATATATAAAAAAATAGTCACGCTGTAGAATTTAACAAGGATTTGTACAGTGAAACACACTATACAAGACACACAAGTGGGTTATATAATGTTAGTTTTTTTTTTGGACGAATTAAAATAGTAGTTCAAAAGGTTTGCTTACTTATCTTAGATAAAATGAAAATAAAAATGGAATGAATATATTAAATAATTGCTAAATTTACCTGCAAGGGTGTATTAAAGAGTTATATCAATAACACAGAGTGATTATAATCATTCTGATGATGGAGGGCACTGGAACGGGGACAGGCAAGCGTCATTGTTTTTTGCGGCGTATAAGAAAATATCAAAAATGTCTTTTGCGGCCATCGCATCGTGATTCCAAATAACATTGCAAGCGCTTTCATTACACTACAATACTGAATGTACCCTTCGCTTCAGACCCCTTGTTGCTTTATTATCAATGTTTCTCTTCTTAAAAGAATTGCAGACTTGGCTTGTAAGGAACTCGACCACCATACAAACTAAAATGACATTATCTGCCAAGCATTTCTGTAAAGTCTTCAAGGTTGATTTGGTTGGTCTGGCTTTTTTCCCTCTCATACTCGATGAAAAGCTACCTTCTCCATAGGCGATGATGGTTTTTGAAAGCTTTATGGGAGTATCAAGCGGTAGTGGGGGATAGTATTGGTCACACTTTTATTTCTGCCTTGAAATTGGCGGTCGCGTCTTTATGATACTTTTCACTATCATAAGAAAGTAATCTAACAATTTCACTGATTGTTTTCTGTTTACTTCTGTAACACCTAAATTTCAACATTGTGGACCTATTCTGGTCAGTTAGATTTAGCAACACTTATACATACTACACACACAATAAGCTTTGATGATAATAGCTATAAATCGTGCCATACAAATGGATCCGCTGTCTGCATCCAGTAAGAAAATTTGGTATATTAGCAGTTTTTAGCGTTTCCAATCCGGTTATGGTCTTGTGAACGTCCTGGTGCTGATTTTGGTGCTGCTTACGGATATACGCAGCGTCATTGAATTCACATAAATGATAGTACCCGTCTTGGCTCAAAGTTTTCTAGCAGCCGGAAGGTTCTACAGATGTCAATACTGTTATTATCCCAGGGTCCACGGCCCAGACTTGCCATCCATCTTCGATTTCATTCCGAAAATCCGACGGCTTTTTTGGGAGCCATTAGAATTGTTTTTTCTTTGAGACTCGTGAGAACAGAAACGATATTAAATAACCATCAGAATGTACAACGTTTCTAATATTAATCGTTTAATTTTGAAATACTATTAAAAGGCATTATTAATGGGGGTACTCAGCCAGGTTGTTCGAACAAAATCTTATGTGAATCTTAGCCAATGATATTATTTTTTTAGTTGAGGACACCAAAAGACAAAAGTACAAAATTCGTACAAAATTCTTAGATTTTATAGCATATATAGAATAACCTTTTGCACATTCTGATTTATTCTTTGAACATATATGCGTCTAGACTTTCGAAGAAGCCAAGCGTTCTTTCCTTTGACTCAAGATCTGGCAATACATTGTCAACCTTGTGTATGTATTTATTGGCTTTAAGTGTTTTTTTTTCAAGCTCCTTCACGGCAGCTATCTGCTCCAACTTTATATTAACTTTCTTTTTAATTACTTCTAAAATATCTTTAATAAGCTTGTCTGTACTTGCTGATAAAGACTCTATCAGTGATTTTTTTGGTTTGCGATAAATTGACTGATTTTATGCGATTTCTTTAAAGTATCAATTGTTTGTTGCTTTATACTGTATTTTGACATGTAAGATGAAGAGAAAGAAGTATTATATTAATTTATTGATAATCTATTATATAATCTATTAAAGATAAAGATAAAAAAAATGTCGTGTTGCATATAAAAAAGTAACGATTCAGCCGGTCAGAGAGCCATACGTTTCTTGGTCAAAATTTGATAGACATTTGTTCGTCACTATTACAATTTTAGCCCAATAATATTGTTTTCTTAATTTAACAATTGTTCGAACAACTTGACTGAGTACCTCTAATGATTCACTCGAATGATTCACTCGAATGCTTTTCTGCCATTAGAAAGACTCTGTCTGGTTCTAAAGCTAATCCTGGAGAAATCGAAAAGTTTTTAATAAAAATTAGACAGCATTTCCTCACTCTTAGAGCCTTTAGGATGGTTTTCAATTTCAGCCTCTTTCTCTAGTCTCCAAAATGCTTGAACGTCAAGTTAAACCGATTTTCTTTTAAACGAATAAATAGGTAGAAGAGAAAAAAAGCGATGTCCACGTTTATCGGTATACTTGACAGGGCAAATAGTACCATTTTTTATCCTTGCCTTTACGGTGTTAACAAAGTTTGAAACTGTCGTCTTAAACGATTGAATCTTTTGGAGCTTCTTTCCGAATATCAGAGGTTGATTTCTGTTGATAGATATAAGGACTTGTTCTCGAAAAGAATTGAATTGATTTCTGTTTAACGACGCGGCAAAAAGGAAATTCTTTGAGTTTGCGATATACGTATGTTTTAGAAGCGACAGTTTCCGGTAGTTCTTCCGTGATAAGAGCCTTTTTTTTAAAAAAAAAAAACTTTTCTTTGAAGAAATTGAAGCCATTTGAAATACATAAGAGGCTGGGCATACAAGGTATTGGATTCAAAGTCTATTGGCTGATAGCGCGGACATAACCTATTTATGTTGCTGGTGATTTTCTTGAGAGCATACGTCTTTTCAATAGATGACGGTCATAGCGATTTTTTCTTTAGTTTTTAGCTGTAAATATAAGAAGCAAGAGACTTTTTTTTTGGTTCACCGTTAACCCAGCACAATAAAATTCAAATGACTTGCAGGCGAGGATTTCCAGAAAATAATGTATGCTTCTTTTCATCAGCAATATATACGTTCGATAATTACTCTTTAAAGTCTTCTTTTCTCTTGCTGAATTCTCAGATGAGTCATCTTCATGTTTGCGTTTCATATTTTTGTTATGAACTTTGAAAAGAAAGGATGAAGGACAACATTCCGCATTCTGATGAATTATGGTGATGCTCTCTTCAATTAAAATTCTGAGCTACTGATACATTTCTCTCTGGGTGGCAATGAGAGATTTGTAAGGCGTATTTGTAAGAGTTACTCGTTATGAACGGATTATTTTTCTCAAATAAACAGTACAGAAAAGTATTCTTAAGATATTAACTTATTAAAAATCTTGGTGCTTTTTTTTTATATATAACTTATGCTCAACTCTTTTAAAAAAAATGCGCCTTATTTTCTCGAATTGTGCGCCTTACAAATGTGTTTTACTGTATTTCACTGTAACTAAGAGCATACTGTAAAGATGTGTGAGGGACTTCAAAATACTTGCTATCTTTTGACCGGAATACTCACAGAAGTCAGCATAATAAATATGACAAATTATTGTAATATTATCACAAGCTTATTAAGTTAAGGATGAGCTTAGCCAGCTCTGGTTTCTTGCTTTTAATCGATACTGTGATTTTTTTCTTTATTGGTTCTTTACTCATTGTTCGATTATTAAAAAAAAACAAAGTAAAGATAAGTTTAGGTTATGAATTCCACATGTATTAAACCTAGTTTTTGTGCTGGGATTTATTAGTACGTGGCATAAAAATAATATTTATACGACCAATGCTGTTATATGATACTTTGATAGCTTACAATGAATTGTATAATGGTTTCGTATGCGACTTACAGTACATTGTAGCCTCGAATATTCTTTCCGAACTTTAAACTCTTCATTTGACAATTATCACAAGTTTTTGAGGTATTTTATTCATCTATTGTAACAGCAACAAGACCTCCATTTCTCTCCCATTTTTTCAAAGCCTTCCACATAATTCCTGCCACTCCACATCGGTTATTCTTTAGTCTCACAAGTCCTTCCCGGACATACCGTCCCAGAGATATTTAATTGGCTCTTTGGTTCTTCTTCTTCATACCATGTAAGGTTTCCACTTATTTAACCTTTTTTTTCACTTTGCTGGCTTGTTGACTTTAGAGTTTGTGGCTTTCTTCATCTCTTCTTGTTATACTTGGAGACTCCGCCTATCAAAATATCAACTTTTTTTTTCTAGTGTTCTCTGGGACCTTGGTATATAAAAAGCGGGTATTTAGCAGCTTTACTGCAATAAGAAGCATACAACATGTCCAAGTGAGTTGAATTATTTGTACGTAATCAATAAGTGTTGTGTGAGAGACCGTTTTGTCGGATGATATATAATTTTCAATAGTTTCAATTCCATTTTGCTTTTTCTGCCAAAGTCGATCTGCTTGATATCTTGTCAATCCAGTCATGTAGTAGTATTCATGATTTTTGTACCGTAGCAAACCATATGTTTTGTTATACACCTTCTCTGCAGCAATGATAGCAGCATTTCCTCCAGGGTCGATAAAGACGGGTTTATAGTTGTTGGACTTCATTGAACTCAGAATCCGACAGTTCAAGTTGCATAATATTGCTTCTTACTGCGATTGGGTTTGGTTTCATCTTATAGGATATCCAATCGATGGATAATCCGTCTGATCTTATTAAATTTCCAAACATGATTCGATTGTTGCCATTTGGCTCAAGGCTACAACTAATGCCATTCACCAGCGTACGAGGGAATTGAATCGAGGGAATTGACAAACTTTCTAAAATAAGGACTCTAACTACAAAAAAGGATGTACTAAACAGCCATACTTTATAAATCTCATTTTCTATAGCCAAAATGAAGCAAATCATTAACAAAAAAAATAAAAATGGGCAAGGTATTTTAGTAAACAAATAAAGAAACAGATGCTGAGTAACAGGGATATTATATGACTTTATTCAATTCCCTCGTACGCTGGTGAATGACATAAAACAAAAGGTGCATGGCTATAAACAATACAGGATTATTTGAATGTATTACTACCTTTTAGCTTTAAAAGAACCATCTACGTTTTCTTCAAACTTCCTTTTGTTAAAAGTTGATATTCGCTTTTCGATAATCGAACTTTTAACCGTGTCAGAATAAAAGCCAAATGGAAAGAAGTGTCCATTAATATCAAAATGTGGCTATTAATTTATACTCTATTGTGATAGATTCATGCTTAATGGATTTGAATATTTGTGCAGAAGTAATAATACATAACTCATAGGCCAAGCCACTTTCCAAAGGCCTGATAAAATCCAACAAGTAGCAAAAACTACAACTCAATAACTATATCTTAAGCAGTTTGTTTCTTGAAATATTAAGCTTTCAGACACCTTTACCTATGATTATTTAATTTATCTTCGTCTAAATTTTATTCTTGTTTTTTTTTTTGAAAAAAAAACTTTGCAGATTGAGTTTTATTCAATTTTTGCTGTAGTAGTTAATAAAGTAGCGTAAGATATTCTATATGGATTTTGGATTTTGGCCTTAAAAGCAACAGTGAGCTTTGAAAGACTATTTTCTTGGCAGGCTACTCCCTTTCACAATCATAGTATATTTATTTACTTGATTATTATTATAATATTAGTTTTCACGACTCAATTGCTCCATATCCTTCTCAGAGTACCCAAGCAAGGTGAGAACATATTTGAGACTTTTCTGGTTAATTCTTGCACGAGCCTATAATATAACATAAATTAAATTAAATTAAGTAAAGTCAAATTTTGAATTTTGAATTTTGAATTTGTTGTTTCAATTTCATAATCTTACTTGTTCTTGAACACGAGGTTTGGCATTAAAGGCAATTCCAAGACCAGCAGTGTTTAACATTGGAAGATCATTGGCACCATCACCGACAGCGACAACCTGGTTTAATGTGATACCTTCTGCCTGAGCAATGACATCGAGTAGCTCTGCTTTACGGATACCATCCACAATTGGACCAGTTGTTTCACCGGTCAAAGTGAGACCATCAGAAGAAACCATCAACTTTCAAAACAAAAAGAATAAAAATAAAATAAGTATATATGTACACACATTGTGGGTCTTTCTTTTTGTGTGTGTGTGTATATATATATAATATTAATACCTGGTTGGCAAACGCATAGTCTAATCCAAGCTCGGCCTTGACATAGAGTGCTAAAGGCATAAAACCACCTAAATAAACCGTCAATTTAGTTTTTTTTGTTTATAATGATATCTTAGATATATAATTATATAAAAGAAGATTATAATAATAATCATTTTACCGCTAATAACGGCTAATTTGAATCCAAGTCGCTTCAAAGCACGGCACAAGAAACGTGCTCCCTCGGTAAACGTGAGGTTTTGTTTAACAGTCTCGAGCACACTGACACTTGTCCCGTTCAATAATGTCACGCGTCGACGCAAAGACTCCTTGAAGTCAATTTCGCCATTCATGGCAGCTTCAGTAATTGCCTATTGATCAACGAATTGAAATATATAATATTAAAGTACAAATATGGTCAGAATATCGGTATGATTATGATTATTGTTTTTAATAACAATAAACGTGTAATTGGCCTTATTTGTCATGTCATTATCACAAAATTAGGTTTACTTACGGCCACCTGATCTACAACACCAGCATATTTTGCAATTTCATCAATAACTTCTTGGCAAATCAAGGTCGAGTCCATATCGAACACAACCAGACGCTTGTTCTTGCGGAATACATCATCTGGCTGGAGGGCCACATCTGTACCGTGACTGGCCGAGAGCTCGATGAGTTCAGTACGGAGGATATCCATGTCTACAGACTTTGGAACACTGAGACGTACATCAGCACATGACAATTTATTGTCATCGAGATTCAAACGGGCCAATTTCTCGACTGATATACGATGCTTTAACAGCAGCTTTGTCCAGTCCTTTAGGAAAGTAGATTCTAATCCGTGTTGGTTGAGGATACTGGCCGAATACTTGATACGATCTGAATAAGGGGCTTCTTCAAGTGAAGGGGGTAAGAAGGCGACAGCAGTGGTGGTAGTAGCAGTTGTGGTGGTCGTAGTCGTAGTGGTGGGATTGTTTGAGATCGACTGATGTTTAGTTGCAGGTTCTGTGGCCTGAGTATCTGGGATATCGAACGTGAGGGTGGCATCCCACTTGTGGGCAGCTTCGGCAAGATCCCTGAATACGGTGACATTGTCCGACTTGAGGGTTATCAGTACACCGAATGTAACGTTGTGATAGAGACGCGAGAGCATAAAATCATCAATGGTGCACGGGTGGCGTGCCAGACACTCAAGCACGGCGGCTATAATGTCAGTTCCGTGAGGGCCGGAGAGAGACACAAGCACCTTTTGATTAGGGCCTAGTAAGGCAGGAGGGAGAGCATTTGAGGGTGTGAGTTTGTATGGCGATCTGCTACGGGCCATGATTGGAGAGGTGATGCTAGATGGTGCTAGGACAGCAGCGTGTGCGTCATGGTTAATTGAGCTGAGGATTGTTTGCTTGAGATTAGTCAATTGCTCGGCTTTTACGAATGAGAGCTGGGAAACGCGATGGAGATAGGGCTCAGAAAGAGAGAGACCTGAGTGACGATCGTTTTTCTTGAGGATCTTTGTGATTCCGGTATAGTTTAGAAAGACGAATCGTTCGAGTGTGAGGATCTTTTGGAGAAGAGTCATGTCATGGGGAGTTGGGCTTGTTGTGAGTCGCTTGGACTCTGATTCAAAGAATGAGTTGACCTTTGCAACCTGTACATCGAGTTGTTCGATAAATGCTGCCTCGACCTTTTGGAGTTGGCCTAGACGGTTAAAGACGACTTTTGAAAACGGTTGCTGGGTTTGTTCGTAAGAGTCAATTTTGATAGAGTGTGCATAGACTGTTGCCTTTAACAGTGTCTTGAGAGAATTGTAATCAAGGCAATTTGTGGCATAGTTTTCGGGCAAGTGTTCCTTGCGTTCCTGAAGGTATTTTCCAAACTTCATTTTCTTTTCTTTCTTGTTCTTTTCGTTTGACTTTTTATTTATATATATATATATATATTATTTGTTTATTTAATTTACTTTAAGAAAAAAAGAAAAAGAGAGAAATGTCAACAGTGAACAGTGAACAGTAACACTGGCGACAAAGAGTAATAAAGATGTATATATATATATAAAATATTTTATTATACGTTGTATTATATATTATATTGTATTATATTGTATTGTATATATAAGGTTGATTTTTGACAGGGATTATCATTTATGACTCAGACCATCCATCTCTAAATAAAAAAAAAATTATGGCAGAAAGTTGTGCTATTCCTATGTTTTTTTTTTTTTGTTTCTTGTGTTTTTTTGGCAGGTTGATTTGGTATCCAAGTGTTTTAATATGACCATTCAGAGAACTTTAATAAATATATCGATTCCACCAAGCTAGTGTTCATATCTCTTTCTTTCCTCTCTTGTAACTCTATCTTTCTCAATTTTCAGTTTCAAATGCCGCGCACTGTGTGCGTAGGCAGTATCAATAAATACAAAAAAAAAAAAAAAACTTTAATAAATCTGAGCCTGTCACAGCTCCATACAAAAAAACAAAAAAATCAAGATGACCATATTAACGATGTGATTTCACCAGTTGGTATCGAAGCCTGCTTCGTCAATATACACTCAGACACGATAAAACAGCGTCACTTCCCCTGACACCATCCTTCTGACCACACCTTATTTACTTTCCTTTTTCATAACATTTTTCTTATAACCAAATCACTCATATTAAGAATCTCTTAAGAAGTCCTTCAACTAACCGTGAGCTATAGGATTTGGAGCCTAATAGTATTATTTTTGGCTCTATAATACAAGTATTGCCCTACAACTCTGACTAAGAACTACCCGGAAATTTCTGGAACGGCAATCAAGAACACCATTGAATGTTGGGAAGAAATTGGTATCGCGGATACCAAAAGACCAGATCCTTAGAGACCAAAAACAAAATGTTTAAAGATATCAGACTTTGATGATAGGCATAACTCTTGAAAGTTACGTCTTGTACTTTAGGAGTTTTGCGGCTAATGGTCATAATCTGTAGACCATGGTGCATATGTCAGCTGGTCGACCAAGTACCTCAATCCATTGTATCCATAATTAAATAAGAAACATGAATATGTTTATTTCTCAAAAAGATACTGTTGTAAATCTTAGTTCATTCGGATATGATAACGTAAGGTTTGGTACAGAGGAATGAACACCATTACCAATAAATTGTTCATGATGTGCATCTACGGATGGATATCGAGAGTTCAATTCGATCCCATTAACCAACAGCGTTTCGTTTTGATTTACAAGGATTGATCCAACCAATAATTGCGACAATGCCAAGGATAGGTAAGGCTTCGAGCGCCAAGCCGTATTTAGCAATATTAAGGAGGTTTGTGCAATTTTGTTTTACCAATATCTTTTCCAATGTACTAATATGGACAGAAATGTCTTACCAATTTTCTAAAGTTTCATTTTGGGGAACCTTACGGACAGCCTGGCAGGACAGCCTGGACAGCGTGTACCCTTAGTTTAGGAGGACAGTATTTCTTGGTGATGGCGACATTTTTATTTTACCGGAACACAAATTGTGACTTTTTTTCCGGCATGAAATAACTCTATCTGGCTCCTAAGGATACAGAATATTTAAATAAAGACATTCTTTTGTACTTTTCAGAAAAAGAGCGGATGGGGATTACTTACCAGCTGGTGCTGTCGAGCTCTGGAAATATTTAGGGGAAAGAAAGACAAAGATATGATATGCGTAAGCAGGTCAATAAATAGTAAGATATCAAACAAGATTGTGTCACAATCTAATGACAACAGCTCCTTATAATCCTTTGCATAACTGCCTTTTGGTATAGTGTATTTGCGATTAATGAATATATTGGGGGTACTCAGCCAGATTGATCGATCAAATTCTTGTGTGAATCTTGGCCAATGGTATCAATTTGTAGTTGAGGACACCAAAAGACAAAAGTACAAAATTCGTACAAAATTCATAGATTTTTATAGCATTTATAGAATAATCTTTGCACATTCTGATTTCTTCTTTGAACCTGTAGGCATCTAGACTCTCGAAGAAATCAAGTGCTCTTTCCCTTTACTCAACATCTGGCAATACATTGTCAACCTTGTGTATGTATTTATTGGCTTTAAGTGTTTGTTTAAGCTCCTTCGCGGCAGTCATCTGCTCCAACTTTATATTAACTTCCTTTTTGATTACTTCTAAAATATCTTAAATAAGTTCGTCTGCACTTGCTGATAAAGACTCTACCAGTGTTTTTTTTCACGATAAATTCCCTGCTTTTATGCGATTTCTTCAAGGCATCAATTGCTTGTTGCTTTGTACTATATTTTGGCATGTAAGATGGAGAGAAAGAAGTATTATATGACTGTTGGCAATAAATTCTATAATTTATTAAGGAGAAAGATAAAAACAGTATCGTATTGCATATAAAAAGTAAGGATTAGGTTAATCAGAGAGCCGTACGTTTTTCGATCAAAATTTGATCGAAATTTGATCTTTCAAAAAGACGATCAAATTTTTATCGTCGCTATTACAATTTTAGTCCAATAATATCGCGTTCTGAATTCAAAATTTGATCGATCAATCTGGCTGAGTACCCCCATTGTATTTCTTTGAGGGCACACCATTTTGCCCTGAAGGATTAGAGAAAGACGCCGGTCTCCGGACAAGTAGTCAGAATTGATTAGTCCGGTCAGATAAAAATACCGTACCCCACCAGGAAACGTGGTTACCGTAAGATTGCTGCAAAGTCTGACCCTGACCCAAAAAAAATATGTGTAGCCATTAAACTCCTTATTGTGAGTGATATCGCATACTTTCAGGCCATCCTGGCCGTCCAGGCTGTCCTGCCAGGCTGTCTGTAAGGTTTCCCTTCATATTCATATTGGGATTGACGTCACGGTCGGGAAATGTAATGGAGTTAAACTAACGAACATTGATTCGTATTAATGGTTAAGTTATCAGAGAATAATGCTTGGTCAAACAATTGACATAAACTATATTATTAATAGCAGAATCTGTAATAAAGTGCGTAATATATATATATAATTCAAATAATTAATTAGATTTTAAAGAATGACATAGAAGAAGTCATGTTAATATAAGATTTACATCCTTAAAAGTATATTTTTAACATATTTTAGTTCTACATCTTCCTTTGAATATCTCGTTAGCTTAACAGCTTAAAATAATGGAAGATTATTGGCTAAAAGTGCTTTGGAAAAGGTGTCCTTTTTACAAAATCTTTTTTGGAAGTATGAAACAAACTATTCTTTTTTAGGCAAAACATTTCCTTTTTAGTTTTGTTATAAATTTTTCACAAACCTCCCTATTCAAAGTAGAAATACAGAGTGGACATCAATGCTTTGGAACCGTGTTCTAGGGGCATGCTGCTTGATGCACATCATGAGTGGAGGATATTCGGTTCTACAATCAAATTTCCTCCAAGATCCAAGTAATACGGCTTTCTTTTAATATTGCAACTGTCAACTCCTGATGGTCTCACATTGATTATCGGTTCAGGCACCTGTAATTCCCTTATCACCTCCACCTTTATCTTGACGCAATCCCAAAATACCGGGTTATTTCTTGGTGTTGGCTCAATCGCAGCTGGGATTATGCGGTGTTTGACAATCTGGAGACTTTCAGATCAAGAGTTGGTGGCATCTACATCTACATCATTATTACCCTTATCCAATCAGCCACCAAAAGAATAAAATCAGCCGATTGATTTATTCCCTTTAATATATTGTTCTTGCTACTAGCATTTATTTTTGTTGCATTTCGCTTCTCGTTGAACGTGACGGCATAAGGATAGATTTTTGCAATGCTGACACTGTCTTGAGACAATGTTTCTTTTTAAAAGCTTGAAGATATGCTTCATGATGATTTTTGACTGAGACAATGGATGTTCTCAACCAAGCCAAGTCAGATAATTATGCATTTAATGGCTAGATAGAATGTGGATTACTTACGAACATAAAAAAGGGGGTGGGGGGGTTATGGTACATAGTTTCAGACAAGTATCGTTTGCAGTCCAAGATGTCTTGTGGTATGAAATCAGCAAGGAAGTAGAGAATACCGGTTCTTTGATATGTGTGTGTGCGTGTGTGTGTGCGTGTGTGTGTGCTCATGCTTGAAATTTATTTGACAGCTTGACTGTCCAAACTATCAATTGAACATTAAAATCTACACCCAAAAGGGATTTCTTTAGGCGAAAACAATTTGTACTCCTCTTATTGTGCAAGCATCTCAGACAGTTTACTGTTGGTGATTGCTAGGGCTGGAGTCATTATTATTATTATTATTATTATAATTGAGTCACTTTTTTAAGAGAGAAGAAAAAGGTATTGTGCCTTATTTATCTCCACTGAAAAATGAGTTTATTCAATAAAAAATAATTTAGATCAAAAAATTTGTATGGCCTTGTGTTGAGGCACATTCGCTTTCAGTTTCCATGACAGCTGTTTTATAGGTACAGAGTAGTTTGGTATTTTGATCGACCATCATACTATACGCCTTATTCATTTCTTCAACACAAACTTTACTTAAAGGTACAAAGCCTTGAGAGTATTTAGTTATATACTTTATTAAAATTATTGTTATTATTAAATGAACGAAAAATAGGTGAAAGTTTCAACATCTTTTTACGATCCACAAATGTTTTTTTTTCTTTTCAAAGTCCATGAATATATATAGCTAGACCATGAATTGAGTAATAGAACGATTGTTTTGGTTGGTTGGAAAAGAATATATAAAAAGTTGTATATGTATATAGATAAAATAGATGTATGAAATGTGTAAAGTGTAAAGTGTAGTGTGTGGTGTGTAAAAATATATGGAGTATATGTACAATGATTTACAGTATAAATAAATAAATAAATAAAAAGAGTATTACAAAGATGTGTGGTGTGTGTGTGCGATGATGATTGTAAAAATTTAGGCAAAGAGTGACACGGTGGGAGGATTGACTTTTCGTGAGAATCCGAGTTTCCTAAAGAGTAGGCTGACATTTGAGGGACTGTTTGTACAAGGCACATCTTTCCATGGCTTGTTAAAAGGCTTTTTGCGTTCGAGGTCAGGATGGTCCTTTTCTTCGTCGTGGTGCACAAGGGGATCAAAGATGCATTCGAAGGAGTCCTCTAATGTGTCTCGGACAAAGTACTGTACTACTGGTGGGTCTTTACTGATGGTGACCTGGAGTGATCTTTTGCGTTCACGATGGTTTTGTGGTTTGTAGTGCTTTTCAGGTACAAGGCTACCAAAGCGACGTAGGAATACTGACATTATAATTATTGTTTTTGTATAAAGAAGTAGAAGTAATTGATCAGGTTAAAGAAGTTTATATAAAGAAAGAAAGAAGCAAGAAGATGAACCAAAAATCTTTTTTATATATATATATATAAATATTTTCTTTCTTGATCTGTGATTATTTATTTATTTATTCTATTTTACACACACTAAGAGAAAATGAAAAGAAAAAAAAAGTTGTATCCAATAAGAATCCATGAAATAAAAATAAAAATGTCACCTGTGTCGAAACTTAAAGTCGCCTGTTTAGATACCCAATGTCCGTAAAAAAAAAATTTTTTTATCAAAAATTAAAATGTCGCATTTTTTCCCACAAAACGAATATTTTTCATATTTATCTATAGATTTAACAGATCTTGAGTGTCAAGACGTTAATTTTTGTTTGATTCTTTTATTCTTAAAAAAACAATAGTAACATTTATGCTTCTTGTCTTTCATATATAAGTAATTCACTATCCAAAACTCACTTGGTTTGGTTTGAAAAGCTACAAAAATCAACAAAATAATAAACAAGAAATACTAGTAAGTTGGACTAAATGAAATCAGTAATTATTATTATTTTAATATTACAATTCTATAAGAATATTCTTCGTGGTTATTTACCTATATTTGGGTGGGGTATACATGTGTATTCAAGCTATTTTTTGCTGGTATTGATCAATCACATATATACATATATAATTTTCAATCTTCAGTTCAAAAAGTAGCTTTGTTATGAACATTGTGATGAATTGAATATAATCTGTTATTTTTATTTTTATCTATCTATCCAATTGTATGAATATACATTAGAATACAATATTAACTTGTGTAGCGTTGGTGGAAATAACCTACGAGTTTTGTAGCCAGCTCTGTTGAAAGACAAGTTCTCTGTCCATCTTTGTAACAACAATAGAATCAAATGAAATGAAATGAAATGAAATGAAATTGAAAGGAAAGTGCACGGACCTGTCAGATATATCGCCACTTCTGTAGAGCAAATGGTAGTATGGTATGTTGTTTTTCTTTTTGCAAGTAAGGAAAAAGTAAAAATGGTTACCATGGTTATTTTATTTTATATGACCAAAAGATAAAACAATGGAAATATAGAATTCTGTAATCTGCCATCACCTCTTCTTTTGGTCATTTCTAAAGATTGTTGCTTAATAGCCAATATTTAGGTCACTGTAATGACTAGAAAAATATAATCCCCAGATATCTTCTCATATCCTCTTCTCTTCTCTCCTCTCAACTGACTTCATCTTCTTTAGAACCAAAGAGTCATAATACCATTGGTTTGATCTAAAAATGTATAGGACTACATAACAATCTATCCCATATACTCTCGTCATTCAATTCACTACTTTAAGCACAATAACACAATAACACACACACACATATATATATATTTACTCTATCTAGAGTCAAGTAACTACCAACTACTCATCAACCAAAATTTTATTAAAGCAATAATCTGTCACTCTCGCCGCATATCATCCTTTTGTATCATCCACATTGAATCTAGCTAGTAACCAGCTTTTTGTGGTCTTATGGCCAGCTTAAAAAGAGCTTGAATAAGAAGTTTCTGTAATATATATTTAAACATGTGTATGTAGTCGAGAATCATGGGATACAAATTTAGATCCAAAGTGTTTACTTGCCGAACATCGTTTTAGATTGACATCTAGATTTGTTCATAAAAGGCCAATGTGTAAAAGACTAAGGGGAGTAGACGGAAGCCTTGTTGTATCAACTATCCAAAATATGTGTGTATGTTTTTTTTCTATTCTTTCGTCAATCGATTCTTTTAAAGGAAACCTCGTCTTTTCAATTGAGAAGAACTAGACCTTAAATGTATGGATACACAGCATGCTTGGATTTGGCATATTTTGGTGCAACAGGTTAGTACGACCAGTTTTAGCATGAGTCCTGCCCACAGGGAATCCACAGGGAGTCCACAGGGCACCCACAGGCGACTTTTGATTAAAACTAGTAAAAGAAGAAGGCGACAAAGCCAAAGGACATATAGATATATTATTTGTTTGAGAAAAAAAAAGAGAAACTTTGTCAAGTCTAGGTCGAAACATTTATTGGTACGTATATGTTTACGAATATGCATATACATATATACGCGCCCGCGTGTGTGCTTATATGTGTACAAGTGTTTGTGTGTATCTAGTTTTATAAAACAAAGGTATATCCATATCCAATAGCTCGCTTGGGTTGATGGCACCCCACAATTCATAATTTTCCTCTTTAGTCATATGGTCTTTTTTCGTCTTCTTTCAGGTGCATATCCCACTGTGGATGTTTGGAACCAATTGAGAACTCAAGATCCTCTTTTGTGATGGAATCCCAATACTTGTATACCATCATGACTGCCAACAGATTACACATGCTGCCAAAGAACATCCCATCAAGGTAGTGCTTTACTTCCTCACACAGGGCAACGGAAAAGATGTGCATAACTACCTGTCCGAGTAGGAAAAAGAGCGTTCCAAATACAATATCTCCGAGTGGCCATTGGTCGCTAAGGGTGTATACAACCAAGACAAGTTGAGAAATGATGTAGATCAATAGGGTAGCTCCATTGACAAGGTAATATATAATCCAGAGAATAGTCGGCGTTGTGTAATTGAACGGTCCAACATTGTTAAAGGTGGCCAAGGCTACCAGGGCCACAGTCATGAACATGGCTCCTGAGCTGATACGGATAGACTTGTACAATGTATATTAAAGTAAAATGTAAGGATTCATGCAAAATCAATTTTAATTATCGAATACATAAAAACATCTCAACATCTCTCATTGCTATGTACTGTTTACCCATAGACTAATCGGTGTTCCATCTTCCGCAAATTGGAAACCGACGAACCCGTTTAATAAAAGGCACCATGAGGTGGTGCTAACAAGCCCCAAATGGGCTGCCGTAAAAAACTATAAAAAATAATAATCGAGTGAGAATTATTGTTATCATTGGCCGGCTTTGTACCCCTTGAGGCTTACTGGGTAAAGAATGGAAGCTGTCGGAATGATATTGGTAACCAATAGCATCTCCAAGAAGACTGTCGCTAAATACAATTGAAAGAACATGGCTATTTCCTTTCGGCCTGTGAACCAAAAGTAAAAATAATAAATATAAAAATTGTACAAAAGTATATCGCATGATGAGTCTCGTACAACACCAAAGAACAAGTGATGTTTTATTTTTATCTTTGGTTGTGGTTGTGGTCTTACCTACAGCGGTGTATTTGGTTTTTACACTGTAGATCATGATACTAGTCATCACAAGTGCCACCACATCCATAATCAAAGTCGCTTAAGACCTGTGTTAGATCAAATTTACTCAGAAAAATCAGTCTTGCTTCAAGAGAAACTAAATTTACCTGGTTGAAACACAAGAACGCCAGCAAAATCTACGTTTCGTGAATAACAAAATGGTTCTATCCCATCAAATTTGCCAATAAGTGGACACAGTGTCAGAGCCACAGTTTGGCAAACTCCATCAAACTTGAACATTTGAAACTTGAACGGAATTTTCACCATGCTTGAAATTGAAACAAAACCTATAATATATATTTATAAAAGAAAACAGAAGAGAAAGATTGAAAGAAATAACTTTTGGAATTTGTTCATACTTTCCCCCCCTCCCTCTTTCTTATTTGTTTGCTGATTTGCTTGCTTGTTCACTGGTAGATAATATTTCATAGTGGTAGAAATCCATTCAATTCATTCCAAACAGAACCACCATCAACACCCACATTGCTAGGCAGCTCCAAGTCACGCTATACTAAGGTATCAAAGTAATTAGGCAATCAGGCCATTTTCAAAGTGTCAGGTTAAGCGGGTCTTGAAACGGACGAAAGATTGACCGAGACGAAGTTTGCATAAAACAATCCTCAGATTCACTTCTTTGCTTTTATCATTCTTCTTTCTTATCATTCTGGTTATTATCCTTTTTCTTTAAAAAAAAAAAGATTATTTATTAAAATAACATTAAACAAAACAAAGCAAACAACAACATGTCTTTATCTATTACTGAAAAACGCCGAGTGGCACTAGCTTATGATGGTAGTGAAGATGCCCACAAACTGCTGGACTGGACCATCAAGAACATCATTGTCCCCGAAAAAGATCATATCATCGTTCTCTCTGCCGTACCTCATGGCGAAAAAACTATTCCTGAAAACAACCACCACGGCGATGACAAGAAACCTCTGCCAATGCTGTCCACAACTCCCACAAAATTCAACGAAGATGTCAAGGAGGTAGAAAGCCATCCCGGTTGTATGACAGCCAGAGAACGCTTGGAAGACATGTCAGCACGTCTGCGTACACTCCACATATCCTGTGAAGAGCACATCTTGTGGGGTGAGGCAAAGGTTTTAATCCCTCGATACACCCAGCAGAACAAGGTTGATTTACTTATCGTGGGTTCGCGTGGTCTTGGTGCTGTCAAGAGTGTATTTTTGGGTTCTGTTTCAGATCGGTGTATTCACGAATGTCCTTGTCCAGTACTAGTGGTTCGGAATACTACCATTTAAAACACACCACTGTTCTCTATTTTATTCTTCCTTTATTGTTTACCTCTACCTTTATAATATCGTGAAATGTAATATAACATTGTAATAATTAATTAACAAACAAACAATAAATAAATAAATAATACTATTATTGAATCAATCAAAGAAAAGAAGAAGAAGAATAAGAAGAAGAAGAAGGAAAGGGTTATATTAAGAAAGAAAGAAAATGTCATACACAAAGAAGGAATGGAGAAGAGGGCTGTCTATTGTTTAAACACTTAAGAGTACATGTATTATTATTATTTTCTATCCTTTCATCTTCGCAAGTGTCTTTAGTTTACGAACAGAAACAGCAAACACGCCACAACCTGACAATAGTGCAAGGCCTGAAACAAGCCCGAACGCAAAGGGGTCGCCTTCAAAGTAGTTCCGCAAATTCATGCCAAATAGGGCCCCGTAACCACTGACGACGGTGGCCGATAGGGTTAGAATGGTTAGACGAATATCGTACCACATCAGAGAATTGCGTGAGACATCCAGAATAATCTGAACAATTTCCTCGGTCGAGCGCATGTGAGACCGAAGTGTGGATGCTTTGGAAGCAATTTCTTCAGTCTGTTTGAGATAAGCTTCTAATAGCAGTTCAGCTTCTTCGTGGTCAACAGACGCTCTAGGCTGTTTCTCCTTCTTTGCTGTTAGGTACATAGCAGCCAAGTCATCATCTACACCAACAACAACGAATCATAGTAAGTAATCAAACACATACACACACACATAAACCATATATATATATTTTTTATCCACCCTACCGTGATCCAAAAGTTCTTCAAGAACATCACGAATCGAGAGTGCATCTTGCTCAAATTTTGACAGTTTTTTGGAATATTGTAAAAGATCTCGCAAACGGTACCCACTCACAGACTCTTCAATATCAGCCAAATCTTCCAAATCGCTGAGAAGTTTGTTGACAGGCCCTTCCAGGACTTCTATTTCTGACTGAAGGGATGAAGTGACAGCAATCAGGATAGCTTCCAGTGCTCTGTAATATTTATGAGCCTTACCCTCCACAGAAAAAACAATAGCAGCAAAAGCAGCAATAACAACAACAAAAGAAAGTGTACGATCAAGTTCTTTTTTTTTTTTGGTTTACCTAAATTCAAAAGGTAGGCCCTCTTTGTGTGATTTCAGCCGCTCTTGAAGATCATCAATAAAAACGCTTTGGTTGTAACTATCTGATGATCCATATGTATCCAATAGAATCACAGAGTCGCTCTTTAGTAGTGCTTTTATGTGACCCATATTAACCAGTATAGCCTTGGAACGCACAAGGATTGAAGGTTTCTGGTAAAACGTATTGGTATCAATCGTGCGCAGATCTCGAGGCAACAAGGAATGCTGCTGACAGAATTCAGATTTTCTGAATTCTCCGGCAATAATTTTGAGATTGCCCTCTTCATCAAACTCGGAACCTACAAATGAGGAATGAGGGTGACATTGCATAACTTTATATTTCCAAAATAAGACATACAACGCAGCTTGAGCTCGCCTACTTTGGCAGGCAGCGATGGAATGCGACGAGGTGTTAAATTAGACTCCCACCTTGCAAAAGTCCATTGTCGGGGAGAGATCCATCTGTTAGACAATCTCTTTGTGAACAATGGAGTCGTTAATGATACAATCGATGCCTGAATCGATTTCTGCATTCAGTCACTCGAAATATAGAAGAAAAAGAACCACACAATAGCTATGACCTGTCTTTTTTTTTTGGCGCCTTAAACCCAGACTGAGAGGAAGCGAGAAAATGCCCGCATTTCTCTCTCCTCAAAGGCTCCTGGAAGCATTCAATTACATTGTGAGCTTGTTGCTTCAATAGAAGATTATCTAGACTAGCAATTGATGAGTGGATTCTTTGGATCAAGCGAAGGCACTCGCTGGGGTGGTCTCTTGAAACAAGCCATCTCTAATGTTGAAACTACATTCGATTCCTTACTTGAACAAAATGAAGCAGCACATCAACAGGATGGGCGTCGGCCAGTGGATGGTGAGTTAGTTAAAAAAAAGATACCTGATCAGTGGCTGTTAAAAAAAAGAAAAGAAAAGGTCGACAAGGACTGAAAGGTAGCATTTAGGTGCAGATGGAATGGAAACAGAGACATTTGTAGATCCCATTAGTGGTGCAGTTACCACCATTCAACGAGCAAAAAAATCAACCGTAGAACCGAAATCCCCTACATATACCTCACGAACTATGCCCTCGCCAGGAAGACAAAGTAGCGATCTTTCATCTCGACTAGCGGCAGTCTTATCAGAAAAAGGAAGAAAAACATCTTCTTTAGTAAATTCCCCTGAATCCCCACGGACACCACGAACCCCACAGACCCTACAGACAGAATCATCGGTAGCTAGCTCTGTTCAGCCGAAACTTGTAGAAGCAAAAGAGCAATCGTCTGATAAACCTCCTGGAGACTCTTCTGAGAAAACAAATGAAATATCCACAGAAATATCCATTGATCCAATAATCGAACAATCCAAAGAAGATAGTCCAGAAGCTGTTTCTGTAGCAAAAGAGCCGATAACTCTAAAAGAGAATGAAATGGACGACAAAGATAGTGAGCTTGTGGAGCTAGACGATAAAAAGGCCCCGGAAAGTTCAGAAGAAATCAAAGATACGCCTATTGTAACAGCATTAGAAGTTAACGAATCGCAATTATTATCATCACCACCGATAAAAACTGTGGATGAACCCAATCGCATCCTTGAGCAGCGAGAACTCCAGTTGCTACAAGCTATGGAAACTATTGCAAAGCTGCATGATCAGATCCATCAATCTCAGTTAGATACAGAAAAGACAAATCAAAATTACCAGAAAGCGAAGGAAGAGATTAAGGGATTGAAAAGCCAGTTAGAAACTTCCCAAGCTGGCAAGCCTGCTGGTCAGCAAAAGAGTGTGAAAAAATTGGAGAATACTATCGAAGAACTCAAACAACAAATATCGTCAAAAGAAGAGCAAATACAAGGGTTGATGCATGAAGGTATGAAAAAAAAAGAGTAAAATACAAAAGATCCAATATAAATATATCTTGATGTAGGCGAAAAGCTTTCCAAAAACGAACTTAAACACTCGACAACGATAAAAAAGCTAAGAAGTGAAAAGGCTGAAAATGACAAACTGGTGGCTGAAATGCAGAAGAGACAAGATAAAGTAGTCTTGGATCTTATGGATGCTAATACCAAAATTACCAAAGCCGCAGAAACAGAAAAGCGATTACAAGGTATGTCTTTGTGAGTATGAATTTGGCACACTTTTATTCACATCAGAACATTGAAAGAATCCGTAAAAATGCTTTCGGACATGACAGAAAGGCAAACAAAGCATATAAACAGGCTGGAGTCTGAGGCGATTGTTTCCAAAGAACAACATGCAAAAACACAGGTAAGGGTAGTATCTGACAATAATCTATGCTAAATCTGTGGCTTTTCAAGGCTATCCTAGACGCTAATCTGGCAAGTCTAGAAGAAGAACGGGAAAAGCTCAAGACAGAGTCTGAAGAGGTGCATGCAGCTGCGCTTGAAAAAGAAGTAATACATAATTATGTTCACTACATCACACGATTACTAAAAAAAGTGGCTAGGTTAAAGCAAATGATCGTCTTTACAAAGAACTGAGTAAAGCTAAAGAAGATGCCGAAGCCATGGAAACAAAGTTGCGTAAAGAGGAAAGTCTCTGTAGCCTTAAAATAACGGTTTAAAGGGAAATATCTCTTATACCCCTGATCAGATCCGAGACCTTCATATTGCATTGCAAACACAAGAAGAGCATGCTGGGACATGCGAAGATAATCTGCGTTGTGAAATTTATGTAAGTTTTCATTAGAAGAAAGTAACAAAACCTTTTTTTTAATAAGTTGTGGGCGCAATAGGAATTACGACAACGATTACAAGCATCCGAAGCTAGAATGGAAGATATGGGAGATGGCGAAGAAGAAGCAACAGCATCTTTACTACATCAAATTGAAGATCTTCAAGCCCAACATGCATTGGCGATAAAGAGTCGTGACCAAACAGAGAAAAAGTAATCAATTGTTATACTCATTGATTGTTTACTAACTTGCACCATGTTCAGTATGTTGCAGAGACTCCAGGCAGCTGAAAAAGAGCACAAACACAGTCTTGAGAAGATGGAAAGATCTAACGAGCTTTTACAAGTAGCAGTAAGTTAAATAAACAGGGACACATATGTCAATTTCTGTTGGCTGATGCTCACTAATGTTTTTCTTCTATAGAATGAACAATTGCAAAAGTTAGAGTCAGAGCTTTTAAAGGAACGCGCTTCAAAGACAGCACTTTTTTCGAGATTGGAAGTGGAGCAAGCTTCTAAGGCTGAATACGAACAACGTATACATCAACTAGAGCAGAAAGAGCAGGATTCTGAAACCCAGGCGAAGAATGCAGCTGAAAAAATAAAGGTTCAATATCAGAAACTGTTAAAGGATAGAATACAGGACGAAAGAAGACAATGGGAAGAAAAGATAAAGATGGAACGTTCCAGCCGCTTAAAATCGCCAGAAAGCTATTCGCCTAGTAGCAACAGCATACCTGAAGAAGACAATTCTACGCAGGCACATCAGTTTCAAAAGTTGCAAGAGGTAACTGGGGCCATGCGCAAGAAAAATGACAATAACCCTGTAAACATAGATGAATAACAGTGCGGTTATCAGTACGAGATCAAGCTTCGATAGCGGCTACACTGGTGGGAATACCCATCCAATAGGGACCTCCACGATTATAGTTGAGCGTCTTCAAGCCAATATTCGACAGTTGGAAAATCAAATCAGCTTTTATCAAACCCAACTTCAAAGCTCTTTACAATCCCGTGGTAAGTATCTCACCTAAGGCAGACTATAGATATGCTAAATAATATGAGCTAGATGAACTTTCTGAAGAGATGCTTGGTATGACTCTAGAGATGGACAAACTGTAAGTAAAACACGCTGTAATACACATTGTTGGCTAATGATTTGACAGTCGGAAAGAATGTAAAAGAATGCAGGATACTGAAACTCAACTTCAGAAACTACATGAGAGGTAAGAAAAAAAAGTTCGGGAGTCTTATTAATCATGGCATCTAACCTTTTGCTTTGCAGATACCAAGCGTCATTGGAAATGCTTGGTGAACGTACGGAGCAGGTGCAAGAGCTCAAGGCTGACATTGCAGATGTAAAGGAAATGTATCGCAGCCAAATAATTGAGATGGTCCAAAAAATTGACCAACTTAGCAAGAAATAATCATCATACTTGGTGAACAAGTTCCAAAAGGAAGAATCTCCTCCTTGAATTGTTTTTTTAAAAAAAAAAAGAAAATAAATAAATAATTATACATATATCTTTTATTTATTTAATTGGTAAAATTAATATCTTTTATTGTTTTTGTTTTTTTGTTTTTTGTCTATGATTATTTCTGCTTGTCCTCTGCCTTTACTCCTTTAGTACGCTTTTCGTTTAAGTACTCTGTCATGCCTAACATATTTCCAATCTCTTCAGAAGTGGCATTACCATGAGCAACCCATCTAATTTTGCAGTTTTCATCAACCAAGAAAACGTAACCAATGTATTGATTTGTCATATCAAGCATTTTACGCACTCTGGTAATATCCTTCATTAATAATACATAGTTTGCCTATTTATTTTGTTAATTTATTTTTGAAAAAAAAGCAGATTAGTGATATTCTTGTCCCAAATTCCTTTCTTGGTTGTGTCTGTTTATACCTTGCGCTCTTCAGCTAGATTCTTACGGATTGTAGGCACAAATGCTTTCAGGAGCAATTGCTTGAGAAAGTTTTCTTGGACATTTACCTAGGAGTATTATTCTAGATTAATTTTAACCCCCCAAAAAAAACTGTGGTTTTTGAGTCACCTCTACAAGCTGGATGTCCTTTTTATCTCCAAATCTCTTCAAGAAAGGTTCTATAAACGAGTTGGCATGAGGCTGTGTATATACAATATCAATTAATCGATGAGTCATTAAAAATATAATATATTTCTTATTTAATACCTCGCCATATTTTGCATATACAAAAGACATAAGAGAGATCTTGTCCTTTAGAATATCGGTGGTGTGGATAGGTTTTCTTTCTAGGTTTGTGCCCTCAAAATCCGGCATGTAACCTGCTTTCTAATGACATATTTTGTTTATATTTTCATATTATATATATATATGTAAGCTTGGTTGATTTTTACCTCTGCCTTGATAAGCTTTGGGGAAGCATGGTACATCTTGCCACCGTGCTTTCTCATTTCTATTAATTGTGTTTAGCTCTTTCTCTGGAAGCCCAAAATTTATGTAGCTTACCATGAACATCGGCAAAGTATGATTTTGTGGCTTCTTCGACCCTGTTCAATTAGGGTAGATTAGGTAAACATGTCAACAAACTTTCAAAAGTAAGACTGTACTTACAAATGACGACGCTCAGCAGCATGAGCAGCAAAGGCTTTGTCGTAATTGGTAATATCTCGAAGCTTCTGCTTCTTTCTGTCCAGCCACCCGTTTCTGTCAACTGTGGGTGCATCAAGGGCACCTACAACACTGGGTGGTTGACGAAAGAATTTTGGTTGTTCTGCTTTCTGGTCAGCCGTGGGATCTGTTTTCACAGACAAGAGCCTTTGAGTGATCAGTGCAGTTGTGCGGATTCCATTGATATTTTGAGCGAGTCGAGCGGTGGGCTGACGAAAAAGTGCGATGAATGGTGCCATTATAAAAGAGAATGAGACAAAATAGCCAGGGTGCGGCTGAGCGAGGGCTGCCCTTTCTCCGGCAGATTAAGAAAACGATCTCAGCAAGCGGAGGAGTTGTGGATTCAACCTTGTCTCTTTCTTTTTTTCGCTCACTTCCTTACTGGGCAAGCTTACAGTATTTTAATCTTCCCCTGCTTTGACATTCAATATTCGGTTCTTATCAGGGTTGATTGCGTCTGCTCTTGGGAGCGCATCCAACCATGCGGATGACTGTAAAGAGCAGGGTAAGTCGATCATCCATGGTCAACTATGCACCTTGGTCTTATGCAATCAATAGTTCATCTATCCCAATTCAAACTTATGAGGATTGTGGGCCGTGGTGCATTTGGCAAGGTGTGTCGATAAATACACCAACAGAACATGTCTCTCCTAATCAAAATTCATTTATTTGAATAGGTGCGCATCGTAGAACATCGTGAGATGCGCAAACTTTACGCATTAAAGTACATTAATAAGGAAGAGTGTATACAAATGGATGCCGTTTTGAACATTGTACGAGAAAGAACGATTTTAGAGCAGCTCGATCATCCATTCCTGTGTAGATTACGGTTTGCTTTTCAAGACGATGATTTTATGTATATGGTGACAGATCTGATGTGAGAGTTCTCCTATCCTTTTAGAGATATTACTGCTATGCATAAAATTTTGACTTTATTTTATTTTTGCTTTCTTTCTTTTCATATTTTTGTTTTAGGCTAGGTGGTGATCTACATTATCACATATCCCGTCAGACGTTTACTGAAGATGTCCTAAGACTATGGTTTGCTGAACTTGCTTCTGCTATAAAATATCTTCATTTCAATCGAGTAGTTCACAGGTAAATTAGAACATACCACTTTATACTCTTGGCCAAAATTTCTCAGTTCACTTATGTCTGTGTTTAGAGATGTGAAACCTCAGAATATTCTTATGGATGATAAGGGCCATGTTCATTTAGCTGATTTTAATATTGCAACTCATATGCACGTTCACAAGCAATTAACTTCTAACTCTGGAACGGCTTATTACATGGGTAAAAATATACAACGGCGTACATATCCAACCTACTAATATACGAAGAATGACAGCACCTGAGATATACAAAGGAAATGGTTATAATGAGGCCGTGGATTGGTGGAGTCTTGGAGTAACTCTCTACGAGTGTGTTTATGGAAGGGTAAGCGCACAAGTCTATCACAAAACAACCCAACTCACGCCAAAACTTAGAGACCATTTGAATACGAAACAAGCGATGAACTCAGGGCGGCAATTCGACGGGGATACATCCATTACCCAACCAATGATCGCAGAGTATCTGGAGAATGTCTAGCAGCTATTCAAGGGGTACTTAAAATGACAGGAGTGATTGAGTTCAATTTTTTCTACCAATATTTTTATTTAATTATTTTATTTTAGTTCCTGGAGATCGACCCTTTAAAAAGACTTGGACAAGGAGACACAGGCTGGGCAGCTCTCGTCCGCCATCCTTTTTTTCGTTCGGTGGATTGGCGGCGTCTAGAATCGAAAACTATTATTCCATCCTATCAACCAGCTTCTGATCAAAACAACTTTGATATCACATATGACCTCGAGGAACTATTGCTCGAACCAAATACCATATCCGTTCAAAACAGACGCCAGAATAGAGTAAAACCCCAGAAAAGTCCAACGCAAACAGGAGATCTGACCAAACGAGAAAGAGACTTGATATTTATTGAAGAAAACTTCAAAGGATTTGATTTCACAATTTTTGAAAAATATGAAGGTTTCAAAGATCCTATAAACATGACAGTGGGCGATCCTCCTGACTGGGTAAAGCCTGCGTTTGAAGGAGCTGATCAAGGAGACATACTTCCAATAAAACGAATTACGACTACTGTTGAACCATGGGAACAAGAAGAGACTTCTGTAGCCTCTCAGTGTCACACAGTAATGTCCCATCAAGAAGCTATTTCGAGTAGCTGGCGTGGTCTTAATCGGGCTGCGTCTACTAGCAATTTAAATGGGAATGTACTTGAAGGAAGCAGTTTATCTTGGAAACGTCGTAGTCTCGGGACACTACATGTTAAACATCATCAGGCTCAACCTGTCCCAGGAAGTCCATTGAATCCAAACTCGGCAAGCTTAAGTGAAGAGTATGCTATGTCACTCCATGGGATACGTAAAAAACAGAGTACGCGCAGCTTTCGAGAACGCAGAGAACGGGACCGTAAAATTATTAATCATGATACCAACCATCACAGAGAAAGAGGTCAACCGGAGATAGCATGACAAATGTCAATTTATACTCCTTCTCATAAGCTGTGATACCCTTTGTGATAAGGTCTTTCTCCCCTTATATATATATATCATTGGAGCTTAGCTTGGCTCCGCGTGTATTTCTATATTTTTCTCTTTTTATTTATTTTCATATTAAGTTCAATTTACGCTGAATTTATGATAAAGAAAAATGCTATAGTTTAAGAGATTAAGACTTTTTTTCTAATACAATATATTTATCTAAATTAATATTAATGTTAATTAAAAGTCTTCTAGATCTTAAGCTAACAAGCATCTCACTGTTGGGTAAATGTCACAGGATGATAACAGATCAACATTTTGATATTGTGTAACTTGGACTATAAGATGAAGAAAACTATAAAATAGTAAAATACAACGCATTTCCTACTGATGTCTTTCAATCCTACAATATTTGCTAGTCCCAACTCTAAAAAAAACTATGGTGAAATATCTTTTGGACGATGAAGATACCTATTACTGGTCCCAGCCTACCAAAGCGATGTCTAGTAACACTGAGACGGCTATTATAGATACTGACTCGGCTCAATCATTAGTTCAAGAGATTGAGGAAATATACTACAAGCTCTCGAAGATGACATCTCTCCATCCTGTGGCACCTGTAAATGATCTCTTTACGCGGCTTGTTCATATAGCTACATTTACATACAATCCCTCGATCGTAAATTTAATCCTTTTATGCCCAATAATCGAACGTCTCTTAAATCCTTTGAGAATACTATGCTCCACGGCCGAGTATCACTTGGAGATGCAATGGTCTAAAGAGCTTGGGCTGTACCAGGCAAATGAGACAGTGACTCCTGAAATGATCTTGTCTCGTTTCATTTATTATGATAACTATGATGCCTTGACTTGTCTGGAACTCGGTGCTCTTCATGGCGTGGGCGGAATTATGGCTCATATTGTATTTGTTGGTAGTGGACCTCTTCCACTTTCGTCTATTCTTATGGCTCGCAAATCTCATAATATCCGACGCATTGATAATATTGACATGAGTCATTCTGCGACTACGGCCGCTACGGAACTCACGAATAAACTTGGGATGCAAGATCGTCTGAAACATTACACAATTGAGGCAAAGGACTACGACGGCTATGAGAAGGCAGACGTGATTATACTGGCTGCATTGGTTGGAGAATCCCACGAAGACAAAATGGAGTTCCTAAAGTTTATCTCAAAACAAATGAAACCTGGTGCCTTGATATTAACGCGAAGTGCCCATTCCTTGCGTAAGCTCCTTTATGTTCCAATTGAGCCATTCCATGTAAACTCTTGTGGCCTTCAGACATTGGTTGTGTCGCATCCTCAAAATGAAATAGTCAACTCGATCTTGATTGCAAGACGGCTTGAAAATGTCGATAGTATGAATAATTCTTGATCTCTTTGCATTAAATCTATCTATCTTAGGCAGCTTAATACATAAAGTATACATTTATATCATTTTAAATAATTAGTATATAATGATATTTACCTTTGAGGGGTTAATCTACGAGACTTTATCTCTCTACTCTTTATCAAGTGAACTTATTATACCCTGTTTGACAGTAATATATCTAACCCGTACCTATTTTGGCATATACTATATATATATATAGTATCAAATGTAAAAGCAAAAACCACTTTCACGAGCTACAGAATACTTTATAATGTTCTTTACATCACAAAATTAAAATAAAACAAAAAAAACTAAATATTTTATTGTATTTCTATTTACTTATGGCTATATTTTATTTTGACCAACAATGCGTTTGTTTGGACAGCATCAATATATATGTATATGCTGCGCAAGCCATCCCGACCCTAATGTGAAAGGATTGGCAGTTTGTAAACTTTACAATTCATAAATACACATTATAGCGTTGAGGATGACTTTTATATTCCTCTTATACTTTACTATGTACTCTATATATAATAGTGTGCTAGAATCATATAAAATAAACTTCAATGCAAACAAGTATATTTAGTTTGTTCCTTTTCTCGAAAAGTACATAAAAGTCTAAAGTTTCAATATTTGATTATTTTTATGAATGTAAATGCGCTCTATATTGTCAACGATTCTGCTTAGAGCATCTCCAGCACTTTCTACACACGAATTCTACACAACCAAATTAGGAAGTAAATGTATAGAGTTTCGAAAAAACCGCCTCCAGCAGTTTCTACATAAGATTCTACACAGCCAAAAACGGACTTGCGATTTTAATTTTTCAAGTCAAATTCTACACATCTATAGAATTCCTCAAATTTTGTGTAGAATCCATCCATTGTGAACGTGCTGGTTAGCCTTTTTCGTTACACTAGTGGAGATTCAATTAGGACTAACCAGGTGTTCAATGAGGGTGTGATTATAAGGGTTTTTAAAATAGAAACAATTATATAGAATTTGAGAATCAAGATGTAAGATGGTCTTTATTTCATGTTATTTGCCTTTGCTATTGTCTCTATTCTATTTTTTACATCATTGTTTTATCATTTTTTAAGGTTCACTAAGTCTTTTAGTTCTCTACTAATGTCTTTAGCTCTACACTAATTGTCTTTAGTTTTGTTGCTATGATTTTATTCTTTTCTAATTTCAAAATGCATTGCAACAACATCATATTGTTAATTTTCTTTCTTAGACTAAGACTTTGAACTTTCTTTCAGTTCCTTGTATAAACTATTAAAAATGACTAATAACATCAAGAACTGTCAAAATAGTGATTCTGATGGAATCGATCTAATTATCTTTGATGTGATTAAAGATGTATCCAATAAAAAAACTTTTACTAAGATAGCTTCTCTTATAAATGACACTTATTTACATGTAGAAGGCTCTCTTTCTGGAAGAGAAAAACTTTACTATATAGAAAGATATTCAGCTTTGCCACTTATATATCTTTATTTTTACTGATGGAGCTCATAAAGTTGAGCAGAAGAGTAATACACTCTAGTCAAAGATAGCTAATTATTACTATTGCTTTATCTCTGAGCACGTTGGAGAATATAACATTTCTGCTTTGACTAAATGGAGACACAATATCAAAAAAGCAGCTACAAAGTATATTAGTATTTTGTTTTGGCTTTAGCTCACAATTATCATTTAAAACTTTGTATTAGAAGTCTTATAACAATGCAAGAAGTGGTCCAAGTTCCTTTTTTGTGATTTTATAAGAGAAGAAGGTCTAAATAAATAGTGAAGAAGTGATAAAAGTTGAGACAGCAAGTATTATATAGAATATGTGTGTAGAAACTGCTGGAGTTGCTCTGATATTTTCTTTGCTACATATTCTTATTTAAACTAGCATCAGAAATCCATTTTAAGATATATTGATTTTTTAGGTAGAATCTGCTGGAGATGCTCTAACTCTCCTATAAATTCTCCCATAAATTCTTCTGATATTATTGATCTCATACATATATAACTTATCTATCTTTCTATTTTTTAATATATTGTACTCTTATTTTTTATTTAATTATTTAATAAATACAATTGTATCTAGTCTGTCTTTAATTTTAATGCTATATGTAAAACCCAGATACGAATATTATTGGCACCCAACTAATTGAAAGACTATATAATTGGTCTTTATTTTTTGGAGTACAAGGTCTGTACATTTATAAGCAGTCTGATTAAAATCTTCATCTAAATACGGACGTGAATTTTGCTGTAAAAGATGTAAAACAAAAATGACACATAGCTTTTGATAGATTTCTCTCTTAATTCAAATGCTAAAGCTTAGATATTTTGCTGTATTGCTGAAAAACATATTTACATTTCTAAACCCAAAATTTGAAGTTAATTTATTATGTTCTGGTTGAATAAACAAGCAAAATATACACTTTTTTTCACATTTTTAACTATTAGAGATAGATTGTTTTTGCTAATAAATATCTTTTCTATATAATAATATGGTTTAAAACCTTTACTGAAACGTTTTTGTATTGTTTTCTATTGATACAAAGCATTTGCAAGTGATTTTTACTAATATTTTCAAATTGTTGTTTTTTGTTCAATCTTTCTTAAATAAAATGTACAGAACTTTTGTAATTCACTCTTTAAACGTGATTCAAAAAGTATTACAAAACAAACAAATACTCACTTTATGCAGAACAAATCAACAAAATCAATCATTCTACTCTCATTGTGATATTTTTAGAAAAAGAAAGAAAAAAATAAAGTGCAGACGAGAAGTACGGTGAGACTTTGTTTATTGATCAAAAGAGAGATCCCCTTCTATTACTATTTGCTATGTGAGTTTATATAGACATTGCGTGTGTATTTAGGATAATGATATGAGTATATCATGTGATGTCTGCTTTCTTATATCATAGATAATATATTGTTAAGTTATTAACCACGCTCTTGTTTGAGTGATTAGTGATGTTGACTAAGGTGTGTGGCCTTGTTATCATTATATTCTTTATTTAATGATAGTGTGAAAAATAATGTATAATTGATACTGGTCACTTATTTAATATGTCTTTATCTTATTGTCTGTGCACTCTATTTGAATCCACAATTATGTTGGATACAACACTCATATTTCTATCTATTTTTTTTGAACGAGTTATGAATTTTTTAAAAATAAATAAAAATAAAAATAAAAGGTTACGGACAAATGTTCTTCTACTTTTGCATGATTTTTTTTAGTGAATAAAGACAAGTGATTTTACTGGATGGGGACAGGGAGTGACTGTTTTTAGGGAACAGAGTGCTACACACAGAAACGATGGATGTTTGCCGAACAAGTTAAAAGTAGTCATGTCTCTGATTATCTGCCAGACTACTCAATATAAGCTTATACAACCCCCTGTCCCCATCATCCAAAACTCTCCTATCCCCTAAGATTTACAATTGAGTATTATGAAAGGAAGCATGTCATCTTGGATTTTTGATGCAACAAAAGAATTTGTTGACAACTCATTTTCAGTGAGTCCCATTTTACTATTATTGAAATAGATGTGCTCAACTTTCTGTCTATAAAAGAACTCAACATCATTTGTCAAGATGAAGATGAGACAATCCAATCTTCTTATGTGTGTGCAACCAAAGTAAATGATCTTAAGTTGATTGTGATATGATTCAATATAATTGTTTGTTACATATCTTTGGTGTTGCCGGCTAATGTAAGAGTGCCCCCATCTCCTTAACAGTTCTTTGTTTTTGGTCCATTTCTTTTCAAAGTATTGCAGAAATTGAGATTGATCTTAGATCAACTGTGGTGATCCAGATACTTGGATGTTGGATTTATCACATATAAGAACATATTCATATTGGGATAGTATAGTAGCTATCATCTTGTCAGTATAAAATATATATAAACGATTAAGTAATCAGGCCAATAATTATTACAGTTAGTACTGTAAATAATATCTTAAAGATTGTTAAGATAATTATATCATACTGCTGGATAAACTGTGACAGAGCGATATGAAGCTAATTTAGTAAGAAGTCCTAAAGCTCTAGTATAAAAGAGAAAAGAATAGTTAAGAGCTAAAGAAGTACAATTTATGACTTGATGTCATAATTGCAACACCAATACTAGTTAAGCAGTAAATACACTTTAATAATCAAATTTATTATTTTCTATTGTTTCATATCTGAAATACCACAATAAGCAACCAATAAGAGTTGACTTTTTAGGATAAAAAATATTAATATTGCTAATTGGTCTTTTATATACATTTTAAATAGTGAATATACTTATAGAAGATATTACTGGGCAACAAGCATCTAAGACATATTATCTTAGCTATTCTTTTAGCCAGAAATCAATTATTATTTTGTATAAATAGCCAAGAAATATATTTAATAAAAAGCATTTTCAATCTTATCTAAAAACTATTCTTAAAAACTTAATGATCCCCAGTGGTATTGATTTTGCGACTTAGTTACAAGTGCCAGAAAAGTGTTGGACATTATTTTAATGAATCTGTAAAATCTGAAGATGATTAACTGCAGTATCTCTTTATGCGCAGTAACATCTTCCTGAGCATTAACCGCAATATAATGACTCTCCTTTTATTTAAATATAATATAATAGCTACTGCAGATAATGTGCAATATTAGTCTAGAAAACTATATAAGACAATTCAATTCATATCAATAAAAAGTATCTTTTATCCTCTCTTTGATTTTACGTATACTCTTTGATCCCCAGTGGGTTTGACCTTTTGACTTTGTTATAGTAAAAGGAAGACCTGTCAAGTCTCGACTGGGTGTATCTTTCTATTATTTTAACTTGTATAAGTTTTGATAATAGATCACCACCAACTAGGACGTTGTGAATAAATAGAAACAGATAGGAATATAGAGAATTGAATGCTTTTTATTGATATAAATCTTAGAGTATTTATACAGATTTCTTAAAAGTGAAACTATCTAATCTAATTATTTTACTCAAGACATATTGGTTTTACATTTATGGAAGGCGATATAATATGTCTTGGTTAACAAAAAGGGGAACCAATTAGTATAACATTGAGGCATATGTTAAAAGGAATAACCGATTGGATACCTTGTCAGAGTTGACATCGGTGAACAAAAGCGGTAGTTATAAGCAACCAGTAAGAGTTGACTTTTTAGGATAAAAGATCTTGACTTTGCCGATTGGTTTTTCATATATGTTTTAGATGTTTAAGATGGTGAATATACTTGTAGAAGATATTACTGGACAACAGGCATCTAAGACATATTATCGTAGCTATTCTTTTAGCCAGAAATCAATTATCATTTTGTATAAATAGTCAAGAAATATATTTAATAAAAAGCATCTTTATTCTTATCTAAAAACTATTCATAAACTTGACGATCCCCAGTGGTATTGATTCTGCAACTTAGTTACAAGTGCCAGAAAAAAAATACCAGATCGAGACTTGACAACCTGACTTAAGGATTTCTATCTACAATGTCAACTCTGACAGACCAACCCAGATCGGGAATTGTTGTTCCCGATCTGGGTTGGGCTTCCTTTTACTATAACAAAGTCAAAAGGTCAAACCCACTGGGGATCAAGGAGTATACGTAAAATCAAAGAGAGGATAAAAGATACTTTTTATTGATATGAATTGAATTGTCTTATATAGTTTTCTAAACTAATACTGCGCATTATCCACAGTAGTTATTATTTATATTTAATTAAAGAAATAGTCATTATACTGCGGTTAATGCTCAGGAAGATATTACTGCACATAAAAAAGTACTGTGGTTAACTATCTTCAGATTTTACAGATTCATCAAAATGTCGTTCCTGATCTGGGATGGTCTTCCTTTTACTATAGCAAAGTCAAAAGGTCAAACCCACTGGGGATCGGAGAGTATATGTAAAATCGAAAAGAGGATAAAAGGTCCTTTTTATTGATAGGAATTGAATTGTCTTATATAGTTTTCTAAACTAATACTGCGCATTATCCGCAGTAAACTATTATACTATATTTAATTATAAGAGAAGTCCTTTTACTGCGGTTGATGCTCAGAAGATGTTACTGTGGTTCGTTATCTATGAGGTATCTTTGACATACAGAACTGCTGCGGTCAATTATCCCGATTTCTCGGATTCATCAAAATAATGTCCGACAAAAATAATGTCTGACAGAATGACAAACAACACAAATCAGCCGTACTCACAAAAAAAGATGCCCATTACAGGGGTCGAACCTGTGGCCTTGGCGTTATTAGCACCACGCTCTAACCAACTGAGCTAAACGGGCATTTGTATTTGTTATGTGTGTTGTAGGCTACTACACCTTTGTCTAGTTTCTGGTGAGGGATACCGGATGGTGGATTCCTTCGGTGATTTGGTCCAGCAGTAAGCCGTGACGGGTGGTACCAGACTCGTGGGCGTTGACGTCGACGGTGAGTCAACCGAGTGACGTGTCTCGAGGGACAAGAGTGGTCCCCCCAGGTTTCTTGGGAAATCTTGCTCCCAATACCCCTATACCCAAACCCCTCAATATAATCCTGTTCCTTAAAATTAAAATACCCATCTACATCGTCACCTCAGAAACACCTGTCATCCACTAAAAACATTATACCTCTTTCCCCTAATTTTATACACTTCTTTATTACCAACATTTATTCTACACTATTTTGTATTATATTTTATTAGATTCCATTATAATATTATTATTATATTTTTTTACTTTACTTGACTACATTGTTATTATATTATTACTTTACTTCTATTCTACCTTACTATATTTTTATTTTATCTTTATTCAATTATTATATTTTTATTATACTTTTATTTTACTCTTTCTATAATTGTCTATTCTACTTCTACTATCAACACCAGTTACATATAGTAAAAATTTTCACTTGACTTTCTTTTTTTTTTCTCAAAAAATTATTTTAACCAAACATTTTTGTTTATAAAAGAAACAATCTTTTCAATCAATAAAATCATCATTCCATCCTTGATCTTATTTATTTTTGTCCGTTATTATCATTATTTTTCATTCATATACAGTATCCTTGTTCTTTGGAGTGTTGTCTGTCAATTTTGATATATTTTATTTCTCTGTTTTCCCTTTTCTGTCTTTCTCAGACTTTGTTATTGTCACAATTTCCATTTTAATCTTCTTTCTATTTTTTTACCTGTCTGTCACCAATTCTTATATGTTAAATTACCCATTCTTTTCTATTCTTATTGTATTCTTCTTCTTGTATTTCGTAATTCACATTACATTTATTTGCCAAGTGATACTGTTATAATCCACAACAAACAAACATATTACGCGTCATATTTGTCTGGTTCCAAAATTTTATTTTTGACAAATCTACATATAAAGTGTATCCATCCACCAACATCTTTACGCAAAATAATCCATCCGTTACGAAAAACGTACCTCCCATTGCCAAAAGTAGTGCAGTCCTTGTTCTTGATATCCCAGCTATCAGCAAAAAAAAATTTCAGCTCTATCAGACAACATTTTGACATTCACATTCTTGATCTCAATAGCCAATTTGCAAATTGGCAATATGCAGGGATTACCAACCGAGCTTACCTCATTCCTGACGACATTGCAGATACAAATCATGAATGTGCAAAACAGAACCGACCAGTTGGAGCGACTTGCAGCAGAGAATGCAAGACTAACCACTGAATTAGACCATGCTAGAACAACAATTGCTAATCTGCAGAAGCAATTAGAATCCCAGAGTGCACCTGAAAATTTTTTTTCAGAAATTTCACTTTCGAACTCAGCTGGCGCAGTAGGTCCTCATATCAACAACAAAGAACCAGGTCTGAAAGCCTCTACTTGGGCTAGTAAAGCCAGTGTTTCTCTTCCTGCAATTGTACCAAAAGTGTCTACTGTTCCCTCTGCTCGCTGAATTGCAGCTTCTGTCTGTATGTTCGCTCTTCCCTCTGGTCTTTCGGGTTATGAATATGTTTATATTCTAAGATCAAGACGCCTTAAGCACAAAGAAGTCCGTTCCTCTCTCTGCACTCTTGGGGTAGATTCTTTTTGACTTTTGGACATTAACTTCCCAGCCAGAGGTATCATTGGTGTTGTGGTGGTTGAAGTTGAAGAAGTTTTTAAGAGGAAGAATTCAAGATTTGAAATTAGGAACGAAGATTCGTGAGAACTTGTGTAGGTTTTGTTTATTGAGAAAGATTTTGTATCAAAGTTTGACCAGGTTCCTACACTGAACTACTACTGCTATTTATATTGTTTTGGATTGGGAAAATTATATGACTGGGGTCAGGTAATCGATCCTATCTGAGCCTTAATCAGAGCAACGTGATCTTGGGATAATTAATGTATGATTAATTATATAAATGTGTGTAGTCCCAATGAAGTATTAACATCGAAAGTAAATGTGTTTATGAGTTATAATTATGCTTATAATAATTCACTGATGTATCCCATATTATGGTGATATCATCATATGAAATATAATCACTATCATGCATGCTAAACCTGTGTGTTAAATAATAAAGTAATCGGTAGACACCTTTGACTGGAATAGCTGAGGCCTTATATTATTTCCTTCAGACTTATTCTCAATTACAGCAGTAGTCAATACTCATTTACAACATTATCCTCCACCAGATTCAACAATACCTTTTGTTGATTCGGCAAAACATCTCATCTTAACTATTTATTAATTTGTCGAATTGCTCAATTTCATTTGGGTCAATTACGCTCATAATTTTTTTTTTTTTTATACTTCAAGAGATCTGCACTGTAAACTCAGCTCCGTGGATTACGTGTTTATTTTATCAAATTTTTTGTTGCTCTTCTTTTGGACATTCTTTCTTCTCTACTCAGTGCGGTAGGAAGCTTACTTCCATTGTACTCTTCAATGCGATTCCTTTTTATTTTACCATCATGTCTTGGAATTTGAACTGTTTTCTTTAATGAGGCTGCACTCTTATTCACTAATTCCGTGGCTCTCTCATTCTCTAAACGTTCGATTTCTCTGACCTTCTTCCAATACTTTTGTATTATTGTGGGATTGGTAAAATCGTTAGCCATTTGCCATGTGTTTGCCCGTTCACCATAACCAACCCATTTTACCAGATATTCTCTTTCACCAGCAGCACCACGATGATCGCGAATGTCTTCAACTTCATAGAGCTCATTCTCAATTGTAGATTCATCGATGGTAACCATCTTGAGTTCTGAGGGTGTGTAATTTCGGTGCAACAATTCTCCTTGCTCATCCTTTAGTTCATACGATCCTCCTTTATTTCTTCGAACCACTGTATAAGGACCTTCATAGATTGGTGCCAATTTATTTGGACGATGTGGTAATCTGACCATTACGTGTGTTCCTTTGGGGATGTCTATTAAGATGTTCTTGTGATCGTATTTCTTTTTTAACTCTTCGTTGATCCGCAAGACTCTTTCGTTTATGGCAGGGAATATTATTTTATCCATATATTCAATCTGCTTCTCCAATTCATCAATTGTTACCGTGTTTTTGGGAAGAGAGAATTTTGCTTTATCACCATACTCATCAGGTACATTAACTCTGCGAGCATACATTAGTGAAAAGGGTGCACTCAGTGTCTTTTGAGGAATATGTCTGTTTATGCATAGCTGAACAATTGGTAAATAGTGACACCAGTCATTGCTGTTCGCTCTCATCATTTTCCGTACAGTATTCTCTGCAACTTTCACACTGGCTTCAGCAATACCATTTCCTTGTGGATGATATGCCGTTGAATATCTTCGATCAATACCAAGCTCTTTCGATAGGCTTGCCATTAAAGAATTTCTAAATTCCAACCCATTGTCACTTTGCATTACTTTGGGAAAACCATAATCTCCAAATATTTTTATCAATGCCTTAGCTATTGTTGTCGGGTTTTTGTTTGGTAATGGTCTCAAGATGATATACTTGGAACAAACATCAACTAACACTAGCATATACGTGTGACCATCCTCTGATACTGGGAATTCACCGCATAAGTCAATTGCAACATGATCAAATGGTCGGAAAGCTACAACATTGGTCAATGGGTGATATCCTCTTTTGCTGATGTTGTGCTTCTGACATTCAGAGCAAGAACGAATAATCTCCTTTGCTTCTTCATATATATTAGTCCAATGTAATCCTTGAGAGTGAAGATCATTCACCATAGCTTGACTACCAAAGTGACCAAACGAATGTGCTTCTTTTAACAAGCCATTTCGCTTTTCTTCAGGAGGCGACATATAGTCGGAAGTCTCTGATACATTTTCGATGAGTTGTGTAGCAAGTACATTTAGCACTTTGTCCTTACTGTACTTTTTCTTACGAATAATAACTTTATCTTTAGATTGCAAGTGTTTTGTTCTGATTTTTCTCAATCCATCATCCTCCACCAGCTTGTAACTATCCTCTGGAGGATACAAGCGACTCAACAAGTCTGGTAGTTTATTCAACAAACCAGGAATATGGACCACCTTAAAATCAAAGTCAAGAAGTGTCTCAATCCAGCCAATTATCATGGGATTAGCAATTTTTTGTGTGTGAAGATAAGTGAGTGCTTTATGATCAGTAAAAATGGTGAACTGTCGGCCCCATAGAAATGGACGGAATTTATCAAGCGCCAAAACGACTGCATACAATTCTCTTTTGGTGGTGCTCCATCGCCGTTGGGATGGGCTCAGGGAAGTTGACACAAAACTAATATACTTATCACGCCCTTGATTGTTGCGCTGAAAAAGCAGGCAGGCTACTCCATAAAGGGAAGCATCTGTGGCCACATACATTTCACGTGACATATCTGCGTAATGAAGAATTAAATCCTGATGCAGTATGTCCTTTAATGCTTTAAAGCTTCTTGTCTGCTCATCTGTCCATAGCTCAGCTACATTGTTGGCATGACTTAATCGTGAAATAGGTTCAGCCACCTTCGAGATCATGGGAATATAGTCTCTGAAGTAATTAATCAAACCCATAAATTGCTGAATTTGTTTCGCAGTTTTAGGAATAGGCCATTTATCAACGTTTGTCAACTTTCGCTTATCAACCTTGGTGCCTGTCTCATTGACGACAAAACCAAGCAATCGCACTGAATGTTGAAACCAGACACATTTATCAGAGTTTAGAATCAACTTCGCCGATGTCAATCTATCAATCACTATTTTTACATCCTTAACATGCTGCTCAAATGTTTCGCTAGCCACAATACAATCATCAACAAAATTCTGCACACAGTCAATTTTATCAAACAAAGTTGCCATGACATGTTGAAATTGTGATGTAAGCATCTTCAAGCCAAAGCAGCCTTTAATGAAGCTATATTGTTGCCCATCTAAATGAGTGAATGTTAATTTATGAACATCTTCAGGTGCAACTTTGAAACGATGGTAGGCATTCGATAAATCCAATGTGGTGAAAAATTTCTTTCCACTCAAATTCTGGAATATCGTTTGGATTTTAGGAATTGGATAGTTGAATGTGGGAGGTAGGATCTGATTCAATAATCGCACATCTAGACAAACTCGGTGACTCACAATCTCTCCAGCTTTGTTTCTTTTAGGCACAAGCAACATAGGACTGTTGAAGGAAGTATTGGTCTTGGACTTGACAATCGTGCCTGTCTCAAGCCATTCTTTTACTTGTTTATCAAGTGTTGGTCGTAGAGCATGGGGAATAGGATATTGACGTCTATAAGCTGTGGCGCCTTCTTTTGTGGGTAATCTAATTAGAGATTCTGATAAAGGACAAGAGGACTCGACTGGGATTTTCTTATTTTCATCCAGTGAGGCCTGAATTGACTGAATAAATTCTGCTCGCTGTATTTCCGTACCAGCTGGCGAATTATCCGGTTCAAACTTTTTCTCTTTATCGATATTTAGATTCTCATACACAGCGGCATAGTCTTTAGCGTTATCTGAATGAATATATTCTCCTTCGATATCGTATGCAACATTAATCAATCCGATGTTCATTTTTGTTAAGATATCTCTTCCAAGAAGAATATCAAAATTAAATCCTGTATTAAACTCTAACACCTCGGGTGCATGCTTAAACGTAATTCCATTCACATATTTAAAATTTAAAGGATCAGTTTTTCCCAATCGCTTAGTACCACTATTCTTTGACAAGAAAGTGAAGGAACCATTTGATGAATTTATTTTATTTATATTTAAATTTTCATTCAAACATTGTAAACTAATGAAAGTGCGTGCACTGCCAGTGTCAATCATTCCAAGTAGTTTGTGGTTCTCTACAATAATAGGAGTGGTTAGATTAAATGCATCATTGGCTTTAACCCTTCTCTCAATTTTGTCAAGTAGGTACTTACAGTCGAAAGACATGTCTTCGAGTTCCAAGTCGACACTATTTTGGATCGCCTTGAGCACTTGCTCAGACTTCTCCTTGGCAGGGACCTGCGAGACCATCAGGACTGGCTCACTGTCCTTACAGACGTGGCCACGGAAGTAGTTTTCTCCACACCGCCTGCAGGGGTTGCGCTTGGTGGGGGCAGCTACTTTGGCCTTGTTGTTGGCCAGGGTGAAGCATTTGCTCGACTCATGTGTAGTATTCTTACCATGGTGCGAGCAGAAGAAGGAACGCTCCGGCTTACTGCTTCGGTGCTGCTGGTTGTTGCTGGAGTGCACCTTCTTGCGAGGGTACGCCTCCATTCTCTTCTTCTCCATTCTCTTCTCAGTGTGCATGTTGGCACCAGGAATGAGCTGAGTAGCTTCGGCATACATGCGATTGTCGTCGCCAAGGATGTCTCTGCCAATCTGCGTCAACTGCTCCACAGTCCAATCTCTTTTGGTCTCGCCATTGAAGTCCAATCTGGTCATGGTGAGCCGCAAGAGTGTCTGTACTTGCCTAGTCAAGGAAGCGAGGAAGCGGTCGGCAACACGAGCATCGTTTTTGGGGAGGCCGGCATCATACACAGCCTGAAGGAACTTCTTGGAGTAATCTCCAATCGACTCAGAAGGAAGCATTACCATGGTAAATACCTCTTTTACCGAACGGGATGTCACCAAGCGCGATCCATGTCTTGCTGTAAAGCAGATCTTGGCCGCATTCCAATCTACACACTTCTTCAAATCCATCTCTACCCATCCATCGTCACTATGAGGCAAGCAGAGCGGTAAAAATCTCTTCCAAACTAGTTCAATGTCCTGAAGGGACGACTCAATAACCTTTTGGAAGGTGCGAAGGAAGTGGTCTACTGAGTGAAAGACCTCTTCATTCGGGAAGGATCTAATCACATCGTCTGCCAACTGGAACTTAGGAAGATCTCTTCTATTAAGAGTCAACCCTCCAGTGCGACTACTCTTCTCTACAACTTTCACAGAAGGCGAAAGGTACTGACTGCATGCTATTTCTATATCTATCATTTCTTTGACGCGTCTGACCTTATTAAGGGCTAATTCAGCTGCTTGCTCATCGTTCATAGCGTGAGCAGTGCTGACAGCCTCTACATGCTGTTGAAGTTCTAGTCTAAGTTTCTCTGACAAAGACAAGACTGTTGTAGCAGCATTCGCTACCAAGGGACGAAGGGGAGAGGGAGCAACAAATTGTCCAGGGGTGGAGCTGGCAAAGGAGATGTTGTCACTCAGACTGGCGATGAGGTCCTCCTCAGTCATGACGGACATGGCATCCTCATCATGAGCAGGGATGATGGCGGCGGGATAGTTCTCAGCAGAGGGGTTCATGGTAGTTCACGAAAAAAAATGTTGTGGTGGTTGAAGTTGAAGAAGTTTTTAAGAGGAAGAATTCAAGATTTGAAATTAGGAACGAAGATTCGTGAGAACTTGTGTAGGTTTTGTTTATTGAGAAAGATTTTGTATCAAAGTTTGACCAGGTTCCTACACTGAACTACTACTGCTATTTATATTGTTTTGGATTGGGAAAATTATATGACTGGGGTCAGGTAATCGATCCTATCTGAGCCTTAATCAGAGCAACGTGATCTTGGGATAATTAATGTATGATTAATTATATAAATGTGTGTAGTCCCAATGAAGTATTAACATCGAAAGTAAATGTGTTTATGAGTTATAATTATGCTTATAATAATTCACTGATGTATCCCATATTATGGTGATATCATCATATGAAATATAATCACTATCATGCATGCTAAACCTGTGTGTTAAATAATAAAGTAATCGGTAGACACCTTTGACTGGAATAGCTGAGGCCTTATATTATTTCCTTCAGACTTATTCTCAATTACAGCAGTAGTCAATACTCATTTACAACAATTGGCATCCTTGTTCATATCCAGTATGCTGATACACTTAAGGCTAAACTGACAACTGCTTCTGTTGAGATTTTGGATGCATTTGATCCACTTGACCCTGATAATGTTGCTGATCCCAAGTATGCATCTCTGCCCACTCATGAACTTGCCAACACTGCTGCCATGCTTCACCATGATAGATGTCTCCAAGCTCTTCAGTTCTTGCATCCACATGTTGCTATCTCAGTTGGTCACTTCTTTTGTGAGGAAGGGTGAATCAGTGAAGATAAAATCCCAACACGTACTACTCTTAACAATGCCACTGGTGAATCTTTGTTCAAACGTCAGCGCAGCTCATCAGTCACTATATCTGAATGAGTAATCTCAATATTGGATTATAGAATGCTAATGGCCTACAACCCAGAGCCATTCAAGATACCCTTCAACACTGTCAATTCTTACATATGCTCTTCATTACTAAAACATGGCTCCTCTCTCCCTCACGTCTTCCCACATTATAGTCACAAATTCACTTGTATGGTTCTCCTGTAGCTGGCACCTATAGGGGCTCTATGGTTGTTTCCATTCTAATCTCACCTCACTGTCCTTATGCTGTCACTCAAATATCTATGCCCTCAAAATATGCTCTGGCTGTCAAAATTGGCTCACTCAGAATTGTATGCTTATATCTTCCACCAACTATGCCTACTCATGATGTTCTATATGTACTTTCTTCCATTCCTTTAACACATGATACCATTCTTTGTGGTGACTTTAATGTAAGACTTGGCTCTGTTACTGGGGACTATGCATCAAATTCTCATGGACTGGCACTATGTTCTTGGATAGAAGAGAGATCTTTATCAGTTGTAAATGCAGATTTTACACCTTGCATACCAACATATATTTCTTTCCGCAACAACTATGAAATCAGCAGTATTATTGACCTCTTTATAACTAATATGTCACTCATCAATCCTTCTCTTCATGTTGCTACTGACTTGTCACTTGGATCAGATCATCGTCTTTTATCACTTTCCTTCACTTATGATCTACAGCACTCTACAAATATGTCACCACCATTACACAAGACATAGAACCTCTCTCACCTCAAAGAACCTGATATCCATGCTCTTTATACTCATATCTTCACCTAAAACTCGATCTCTCTCCTTTCCATCTTGCAAGAAATTGTACTGAATCCACCACTCACCAAACCTGACATTGATGCTTGTTGTATCCAACATAATTGTAGATTCAAATAGAGCGCACAGACAATAAGACAAAGACATATTGAATAAGCGACCAGTATCAATTATACATTATTTCTCACACTATCATTAAATAAAGAATATACTGATAACAAGGTTACACACCTTAGTCAACATCACTAATCACTCAAACAAGAGCGTGGTTAATAACTTAACAATATATTATCTATGATATAAGAAAACAGACATCACATGATATACTCATATCATTATCCTAAATACACATGCAATGTCTATATAAACTCACATAGCAAATAGCAATAGAAGATCATCTCTCTTTTCATCAATAAACAAAGTCTCACCATACTTCTCGTCTGCACTTTGTTTTTCTTTCTTTCCTAAAAATATAACAATGCTATCACTGATGAGTTCAATTCACTCATTTACAACTCACTAAATAGCTCAATTGAATATCGACCCTCTCGCCCAAACCATTGGAAATCCTTCTGGAATGTGGCATTACAAACAGCAGAAGATCATTATAACAAATGTTACAAAAAATGACGCCTAGCAATAGGTATTGACAAAGTTGTTTGGTGGACTAAACACAAGCATGCACAGGCCGAATTCTGATCCCAAGTTCAGCAAGCCAAACGTCAGTCATGACATATGTTCTGTCAGTCCATAGAGCATAATTTCAGCAAAGCAACGTCAAAAATAAAGCAGTTAAAACGCCGTAGACAGCCACAACATACTTTCCAGCATGACAATGGACCAGCCGTAGCAGCAGCAACAATATGTGACCATTTGGCAACAGTATATAGTGGACATATACTTCCAGCAACCCGACCATCAGCATCAACAACGACTTGTAACAGTGTGCCTTTTGCCTCTGATGACTCTCCATTTAACTCACCAATTGTGAAGGAATTCATGCAATTTATGCCTAACTGCATGGCACCAGGGCCTGATCATATCAGAGCTGAAATGCTAAAACCTATCAAATCACTTATCTTACCTGTTCTTGCTTTGTTTTTTACAGTTTGCTGACAATGGTCGTATGTTCCAAGTCTTTGGTGCCAAGCACAAGTTTTTCTCATGTTCAAGAAAGGTAGTCCAACAGACCCGGCTAACTACTGGCCAATCTCCTTGACTTCTGTACTGCGTAAGCTTTTTGAAATGTGTATAGCCCCCCAGTTGCACAAGTACTCTCCTCCTTTGGATGTGGCTCAAAATGGTTTTCGTCCTCGCCGTGGTGCTTTGGATCAAGCTCTCTGTCTCCATGATCTGATGAAAGCCTATTATCACCGTCATAAGCACTACCCTGTTGTTGCATTTCTGAATATCAAGGCTGCCTATGATACAGTAAATCGACGAATCATCTGGCACACTTTACAACAACGTGACACTCTGCCGGCCCTTTTGGGCCTCTTAGTTAACATGTTTGACAATGTCTCTATCTCTGTCCTTCTGGATAACTTTTCTTCACACTCGTTCTCATCTGCCACTGGGGTTCTCCAAGGTTCTGTCCTCAGTTCACATCTGTATTCAATATATATCAACTCCCTGCCCCCATTGCTCCGCACAGTTGCTCACTCACAAACTACTACCCATGTTCCATCACCCTCTCCTACCTCATTGGATGCGTATAATGTTCTTCTTGCTCCTTCAGGTGTGGATGGCTTTGGACATATTCATTTCTCAACCCCTATCAATTCTCTGCTCTTTGCCAACGATGTAGCTACTTTTGATTCTCCTTCAGACGTTCAGGCCATGCTAGACCTTGCTGCAGACCACTCTCTTACCCTTGGATATCGATGGAGCCCCACTAAATGTGAAGTTATATATCTCAAAACACGTGCAAGCTCGCCAGTTCCACTTCTTTTATATGGTCACGTTCTCCCTGCCACTGACCTGTTTATTTATCTGGGTGTTCCTTTTGCCAATAAGGGTATTTCTTCCAAGTCCATTGCCACTCATAGATGTTCTGGTACACTTGCTACAATGGCAACACTAAACTCTGTTGGAGCTTGTCGTTCTGGTTTTTCTCTGCTGCTCAGTTCACGACTGTATAAGACTTTTGTTTGCCCAAAGTTAGAATATGTTTTGGCTATTTCCACTCTGCTGAAGCAAGATATTAAAGTTCTGGAGTCTATTCAAGATAAGTGTCTTCGCATGATTGTTGGGGGGCATGCCACGTCCTTTACAATTGTGTTGAAGCACATCTGCAATCTACCAAGTATGAAGTTTCGTGCAGATGTTCTCAAAGCTAAATTTTGTATCAGATCACGCTTTCTGCCTGCCCAGTTCCTTCTGTCTCTTTTACACCGCCATCATACCATCTATTCTTCACTTGTCTCCTTGGGAAAAAACAACCTTCTGTCACATCTCCCTCCAACACTCAAACTTCGAAGCCCTAGTGCTGTAAAAAATCATTTTGAAAGCATTAGAGAAGCTGGATTTGCAACCTTTCTCCAGTCCAATACACAAGTTCTCATTCAAGCATGCTGCCCAGTTCTTGGAGTTGATCCAATCTTGTTTTTGCCAGCCTCATGTGTGGAACGTGGCTGTTTGATTCGTTGGAGAATGAGATAGTTGCCAGGCAAACCAAAGGAATGTCCTTGTGGATCTGATCACATCTCACGGCGCCACTTGTTGAATTGTCCACTTGTTCCTGCAACACTATTTGAACAGTTGCCTCAACCTGACCATGACCAGATACACAGAATTGATTTTGCCATCACATCCTTAAGAACCGCAACCTGCATACTGGATACCACTGATTTCTATTCTCTGGCACATAGATGTTATATATAATCCTGATGGTGACTATTCACATGAGACTGAACATGGTGCTCTTTGGATATAATTTAGACTTTTTCTTTTCTTTCATAGCTCTCCACTTTTTATTGTTCTTTACTCCCTTTATCTCTCTTCTTTCTCTTTTGTTCTTTGCTGTCTGAAAAGTTCTTTGTTCTGCAATTCTGTCTCCTCCCTTTCACTGTTACAACTATTTTTACAGCTGCAAAGTGGAGAGCAGGTTCAGCCATTGAAGCTAGTATGATTTGATCTTCTCTTTCCCCTCTCTTTTTTTTGTCTTTTGTGATCCCTTGGGACTTTTTTATATCTTATTTTTGTACTTTAAAGACTATATGATCTATAGATCGCCAGCAATATCTCCTTTAATAAAATATAATCTTTAATCTGAGCTAAATGGGCACCTCTCTTTCACGTAAGCTTCATGTTTTTAAATTTTGAGTTTTTTATAGTTTGTATTCATACAATTCTATCATCAATTCATCCAAAATATTGCTTCAACCATTGCATCCATTGTCAAAAACAAATTTCCTATTGTTCCTGCCATTTTATCACCAATTTTCACATTTTCTCTGCCGATTGCTGCCATCTTGAGATCATCACCAAACATGTCACAATTGTTGCCTGCTAATTGCATACAAAGTCTTCCAGCCGAACTTGTGACGTTTTTAACCAGTATGCAGTCACAGTTCAACGCACTTAACGAACGTACATCACCTTTGGAATCACTTGCTGCTGAAAATGTCTAATTGCATGCTCAATTAGCTAATGTCTGGCAGGAGAATGCTGATCTCCAATCTCAATTGTTGCAAAACAATGGGACTGGTTCTGTTTCCAGCTCTGCTTCTCTTCCTGCACCTCAGTCAACTGCAGACCTTGGAACTGCTGCCTCCACTTGGGTCACCAAAACAAGCTTGATTCTGTCAGCCAAGACACCTCGAGTTTCTTCTGCCTGCTGGGTTGCTGCCTCTCAAAGACTGTTCTCTGACAAAACTGGTTCTGATGGTTTTGAATATGTTTATATTCCTCGCTCACATTGTATTACGCACAGTGAAATGCACTGCTCTCTCCACACTCTTGGTGTTGACACTGGTCGCCTGTTAGATATTAACTTTCCTACTTGTGGGGTGATTGGCGTTCTTTTCCATGTGCAATATCTTGAGGAATTTAAGTTCCAATTAGCTAGTGCTAAGGTCTCTCTTGTCAACAACTTTGATCCACTTGATCCCAAAAATGTTGTTGATCCCAAGTTTGCCAACTTGTCTGTCTCTGGTCTTGAAACCCAGGCTTTGGTTCTCCAAAATGCCTGCTGTCTCCAAGCTCTCAAGTTTTTGCGTTCTCACTTGGTTCTGCCAGTTGCTCACTTCTTTGTCCAGTCAGAATGGATTGGACTTGAGGAAATTCTTGCCCGTCCAGTAGCTGAGCACTTTGGTGATGATCCAAACAAAAAACGTGCTCTTGATTCTCTCACTGCTATGATTGAATGAGTGACTTTTCAATAGGATTATAGAATGCTAATGGACTTCAACCTCGTGCAATTAAAGACATGCTCAACCACTGTCAATCTCTTCATATGCTTTTTATAACCAAAACATGGCTCTTATCCCCAGCCCGTCTTCCAACCTCATGGTCTCAATTTCATCTGTATGGATCTCCTGTTTCTGGCAACTACCGTGGATCAATGGGGGTGTCATTGTTAGTCTCTCCTTCATGTTCTTATGCCATCACTCAAATACCTATGCCCAACAACTATGCTCTTGCTGTCAAGATTGGTACCCTTCGACTTATATGCCTTTACTTACCACCCTCTATGCCTACTCATGAAGCTCTTGATATTCTTTCAGCCATTCCTTTAACTGATGATACTATTATATATGGAGATTTTAATGCACGACTTGGTTCAGTAACTGGTGACTATGCATCTAACCCTCATGGTGTAGCTTTAGAGCAATGGCTTGAAGAACAATCTTTAACTGTCCTCAATAGAGTTCTCTCACCATGCACACCCACATACATTTCCTTTTGTAACGGCATTGAAATCAGCAGCATCATTGACCTTTTCATCACCAACACCAACTTTGCCAACCCTTCTCTACACATTGCAACCAAATTGTCTCTGGGCTCTGATCACCAACTTCTCTCCCTTTCCTTTAATTATGATCTGCAACACTCACCACCAGCACCTCCTCCTATGTGCCAAACTTGGAATCTCTTACGGCTTTATGAAGATGATGTTAGATCACTTTATGTTATCACCATTGTCACCAAATCCGCCTCCCTCTTCACCACACTGCAAGACCTTGTTCAGAATCCGCCAACTATATGTCACCCCATTGATGCTCTTACTAACTCTTTTAATACACTCATTTATAACTCTCTTAGTAGCTAAATTGGTTCTCGCTCATCTCGCCCCTCACATTTGAAATTGTATTGGACCTCTGCATTGCAAACTGCAGCTGACCATAGGGATGGTTGTTACAAGCAATGGCATCAAGCTTGTGGCATTGACAAAATCAATTGGTGGAGCCGGCACCAACATGCACACAAGGAGTTCCAACAGCAAGTTCAGTCTGCAAAGCATTTATCTTGGCATGCTTTCTGTCATTCTATGGAATCTGATTTCAGTAAGGCAACGTCCAAGATTAAGTAGTTGAAACGGCGCAGGCAGCCTCAGCATATGTTCCAGCATGATGATGGCCCAGCAGTAGCAGCATCAGTCATGTGTGACCATCTCGCATCAGTCTATAGTGGACATATTCTTCCTGATATTCGACCTTCACCACCACCACTCAACACTTCTCTCATGCCTTTTGCCTCTGTTGACTCCCCATTCACCTCATCAGTGGTAGAGGCCTTCATGCAATTTATGCCTAACCGCAAGGCGCCGGGTCCTGACCACATCTGTGCAGAAATGCTAAAGCCCATTTGACCTCACATCTCATCTCTTCTTGCCTGTCTTTTTACTATTCGCTGGCAATGGTCATACACCCCTCCTCTCTGGCGCCACGCCCAAGTGTTTCCAATCTTTAAGAAGGGAGACCCTTTGGATGCAGCAAACTACCGCCCCATCTCTCTTACATCTGTTGTCCGTAAGTTGTTTGAGATGTGCATAGCCCCTGAATTGCACAGATATTCTCCTCCTTTAGATGTTGCCCAAGATGGATTTCGTCCTTGTTGTGGTGCTCTTGACCAAGCTCTCTGCCTGCATGACTTGATGAAAGCCCATTTTAATCGTCATCACCACTACCCAGTCGTTGCTTTCCTCAATATTAAAGCAGCATATGACACTGTAGATCGGCACATCATTTGGCATGCTCTTTCCCAACGATGTGCTCCATCTGCTCTGCTTGAACTTTTGGTCAATATGTTTGACAATGTATCAATTTCTGTCCTTCTTGGAAATTTTTCCTCACAATCATTTTTGCCTGCCACTGGAGTCCTCCAAGGTTCAGTCCTCAGCCCTCATCTGTATTCTATATATATCAACTCCCTGCCACCTCTCCTTCGCACAGTTGCTTCACCACTCACCTCCACACATGTTCCCTCAACTTCGCCATCTTCTTTGGACACCTATAATTCTCTTCTTTCTCCTTCTGGTGTCAATAGCTTTGGATATGTCCTATCTTCTACACCCATCAATTCGCTCCTTTTTGCTGACGATGTGGCTATATTTAGATCACCTGCAGATGTCCAATGTATGCTAAATCTTGCAGCTCAGCATTCCTTTTTGCTTGGATATCGTTGGAGCCCATCTAAATGTGCAATTGTATACCCTCCTTCTCGATCTCCTCACCAGCAACAGCTATCTATTTATGGTGAACTTCTTTCTGCAGTTCAGGAATTTATTTACTTGGGTGTCCCATTCCGCAACAAGGGTATTTGTGGGCCTTCTGTAGTTTCTCATCGTCGTTATGGCACACTTGCTACAATGTCCACTCTGAATTCTGTTGGTGCTTGTTGCTCTGGATTCTCTTTGCTTCTGAGCTCCAGACTTTACAAGACATTTGTTCGCCCCATATTTGAGTATAGTTTAGCCATCACTATTCTATGCAAAAAAGATTATACTGAGATAGAATGTATTCAAGACAAATGTTTGTGTACAATTGTTGATAGTCATGCTACTTCTTCTACTGCAGTACTGAAACATATTTGTAATTTGCCAAGCATGCAGTTTCGCTCTGATATTTTGATATCCAAGTTCTGTATTTGTGCTCAATCCCTTCCGTCTGGTTACCTGCTATCACTTTTACATTTACATCATCCTCAGTCGTCCTCTTTACCTGCTTTATCAAAAAATTCTCTTTTTGTCAGCATCCCCATCACACTGAATGTTCATAGCAATACCAAGCTCGAGCGTTTTTTTGAGACATTTCGTCAGTACAAGTTTGATCAGATGTGACTTACCAATACCAAAGTGTTACTTCAAGCATGCCGTCCTTTTTTGGAAGTTGATCCAATTTTGTTCTTACCGGCAACTAGAGTGGAACGTGGTTGCCTTGTGCGTTGGAGAATGGGCTGGTTGCCTGGCACTCCCAAAGATCGTCTTTGTGGTAATGGTCGTATAACTCATGATCATCTTCAATTCTGTTCCAACATTCCTCTCTGTCTTATGACTCAGCTACCACCGCCTCTAACATCTGGCAGATATAGCATTGAATGATGCTATATCTGCTCTGCCTTCATCAGCTACTTTTCCCCGTCCAATGTATTGGAAGGCGCTTCACACTATTCTCTGGCATATTGATATCATTTGTAATCCGGATGGAAACTATGCCCATGAATTTGAACATGGCTCACTGTGGTGTTCTCAGTAGTTATTTTTTCTTTATTTTCTCCTCTTCTTTTTTGTTTATTTTTATCTTAGTTTATTGTACCTCATGAAATGTTTTCTGTTCTGCAACTCTGTCTCCTCCCTTTCACTGTTACACCTTTTTACACAGCTGCAAAGTGGAGAGCAGGTTCAGACTTTTAGCTTATTAGTGTTAGTTCTCTTCTTCTCTTTCTATTTTTTGTCTTTTTGTGATCTTTTTAGACTTTTTTTTATCTTTTTCTTTTTGTACTTGGGAGGCTATATGATCTATAGATCGCCAGCAATATCTTCTTTAATAAAACATAATCTTTAACCTGAGCTAAATGGGCTTCGGATACTGTCATGTGCGTTGTGGGCAGGTCCGGCTTTTGGCTATATTGTGGTGTCCGGTACTAGAAGATCAGTCTGCTTGGTGAGTTTGTCTGGTAGTTTGTCATGACTTGTCGTCCTGGTTATAAGAGGCTGACATCAACGCTTTGTTGATGTGGTGCTGTGCCCTTGATGGTGAGCGGAGAATTTTTCTGTGCACAGAAAAAATCTCATTTCTGCTCCCTGTTCCTTCTACATACAATACTTTTTCCTTTTCCCTTGTTAACATATTTGTCTACATTGTACTCATTCAAAATCATGGTCCCCCATGCTAGTAACATTTCTCTTCTACAATGCACATAATTCATCCTGCTGACATCTCTGTACAACATCAGTACCTTTATTATTATATTTTTTACCATATTTTTATTCATATATTTTATCTTTGCTGTATTGATTATTCATCATTCTATTTTTACTAACTTTATTTTTCCAAACTTCTATTATCAACTTAAAATCTTGCCAACTATAAAAAGAGAAGCAAACTCAACTCAATAAAGAATTCATTCAGTTTTCAGTATCTTTTTCTTGTTTTCTTCTCTTTGTGGTCTATACCATCTTGTGACATAACATATCGGTTCCTTGGTTTTAGGAAGATTGTTTGTTGGTTTTGGTCTCTTCGTTGGTTATTACTTTTCTGTTTCGTCATTTTCTTTTCATACACCTTTCTTTCTCTTTCAATTTTAACAACGATTCTATCGGTTGTTCTCTCTTTTCTTACCTGTCAACTATTGCTGCTTGCCGCCTTTTGCTGTATCCGTCTTCTGTTCTATTCTATTATCTTTGTATTTTATTTGCCAAGTGATCTGTTACAATCTACAACAAACCTAACATATGACGCGTCAATACTTATGACACACGATGTAGTAATATTTTTGTCTTTAGTTCAAAAACCAAATTCTACCAAGTTCAGATTTCTTTTGAAAACCCTTTTTAATTTTTTCTTTAAAATTTTAATTTTAATTTCTTTCTTCCATTTTCACAAAATCGCCTTTTTCCAAAAACCAATTTTCTGAAATTTAAAATCTTTCTCCTTTATTTTTCTCGAATTTGTTTTCTTCCTTTTTTTTTTTATTCCTGCACACTAAATGTGACACTTTCTCTTAAATACTACTTTACCAAAATTGTTAACTGAATAGTTTTTCCCTTTATTTATAATATACTTCTTTCTGACATTTTTCTTTTCTTGTAGTTATATATTATACCTTCATCTATTTCTTCTTTCATAATGAAATATTTATATAGTCATTTTTTTTTATATTTCTATTTACGATTATTTCATTAAGTTTTATCTAGCCTATTTTTGTCATATATTTTATCCATAAAATAGTATAAATATCTCTCTAAAATCAATCAATAAATAACTGTTGAATTTTTCTGATACAAAGTTTTCTTCAAGACACTGTTTATTATCTCTGATCTCTCTTGTGAAATTTCCTTCATTTTATTTATTTTTCTGTCAAATCTGCATAAAAGATTGACTATTCCCTTTTATTTTATTATTTTGTTCCGATTTTTTCTTTTTATTTATCTCTTAGTAAATTTACTATAGTAAATTTCTCTTTAGTTAGATCTTTTACTCTAGTAAACATTTTCCTTCCTATACTTAACTCTTTAGAATTAGAATTAATTACTTCACTTCTTTTAGTTTAACTATTTCTCTAATTATTTATATTATTTACACTCTTACCTTAGTGTTAGTTTCCCTTTTAATGTCTTTAACTGGTCTATGTTGTAACAAAGAGACTATTTTATTACCTCAATTTATCTGATATCAAATCTAATTCTTCAATTCCTCTTTTCAATTACTCTTCTTATATACATTTATTTTTGTTTATATATCTTCTGCACACAGCCAAATACCACATGTGACAAGTATGATGTGTGATGTGTTAAATTTGTTGTAGATTCTAACAGATTACTTAGTAAATAAAATACAAAGATAATAGAATAGAATAGAAGAGAGATGCAGTAAAAGATGATAAACAGCAATAGTTGACAGGTAAAAAAAAGAGAGAACAACTAATAGAAGTATTATTAAAAGTGAGAGAGAGAAATGTATGAAAAGAGAATGAGGAGACAGAAAAGTAATAAACAATGAGGAGACCAAAACCAACAAACAACCTTCCTAAAACCAAGGAACTGATATGTTATGTCACAAGATGGTATAGACCACAAAGAGAAGAAAACAAGAAAAAGATACTGAAAACTGAATGAATTCTTTATTGAGTTGAGTTTGCTTCTCTTTTTATAGTTGGCAAGATTTTAAGTTGATAATAGAAGTTTGGAAAAATAAAGTTAGTAAAAATAGAATGATGAATAATCAATACAGCAAAGATAAAATATATGAATAAAAATATGGTAAAAAATATAATAATAAAGGTACTGATGTTGTACAGAGATGTCAGCAGGATGAATTATGTGCATTGTAGAAGAGAAATGTTACTAGCATGGGGGACCATGATTTTGAATGAGTACAATGTAGACAAATATGTTAACAAGGGAAAAGGAAAAAGTATTGTGTGTTGTTGTAAATGAGTATTGACTACTGCTGTAATTGAGAATAAGTCTGAAGGAAATAATATAAGGCCTCAGCTATTCCAGTCAAAGGTGTCTACCAATTACTTTATTATTTAACACACAGGTTTAGCATGCGTGATAGTGATTATATTTCATATGATGATATCACCATAATATGGGATACATCAGTGGATTATTATAAGCATAATTATAACTCATAAACACATTTACTTTCGATGTTAATACTTCATTGGGACTACACACATTTATATAATTAATCATACATTAATTATCCCAAGATCATGTTGCTCTGATTAAGGCTCAGATAGGATCGATTACCTGACCCCAGTCATATAATTTTCCCAATCCAAAACAATATAAATAGCAGTAGTAGTTCAGTGTAGGAACCTGGTCAAACTTTGATATAAAATCCTTTCTCAATAAACAAAACCTACACAAGTTCTCACAAATCTTCGTTCCTAATTTCAAATCTTGAATTCTTCCTCTTAAAAACTTCTTCAACTTCAACCACCACAACATAAATCCTTTCCACAAAGCCATAGTCAAAAGATATGGCCTAAGCAATAACTCAATCATGTATTAATTACTAAGATATATATTTTGTACTTGAATTGACATTGATAATATTGACATTGAATATTTTATTTTTGTAGTTTTTTTTTATATATTTTATCTCTATTTATCTTTCTATTAATTTTTATCTCAATTGTCAACTTTTTTTACAATCAATATTTTTTTGAAACTTTTATGAAATACTCAGATTTGACCCCCCAAAAAAATGGGATTATTACAGTAATCATCTCTGACATCAGAGATGAAAATATTGTTCTCAAAATCTTGTCCTATTGTCTTGTCCATAAGGATAGCCTAATAATACACTGATGTATCCCATATTATGGTGATAACATCATATGAAATATAATCACTGTCATGCATGATAAACCTGTGTGTTAAATAATAAAGTAATTGGTAGACACTCTTGACTGGAATAGCTGTGGCCGTATATTATTTCCTTCAGACTTATTCTTAATTACAGCAGTAGTCAATACTCATTTACAATATGGTCAAACCCACTGGGAATCGTAAACAAAAATAAAAGAATAAAAAGAGGATAGAAAGATAGATAACTTTTATTGAATAAAATAATATTCTCTTTCATTCAATAAAAGTTATCTATCTTTCTATCCTCTTTTTATTCTTTTATTTTTGTTTACGATTCCCAGTGGGTTTGACCAATTTTGGCTGTGTTATAGTATTAGAAGAATAACCCAGATCGACAACAACAAACAACTGTTGGACATTATTTTGATGAATCCAAGAAATTGGGATAATTGACCGCAGCAGTTCTGTATATCAAAGATACCTCATAGATAACGAACTGCAGTAATGTCTTGTAAAGATTAACCACAGTAACATCTTCTGAGCATCAACCGCAGTAAAAAGACTTCTCTTGTAATTAAATAGAGTATAATAGTTTACTGCGGATAATGTGCAGTATTAGTTTAGAAAACTATATAAGACAATTCAATTCCTATCAATAAAAAGCACCTTTTATCCTCTCTTCGATTTTACATATACTCTCCGATCCCCAGTGGGTTTGACCTTTTGACTTTGCTATAGTAAAAGGAAGACCATCCCAGATCAGGAACGACACAACCAACTAAATCAGCCATGCTAAAAATGGTAAAATGCCCATTACAGGGGTCGAACCTGTGGCCTTGGCGTTATTAGCACCACGCTCTAACCAACTGAGCTAAACGGGCTTTAGATGTTTGTCACGTGTGTTGTAAGTAACTCATGCATTTAGCTATGTCGTGGTGTCTGGTACTGGAAGGTCAGTCTGCTTGGTGGGTTTGTCTGGCGGTTTGTTGTGACTTGTCGTCCTGGTTATAAGAGGCTGACGTCAACGCTTTGTTGATGTGGTGCTGTGCCCTTGATGGTGAGCGGAGAATTTTTCTGTGCACAGAAAAAATCTCATTTCTGCTCCCTGTTCCTTCTACACATGTTGTGGTGGTTGAAGTTGAAGAAGTTTTTAAGAGGAAGAATTGAAGATTTGAAATTAGGAACGAAGATTCGTGAGGACTTGTGTAGGTTCTGTTTATTGAGAAAGATTTTGTATCAAAGTTTGACCAGGTTCCTACACTGAACTACTCCTGCTATTTATATTGTTTTGGATTGGGAAAATTATATGACTGGGGCCAGGTAATCGATCCTATCTGAGCCTTAATCAGAGCAACGTGATCTTGGGATAATTAATGTATGATTAATTATATAAATGTGTGTAGTCCCAATGAAGTATTAACATCAAAAGTAAATATGTTTATGAGTTATAATTATGCTTATAATAATTCACTGATGTATCCCATATTATGGTGATATCATCATATGAAATATAATCACTATCATGCATGCTAAACCTGTGTGTTAAATAATAAAGTAATCGGTAGACACCTTTGACTGGAATAGCTGAGGTCTTATATTATTTCCTTCAGACTTATTCTCAATTACAGCAGTAGTCAATACTCATTTACAACAATTTATTTTTGGCCAAGTGAAGTTTCTGATAGGTTTACGCTTCACAAGGAGAAAGTGGTTGATGTCCAAGATGATGATTATTAGTTTAAATTTTTCTGGTGTAGTAGTTAATGGAACAAAGAGACAGTCGCCTGTTTCTCTTAGAGTGTTCCAATATACAGCTATTGATCTATTGAACACATCTGCTACAAGTTGTGGATGGTTAATCGTTCCAAACCAATGTTGCTGTGGGAGGGGTGATCTTTTATCTTTGAGGCTGATTATGAGCGGGTTTGTGGATGCAGATATGTTGTCATTCTCTATTCTTCTCTAGTAATATGTATGCTGATATTTTAGGTATGCTTCTAGCATATTTTCTTTAACTTCAGACCATTTCTTCTGGTCTTGATATATCTCCATTGCTATTGCTTGTTATCTACAGTTGCCATCTGCTTTGGGAGAAAAGACTTTGGTTATATGTTTAGGAGCAATAATAAGATTTTTTAATATTGTGTGATCGATTGGCAAGCCAAGATTGGTAATATTTTGCAAGGCTTTTTGCTCTTGAGTTGAGGATATTTGTTTTCTAGAAAATAGAGCAAAACTTGAGTGAAATAGATTTATGTAATGTATTATAAATGAATACTCACTTTTTTTGTTCTTTTGTTATTTTAATTTTTTTGTATCTTTTTCTTTTTTAGTTTCAATGCAGTGCTCTAATGCAATCATTTTACGCTTTGTATTTTTGGGTTGGCCTTTGATGGCTTTTACTATTGTTGGACTATTAAGATCCTCAAGTTCCTGCTTGGTTATTTTTTCTAGTATGTTTTTTATTAAGTTATGTATATCTATTTGTTTTTGTTTGCTGTGTGTAATGTGAAAGCCTTCATGAACAAGCTTAAGATCATAATCAAATTGAGGCAATATAGTTGTTATTTTAGTAATGTTTGCTGGTACTGGTTCTGCGTTGTTAATTGTCAAGTGGTCTATATACAATTATATATTATATAAGAAAATAATGTTATAACTATTATATGTATTATCTTCTCCTTCTAGATAATCTTTTCTCCAGCATCTTGGAATTAGGGAAATTGGAATTGTATTAAAAGTAGCGAGTGTATAATAGTATGGTAGGAGATAGTTGTAATATAAGAGGCATTTGCACTCTTTGATAAATTTTTCAGATATGATTGATTTTGATAGTTCTAGTTTGATTTTGTACATTGCAAAGCAGCTAATTTTTTGACGAATGTTATTTAGTCTCGCTCCATTGACTTTGTCAAACACAACTTCTGTACTCTCTCCAAGACACTCTGTCATTAATCTGCATTTACGATCATCAACCTATTTAATATACAAATATATTATAGCAAATAATTATAATTAGAGAACTTATTCAACTAACATATAAAATAAAATAAGATAATGCAAACTTACCAGTTCCTGATACCACTTTTTCACTTTTAGTGTCACTGTCATCAATTTACCAGAAGAGGTACCAAGAGAATGCTTGAGGGAAGCATGTGCACTTTCTGCGTAATTGGAGATATGATTTCCAAAGTGAGAGTATTTATAAACGTACATGTTTATCTAGTTTTCCTTGTCTTTCATTTTTCTAATAAATTATATAAAAATTACCAATTTTTTATAATTAATAAGCCATTTTTGTCAAGTTCAATGGCTCTATATATATCTTTCAAGAAAATTACTGGTGGTTTTCCCCTGATCCTTGCAATTCTCCTTTGCAAACTCGAGGTACACATCTGCCTCTTTCTTTACTTCTTCGGGTATCTCGCACTTCAAAGCAATCTTGTCAAGAAACCCTGCCAAAGTCTCCAAAAGCTCTCTCTTCTCACTGCTCTCTTCTCCCTTCATCATCGGTAGCAAGTCTTTTTTGAAATTATTTTTTATATGCTTATAGCATAAGACTTGCTTCGACTCAGAGAAAACACAGGTAATTACATTTTGCAATGCTTTCTCATTGTCAGTTATAAACACATTAGGAAGAAGAGATATGTATGTGTTTGTTTGTGTTGTTGTTGCTGTATTGTTGTTACTATTGCTGCTGTTATTGTCTTCAACATCTGGCCAAACTGCATCATGGAGACAACGAAGTACCCAGAGATAATTCTCAACCATCTCGTGCTCTATCCAAGTACCAGCAATAGAAAATGTCTTCAATGTTCTGCAAGATTTACCAGTTACATTACTGGTACCAACAATATTGACAAATGTCATTCTATGGCTATTTGTCTTATATGTAGCATCAATGGTTATTGTCTCAGACATTCTTTGCGCTTTCTCAATTGCATCCTTGTGAACAAAGAAAACTATGTTGATTCTTTTATCATCTGTATTATCAACAGTATAGTGGATATAGAAGTCCAGGTCTTGTAAAGTGGTAATAAAACCAAACATCTCCTTTCCTTTGTAATCTTTTCCAAAGTGCTGCTTGATGTTCTCAATGTCTTGACATACAACATTGGTGTACCCACATATCTTCAAACTATTGAAGATGGTTGATACATCATCGTTATTCTCCAGATGTCTTGTTACAAGAGCCATGGCCTCAAGCAAAAATTTTTGGTGCATAGCATATGCCCTATGATCTTCCTCAATTGGATGGTTATGTTGTGCCTCGCACAAGTGTACAGCAACTCTTCCATCTTTTTTCTTAGAGGCATACACGAAGCATTGGCAGCCATGCTTTTGTGTATCCTTGACACGTTTTCTTTCCCATTCAGGAAGGGGACTCTCTTTGCTGGCAGAGGTTTTTAAAGCAATCTTTGCAGCCTTATGAGTGTCTCTATATTCGCCTGCATGCTTACAGATTATCTTTATGTGAGTTTCTGATGAAAACATGGTGGAAAATGCAATATTATGCATGACACCATATGCCTTGACAGCTTCACGAACAGCTACAGTTGAAGAAAATTGTCTTCTAACAAGAAAGATAGAATTAAACTCAGTCAAAGCAGTATTGTACTTCTTGGAAAAATTCTCACTGACAATGACAAGATCATTGGTGTTGTTAGTGTTGTTGATGTTGCTCATGTTAAATGTCAAAAAAATTATGCACTGATGTTGTTGTAAAAAAAAAGGCAGTGATTTTATTGACAATCCAAAGAACTATTTATCTAGTCACTCCCACAAAAAAAAATGGGATTGTTACACTAATCATCTCTGACGTCAAAGATGGATATCTTTTCCTCAAAATCTTGTCCTGTCGTCTTATCTGTAAGAATAGTCTATTATTATAAGCATAATTATAACTCATAAACACATTTACTTTTGATGTTAATACTTTATTGGGACTACATGCATTTATATAATTAATCATATATTAATTATCTCAAGATCACATTGCTCTGATTAAGGCTCAGATAGGATTGATTACCTAACTCAAGTCATATAATTTTCTCAATCCAAAATAATATAAATAGCAGTAGTAGTTCAATGTAGGAATCTGGTCAAACTTGATATCAAATCTTTTCTCAATAAACAAAACCTATACAAGTTCTCACAAATCTTTGTTTCTCAATCTCAAATCTTCAATTCTTTCTCTTAAAAACTTCTTCAAGCTTCAACCACCACAACAGACCAATTTTTGCTATGTTATAGCATGCCAGAGTTGACATTGGTAATCAAAATTGGGACTTACAAGCAATCAGTAATGGTTGACTCTTTAGGATAAAAGATCTTGACTTTGCTAATTCATCTTTCATATATGTTTTAGATGTTTAAGATGATAAATATACTTGTAGAAGATATTACTGGACAACAAGCATCTAAGACATATTATTGTAGCTATTCTTTTAGTCAGATATCAATTATCATTTTATATAAATAGTCAAGAAATATATTTAATAAAAATTGTCTTTATTTTCCTTATCTAAAAAGTATTCATAAACTTGACAATTCCCAGTGGTATTGATTCTGCAACTTAGTTACAAGTGGAAATCCTTTATTTTCTATACCTTTTGCACATTAAAGTCTGCCCGGACAAGATAATATGACCAGCTTTCCTTCTTTTTTTTGGCTCTAAAAATAATAATAATTACCCCTTTTTCTCTATTTTAATACACTACTGAAACACTACTAAAGTCTGAAGTAACACTTACAAGAAGAGAACAACAAGCCTTGAGAAAGGCAGCACTTGAAGCAGCACCTGTCAGAACTTTGAGAGATATTAGATATGTATTAGAACCTTTGACAATTCCTAACGTTATGAAGTTGAAGTCTAACATTGTTTCTGTTTTTGCTTCTGAATGAAAACTTTACAAACAAAAAATTGAAGAACAATGCTGAGTCAAGTGGATTATTGGTTGTCCTAATAGACATAGTTCTGCTGTTAATATCACCAAGAAGAAGCATATACTCTTCTCTCAGATATACTCCTGTCATAAAGATAGAAGCTATGAACCTGAAAACAGAGAAAAGCATCCAATTCAATGTAAATTGAAGAAAGTTAGCTGTGAGGCAACTCTCACTATTATTTGTTATGCTGACAAGTCTCATGTTTACGTGTTTGATTTTATTGCCAACCACATCAACCATATTCCTGAGGATATTAAAACCGATCTTGGACTTTTTCCTTTAACTCGAGGTTGTGTTGATGATATTGTTACCCATTTGACAGCCAGTCCAGGCTCATCAGCTAGAAAAATCAGACTTGAGATTCTTCGCAACATTGACCAGCAAGATTATTCTCTCAATGGACGTAAAATCAACTACTTTGATATTTACAACAAAATACTTGCAGTAAGTTTTACATTGCAATTATTCTTTAACTTCTGAATATTAACAGTTGTTTTGATGTATCTGAACTTTAGATCAACCAAACAATCTTTCGTTTGCACGAGGACGACTTTAAGTCTATGAAGATGTGGTTTACCAAAAAACTTTCTCCCAAAGGTTTTATTATCTTTGAAGATAACCTGCAGACATATTCGAACAATGAGAGCCTGTATGCATGTGAATTTACCTCGCCTTTCCAGCAAAGCAAGATAAAAGCTGCAGCAACATTCTGTATGGATGCCACCTACAGTATCACTCAAAGATCAGATGACATTCTTTATACTATTGTCATTCGTAATGAAGAACTTGATCGTGGTTTCCCCTGTGCATACATGCTGACCAATGACCATTCCTTGGGTCCAATTGTTCAATGGTTGAAGCACTTGAAAGACAATCAGTTGGTTGTAAACCCCTGGCAGTTTACTATTGACTGTAGTGATGCTGAGACAAATGCACTCATGACAATCTTCCCTGGATGCCAGATCCAATACTGTCTTTTTCACGTCAGTCAAGCATGGTATAGACGATTAAACCTGAAAGTCAAGACAGGAAATACTGCTGCCCAAAACCGTTTGGTTCGAGGAGAAATGATGGCTTTTCTTAAGCATATTATATATGAAGAGCATATAGTTGTATTTCTTGACAAGATTGCCAACTTCATTGGAAGATATCAGCAAAGTCAACCTGATTTTGTCCAATACTTTGAGACCAACTGGTGTACCATGACTAAGTATTGTGTTTGGAGTAGAGCTTTTCATCAGCTTGAATTCTCTCACATGCTAACAAACAACTACATCAACTCTTGGCACAACCAGCTAAAAACTCATTTTTTAGGTCACAGTCGCAACAAAAGATTTGATCGACTGATTTTCATACTGACAAATGAAGTAGAGTTCTACTTCAAAGAGGAGAGTATCAGAATCAATATGCACAGTGGCCCAATGACAACTGCCCAAAGACAACAAAGGAAGATAGAGATGTCTGCTGACGCTGTTCCAGCATACATGCATGCTAATATAATTGTTAGCCCATCAAAAGCAATGTCTCTGAACACCACTCTTGATGACACTGATGATATTCTTGAAGACGGGTTTTGGTTCATCGACTTGTTTACTGAAGATGGTATTACCTATCAAGTTGAAGTTAACAACAATGTTATTCTTTCTTGTACGTGTTATGCTTGGGCTAGGTACATAAAGCCTTGTAAGCATATGTATTTGCTCTGTATCCATATGTCAGACTTTGCTTTCTTGTCTATGCTTTCTGCAAATAATGTGCAGTCAATCACAATTTCTGGTAAGCAGTTCATTAATGACAGCACTATGTCAATTGATGGCACAATGGAGAGCACTGAGTATAGGTATACCATAAAGATATTTAATTATGCAAATAATTGTTTGTTAACAACTAGACATAATGAGCAAGACTTGTATCAACTGATACAGTATGCTACAGAAGAGGAAGCAGAGGTTATCAGAGCAGCATATGCTGCTCCCATAAAGGCTTTTCAAGAAATCAAATCTAAATATGAAGCTCATTTTAGAACTTTAAATACACAACGTCATTAATAACAAAAAAAATCTGCTTTATTTACAATTGTTTATACAATATATACTTATTCCTATCACCTTCTTAATATTGTATATTTGGAAATATATGTAAATATAAATTTAAGCTGTATTCTTGACTATCTTAATGTGTTATTATTTTGATTCTATATCTCTGCATTTTTTTAAGAAAATGCAAAAGGTACAAGAAATAAAAATATTCTTATAAGTGCCAGAAGAGAAAAACCAGATTGAGACTTGACAAGCATTGAAAGAATATTGTTCATGATTTGGGTTGGTCTTCCTTTTACTATAACAAAGTCAAAAGGTTAAATGCACTGGGGATCAAGAAGTATACATAAAATCAAAGAGAGGATAAAAGATACTTTTTATTAGTATGAATTGAATTGTCTTATATAGTTTTCTAAACTAATACTGCAGATAATGCGCAGTAGCTATTATATTATATTTAAATAAAAGAAGAGTCATTATACTGCAGTTAACCATCTTCAAATTTTACAGTTCATCAAAATAATGTCCAACATCAGGAACAACTTTGGTAAAATAAAATTAAACAAATCTCACCGTCAAGTGAGTTAGGAATTGGAGAAGCTGGGCGTCGATCCCAGTGCCTCTCGCATGCTAAGCGAGCGCTCTACCATTTGAGCTACATCCCCTTTTTACGTATTTTAGAGTAATTTATGCAAACACATCCAATATAATTATATCGTAATTTGGGATATTTTCCTAAGACGTTTACACTGGAAAAATGACCTAACATACGTATATGTAAAGGCATAGTTACTCAGGTGTCAAGACGGGGTTTAACATTGAGTACAGATAAATATCACCATGTAACAAGTTCGTCTTAGCACCATGTGCCATGACCAGCTATACACATGTGTGAGGTCAAATAAAAATGACGGGGATATAGTTCTTTAGCACTTTCGATGTGTTGATCTGACTTGGGATATTGAAAAGAGTTTTTTGAAACCAAAATTTTATTTTTATATGTTTTATATGGAGTTTTAAAGGTGGATAATATATTTATTTTTGATCTTGGCACAGTAGTATAGTTCAACATTACACCTCTTCATTATCTTTTATATCCAATTAAATTCAATACTTGAGCAATTCTTTGGATTCTGAACCATAGTATAGTTCAATTGTTTTTATTTTAATTTCAGAAATTGTTTTATTGGTAAAAGTTTATAATAGTATTTATTTGGAAAGAACAGAATGTTTTTAGAACTATAACAATCTTATAGTATTGATTTATTGAATATCCGTTATTGCTTCTACTGGTCTGCTTGATACTGTTTGAATAAAATAATTATCTACAGAAAAGAAATATCTGAAAATATAAAAAGAAAGCAGACTGTTTATTGAAATACAACAGTCTTTAAGAAGCATAGACAAATTATTAGCTATGTGTACTAGGTACTACATTTAATGTAGTATGCTTTTACATTTTGTATACACTTTTATACTTATATTGTAAATATTGGAAAAGAGTGAGCAAAAAATAGATTTTGATATTGATAATCCATGACATTCCTTATGATATCTTTCACTATAAAAATAACGAAAAACATTAATTTTTGTGAATAAAATAAAATAATAAATAATTTACATACCAGTCATAAGAATATATATTAACAGAGATAGATTGTCTTTGTAAACACTTGATAGAACTCTAGTAAAAAAATAATAATATTTTATGTTAACACATTATAGTATTAATATAACTAAAATAAAAAATAAAGTAGTGATCCTTACTATGTAATGTCATTTTCAGCTGTATAATGTAAGGGAAATCAAAGACAGGATTAATAGTGTTCATTTATAATAAGACTTCATTTTAGTAAGATACATGTCAAAATAATATATATATATATACTACCTTGATATTTTTAACCAAATTCATCTGTAGCAGTTATTCTTGATGATCAAATCTGTAATAAAAAAAACAAGTCAGAAGTATTTTTATAGATGTCAATTTCGCAAAATATAATATTGACCTTTGTTAATCTGGACAGCAATTGTGAAATGAATGCATTTAAATGAGAGCAAACAAGTATCTATTATGATAAAAAAAGAATGTATTAATTTTTATTGTTTATAAAAAAGTATTTAATAAAGAAGTATGTTACCAAAAAAGGCCACTAATATAATAATGACAAACGTTGGAAAAGAGGAAAGAAGCAAAAAAGAAGAAAGAAAAAGACGTAAATTTTTTTTCCGCGTTTGAAACAAAATACCGAAAAGCTTATCCAATAAACAATAGCAAAAAAAAACTAAAAAGAGGTGATCAATTGAGGCCAAAAATGTATCAAGGCCAATTTGTATCTCAGTGTTTCAAGAAGTTGTCTTTGAAGTGTTTCTGAAGCATCACTACCACCTATAAATACTTAATATTTCTACTTGCAATTCAATGTCACTCACTCTTGATTATATCATCTCAACAAATCTACATTGCGAATTTACTGTAATTTACGTAACAAAATAGATGGATTGTCTTTTACAAAAGAGAATAAAAAAGAAAAAGAACTAATATTAACAATTGAAAATATTATAATATATTACAGATAATGCCTACTCCCAACCGCAGACTCACTCCTTCTCTTGCTAGCACTGATGTCCAGTTACTACAAGCTTTGAATGCGATGAAAGAAGAGATGAAGGCCATGAAGAATAAGATCACATTGATGGATACAAGAATCGGTGTAGTAATCACCGGTAACGCAACTGCCATTAATGGCATTGATGCCTTGTCTGCCCTCCCAGAATCTGTGCATGTGCCCACTAGTGTTGCATCTACTTCTGCTACCCTTCCCACCACCAAATCAAGTGATACTAATGCTGTATTTGTAAGTATAAAGATATAAAAGACACTTGCCAATCTTGTTGCTAATTAAAATATAATAGGGATACATTCATGATTATATGTGGAACCCAAAGCTAAAATCAAGAGACCAGGCAGAAATCCAAGTGAACGCCATAAAACCAAAGTGGGCAGTTGATGTTCGTTTTGATCGCTCTCCAAATAGAGAGTTAGTCAAACAACTCTTGTATTACTTGGAAAAGAAGTTTGCTGGCACTGATATGAGGATACACGACTTTTGTAAGTGTATATACACAAACTTCTGTAGTAGACGTCGCCAGCAAAGGGAACTTCCAGAAACAAGACGAGCCTTGAATACTAATTCAAGAAGATCTGGCTGTGAAACTGATGTAAACTATATTTTCAATTTATGCTAAATAATAACAATTAGAATATTAATTGTATTGTCTTTTTCCTTTAGAACTACACTCGCCGTTGCCTTGCTTATGATGCTTACAAGGCTGACATTGATCTCAACATGGGTCAAAACTGCTCTGGACTGATCCAAAAGTCAGTCATGTCTGAAGGCGAATCAGACGATGATATGTCCCCCTCTCAGCCAAGAAATGAGATTCGTGTTGCTCGCCCAAGTTGGAGAAGTGACGAGGTAAAACCTAACAGTTTTCTTTTTTGAATGATGCCAGGCTGAATGTTAATATATGTTTATAACTTAGCTTAACAAATTCATTATGGAGGTTGACTCGTTTGTTGTTAAGCTGTGGTATTTCAGGTACGAAACAATAGAAAAATAAAATATTTGATAATAGAGATGTATAGAAATACTTTGAGACTGTATATCAGTTTTTTTTATTCATAAATAAAAAGTGTCCCTTTTTATAAGAAAACACAATCTGCTCTTGTCATTACGTCTTAGTTTCTTAAGGCTTTCTTCCTTTACTATATTTGGTTATTAGAGTGTATTTACTGCTTAACTAGTGTCGGTGTTACAATTATGACATCAAGTCATAAATCGTACTTCTTTAGCTCTTAGCTATTCTTTTCTCTTTTATACTAGAGCTTTAGGACTTCCTACTAAATTAGCTCCATATCGATCTGACACAGTTTACCCGGCAGTATGATATAATTATCTTAACAATCTTTAAGATATTATCTACAGTACTAACTGTAATACTTATTGGGCTGATTACTTAATCGTTTATATATATTTTATACTGACAAGATGATAGCTACTATGCTATCCCAATATGAATATGTTCTTATATGTGATAAATCCAACATCCGAGTGTCTGGATTACCACATTATCCCCACCCAGGTATTAATTAAATACCGTTCAAGTACTCTATGCAATTCTTCTGATCAGCTTGTTCTTTTTTTTTTATTTTAAACGAGTACTGTGGTGCTCAAATAACTCTTTATTTAGACCTTACTGCGTTTCTTCTTTTGATAAGCTGTCTTTGCATAATTCTTCCTTTTAGTACCTGAATTTTCTTTAGGTGCGGAATATGCAACTTTCATATCCTTTAATAATTTCTTATTGGCCTTATTGATGTCTTTGATACCTTCTGGAGCTTCACCAATTCTTTGCCAGTATTCCTTTATGAACTTAGGATTGGTAAAATGATCCTCTGGCTCCCAGGTATTGTGAGACTCATCATAATCCAACTATTTGCATCTATACAAATAATTGTTCTGGTCATCTTTTATGTGCCCAATAATTGCTTCGACTTCAAAAAAGTCATTCTTTTGCTCTAATACCTTGTCAGAAACTTTTTTCAATAAAGAAGGAGGATAATTCCTTGGTTCTAAAAATCCCTTTTCATTTTTCAATACATAAGTATTGGCAGCAGTCTTTCTAACAACAGTGTAGAATCCCTTATACTTCGGATCTAATTTATTCTGTTTTTCTGTCACCAAAATCATTACCGTGGTTCCTGGAACCAGATCTATCATTTTGTGACTTCCATCAAAGCGTTCCTTTTGCTTTTCTGTGACATGCTTTACGTGTTCAAACACGGCAGAGTAGACTATCTCAGTCATTCTTTTAATTTTTTCTTGCAACTCTTTCTGAATCTGTTCAGCAGTTGCACTATCCTTTTCTTTACTAAAATCAACAAAGTCATTTGGATTCCTTCCAAACATTAACGAGAATGGCGTACTCTTAGTCCTAGCATTATACTTGCTATTCAAAAACAACTGCGCAGATGGCACCTTCTGATCCCAATCAGCGACATTACCAACTATTTGTTTTTTAATGGTGTTCACTGCCGACTGGACAGCTCTTTCACTTGCACCATTAGCTCTAGGGTGGTACTGCGAAATCAACGCATGTTCAAAACCAACATTCTCTTTTATACATGTCATCAGCGAGTTCACAAACTCCCGTCCACAATCACTCTGCAACTTTCTCATCGGACCCCATGCACTAATGACGTCCAGTACTTGTAATGCAATCGTAGCTGCCCTTTTATCAGTTATGGCACGCAATACATAAAATTTGCTTGCGATGTCTATCATCACTAACAAGTACTCATTTCCTCTAGTCGACGTTGTAAATGGCCCAGCCAGATCTATTCCCCAACTGTCACCAGGAAGTGTTGCAGTCACAGGTCTTAAAGGATTATAACCTTTTCTTGTGATATTATGACGTTGACACTGTATACACGATTGTATAAGATCATTTGCTTGACTCTTCAAGCTGGTCCAATAGATACCTTATCTCTTTAAGGCATGCAGTATAGCTTCTACACCAAAATGACCTTTCAAATATTCTTCAACTAATAACTTATTCCTTTCATTTTTTGTGGGAGGAGTAAAGTACTCACCACTCAAGATGTCTGGTAGCGGTTCCATAGTGACAGCACTATTTCTCATGATGGATCTAACCACACTATCCCCACCCAGTTCATTTGATAATGTTTCAGTCTCTTCAGACAAACGTGACAACGCATCAGGAAGCACATTCGAAACACCAGGCAAATGAACGATCTTAAAGTCATACTGTAAAATCGTGTCCATCCATGCGATCATCATCAGATTCGCAACACGTTGAGTGTGAAGATATGTCAATGCCTTGTGATCCATGTACAAGGTAAAGTGAGAACCATAGACATACTTGTGAAAACGCTTGAGTGCAAATACTAACGCTAGTAATTCTCTTTTGGTCGCAGAATACTTTCTTTCACTTTGGGATAAGCTCTTAGCCACGAAAGAAATATATTTTTTCTTGCCATCCTTGACTTGATACAACACTGCACCAATACCAGTAAGAGATGCATCACAGCTGATACTAAAAGGAGAGTTCATATCTGGGTACGACAACACCAGATCACTCAAAAGTGCTTTTTTCAAGTTATTAAATGCAGTTTGATGCTTATCTGTCCATAAATGGGTAATCGACTTTTCATTTCTCAATGAATCTAGTGGCGACATAATGGAAGATACATTCGGAATCAACGTTCTAAAATAGTTGATCAACCCACAATAACTTTGGATATCTTTACCCGTCTTTGGTTGAGGAAATTCAAGAACATTAACAAGTTTTCTGCGGTCCATTGTAATTCCTTCAGGTGAAATATGAAAACCAAGCAAATAAATTTCTTTCTGAAAGAAATAACATTTTTTCGGATTCAACTTCAAATTGACCCTTGTTAATCTCTCAATGACTTGCTTCAAGTGTTCCTTGTGTTCCTCGAACGTTTTGCTTGCGCAAACAATGTCATCTACAAAAAACCGTACAAAAGATAGTCCTTCCAAAGCTATACTCATAGTTCTTTGAAATTGTGAACTGACATGCTTTATACCAAACACTGTACCAATAGGTTTGTACTGTACACCACGCCATGTGAAACTAAGTTTGTGTGTGTCCTTTGGGTTCAACCTCAAAGAATTAAACGCAGATTTCAAATCCAGAGTGGAATAAATATTCGCACCCTTTAAATCTTCAAACAATTCACCGATCAATGGCAAAGGCATATGATCAATTGACTTCAACAGGCAATTAATTAATCTGGGATCATGGCAAACGCGATATCCAGTAATTTCTCCTTTACCGTTTGTCTTCTTGACAACAGTCAAAGGCGTATTCCATTGTGTGTTTGCAGACGCTCTTTCAATTATACCATTGTCCAGCCGTTCTTTCACCTGTTCATCCACTACACCTTGCATCTTGTAAGGAATGGGATAAGGGCTTCTGAACGCCGTAGCATTTTCTGGGGTGTCCAAACATACAACACTTTCAGGTATAGTACAAAACGAACCCTTAGGAATATCTTGATTGTCTTTAATGAACGGTCGAATATAATCCATAGCATCCTCAAACTGTTTGGGACCTACAGCCGGATTATTTTCCTTTCGTTCATTTTCTCTCTCAATGGATTCAAGAAGATCACTCTTATTGTTGAAGCATCTATTGGCTTCTCTACGTTCCTCACTTGAATCAGCATCATCATATGATAAAGGTAAACCATAAATACCAATACCAAGAGAAGACATATAATCAGTACCAATACTGAAATCATACTCATGACTATTAGTTAAATTCATCACTTCAAACTCGCGTTGAATAGTCTTACTATTGCAAGTTACACTGATCACACAAGTACCAATTCTTTTAATCTGGGTATTGCTATCAGCCAAACGAATAAAATACTTATGAACATTGTTTTTGTTCAACAAATCTTTATTAATGTGATTGATGTAACTAATGGCTATTCCATTCTTCAAGCAAAAATTCTTGTCCACCGAACTGAACGTGACCCCACAGTCCAACAAGGAGATGGTTCTAATAGAATTATTTGCCAAAATAGGAAAGGTAATATTAGTGCTCATATTCTTAAAATCTCTTTTAATAACCATGTCTTTAAGATTGTACTTACAATCTAATGCCATCTTGGCCAGAGCACTAGTGTTGTCTTGGTACTCTGACCAAGACAACGAGGGACTCCCCTCAACCACAGTGGAAGCTCTTGCTGGTCTACCAGCAGAGGAGCGGACTGCCATCCTTGACACCTTTGTCAAGTACTTCTCCCATTCCGGACAGGAGTGTCCCTTAACCCAGGGAGCCTTGCATGAGAAACAGATGCCATCCTTCATCGCCTTCTTGAAGTCCCATGCCTTCTTGGGAGACTGAGAACCACGCTCGCAAGAGAAAGATTTTTTCTTTCCCTTGTGGGAACCAGCAGAGAGAGAGGACGCACCATTGTGAGCAGCAAACGAACTCCAGGAGGACGCGGCAGTACCATTGGCAGGATTATGTAACAAAGCAGTGGAGTCACTTGTTGACACACTCACCAACGAGATGATGTCCTCAATCTTTGAGGGCATCTTGGTACCATAGTTGGCTGACAAAGGAATAAGACAAGCTTCCCAGACTTCCGGACGCAGATTCCACCAGAAGCAGAGAACCAATTGAACACCATCGTCCAACGAGGCCTGGCGGCGGAACTTTTGGAATTTGGCACCAAAAGAACGAGCAGATTCTCCTTTGCCTTGTTTCATGCACCAGACACGACCCATGTTCAGGAACTTACGGAACGGCATGTCATAGTGATCCAGAAGAATACTTTCAACCTTCTTCCAGTTGTAGGCCTTGCCTTTGAGCTTGTCCTCAAACCAAGAACGTTCTTCCTTGTTCAAACAAGTGGGCAACAGACGTTCCCAGCAGGAATCCAAGGACAGAGAGTGTGCTTCCAGGACTGTGGTAAACTCCTGGCAGAAGTCATACACCGAATCGAACACATCGCGGTTGGCCTTCACCAGAGGACCCTCAGAACGAAGCTGGGGAAAAGGTAGGTTACTGGGAACCAGAGTGCTTCTCTTGTCATGAGGCTTAGACGCAGGAGCAGTGGAAGCCTTGAGGTCCTTGAGAATTTTCTCAGCCTCAGCAAACAGTACTTGTGCTTCCTTGGCACCCTTGGAAGCAGACTTGGCAGCAGTAGAGGTGGGATCCCTCTTGGAAACACCCAAGTAGTGGCCTAGAGCGGCGTAGTAGTTGCCCTTCTTAGTGTTGAGGTCCTCCTCAGCAGAAGCCAGCAACATTTCCACGGTGGCCACAAGGTTGTTGTTAACTCTGACTTCAGAGTTACCCAAATAGATGCGAGGAGAATTGGCACCCTCATAACCAGAACGGCCAGCATCGGAACCAGAAGAACCTTCTTCAGAATCAAAGGCACCGTCCTCAGAACACAAGGGAGTCATCATGGTATCACCATTGTGGTCGGCAGAACCAGCAGCAGAAGGAGGAGGAATGACACCAGAGTTGACACGGGCGGTTTCTTCACCAGAAACAATAGTAGAGTTGACAGCGGATTGTTGAGACATTTCGAGAATTCAAAGTAAAAAATGTGGTATTTCAGGTACGAAACAATAGAAAAATAAAATATTTGATAATAGAGACGTATAGAAATACTTTGAGACTGTATATCAGTTTTTTTTATTCATAAATAAAAAGTGTCCCTTTTTATAAGAAAACACAATCTGCTCTTGTCATTACGTCTTAGTTTCTTAAGGCTTTCTTCCTTTACTATATTTGGTTATTAGAGTGTATTTACTGCTTAACTAGTGTCGGTGTTACAATTATGACATCAAGTCATAAATCGTACTTCTTTAGCTCTTAGCTATTCTTTTCTCTTTTATACTAGAGCTTTAGGACTTCCTACTAAATTAGTTCCATATCGATCTGACACAGTTTACCCGGCAGTATGATATAATTATCTTAACAATCTTTAAGATATTATCTACAGTACTAACTGTAATACTTATTGGGCTGATTACTTAATCGTTTATATATATTTTATACTGACAAGATGATAGCTACTACGCTATCCCAATATGAATATGTTCTTATATGTGATAAATCCAACATCCGAGTGTCTGGATCACCACATAAGCAATTGGGTGCAAATTCCCGCCAACTGCTTAAGAGAGTTTATGGTAGAACAGTGGAATCAACAGTCCCAATTGATTTAGATCCTGCTCTACCTCAATGGGCTCTTAAATATGGGTCATAAATAAAACTCATTTTTTGTCATTTTTTTTCTTTTACTATCAAAATTTCTTAACACATATGTATTGTTCGCAACATATATAATAAGACTACATTAGCTTATGTATTGAAAATTTTTATTAAAAAAGAAATGTATTAAATATTAATTGTATTGTTTGTGTGGTAAAGCATTGACAAGTATTTTCTTATTATTTGTGCTGGTTTTATAATCACATGTTGCAACAACTGATGATATTCGATGTACTGGCAAGATGCATTCAAAATCACATGCAATAAAATCTGCACTGCAGATGTCAACACTTTCCAACTCTCTTGAATGATAATGCTCAATCTGGAACTACTTAACAAACGCAAACACGTGTTTAGCTTGATAAATGACACATGTTTGGAGCTCTGTGTTATATACTGGTGGAGTGAAAGAGTGCAAGAACAGATACTGAATTTGGTCAGTGTATGCCAACCGATTATTGCCTTGACTTCCAAGGAACAGAGATTGAACAAATGAGCCACGACCAGAAGCATATTTGCAGCCTTTGTAAACCTGAACAAGCAAATTGATTGATTTCAACTTTATGATTTGGTTGTTGACAAAGGAGAATGGAGAGCAGAGATGCTGGTAACCTTCAAGATTTGGCATGCAGTATGCAACTTTATAGTAATCAAGCAAATGAGGGTAGTTGACATCACTCATTGATGATGGGGTTCAATATGGAGAGAAAATGTGGATGGAGGAAGAGGTTCATTGCCAAGGAATGGAAGAGAAGGGTTTGAGTATGCTTGGATGAAGGCTGATAGTCTGAACGGGCGCTGGGGAAAAGTTATTGTATTTTTTGAAGTGGAGGGTTGAGCTGTGGCAGTAAGCTTGGCGAGAAGAGGAAGAAACAGTACTTGGCTTGGGCATGTGAGAGCAGCACAAACGAAATCACCTTTGAATGTATCTTGGACGAAACTATTCATGTATGTAACCTCAAAGAAATCTTTTCTGTTCGTATTCACATTCTTTAGCAGACCATTATATCGCTCAAACCCAAAGAGCCAATATCCATATACTGGTCCAAAATCACGGATGGTCTCGCAAAGATGGAGATGTAAATGCATGTTACAGGTGAGAATAGTTGGAGTGTAAATACGCTGGCACTTAGTACAGAATTCTTGAAGAAATTTATGGCCATCGTCAATGTCAGAGAACGTGATGCTTGGCTTTACTAATTGGCGGCAGGCATCAACAAAACTGATCCAATTTCTGAACATTTCAATTGGCAGGACGGCCTTCAACAAGATAGGCGAATACACTAGCACCCAGGACTTCCGTTCATCAGCTTTCATGTATGGAAAGCCCTTTCCAATCTTCGATTTCAACACCACGTAATCCATTGGCACCACCAATGTCTCTGCCATTGTTTGCATCGTAGCTAGCTTTCTATCGTCTATCAGTCCTTCTTTTATCCACTGCTCCATCATTCTCTTTGGTGTCCCCAGGAATAAATTATGCATGAGATCGATGATCGTTCCATGTACTAGATTAAAGTATCCAAGGCAATGCAGCTGCGACTATTGAACACCATTTTTGATTTCCAACTGATGCCTTTCTGAGGGCGTACTGGCACTCTTCCACTCCTAGCATGCAACCTGTTTTCCAGACCGCTACAGATTTTCCACGTCGAATAGTCAAACCCACTGAAGTCGACCTGATTGGTGCTTGGTAACCTGGTAAACTGCCTCACACATCTGGGACATGCACAAGTACTGTTGTGGGTGATGAATCCACTGGTCTTCCTGGCAGCGGGGATGTCACAGACAATCATATGTAACGCGGCATGTACATTAACACCAGCTGGGCACTCAAAGGTCGGGATGGTTATTCCCATAAACAACTGCAGCAATTCATCAACTATTAGCTTTAAATAGTGGTTGATCTCTTCGGTCTTTGGCTCCTTAGGACCAGGCATCAAACCAACAAGGATGACATTTTCAGGCTTAAATCTTTCCTCACAAGGCAAGTTATTTATTGCAAGGTAGATAGCTCCAGTTGAATATGTAACGCCATCAAATGGCTGGAACCAGTCGATGTTCATTGTTAGCATCAATGAACGAGATTCATTCACAAACAATACGCCACTTTGGTCCTTTAGCTCCTTCCACATAGCACCATCATAGACATTGCATAGTGTATCTACGACCTTAAGCTCTTTGTTCCGTTGTCTGATTTTTTGCTCGAACCCAGAACAAAGAAAGAAAACTTGTAATGATCTCTGGATAGAGTTGTAGACGTATGATTACTTGCCTACCATGGCACCAGAAGATGAAACCTTCATCAATTCACAATTGCATGCTGATCGAGAACCATGCTTTTTGAAGTTGCAATGAGTAGGGATAGGCACATCTTGTTTGTAAACCTTGTGGCAGTCTTCACATACAACAGACTTCTTGATACCATTGGTGTAATTGGAAAAACCAGTCATTCTTTGCAGGCCAATAAGACTTGTTGGTAATTGAAAATCTTCGCCATAGATCTTGAGTAACTGATTGATAAATTCAATCAATATGGCGGCACCTTTGTTAATAACATAACGCGAGATAAAAAGAACGGCAAAGGTAGCAATGAACTGATGGACAGGGTTTTCAGGCATGTTAGGAGCATTAAATGGGTCTATTTAAAATTAACAAAAATAAATTAGAACAAATTTTCTTTAAATCTGTTTTTAAGAAAACAAAATCATTTATGACTGACCTTCATTAACAAACTCTTCAACATCTGTCTTGACACCTTCTTCTTCACCACTGCCAGAGTCAGAGTTCATGTCTCTTTCAATGTCAGAGTCATTGCCATTGACCTCGCTGATCTCATTGTCTACCAAGACATTGTCAGCCATCATGGCGGCATTCAAATCAGATGAGTTGGCCTGATCGTCTTTTTTTTGATGGATTCAGATTGACAGGTCGGGATATATACAAATATAGATTAGTTTAGCTTATTGTCTCTACTGGTTTTCAAATATTTTTTTCTTTTCTTTTCTTATATTGGGTATCAACGTCCATCATTTGTTCTTCTTGCACAGCTGTGTTTCATTAAAATTAAAAAATAAAGAAGTTATTACTCAGCAATCAAAAAATAAACCCTGAATATAACATACTATTTGCCAATCTTTCAGCCATATCCAGTCTCTTGATTCTCTCAAGCTCATCTTTTCTAATATGGCGCTCAGTGGTTCTGCTTGTCACCAATGAGTATCCCTGTGAATTTCTGCTACATTGAGCACAATGGCAGACAACATTACATCGGTGGGAGATAGAAGACATTTTATGTGTTTTGTTTGATGTGATTTATTGAGAATAAAAAGAGGAACAAGCATAAAAAATACTTTATTTGCACCGACTTTATAGTAAAAAAAAGCATTATATTTTATGGTTGTTTAATTGAATTCTTCTAACAAGTTCTTTTCTATATTATTAAATATATAAAGAGACATGACAATTATGATATTATCAATTCATAGTCTTTATTCAAATGTTTTCAAGAATGCCTGTTGTGTGTAAAAGACATATATTTTTCTACTATGAGTTTATAAATAGATTATTGCGAGAGTAAATCCAGAAAATAGTAGAAATAAAAAAAAAGGGGTGGTAGAATAAGAATTATGATAGGTCTCTGTATGTGAATTTAGCCTTCCATACCAGACTGATATTCTAAAATTCTGTTTGGCAATAAAACCAACTAAAACTATATCTTTGACCTGAACTTCAAAAAACACACTGAGTTGAAAAAAATCACTATTTCTACACATGTGTTTACCAACCTGGCCACATTGTTAATCAGAGCGGGTTTTCCAGTGTTATTGCAGACACTAGGCATTCACATAGTTGTGGTCAACCAATTTTTTTGGCAGTCAACTGATTTTTTTTCTTAATTTTAGACAAAAATTTTATTCCAAAAACGGGCAACAGATTTAAGTGCATCTTTAGTAAAAGACAGGGGGTGTACTAAATCTCACTCCTTTTAAGGAAATCTTAATTGACAAAATATTTTAAGTTATGACAGGCTTAACTTCCTTTATTTTGAGATAACAATTTATTTCTCAAACATTTACTTCTTTCTTTAATCAACACTTCTTGACTTTATCTCACAACATACATACTTTCAAACTTGTTGAAGTAACAACCTCTATTATCAATGACTTACAATACAAAAATCCACTAAAATACTATGGTGTAAAACTGCCTGTAATATAGTATAATTTCGGGGTTTAACTTCTATCTTTGATGTGATTCAATATGGTACTAAAGGTAGCTTGAGAACAAGTGCCGTGTTGCACCCAATATGTGAAGTAAATCTTGGAAAAATGACTGAATAGGGTTCATTAGTATTTCTGTGTGTACACTGGCATAGTATAAAGTATTAAGACAGTTTAGTTTAAGTTTATACTGTATTGTAATACACGGGTCATGCCAGTTTAAAGAACAATATGCAGGTACTTGACTCATGTAGTAAAGCTATCTTTACTGAAAAGTTTTCAGTAAAGATAGGATTGTCAACTGTTTTAACCAATCCTTGACACTCTTTATTATGAGATCATCCATAGCATGCTCCCCCAATTACTTGATATTCAGTTATTATTGGTTTAAAATATAGTTTACTTTTTGGGATTTATTAAAAAAAAAGAATTGTTCTGGACTGATGACCTAGTAGTATTATTGTATATCCTGGATCCTTTTTACTGACCTGCTTGATATTATTTTAGATTGAGTGGTTCTTTACCCAAAAAAATAAAATGCCTGAAAAATAAAAACAATATACTGTTTGATATGATAGAGCAATGTTTAGAAAGTATAAACAAGTGCGTTCAATCAAAAGGATTATGCTTTCTATATTCTACAGATACCAGCATTTATACAAACTTATATTTACATAACAGCTGTTTGTTGAGAATAGACAGAATTTTTTTTTGAGGATGGTAAAGATGACATTTGATATGATTCCTTTGACTATGAGAATAATTGACAAAAATTAGTTTGGATGAATTGGATGCTAGAGAAATTCATTTACCTTTATAAATCAAGAGAATATATTTGTAATCCAAGAAGTACTTTTCAAGAGCTAATATAGCATCTAGTAAAAGAAAATATTATATTATTATAGTATATCAATTATGTTAACGTATAAATATTCTTTAAAAAAAAGACTTACCATTGTAATGTCAGTAGCATGGGATAAAGACTCTTGATCTATGGCGTGTTTGTGAGAGGGACGCTCACCTATAATAAAAAATATATTTGATTAGATAAATATTAAAACCTAATATAATAAAAAAAGAGATATAAAATATTATCATGTTGATAGCCATATTTAACTATAGAGAGTATTTTTGATGATATGGTCTTTATGAAAGAAAGAGAAAAAGTTAGAATAATGTTATGGACTGATGACAAGAAGTATATTTACTAATCTTTACTAATCCGGATGACTATTGTGAAGAAGATGCATCCAAAAAAAATAAAACGCTAGTGTCTACAACAACAGAAACAATTATTATTTTTAGTTATATATATATATATATATATATATTATTTTAAATAAGTCATCTTACCAGAAAAACATGTGAAAATAATGAAAGTTGGAAAGAAAGAGAATGGAAGAGAAAAAGAGAGAAGAGAGAAAACAGTAAAATGGGGAAAAAGTAAAAAATAAAAAATAAAAATAAAAAAAAGCCAAAAGACTGAAGAATGGAAGGATGGAAGGACAAAAAGACAAAAAGACAAAAAAGCAATAAGCATATATTAGATGAAGTTCAAAATAAAGTAATATGAAGGCCAATTCTCATTTAGTATTTAAAGAAGTTATTTTGGATATATTCATAAAATAATATTCATTGCATATAAATATTCTCAGACCTTTAATATCATTGAAAGTTTGTTCTTTATTTATTGTTGCGCACTTAATCACAAATCTTTATCTACTCACTCACCTACCCAAACATCTACACAAACGATTTCAATCTACCTCTGTAGGTTTATTTTAAAAGACATAAAATATATATGAATTTGTATAATAGACCAATATTAATAATTGCAAAATGGGCAATACAACATTTATTAGAAAATGTCTGGAAACCGCCATATTCTCCCTGAGATTACTGTGGGAGAGAAAAGAATCATTTCCAGCCTTGCTGGTATGCAAGCTAACATAAAAGCAGTAAAGTGTCAATTGTCTGACATGGGCAAAAACGTTGGTGTCATTGTGGCAACCAGCTCTGATAATGCTGTACCAACCAGCACGGTTGCCAACCCTATTTCTGCTCCCATTGTTGCCACCATCCTTGCTACTGCTAGTACCAAGATCACTGCACCTCCCCGAGCAGATTTTGCTGCGGGACCAAGTAAGGCCAATACCAAAAATGTCTATGTATGTATTCGAATATATAAAAATATATCAATTCAGTATTTAATTATAATCAAACAGAAATTCATCAAAGGGTATATGTGAGATCCCAACTTTCAGTCAGACGAGCCCGCCTTGGTGCAGGCAAACAAAAATAGACCCAGGTGGGCCACTACAGTTTGCTTTTGCCTTTCGCCTAACCAAGAATTGGCTAAGAATGTTTTTGAATATCTGGTGCTTAAGTTTGTTAATGTTAGAATGAGAGAGGCTGACCTGAACAAATATGTCTACACGACTTACTGCTTGAGTAAGCATGAGCAGAACAAGGATAAAGAAGCCAAGAAGAAGTCTAATACTGTTTCCAGAAGACATGGGCATGAGAAGAAGATACATTATATTTTTAATTGATTTCATTTTATATTTTTCTTGATATAAATTAGAAAAAATTCTAAATTGATATTTCTATTAGCACTTCAGACATCGCAAGGCAGCATACAATAAGAACAGGATTGCTATTAACAAGAAAATGGCGCAAGATTGCTCTGCTCTGCTCATCAGAGAAGCAATGTCTGAAGGTGAATCAGACAGTGATTCAAGAGGCTCAACTTCTTCCCGACTGATTTGGATCTCGCGTCCAGGATAGAGAAGCGATGAGATATATTTTTCAGATAATTTAAATATTTTTTTATTTTTGTAATGTATAATAATATATGGATATGAATATTGTCTTTTGTATAGTACAATCGTTTGATTAAACTTGTTGATGAGGCTGTTAAAACTGATTTGGGCAGCAATGCCTATCAGTTACTAGAACAAATTTGGTTAAGAATCACAGATTCGGCAGTCCCAGATGCAATTGCATCACAGTTACCTCAGTAGGCTCTTAGAAATGGGCCCTAAATAAAATATGCAAATTCTTTTTTTTTAAACAAAAAAAAACTTTTCGTCTATGCCTACTTCCTACACTCTAATTATCAAAAAAAATATAAAAAGAGATACTACTTATCATTGGAATTTTCACTTTGTTTTTCTTTATAGAAAGAGGGGCATAGGGCATATTTATTAATAGAAATTTTAGACATAGTATTTTTTAGGTAAACGAATGATAAGTGTTTTTTTGATATTTTTTCTTGTTTTTTCAGTAGCAGTTGCAACTTTCATGTTAATGCATTATACTGGCAGAATGCTATGGTAATTGTCTGGCGTGAAGTTTAGCAAGTAGACATCAATGCTTTTAGTTTTGCATCTTTTATCAGCTGTAATTGATAACCATAAGATATATGCAAAGATGTGTTTTTTTATAGACTTGGAATGCAGAAGAGTTTGGATGTGGTGAAGGTGTGAATAAATGAATGGACTAGTACTGAATTTGTCCCGTGAATGCGGTTTTAGTTACATTTCCACTGCAAGAAACATTGCTTGTATGAAAGACCTACGATTTCCAAAACTGTTTTTGTCTTTATATATTTGGCCAAGGAGATTGATTGATTTTAATTTTGTAATTTGATCATCAACAAAATAAGGGCATAAGGAAGCATTGCAGTAACTAACAATATCAGGATTGTCATATACAAGCTGATAAAAATGAAGTAATTGAGGATAATCAATATCACTCATTGTTGATGCATTTAAGAAACGTAATGGGAAAGATGATGAAGGAAGTGGTTTGTTGCCTTTTGTTGAAGGTAATAGACATAAAGATATGTTAACAAATTGTTGCAATCAGAAATTTTGGCGTGAAAGGGAGACATAGGAGGCATAGGAGGCATAGGAGGCATATGAATTATAGTTGGTGGTAGTTGTGGCAGAGGAAGTAAGTTTTTGAAGGAGTGAGATGAAGGGGACTAGGCTAGGGCATGTCAAGACCTTTTGCACATAATCACCCTTATATGCATCATTAATGAATGTTTTCATATATGTAGCCTCAAATCTGTCTTTTCAGTTGGTGTCAATTTTCTTAAGCAGCCCATTGTATCTCTCAAAACCAAAGAGCCAATAACCATACACTGGTCCAAAATCGTTGATGGTCTCACGAAGATAAAGATGCAGATGCATGTTGCAGGTGAGAAAACCAGGTTTATATATCACTAGACATTGCTGACAGAAACTCTGCAGATAGTTGTGAGCTTTGTTGATTTCAGACATGGTAGTTGATGACTTTACAAGAAGACGGCATGTATTTACAAAATCCATCCAGTTCTTCAACTTGTGTTGCAGCAGAATATTCTTCAAAAGAACTGGAGAGTATACTAATACTCAAGATTTTCATTCGTCTGCTTTTATGTACAAGAAACCCTTCCCAATTTTGGATTTCAAAATTGTGTAATTGGCTGGCAGCACTATTGATTCTGATATCTTTTGCATTGTGGCCAAATCCGCTGGTGATATGTCATTTTCTTTGATCTATTTTTCAACCATTCTTTTTGCTGTTCCCAGGAAAAGATTATGTATGGGATCAATGATTGTTCCACATACTAGATCAAAGTATCCAAGATGATACAACTGCGATCATCAAACACCATTTTCGACCTCCAGCTGCTGTCTTTCTGAGGGGGTACTTGCACTTTCCTACTCCTCAGCATGCAAACAATTCATATCATTATTCTTTGGCTGCCATTGGTCTGTGTCGAATCCAGAAAAGTCAACAGCAGAACTGCCTTCCAGGCAAGAGAATTGTTTGTTACATTTGTAACATGCATACGTGCTATTACGTGCAGTGAATCCACTGGTATTTCTTGCTGCAGGAATGTCACATGCTACCATTAATAATGCTGCACAAATCCGGGCGCCTGTTGAGTATTTGTAAGCAGGTACATGTATTCTAACATACAGCTGCAATAACTTATCCACCAATGGTCTTAAGTAGTTATTGATTTTGTCAGTTTTTGGCTCCTTTGGCCCAGATATAAGTCCAACTAGAATCGTGTTCTCTGCCAAAAACCGTCCTTCTTGCAGAAGATTGTTGACAACCAGATACATAGCACCACACAAATAACTGGCCCCATCAAAGGGCTGGAACCAATCGATATTCAACGTGATCATTAACAAATGAGGGTCTTCAACAAAGAATTCGTCATCCTTATCTTCCAACTCTTTTCACATATCGCCATAATATACATCACACAATGTATTTACAATATTTAACTGCTTATTTTACTGTCTGCTTTTTTGCTCAAAATCTGAGCAGAGAAAGAGCAATCTTAGTGCATTTTTTACTGACTCATAACAGTATTCACGTTTGGCGACCTGGAGACCAGAGGAAGATGTTTTTGTCAATTGACAGTTGTGTGCAGAACGCGCACCAAGCTTCATGGAGTCACAATAGAAAGGAGCCAATGCACTTTCCTCATACATCTTGTGGCAGTCCTGACACACAAGGAATCTCTGAATGCCTTTGTTCATGGTGGAGAAACCTGTCATGCGTTTGAGACCAGGAAGGCTCAAGGGCAATTGGAAATCCTGCTCATAAATCGTCAAGAGCTTGTTGATGAACTCGATCAAGACAACAGCACCCTTGTTGACCACATAGCAGGAAGTGAACATTACCACAAAAGTAGCAATGAATCTGTGCACTGGGTTCTCAGGCATATTGGGGGTGGAAAAAGGGTCTATTGTAAAAAAAATTAACACCCCCATTTTTTTTCTTAGTTGTTCAATACTGACCTTCATTATCAAATTCTTCAACCTCGATTTCAACAATGTCTTCAACTTCTTCGACCTTCTTGACCTCTTCGCTTTCTTCTTCATCATTTTCTGCGTCATTATCATCATCAGCATTGTCAATAACCTCATTGTCAATAGTCATGTTGTTATTGTCAGACATAATATTGGCTTCCCAAAAAGGTGAGTTGGTCTGACTGACCAATATTTCTGAGGGGCCTGCTTCCTGGGACAGAAAAGCTACATATAGAATAAAACTCTTAGTTTATATCCTCTGGTGTTAAAATATATTCTGCTTACTTTCAACATCAACTTCCATTGAGCTGCTTTGAGCAGATATATCTATTAAAAATTATTATTATACAAAATACCCCCAAAAAATAAAAATCAAAAATTCCAAAAAAAAGTACCTATTTCACTTCTTTCAAAGGCTTCATATCTTGCTCTTTTGTTATGGCGTTGAGCAGTTCGTCTTTGAACTAGACTGTAACCTTCTTGGTTATTTTTGCATTCGTTGCAAAAGCACTTTTTATTATGAGTGTTTGAAGTAGAGAATATTGTGTTTTTTTAATTGTTTAAAATGTTAAAGTAAAATAGAAACAAGTGTTACATATGTTTTTATTTATTACAACTTTATAATAATAATGATAAAGTAACTATGATGATTGAAATAGCTAAGCCAATAGGATCCAGTACAATGCCACTATCAGTTTGAACACAAAAATAATGCTGAGATAAAAAATCACCCTAAATTTACTATGGTGTTCAGGTACCCCCACACATAGATATTCAGGGTCATTTTTCCAGTGTTACCTCTGCCAAACCAGGATCAGAACACTGCTTCAAATGTGACAGATCCTGAATCAAGAGATCTTGGCAAATTGGAGGACAACAAAGCCCCAGAAAGTGATAATGACAAAGAAAGCAACTTGGGTCCAGAGTAAATCTCTACCACAGCAGCAAATGATAGTCGCAACAATCTGTAGAAAACAGACCAACATATTGCACTGTTCCTGAAGATGGTCTTGGACAATGACACCCATGCCAAAATTCTAAGAGCAAAAAACAATAGCTCTTTGAAAGGGAAAATCTGGTCAACAAGTTTAAGCAGAATGATCAATTTAAGGATCTTAATGACAATTACTTTAAGAATATAATTGACGGCAGTAAATGTGGCAAAAAGTTCAAGAACTTGACAAAGATCTATAAGCTACGCGCTGATTGTGCAAGAAGTTGTGATGTCTTTGCATGAGCTTTATTTAATCAGATGAAAGAGATCTTGATCAATGATCCCAGTGTTTACTCTCAAAACTTTGGTCAATCAAGAACATCAAGACTAACAAGTATGAGCACAACCTCAAGTAATGAACATATTGTTCAGGAAAACACCTTTGGAGATAATAGAAAAAAAAATTGAAGTTCTCTTGGAAGCTGTAGTTTCCAACAACATCAATGACGATCATGCCAGTAATCTTAATCCTGTTATCAGCAACAATAAGAATGAGGAGAGTTTAACAGCCACTCTGCTATTAACTGAAAGAAGTGATTATCTTGCTAGTGTAAATAAAATTCTGAGCACTATCACCTATTTGCATAAGGAAACGCAAGATGAAGTGGCCACAGAGCGTGATGTCTTTATCAGTCAGTTGCTTGAAACACATGAGCAAAGAGCAGCCAAACAAGCAAGAGATGAGAAAGATAGAGAGCTCATACATAAGTTCACCAAGGCTTGTATAAATGAATTGCAGCATAGACAATTACAAGACAATGTTATTCTTGCTGAGCAGAAACAATTAAATGACTTTTTAGCACAGTTTCTCCAGTCTAGATATAATAACAATCAATAAAAATATATAAATCAATAACTTTTATTTCTTAAAAAAAATTCATTACTGCCAGTTGTTGTTGTTCACCACCAGTTTTCAGTTGAGCAAGAAGTGCATTAAGTACTCTTTCAGATATAATTGGATTAGTATTTTCTATTTCTTCCAGCCCAAAAACAGCACCATCCTCATTGCCTGAATCTTGAAAATTGCCCAAGATATTGTTTTCTTCATTCTCTTCAAGTTCCCACATATCATCAACATCTAGACACAAGTTGTGTAAAACACAGCATAACATAATTGCTTGAGTCAGTCTTCCAACATTCTTCAAGTAAAGATGCTTATATAGAAATTTCCATCTTAGCACCAAGAGTGAGAATGTGTTTTCAATTTTTTGTTGAGTTCTGGACTGTACTGTATTATATAGTTTCTGTTCAGTGGTAAGTGGAACAGTTTCTTGGTTTTTGGATCTACATCTATGGGCAGCAATGAATGTTGTCAAAAGTTAGGGTAACAGTGGATACATCGGATCTAGGAACATAACAAATTTAAAAAAAACTATTTTGTATAAATATGAACATAAATCTACCAGTAATTATGTACATGTTTTCCAGACATGTCTCTGATTCTCAGTGAATCAGATCCTGATAAAGATCACCAAACTTTAACACACAAGTGTCATGAAGACTGTCTAATATATTACAAAGGTTTGCTAAATCTCATATGAAAAATCACATTTAATGTAATTACTAAGTGCACCAGTTGCAATGTGAATAAATTTTTTTTTATAATCACAAACGGTCATCAAATTCATACTGATATTTTCTTTGCAATCTGCGTAACTGTTACCAGAGTTGGCAGTCATTAATTTTTTGATGGAAATAAGCTTTCCATCCATGGCACCAATTACTTCTTTTAATTTTTGTTTGCTACTTTTCTTGGTTGTTCAAACCCTGTTGTAATCTCTAGGGTTTGTTCAACCATGTTTGGCCAGGTAATGCTATTGTCAATTACAATTGAGCTCATGGCAAGAATAAACTGGTCAGTGAAATTGTTGTAGCTTCCATGACTACACCCAAACTTGTTCTTTGCCATTCTATATCCAAAGTGAGTGTTGGAAAATCTCCAGAGAACAACTGCTATCTGTTTCCACACAGGCCGAACCAGTTCACTTTCATCACATCTTCTGTATAGCTCAGTTCCCAAAAGAATGTTTACTAGTGTCTCAAAAGTAGACAAAGTAATGCGGTAGTGCTCCTTGAACATACTTTCTTTGACTACTCTTTCAATATCATCTATGTGAGGAGTGTCACCCAAACTTGGATGCGTGATATGCCATCAAGTTGTTTCCTCTCTGAGTCAATTAATTCTTCTTCTTATAGATGTTGCCTTGTGGTGATCCAGACACTCGGATGTTGGATTTATCACATATAAGAACATATTCATATTGGGATAACGTAGTAACTATCATCTTGTCAGTATAAAATATATATAAATAATTAAGTAATCAGCCCAATAATTATTACAGTTAGTACTGTAGATAATATCTTAAAGATTGTTAAGATAATTATATCATACTGCCAGGTAAACTGTGTCAGATCGGTATGGAGCTAATTTAGTAGGAAGTTCTAAAGCTCTAGTATAAAAGAGAAAAGAATAGCTAAGAGCTAAAGAAGTACAATTTATGACTTAATGTCATAATTGTAACACTGACACTAGTTACACCATGGGAGATTTTCGATATCAAATTTGGAAATATTTTACTCACATACATTTTGATTGGTCTATATAACCCAGATTAATCGGGATATCGAATTTGACCCATTTTATGAGACTTGTCAACTACATAAGGCAATTTTAAAAGGGCAAGTATCCATAAAGGGACCCTCTCAATATTTTGGCAAAACCGAAAAATGACTTGGTGAAAATTACAATTTTTTTTTATTGAATAATTTTTTTCATTAATAAAGATAAAAAAAAATCAATATTGTCAATTCGAAAACAAGGAAACAAAGAACCAGTAGGAGCCAAATTTACTGAGATTGATGACAAGCTTGTTGTTAAATTCTGTGTGCATATCAAGCTTACATACAATCTTCAGCTGATCGAGTGGAGTAGATGCATCATTGGAAACCCTTTGCATGAGGAGGTAGTTGTTAACTTGAGCGTGGAGACTACTCTCAACTCGATAGTGTTCTACTCTCAAAGAGGAGACCTTTCCAATAAATGGATGGGCATGTTGGTCTCTACTCTCCTTGAGCATAAACACCACAAAGGTATTGTCACAGAGTGCTTTTGCTGTAATGTCATCAGTGTTGTTATTATCAGCAAAGTCTCTTGATCCACCAAACAGGGTATTCTTAACATTGTCGTTAAAGTTTTCTTTAAGAAATTCTGCCGTGGAATTACCATACTTCTCTCTCATTTTGTCTTTGCTCACCCATGAACCACCATCAATGATGTGTCTCATTGCAGATTGCTTGGCGAACTTGAAACATATATCTCTTGAGGTGTTTAACCTATTGGTATGCATTAGGTGTTCATGGATGTGTTTGTTAAACTGCTCACCTTTTTCGGTCTCGTAGTGTAGAGCAGTTCCAAATATTTGTAGATCGTTGGGCAGATGTGTGAGCAGGTGAACCTTGGGCTTCGAGGAATACAGATTATGTCCTTCGATTTCACAGGTAATGTCATAATGATGCAGTTCTTGGATAAGGCTTGTAACTGCCTTTTCAACTTCGTCGATGTACATATTATAATCATACCTTACTGCTCTAACAAACACCAAGGAGCAAAGACGGCCAAGATAGACAAAGGATAGAGTTATGAGAGAGGGTATACTATCATTTGCAAATTCTGTAACTAAGATAGCGGGTAGAATTTGCAGAACTTTGTAATCCCTCCCAAGGAATGAGCCACAGTGTCATAACTCTTGAGTGAACTTTCTTGACATTCCTTGAGAGTTTTCATAATCCTTGAGGGCTTTGGACAATCTAGCCATTTGGTTAGGATTTTTCTTTAGTACAACCTTTACCAAATCATTGACTAGATACTTAGCAACTCCAAGAAGTATGTTATGCAGAACTTCAACTGGAGTATCTGTCGATGGATCAAATGACTGTAGTTCCAACAATGCATCTGTTGCCCTATTTGTGAAGCATAGGTCGCTTGCTGTCAGAGCATTTCCAGTCAAAGGAGCATCTGGAATAGTCGATCCACGTTCCGAGGTAGACGCAGCAGCAAGATAGTGTGCCTTTGTTCTTGCTGTGTGTCTACCAGTATAATACGAAAAGCTTTGGAGGTTGGGCATAGATCTTTGTAAACGGACATAACATTTGCAGCATGGGTACAGACTTGTCGGCGCGCGCAAACCACATAGTTCAGAATGGCATGGAGTGTCTGCCTCGATCCAAAGGAGTGGTGATGCTACTAAGACGTTTTCGTTGTCTTTGGCAGAGAACATCACCAGTTTGTTTTTGAGCCTTTTGAAATCTTCAACGATTTTAGGCAACAAGGACATCCCACTTGCCCCCTTTTTCTTGGGAATAGCAGAGAGAAAGTGGATGTTTTCAATTGAAGACCTCTCTTCGTAGGAGAGAGCAGTAAACTTCATTGACCAGCTTTTGTATGGGTTATATTGCTTTGATCGGTTTCTGGAGGTGTTGTTGGTGAAGTGTATAATGGGCAATATCCTCACCTTGTAAAACAACTTTGGATCGATCGGCTTTCCGGTTTCATCTAGTACGTGCCGTTTTAAGAAATGAGGCTCTTCCAGCAAGGACTTGTGCCTGGAAATCAAATGAAAGACTTTCCCAGGTGAGACGCTGTAGCATAGGGCAACATCAACAGGGGTCGAGTCAACACCGAGAAGAGTTTCAAGCTTTATGCTAGTAGATTCAACTTCGATGCTAATGAGCTGACCGCCTTCCAGAATATAAACCATGTAGCCTTGAACAAAAACGGCTGAGTTATCCATGGTATGGAATGATTCTACTAGGAAACGGGCTGGAATAGAACCATTCATAAAGTTAACAATATCACCAGACCAAAAATCTACGCTGTTGTGGGTGAGCATAGGTTGTTGATAGTACCAATGTGTTCTCCACTTTTCGTCTTGTTGTAGACAAATGGACTGGTTAGGAGTGCGGTCAGGGAGGGAAAACATGTTTCTTGCTTTCTTGGGGTTGGCAGCAAGAAACCGGACGTGGTCTGAAGGCAAGTTGATATAAGCAGACGTGGTATTGTTTTCCGGCAACTGGATATCGACTTTTGTGGATGGAAATACAGGAATCTTGGACTTTTTCCTGGTCTGATAGTTCAAGAGGGCATCCAAACGAGGTAACTTGAACAGGGACTTCTTTTGGATAGCTTCCTCATGAAGCTTAAGGACAAGACTTATGGTAAACAGGATCTTTTTCAAGATCCTGCAAGATACCATGTCATTATCGCCATCAACAAAGGCAAGCAGTACTATAGACTGGAGATCCGGGAACAGGTGGGTGTCTGATGTATACTGGTTCCATGTCATATGCGATCCAGTTGCTTCTCTCAGTAAATCGAGATCTGCATCCAACGATGAGCTGATATTGGATGCAGAAGACAACATACTATTTCTTATATGCATGTATAGGAGGTTACCTGGACTTGGACTTTCAAAGGGACTGGTGTCCTCATCCATCTCGATAATACTTTCACCGGCATCGAGTTCAATCTCGCTAACATTATCGTTGCCATCACTGTTCATGTCGTCAACATCGCTGCTGTCATCATCCTCCAAATCGGATTCAACGTGTAGGTCTTCGTTAACGGAATTGTCATTGTGATCAGGGGCAGTCGGCTCGGCAGTATTCGTGGTCTGTCTTTGTGACGCTAAATTTCTATTGGCATATTGAGGGCTAATATCATTAGCAATATGAGTTGCTAACTTACGATATTTGGTAAGGTGGCGTCGTAGATTCCATACGCAATCGAAATCTTTTCCACAAAGTGAGCAGGTCTTTCCGATATCGTCAAAGGCAAAATTGTGTTGACCTGGTCCTTTGGGAGCAGAAACTACCACCCTAGAATTTTTTGGGTAATTAATAATACGCTGCATCACAGAGCTTTCGTGATGCAATGTATTATCTAACGTGATAAAGGAGTATAGACGACCACCATATATTTATTTATTTCTGCATCTTGAAACAACAAGTCGATTTCTTTCAGGAACCAATGAAAAGTGTTATTCATATAACCAGTAATAAGCGTATAATGGTCTTCAAAAACCAATGAAATTCATTAATTTGTTACAGTTTAGCTTGACACAAAAAATAAACATTGAGTGCCTTTTTTTGTTTCATACATTTTTTTTTATTTTTCTAAAGATCAGGCAACAAATGGCACATGATCTTGCTACTCATTAGCTAATTATACTACAGATCAACTCTGATCCTCTCACATGATTAAGATCTTAAAAGGTATTGCTAATGATGTGATTCTATTACGAGTTCTGATTAATAAAATCTAATTGAAGTATAATAGGGCATGTGAATTCTTGACATAAAAAGGTATGTAAAGAATCTTGCTTGTATACTGATTTTATCCATACTAACATAAACATATGTCTTCTTCTTTTTTGCTTTGTTTTTTTTGTTTTTGTTTTTGTTTTTGTTTTAGATTCAATTAATATGTGGTAAGTCATCTAAAACATAGTAATCTTCATCAAAAGTCCATGTACTAACGACCTTTGTTTTTTTTTGCAGGTTTGACATTTTCGCTCGGATTTGAAACTTGTCTTTCCAATAGCTTCTTTGCTTTTATTTTAAAAGCATTAATATGGTTTTTGCTTTCAAACATGTAATTGGGTTTTTCAAAATTCTACTTGCTTTTGTTTCTGGAAACATTTTCAGAGTAGCTATTAAATATTTCTAGCTGCTAATGCAAGCATACCTACTCTACAGTAGCAGCTACTGCAGGGTAGGTATGGGAAGCCTAAAATTATCTACCCCCAATATTTTCAACCCATAAAAATAAATAAAATCGTATTTTACCAGCCAATTTTTTTTTGTGATCCCATTTATCAATTTTGCGATTATTTCAGACCTGAAACTTCAATGAAAAAGCTATTCCCAGAATGGTAACATAAACTCACGGGCTGAATTACAAAATTGTTACACGAAAAAATCTGCCGTGGTGTAAGCAGTAAATACACTCTAATAACCAAATGTAGTAAAGGAAGAAAGCCTTAAGAAAGTAAGACGTAATGACAAGAGCAGATTGTGTTTTCTTTTAAAAAGGGATACTTTTTATTTATGAATAAAGACAACTTATATACAGTCTCAAAGTATTTCTATACATCTCTATTATCAAATATTTTATTTTTCTAGAAATTCTTTATTTTCTGTACCTTTTGCACATTGAAGTCCGCCTGGACAAGATAATGTGACCGGCTTTCCTTATTTTTTTTTGGCTCTAAGGATAATAATAATTACCCCTTTTTCTCTATTTTAATACACTACTGAAACACCACCAATGTCTGAAGTAACACTTACAAGAAGAGAACAACAAGCCTTGAGAAAGGCAGAACTTGAAGCATCACCAGTCAGAACCCTGAGAGATATTGGATCTGCATTGGAACCTTTGACAATTCCTAATGTTATGAAGTTAAAGTCTAACATTGTTCATGTTTTTACTTCTAAATGGGAACTTTGCAAACAAGAAATTGAAGAACAATGCTGCGTCAAGTGGATTATCAGTCGTCCTAATAGACATAGTTCTGCTGTTGATATCACCAAGAAGAAGCATGTGCTCTTCTCCCAGGTATACTCCTGTCATAGAGGTGGAAGCTATGAATCTGAAAGCAGAGAAAAGCGTCCAATTCAACGTAAATCGAAGAAAGTTGGCTGTGAGGCAACTCTCACTATTACTTGTTATGCTGACAAGTCTCATGTTTACGTGTTTGATTTTATTGCCAACCACACCAACCATATTCCTGGGGATATTAAAACCGATCTTGGACTTATTCCTTTAACTCGAGGTCATGTTGATGATATTGTTGCCCGTTTGACAGCCAGTCCAGGCTCATCAGCTAGAAAAATCAGACTTGAGATTCTTTGCAACATTGACCAGCAAGAGTATTCTCTCAATGGACGTAAAATCAACTACTTTGATATTTACAACAAAATACTTGCAGTAAGTTTTACATTGCAATTATTCTTTAACTTCTGAATATTAACAGTTGTTTTGATGTATCTGAACTTTAGATCAACCGAACAATCTTTCATTTGCACGAGAACAACTTTAAGTCTATGAAGATGTGGTTTACCAAAAAACTTTCTCCCAAAGGTTTTATTATCTTTGAAGATAACCTGCAGACATATTCGAACGACAAGAGCCTGTATGCATGTGGATTTACCTCGCCTTTCCAGCAAAGCAAGATAAAAGCTGCAGCAACATTCTGTATGAATGCCACCTACAGTATCACTCAAAGATCAGATGACATTCTTTATACTATTGTCATTCGTAATGAAGAACTTGATCGTGGTTTCCCCTGTGCATACATGCTGACCAATGACCATTCCTTGGGTCCAATTGTCCAATGGTTGAAGCACTTGAAAGACAATCAGTTGGTTGTAAACCCCTGGCAGTTTACTATTGACTGTAGTGATGCTGAGACAAATGCACTCATGGCAATCTTCCCTGGATGCCAGATCCAATACTGTCTTTTTCACGTCAGTCAAGCATGGTACAGACGACTAAATCTGAAAGTCAAGACAGGAAATACTGCTGCCCAAAACCGTTTGGTTCGAGGAGAAATGATGGCTTTTCTTAAGCATATCATATATGAAGAGCATATAGTTGTATTTCTTGACAAGATTGCCAACTTCATTGGAAGATATCAGCAAAGTCAACCTGATTTTGTCCAATACTTTGAGACCAACTGGTGTACCATGACTAAGTATTGTGTTTGGAGTAGAGCTTTTCATCAGCTTGAATTCTCTCACATGCTAACAAACAACTACATCGACTCTTGGCACAACCAGCTAAAAACTCATTTTTTAGGCCACAGTCGCAACAAAAGATTTGATTGACTGATTTTCATACTGACAAATGAAGTAGAGCTCTACTTCAAAGAGGAGAGTATCAGAATCAATATGCACAGTGGCCCAATGACAGCTGCCCAAAGACAACAAAGGAAGATAGAGATGTCTGCTGAAGCTGTTCCAGCATACATGCATGCTAATATGATTGTTAGCCCGTCAAAAGCAATGTCTCTGAACACCACTCTTGATGACACTGATGATATTTTTGAAGACGGGTTTTGGTTCATCAACTCGTTTACCGAAGATGGTATTACCTATCAAGTTGAAGTTAACAACAATGTTATTCTTTCTTGTACGTGTTATTCTTGGGCTAGGTACATGAAGCCTTGTAAGCATATGCATTTGCTCTGTATCCATATGTCAGGCTTTGCTTTCTTGTCTGTAGCTCCTGCAAATAATGTGCTGCCAATCACAATTTCTGGTGAGCAGTTTGTTAATGACAGCACTATGTCAATTGATGGCACAAGGGAGAGCACTGGGCATGGGTATGCCATAGAGGCATTTGAGTATGCAAAGAATTGTTCATTAACAACTAAACATAATGAGCAAGACTTGTATCAACTGATACAGTATGCTACAGAAGAGGAAGCAGAGGTTATCAGAGCAGCATATGCTGCTCCCATAAAGGCTTTTCAAGAAATCAAAGCTAAATATGAAGCTCATTTTAGAACTTTAAATACACAACGTCATTAATAAAAAAATCTTCTGCTTTATTTACAATTGTTCTCATAATATATAACTATTTCTATTACCTTCTTAACATTGTATATTTGGAAATATATGTAAGTATAAATTTAAGCTGTATTCTTGACTATCTTAATATGTCATTATTTTGGTTCTATATCTCTGCGTTTTTATTTAAGAAAATGCAAAGGTAACATGTGGCTTAATTCTGAAATTCAAATTCTGGTTGTCTGGTGTGCAAAAGGTACAGGAGATAAAAAGATTCATTTTTCTATTGTTTTGTACCTGAAATACCACACACTCGCAACTGTCTATGGCGTGACCAAGAACACCGCATCCTTGACAGCGAGGTGCGCAGGGAAGACGTTTTGTGCAGGAGCGTAGATAATGCTCTTCCTCTTGGCAGTATCCACACACAGGTGTGATATCGGTGGAGCGGAGCTCAGCAAGGCAGGAAAGAGACCCACCAAGGTGGAGATGGCTTAGGAGACTGCAGACTACATCTTGTCCAGAGGTGTCTAAATAGATAGTGGCTTTGTCACGGAAAGTACCACAGTGTGAGAGATGAGCTCTCAGCTGAACGATTTTGCCAAAAGGCCGGAATGCATTTTCGATGGGCTCGAGTAGATCTGTGCTAGGATCGCAGACGTTAATACGGTAAAGATTGACCTTAACAATGTGGCTGTTAGAAGGCAATCTTGGTGTAGCAATGATTCAGGTGTTCTGATAGGTCAACCCATCGGACATTGCTTTGGTACGGGAGGAAGGGTCAGTAAAGAAGGCTTCTGCCAGAAGGTCTTTTAAGCAAGTATAACGGAGAGTGAGAGAGGTCATCCGGCCTACACGGTCAGAGAGAACATCATCTACGTCCCTTGCCGTAACATGTGTGCCCTGTCCTGTGAGTTCAATCCCTCAGGGGTACTCATGTCAGAAAATGTTAATTGGTATTAACTTGTATTGGTTATATGAATTTCCATAAAACTATTCTTTAGCAGAGAAAGGGGATGGCCCTAAGTTGTCACTTGGTTCTTTTGCTGATATTTAATTTGTTTTTTTTCTGTACAGTCAAAGCTCAATTTAGTAATATTTTTTTCAGCACTTTTATTCGCAGTCACATAGAGCAAATCTGCACTATTGCTAAAAAACATATGCGGAGTAAGAAAAATACATTTGATTTAGTAATAGTAATACAATTTGGCTTCTCTCAAAAGTATTACTAAATCAAGATTTGACTGTAATATATTTTATCCTACCAGCAAAAAGTCTAGATATTTTCTTCTCTTTCATCTCTGACTTTCAATAATCATTAATTGCAATTTACACTCACTAAAAATGTAAAGTCTGTAGTTAAAATAAACACTCGTCTATCAGAAAATATAATTTTCAGTGGTAAATTTGCTTTTTGTCAATCTTTTCAAAAGACAGAGATTTTCTTGTTTCATTTTAGATTTTTTACTAGGGGAGCGGTGCTCCCCCCCCCTTTGGGGGGTCTTCCCCTCCCCCCTCCCTTCGGGGGGGCCCCATAGACTCCCCTCTCTGGCGGGGGGGGGGGGGGGGGGGGGGCAGAGCCTACTGGAAGTTAATATAAAACCCTTCCCTATTGGAAGTCTAAGTACCGTATAGCACAATTAATAGGAACATTTTATTTGAGTGAATTATATGAAAAGAAAGGATATGTATAGATGTTTTATTATTCAAAAAAAATTGGTTAGATGAGTTTATAGTGTATGTTATATATAATTTTTTACTAAATGTCAAAGACTTCCTTAAATACAACATTGTCTGTAAATACAGTATTTCTGAGAAGGATTGAATTGGATTGGCTAGATTAGGATTCAGATTTTAGGAACGACATGCTTATGACAGTACTCATATATGAACCCAGACAGACGTACCTGTCAAGGAGATCATTATAAATGCTTATTCAATATGAAGTCCTATATGAAATATAATAGCAATATGTCTGATCCATCATTGGATCATCTCCAAGAAGTATTTAAACTATTATCGCAAAACCGTACGATGACTCATATCCAGGGTGACTGGATATATCTCAATAACTAAAAAAAACTATACATAAAATAACTTTTATTAAGATAATTTGATTTGACTGAACGTCTCTTACTAATAAAAAAGAGTCTTAAAGTACTTGTCATCCCAATCTTTCCTATTTTTACCTATGAATATAAAAGCAATCATGGAACATTGCTGACCGTGTGCCAGCCACAGAAAAGATTTGTGTTTGTGATATACACGGAATGTATCACATTAATGAATGCTTTACACTTGCCAATAACAAAAACCAGAATCTCATCTATTCCTTCAAGCAAAATTGTTCTCAGAAATTTCATAAACCATACATAACTGGGTTGCTTTTTTATAAGCTACTCAGAAAAATCCTACTGATAAACTCTTCATTTGTTTTCTGTAAAGCTTAACAAAATCTTCCACGCATACCAATGACGCCTTTGCACAGTTGGTCTTTTGTGTAGCGCCAACTATGAAAGCCTCAGGCAAATTTCGGCCACGTTTAAGTATTTCTTTGTCTATGATGAATACATGTGCGAGTGTGTTCGTTCCATTAACCTTACACAGAACAGTAAATATTTACACTATAAACAGTCAGAAGAGACACTCCGTGCAGATGAGAAGAAACCTAAGTTTCTATAGGGTGTTATAGTGTATGAGAGTAGGTGTTGTGGCAATGTCTATTGTCACCACTGATATTATGCGATTTTCATGTCAAGTACTTGCATTTGAACAACCAAAATGAAAAATTGAAAGGGGAGTCAGAGGTTTGTTAATCATAAATTATTAAGTGTAGAATTGTTGATATCCCAAGAAATGAGAATAATTTCAAAAAGAAACGCAAAAAGAACAGTTGCTGTATAGACTAAGAATATTAAATTTGTATTTGAAAGTTAAAAGATATATACAGTTACTTATTTGACTGCTATAAACCTTGGTATATTGTAAGTGATCTTTATCTTGTCCAATATATCTATATGATCTCTAAACAACAGGGGTACTCAATAGTTAAAGATTGATATTCTTAAAGGTAGTAATAATATTAATAATAAAAAAAAAGTTTTTAAGCCTTAAATTCATTTTTTATTACTTATTTTTAACCAATGCTTACAGTGATTAAAGCGAGATATATAAAGGCTTAAATAATTGTTGAATCCACTTATAATAATTATATTATATCTGTTTCAAAAAAAAGAAGAAGTTGTTTTAATAATCCATAATGCATGCTTTTTTCTTTTTCATTGATGATTTCTAACGCGTATTTAGATATTTTATATTCAGGTTTGACTTTGACACTTTCTAGAATTACATAAAGAGATAGAGAAGAAGAAAATATTACAGAGTTCGTGTATTGAATATATGCGTGTGAGAATTTTATGACTCATGGTATCTATAGATTCAGTGAATAATCGGCCAAACCCAATTTTCCTATTCCTATTCCTATTCCTATTCCTATTCTTTTTTTTCTTCCTCTTTTTCAACCCATTAAACGCTTCAGCTCAGAAAGACGCTGGCGTAGTGTTTCTCTTTCATTTTCGCTGTCTGCGTACTTGACTTTGATATCAATGACCATATTCTCCATGTACACCAACTGGTCTTCCAGAGAAGAATTACGTTCGACTAGAGCCGCGTTCTTTGTGGCTAGGATTTCCATTTCATCCTTGACACGTTGCTCAACCTCAAATGGCATAGTTTCCAGTGCTTTTTTGAGATCATAAGACTGTTGCCGGAGAGCGTCGTTTTCGTCATGGAATCGAGCTATTTCCATCTTTGTACTGATAAGGTCTGTAGCTACTTCTTTGTGTCCTTTGTTGAGGTCGGTAATGTGGATTTCAAGCTGGCGGACAGTCTCAGACAGTGCTTTATTTTGTCGTCGCATGGCTTCGATTGCTTCAGCCTCAGAGTTTGCCCTAGCTGCTTCAACTTGGTATTCCTTGGACAATTTCTCAAGACGTTTTGTAGCAATCTTTATCTGGAAAGCGTCGTGAATAAATAAACTAGCGTTTTCCTAAAATAAAGATATATATTGTAAAGAGTCAGCCAGCCGGAATAAAGCAAAAGCAAAAACTAATACTTACATCGTATATTTCAAGAAGATCGTTTTTTAAAAAGGGTATAAGATGATCAAAATCAAGACTGAGAATCTTAGATTGGTTCTTTTCCAAGAGTGCAAGGGAAAATCTAAAAACTACGTCGATACCCTCGGAAAAGATAACATCGTAGAGTCTGAAGATGACTTCAAGGGGGAATTTGTAGGTGAAGAGAGTGAGGAACCACTGGGTGGCATACATATTGGCCTGAACACCCTGAACTTCAAAATGGCGACGGACATGGGGAAGATGGTCTGCGAGCAATCCATCGAGCTGGAAAAGACGCTGAGCAAGCAATTCTGGCTGAGGAGAGAAGTTTCCCCGCAATCCGTATCGGTTCATAAGCTGAACCAATACACAAAATGCTTCTTCTTCTGGCATCTATATATATATATATATATGATATAAACCGAACACATACACAAACACACAACGTTTAGCTCGGTGGATAATGATATCCTTCTTCACATGGGCTTGGATTGCTCATACTTTTAAGAGGAGTGGACCAGCAACATGTGCCAGACCCTGAGAGTAGCCAACTTCTTTGTCGTACAATGAGTAGGCTTTCACAACATTAAAAAGAGCTTCTTGACCATCGCTGCTTTGGAAAAAGTCGTGTTCTGGAAAGGTTCTGAGAAGATCACGAGCTATTGCTTGTTCATAGACTGATTCTTCACCGAGAAGTTGCATGTACTGTTCTTCAAGTTGTGGGTCTTTTGACTTGGTGAGTAGTTCCCACACCATACACCGAACGCTTGGTGGGATTCCTCGCTGGATGTGGTATGACAATACTTTGGGCTCAGACTTGGCAACGCTATTAAAGTCCGCAATAACCTTTGACCAGAAGTCTAGAAGGATACATGAATTAATGGATGTGTATATAGGGAAATACAATGTGTAAGTTTTGTAACTTGTAGTATATTCTCTTTTTTTATTTTTATTTTTGCTTCTTTGTTTTTAATGGCTATATATATTGTATTTATATGTGTTTTAATTTTTTTATTATTATTATTTTTGAATATATTACCCCAATCAAATTCTTCATCGCCTTTTCCGAGAGTATTGGTTTGGTCATAGTCAAGTGAGGTTGGGATTTGTTGTGATTCTTCAGTGTCGGATATCCTTGCTTCGGGCGAGTTTGTGTCGCGGGTACCCAGACGGGCTAAAAGCATATCATATTTTGAATCGCTTGAGACGAATGAACTGAGAGATGACACTGTTGATCGTTGACTTTGACGGGAAAGTTGTTTGACAATATCTTCACTATCTGAGTCTGAATCTTCGATTATAGAGGAAGAAATGTCTTGTAGGCCATGAATCTGGTGCTGGATATCAGACATATGATCGAGTGCAGAAGTAGAGTGTTGGGTATTATCGGGTTGAGGGTCCCATTTGTTATCCCAGGTAGACTCATCATCAGATACATATTCTCCTTCAGACTCGGATTCGGATTCGGGCTCACTTGTGTGAATAGTGGGTCGACCCTGTTGAGTTACGGTCATGGCTCGACGGCGTCTGCCTGTGGGTTGATCCGGCTTTGTTTTTTGGGTTGCGATAGTATCGAGAGACCCACTGCTTGCACCATCAGAATAGTCCAATGATTCTGGCTTAGAAGGTAGTTTGGGTGCTTCTAGGTTGTGTTCGAAAGGAGTGGTGGGGGTGGGGGTGGCAAAGGTTTCCATGATTGAGAGAAAAAGGGAAGGGAAGGTAAAAAGGAAAGAAAAAGAAGAAGGGAAAGGAAAGAAAGGGAAAATATTATACTCTCCTCACTCGATCATTGAACTTACAAATCTGCCTCTGGCTTTCTCTGTTTTGTCTCTGACTTTTTCATATTTTTTTATTTTTATTTTTGCACCTTTGTTACACGCGCCCTTGGCCTGCTTGAAATGGGCTACTCTTTGTATTCGGCGATTAAACCCATCCACAAACAGACCAACACTTGTATTCTCTTATCCCTTTCTCCCTCTCTGTCTTTTATATTATTCCTTTTATTTTTTAATAATAATAATAATAATTAACGAATTATTATATTATATTATATAAAAAAGCAAAAATGGTCAAAGAAGACTCTCTTATTGCTGTGTTACAAAAATATGACGAGTTTATTAACCTAAAGCTCAAACCAAATCTCAAGATCGTTCTAGACAGACGCGATTCCGTCTTAAATTCTCTTTCAGAATAGTAAGCACAGATTTTTAGGTTATATATATATATGCTTTCATATATGCACACTCAAACCTCAAATCTCATTTGTCATTGATGATCAAGTCAAAAGTTAAAGATCCAGATCGAATCGATCCAAACTAATAAATTAACAGAACTCAAGACACTGGTTGACCTTGGGTCTCAATTCTATGCCCAAGCCCACATGTATGTCTTTAAAACACTTGAATATTTCTTTATTACTATTATTCTATAGATAACTAAACCCAACACAAACAATAATTATGTATTGATATATATGTATATGTATATCTTTTAGTCAGGACACAAAGTATATTTATGTAAATGTAGGGTTTGAGTTCCATGTCCAATTCACGCTCGAAGAAGCATTAGTTTTTATCGAGAAGAAAGAGGAACAGCTTTCAAGGTACAATTTTTATATAGAAATACATAGTATACAATTGTATTCTATTCTATTCTATTCTCACCATATCTCATAGAATTATAGAAAAGTTCTCCCGAGAAGCAGACAGCATACGAGCTCATATGAAGATGGTAAAATATCTTTTTTTTTTTTAAAAAAAAAGCATAATATTTGATTTACTATATCTACACAACTGGATAAACACATTACTAATACAAGCTACGCAGGCTTATGAAGCCATGTCAGAGGTCTTGGAGGCTCAAAAGAACGAGCAGGCATCGTGAAAATAGGAGCACCAAAATAAGAATATAAATAATTAAATAAATAATTAAATAAATTCATATTTATTTATTTATTAATTAAAAGTAAACACTCTACACACAGGTTTAGCCCCAAAGAGTAACCCTTTTCTATACATTTCATTTCTGCTCACCGCGATTCAAATGACTCGGCTTTCAGAAAGACGATTAGATCTCATCTTCTTTACGTACTTTGCTACACACATTCCCATCACTGCTCTGATAGATCTCCAATCTATCTACCCTTCATTCTTGGTGCCTTCTTTCCTAAAGAATGTAGTTGCATGGTACCTCGAGCAATTCAAGGATCCCATCATGGCCGGTCCAGCAAAACCTTGGTTTCTCTCATTTATTTTGTGTGAAGCATTTATTCAGTTGCCGTTCTTTTTCTACGCGTGCTATGGCTTATATTATAGTAAGTATATGTTAATTATGTAGCTTAAATATTAATTTTTATCTTTGTAGATACGTCTTCTATTCGCCTCGGTCTTGCTGGTAAGATTGCACTTATAAATATAGGCTAAAATGTTTAAATTATGATTGGGGTGTTTAACGATAAATTATTATTAGTCTATAGCTCTCATGTTATGACTACCGTATTACCTGTCTTGGTTGACTTATGGTTTAATCCGGAATACGATCTTTCCTTACCAACAATCGGTGTCCTCTATATGTTTTATGCACCTTACTTTATATTGCCCTTGATAATGCTGATCGACTCTTGTCTAAAGGTCTCTAAACAAACGTCTGCCACAGTCAAGCATGAAAAACAGTCGTAGGATAAAGGAAATTACAGAGGTTAGATATATATATATATATATATATCAAAGGATACTTTAGTAGAACAAAATGGCATGTCTCAAGTACGATAATAAATGTATACACCTCAACTCTATAAGCTTATGCTTATGTTTATGTATAACCTGTGTTGCAAGGGAAAAAGGACCAATGAAGAGAAGACTTTATTTATGTATTGTGGTACAGATAATTGGCAAGGATTTAGGATTAATTGCGCACAGACTTTGATAATAATTTAAATATATATATTTAAGGCGTAAAGAGCAAAGTACAATTGGTGTGGACAGACTAAAAGTTCAAAAAAAGGGCAAAAAAAGGGTAAAACAACTTCATCCTGAATTTAGTCAATCAGACTAATTTATGGCTGTCCACATCTTTATTTTAAAAAAAAGTTCAAAATTAGTTCAAAATACATATTAGATAAAATTGTGCATATAATCCCGTCTCTGTCATTAAGTGAGAACCTTTTATCGCGAGTTTGTCTAGATCTCTCATTATATGGCACATCTTCTCCATAAGAAAATGCTTCTCTTCTCAACCCTAGTGGCGATGGAAGAAAACTAGCTAATTAGAGTCGATTAAAAAATTTCCCCTTTTTTTGCCCTTTTTTTTTGAACTTTTAGTCTGTCCACACCAAATTGTTGTAAAATGATTCTTTTTATTTCCAAACATTTTGTATAAATCTGGGGAACGACTGGGAGAGAAGACGTGGTGCTGTTGGTAAACTAAATTTCATATCAAGAGCGAACATATATCGGTTGACAATAGGGTTTGTTAAACTACAGGCAAACATCTCATTCTCTAGGAAAAAATAAATAAATCAACTTGGAATATACGTATAATACTTATACTTACTGTATATTTGAATACCATAAAGCTTCACAGAAGATAAACCAGCAAAATGCTTATTCACACGTTGTGATATAATATGTTTCATCATCAGCTTCTAATTCTTCGAACATTATTTAGGAGAAAGAAACAAAATAGCAAAGTAATCAAAAGCTGGGCCACCAGATATCTCTAATATAAAAAAAAACTCTGTTTCGTTGAGAGTGGGGGATAGTAAATACCCCATCGATACTTGGTCCGGGAGTTCTTCTGTGGGCATCTGATAATGCATTATGCCCATTTTTTTTTGGCACACATTAGTTTGGGATCACCCCTAAAACAGTACTTTAATTCTCGTCGAACACGATATAGGGCAAACTTGGTACAACTCACCATTGTTGACCAATGATCATTCTTGAGATTTCATCGAACGTTTCATCGAAAAGAGGGAATATAAACACGCTTGTGAAATGATATTCACTAATTGATCAATCAGTGAATATATTATAGCTGTCTTTGAATTGTTTATTGCTACATTAAAGAACAAACATATGTTAAACATGGTATACTTGATTACCTAATTCACTTACATTAATCTGAAAATTACTTTGCAAATATCCCCTTCTTTATTGTCACTAATAATATATACATAAATACACTTTCTCCGGAAATTATTGGTGCAAAAATGGAATGCACCAAATGCACCAAAAAGATGAATTAAGCAGAGAAATGGTAGAAAATTGCACCAATAATTTCCGGAAAGAGTAGTTCATACAAATTAAAATATTATAATGTAATACCGACTAATTGGAGCTTACAAAACCCTTTACAGCATTATCACATAATTTGTAAATATTATCATCGTCTACCGTTATTAACATATCAACATCCTCCGTAATATCTTCAGGGGACATGTCGAGACTCTTCGTGTGCTCCATGAAAGTTGTATACTTATCACAGAGAAGCATCTTGAGGGAAGCGTCTGGTGGAGTGGCTACAAAGTCAAGGATATTGTAATAGAGTAGGCTAAATGGTATGGATTAGTTCATCTGTTTACAAGCCTTTAGAAAAAAAGGAACTTACTCTTGCTTGTGTAATTGGTCGACTCTCTCTGCACTTTCTTGCCCTTTTTCAATTTCATGTTTCAATTCAATCACCGAAAATCCAGGGCCATTTTAAAAAAAAATCGTTAATTTTTTGACTGGTAGATTGAGCAAGTTGAGCTGATGGGCCAGACGGACCGACTTTATCAGAAGTGAAACCGGTAGAGCTAGTCTATAATTATCTGAGAAGCATATAACTACAAGTTTATATTTCTCAAGATTAACTTACAACTAAGAGAGAAACCACTGCCTCGTCTGCTTGGAGGTGAAGATCACTATGGATCTTTCTTCTTTTATTTGCAAGCTGGAGTATCTTTTTTTCAGAGATATTGGTCTTCTCCTAACTGAAAGTAATGAATAGATCAAGTTGCAAAACCAAAAATCTATATTTCTCAATTTTACCTCTATTATACTGTTATTCAATGAAAGCCAATTGACTTTACTTTTATCAATAATAAACTGCCAATTCAATTAAACAAATAGCTTTTAATAAGACAAGACGCGTTATAATAAACCAAAGTTAAAACTCGCGCTTCTATCCTCTATATTGTTTTGTTTCTTGATACGTTGGAGGTTGCTGGCCCAATAGGTTTCAAGGAAAGGCATGATACGCGTAAGGATAATAAATAGTAGAATATCCAACAAGATTGCGAGACACTCTAATGACAACAACTCATACTGTTCTGCACAACCAGCTATTGATATGGTGCGCTTGTAACTAATTATTATTTCTTTATTGTCAAGTCTAAATCCAGGGCTACTAATTGAATATACAGGACTTGTTTTTTTGTATGAGACAAACTTTTATTATTAAGTTGCCCAAATACAAACTGTGGCACTTAAAATAATGACAGTTTGGTGCCTTGGAAGAGATAGATTAACACAAAGTAGTAAAGCTAATGTGTACAATAAATATAGTGCGTTTTTTCAGGACACATCATTTTGCCCTGAAGGATTAGAGAAAGGTACCGGCCCAGACAGATAGACACAATTAATCAGTCCGGTTAGATAGAAACGTGGTACCCCATAAGTAAACGTCGTCTTCGTAAGATTACTGATGTCTGATAAGACAACTTGTTAGTTGTTGCCTTTACTATCAAACTCATCTATGGTAGCCTAAAAAGAAGTGAATAAGAAGATTTAAAGTCAAAACTTCCAGTATTAGGGATGCGACGAGAGCTTTATCACCATACGTGTTCCACCGTTCTTTCCGGGTTATGATTAGGATTGACAATGAAGACTTTTTTGAATGGACTGTTCTTCTTGCTACCTGTAACAATGAGAATTCTGGCTTTTCTTCGCACCAGCCAGAAATTTGATCCAGTTATACTGGACTTTGGCTTCTTCGAAAGCTTTCAGATAATCTGTATGGCTAGTCTAATATAGAATAATGCATTTATAACAACTAATTAAGAACACTATTTACAGTCGATTTGCTTTTAACCTTTTTTTATGGCCTCTGGCCACATATTCCTGTATTTTGGGTCATGTTCCGGAATCTCCAGCGCCATAATTTTAAAATAACCTTTTAGAATATTTATAATTTAACAAGATTTGGTAATTTTATGTTCGATTTATTCAAATGACTACTAAACTGGCGCATATAATTTTATAAAGACTACTATGTACGTGGCTGCCAATTATTATTATTATAATAATGATAATAAGAAAAAGCTGCTTTCAAAGTGTTGGTTTGTATTTCAAATGTAGAGCACCGTGTAAATATATGTATATGTGTATGTACTTGTTATAATGTATTTTGTTTGATCCAAATAATAATAGAAAACTAGACAAGACTGGAACCTGCCAAAGTCTTGCTTTAAATATGATCTTCCTTCGTCGTCTTCTTCTTTTACTTTAGACCATCCCAATCTGGCTGGTCAACCACATTGTATTTATCCTTCCAGATCCACGAGTTTCCTATTAGTCCTCTGCCCTGATAATCAGCCATACGGTAGTACTTTGCTGCTTTGTACATATCTTTCTTCACACCATGTCCATGACAGTAACAGAATGCAATATCGTTCATTGCATCAGGATCTCCTAAACCTGCTGCGATCTCAAAGTACGTTGAAGCCATCTTAAGATCCTTTGGAACCTGCAGAGAGAGAGAGAAGGTTGTGGATGTTAAAAAAAAATCTGGCTTGAAATGAGTTTACCCCATGATTTTTTTAAAGAAAAAAAAACGTACCCCCCAGCCATGGCGGAAGCAAACACCGAGTTCATAGATGGCCAGCACCAACTCATGTTTTGCAACCATAGCAGATTGTGCAAACCCAGTCCTTAGATCGTATTTTGCATGCTCTACTGCTCTCTTAAGATACCTTACTGCCACAGTAGGATCCTTCTTACATCCCTACAGCCAATTGTGGATTATTATTTTTATCAGATCCACATTGTCCAATTCATCAATTTAAACTTAAATAAATATATACTTATTTTTAGCTTACCCAACCGTGCCTCAGTGCAATTCCATAAAATAATAATCCCAGAGGAGACTCGCTTTCTGCCGATAATCGCCAGTATTGTGTTGCTTGTTCAAGTTCACCTTTTTCATGGCACTGCATACCTAGATGGAGATATTCATCCTGGTTTGAAGAACTGTGTCTAGTGCTTAAATGATTGTCTGACTCTGAGGTGTGGTCCAATTGACGTGTTATCACACTCTCTGACAAGTTCGAATAGTCGGTACTGTTGAATGTAGTGGGTGTATTGGTAATATTTGCTGTAGAAGGTGGCTGAATTGATATTTTAGACGGAGTGGACACTGTAGACTATATTATCGTTATTGTTATTATTTTTTGGTTGATTAAAAGAAAGAATTAAATAAATAAATTGATAGATAGATAGATAGATAGATTTAAAGACGTCTTTTTTTTATGAGTGGTCAGTAAGTAGATCGCAAGCAGAAAATAAATAAAAAATATACCCCGCACATACAGACGGCTCTTGTTTGGCAGCCGTCTTCAAAGAAGACATTGACGGACGATGAGTAGGGGTACTTTTGGAGGATCTTCGGGAGATAGATTCTCTTCCGGCTATCGTCATTAGCTTTGCCCCAGAGGTCGACGGCTTCATAAATAATGAGAAGCGTTTCTTCTTTTTGGAATCATCGCCCAATGTAGATCCCGATGAAGTAAGGGTGTCTGGGGTAGATTGTGGTTTGCTATGAAATGCGTTTTTCAGTTTCTGCATTATTGTATAGTGAAATTGAGCCAGATGAAATGAGGTGGAATGGAGTGAAGTAGTATACAGTAAAACAGAAAACAAACAAAAAATCAAATTGGCGTGTTTATAGAAGAAGAAGAAGAAGAAGAAGAAAAGAGAATGAAGTAGAGAAATAAAAATAGAGAAAAAGAGAGAGAGAGAGGCGTCGATTTCGATTACCACGAGAGGCTTTTTTTGGCAAGGCTAAAGATCTTTTTATATATGTGTACACAACTTGTTCATAGAAAACTCCTTATCGTCTTGGCTTAACCCAAGCCAGTTTAACCCCAAAAATCAAGTCAGTTCAATCTAACCATTTAATTAAGTTTATTATCATTATCATTAAATATAACAGGGATGATAAATTTGGCTGCTCTTTCTCTTGTGTGTGCGTGTGCGTTTGTATGTGTAAAATATAACAGAAAGGATCATTTATGGGCTGTAGTTTGATTGGGTCTTGGGTGACATTTTGGTGTGATGCGAGAAAGCTTGAACCAAAAGGGACTAGGCATTAGAAAATATGCACTGTGATGAGTATGTGCTCTATTTTAAGATATAGAAGCAGTCCAAGCTCATAATGATGTGTAGGGATTGAGCGCTCTTTGTCCTTTCTTAGGTATTCCTTTAGGTAATATAGAGTATTGGATACAAAATTAAGATTTTCTTAAACTTTTTTTTTGTTAATTTTCATATAGAGAGATTGAAATCCAAGTCATAGAAAGCTTACCAAGAAATATTTTGGCAGAGCCGATTTTAAAATAGCCTTGTTTCTTTTTTGTTCTTGGTACGAGTACCGAAAGATTGTCAAAGACTGCCTCGGTAGCAACCAAGTGGCAATTTCATTGAAGGCTTGTTTAAAGAAGTTGATCATTGTATGCTTAAATATGCAGGTAAAATAAGACAAATGCGTAGTGAATACAGATAAAACAAGACATTACTAATCAAATCAAATCAAATCAAAACCAAGCTAAAATAAAATAAAGTCTTTCGATTTACAAACAAAATATCTGCTGATTCCATATGAGCATATTAGTCTTCAAGACCTAATCTATTCCTCAGCCTTCCTTCTACACATATAATAAAAGTAGTTTCTCAGCCATACTACATTATCTATATACACAAAAAAGAAGAAAAAGAAGAAGAAAAGAAAAAAAGCGTAGGCACATAAGCAGTATATCTTTGACAAAGAAGACAAAAATGCTAATTTAAAATACGCCAACAAAAGTTCTCTAACTGTTCAAGAAGAGTTAATGTGATGGTTACTTTAGATATCTGCTCTACTGAAAGCTACATACACACACATAGATATCTGCTTTTAACTCGGGAACAAGAGTAATTAGATGAATATCCAAAAGTTTGTGCACAGAAAAGAAAATGGCAAATTTAAAGTAGTAAGAGGTATTAAAGTCACAAGTACAAAAAACTGCAATATCGAGTTAGCTTAATGTATTAAGAGCCTCAACACATTCGACTTGTAAAAGACTTCAATAAAGCTTACAGACAAAGTAGCTCCAGAAAGGTGGCTTTCTCTCTCAATTAATCAGGATTTGTTTCTGGTATATATTCAATAGAAGATGAGAATCAATAGATAAAAATTAAAATTAAAATCAAAATAAAGGGACTTGAAAGATTCTTTTGAATAGGGTTATAAGAAGGTCTTATCCTAAAATGGTTGATATAGTCTTGTATCAAAAAAATAATAGTAATACCTTGCAAGACTTTTGCCTTTACTTTTGCTTTTATTACTAATATAAAATATAGTTTTAAATATAGCATATGCACACACACACACACACACACATATGCAAGCTAGCTAAGCTCCAGTTGAACATTACATAATACAAGGCGATGTGCAATGACAATCAGTATTTAAGAGGTACATTGGCGTCATCAGTATTTTATCCATTTCCTCAAAGATATATGTATATGCATCTGTATGCACAGACTCTGATAAATAGTTGCACATTATCTTTATGATGGCACACTATCTAAACAAGCCTAAGAACTTTTTTAAAGTTGATTTTATATATTTTTGTTTTACATGCCTTTTTGTATTTTAGAGCTCAGGGTTTATTATTAAAGTAACTTCACTATTTTGACTTTGCTCTTTTCTCCTTCTTTATTTTTTTTGTTGAGTCAAGGCTGTGCTACTTTATACAGTTCTTTTGAAGATATCTAAGCATATTGCTCGAATGGCTTATAATATCTTGAAGAAATACAGCTGTCAAACTAGGAGATATGCTACATATAAATAAAGATAAAATGGTATTTTAAAGAATTGGCAGCAACACAGGCATTGTCGTAATTTCTCCTAATCCACAAACTATGTCCATAATTAAATCTTTCAGCTTGTTTTGTTTGAGCAATTTAACATACAAAGTACGTAGTATCTAGAAAAGCAGATTCAAATCTTACCGCATAATTCCCGTAATATGGGTGGACTGGATGATTTTAGCCTCACAGACTTACCTTGTTCATTCCAGTTGCTGGGATCGTAGATTCGTTTGGTGATTAGTATGTTGTACATGATATTATAGACTTATTGAAACCTGCTTTTCAAGGGAACTACCGTTCTTTCCGGTGTGCCCATGTAGGTAGCTAATTCCGGCGAGCTTTCTGCTTAATTGGCTATTTATTCTTTCTTTAATCCAAGTTCATTTCTTTCAAGCTTGTGTTTAAACTATTTAATTAATCTGTTTTCTTTAATCGTCTTTATTATCACTATATCAATTTACAAATTTGAGCAGAATTTGGTTGTAGTTTCGATGAGTTTTACAACATAGCTAAGAGTACTCGCAATCAATGCAAATACTTGATCCCATATATTTTCTGTAGCGGTCAAAGGGATCTATTAAAAGTGCGATTATATGTTCTCATTAGATTTGCATTCTTCACAAATCCCTTGCATACCGCTTTATTTTTTTCATAATATCTTTAAAAATAAATTACTGATCAACTTTACCATTGTGCCAAAATCACGAAGTATTTACTCTTGTGTTCACTTGGTGTGGACAGACTAAAAGTTCAAAAAAAAAGTAAAACAAGTTCATCATAAGCTTAGTCAATCAGACTAATTTATGACTGTCCGCACCTTTTTTCTTTAAAAAAAAATAGTTCAAAATTAGTCAAGCACTTATCAGTTAATTGTACTCATACTTCCGTCCCTGTCATTAAGTAAGACTTTTATCGCGAGTTTTTCTAGGCCGTGCACCCTATGGTACTTCTTTTCTATCAAAAAAAAGTTCATTTTCTCAATTCAAATGACAACGGAAGAAAAATAGCCAATCAGAGTCTTTCAAGAATATTGCCCCTTTTCACCTTTTTTTTATACTTTTATTTTGTCCACACCTTAGTGCGCTGGAAGAAACCTTTACCGTTATACTTGTGGGTTTATTATATTTTATTTCAATTATTTTTCAACCCTCGTTGTGTCGTCCACATGCAACAGTACGCAAGGCCTAGAAGAACCCACGATAATTTTTTTTTACCTGTCTACTGCTTAGGAAGAAACTTTCGGAATGTCAAGGTTGAGGTGGGAGTAGCAACAGATTTCCTTACTGCTGACTTTGGCTGTGATGGATCCTTTCTAATATCATGAAGGATCTGTATCTCTCTCTCTCTCTCTTACGTTCCCTCCCTTTTTTTCACACTCGGAATATATCTCAGAGCTTGTTCTACTAAATTTAGTTTTGTTATTCATTATAATTGATATTAATTTAGAAGAATAGCAAGGCTTTGTAAATAGGAAAGAAGTATCGAAGTTTAGAAATGGGTATTTATTGTTATCACAGTGCAGTTTGTGTGTGTTACTCTAAAGCTCTACTATTGCTTCTTTAAAGCTTTGATTCAAAGAAAGCTGCTCTGTTCTCAGGCTTTGAGGCAGCCTTTTCAAAGTCTTCTCTAGTAATATAACGTGCCTCACATCCCTGTTATAGATAAATAAAAAAATCAATACTTGAATATTAATTATTAACATTCTACTTACTGGGTTATATCTTGTAAGGGGTTTGGGCTGATTAACTTGGCCACGTTTATAGATAGTTATTACAACGGCACCACCCAAACCAACGTTGTGTTGCAAGGCATACTCTACATTAGGCACCTGTCTATCTCCAGCCCAGCCACGGATCTGCCAAACAAGCTCTATAACAACAACAGAAATCAAAAGATTAAGTAAACCCGATATTAATATTATTATTATTATTATTATTATGGTAGCAAATTCTCTCTACATCAAACATTACCTGTACACTGAGCAAGTCCAGTAGCACCGAGGGGATGTCCTTTGGAAATGAGTCCGCCAGAAGGATTGATGACATATTTACCACCATACGTATTGTCCCCAGAGTCGATTAGAGTGTGTGCTTTTCCAGGGGGTGTCAAGCCAAGAGCATCATATGTCAACAACTAATGTTTTTTAGTGAGTATATATACATATATTCTTTCTTTTAAGAAAGAAAATGTAAAGTAAAATAAAAAAGCTTACTTCATTGGCAGAGAAGCAGTCATGAAGCTCAACCACCTGGACATCATTAGGAGTAATTCCGGCCTTTTTAAAGGCTTCAGAGGCAGCACGGCGAGTCATATCTGAGCCAGCCCATTCTATACCGTCCTTGGACAACATACGGGGGGAGTCTGTAGCCATGACCTGAGAAGCAATTTCAACGGCTTGGTCAACAAGACCATGCTTAACTACAAACGATTCATTGCAAACAATAACGCAACCAGCACCGTCTGAAGTAGGACAGCATTGCAGCTTCGTCAGCGGACCAAAAACATTTGGTGACTCTTCAATTTCTTCAAGTGTGTAGATGGTCTGGAATTGGGAGTAAGGGTTGTTTGAACTATGGTGATAGACGTTAGCACATCATGCACCAGCCGGCTTACACTTATAACCTTTTGATCCTTACCTGTGACGATGGTTCTTTTCGGCAATCTTTGCAAGATGTCGCGGTGTAGCACCGTGTTTTTCCATATAAGCTATACCAGCATTTCCAAAAATCTGGGCAGCATAAGGAGCATTTGTGGCTCCTCGTTCAGAGAACATCACAGTGCCAACATGATCTGTGAAAGTATAAAGATATGTGTTCCAAATCACGGCGATTAATTATAAAAAAATAAAATAGGTGTGGACGTAAGCTATACTAAGCTTAAACTATTTTACCGAGAGGATTTGTACGATCAGAAAACACTGCTCCCAAGGACCCACTGGCCATGCGTTCGAATCCAAGTGCCATTGCGCATTCTACGGATCCAGATGCAACCGCATTACGAGCCTGCAAAAGAGCAGTCGAACCAGTAGAGCAGTTGTTGTTAACATTGATTATGGGGATCTGGGTCATTCCCAGCTGGTATAAAACACGCTGCCCAGCTGTACTATCAGCAAATACATATCCACAGGCTGCAAACTGAATATCGTCGTAAGACAGACCAGCGTCATTCAGTGCCTTGACAGAGGCTTCCAGACCAAATTCTTGTAGAATAAATACACAAGCATTATCATAAGTATTATTGCATACAATTATTGTACCTAATACATTATTTTAAAAAGAATGCTTTTTATTACCAGTGTAGTCCACCTTTCCACGGGGTTTGATGAATTTGGACATGCCAACACCAATAACAAAGACTCTTTCTGGGGCCATGGTATAGATTAAATCAATAAGAAAAAGAAGAAGCTAAAGAGAGGTCAAAAGAAGGGTGTGGGGAAAAAGTTGGGATTATAATGACTAAGAAAGTTTGTGACACTCTGATTTGAGTTTACACACTGGAAAAGAAAGAAAAAAACAAAGTTATGCTTTGTATCAAAGGAGATATACTTGTTTAAAAGTTAGAGATACCCAAAACACAAAGATATTAAGAGTATATTTAAAGATTTGTTTTCTGATATCTTTACTGTACAATATATATATATATATATTAAGTATCAAAAATTTATATATACATATACAAAGTATGACATTGAGGTTGTAAAACTGGTGCTTGTCATATTAACTAAGTATGGGTATCCATTATCGTGTAAAGGGTTTAATTAGGAACAGCCCCATATCCTGGTCCACCAACAGGATAGCCTCCTTGAAGTCTCTTTTCATCTCTCTGCTTGATCAATAGATAGAATGCGTGAATGTGACCTAAATAACAATATGGTTCGTATTTATATTTGCAGTGAATCCAAACCAGCCCAAGAGAAATAAAACTTACCTGGAAGATAACCGAGAAGAGTCAAACACCTACAAACAACAAAAATAAAAGGTATAGTCAGAATATGTAGGTCAATAAAGTTTATATATGAGTTTCATACAAATTAATCCAGAAATCTGCACCACAGCCGTGCATCAGGAATACACCCAAAGGAGGCAGTAAGATGATTATTAGGATAAGACAGCAGTCGCCAACCATGTTGTTGTTATTGTTATTATTTTGTTTGAGAAGTGTAGGGAAGAAAGTCAATCAATGCAAATCGATGAGGATAGCTGGCTTTTTTAAACGTTTCAAAAAATATTGGCGCGACAATATTTCCTTTTCTCTCTATTTTATTTTACGTCATTCTTAGCACATTATATGTCACGGCTTCCCAAAGGTGGGAGGAATAAGGACATTTTTTATATTTGTCACAAATCCCAAATCATAGATATTCTCCAATTCACTAAAACTCTTAATTCTTCGTTCTTTGGGTGGGGTTTGGGTGTGTACATCTTTACGCTTAGGAGGATTAGTTTTGACCGGCTCTTCTACAAGGTAAAACACCCCACGGTCAATATCTTCTTCGACAATTTCCCATTTGAAGGCTTCATTGGTAGTCATGCCACGTCCGGCAAGATAAAGTCTACAGGATATTTTAGTGAATAGAGCCAGATTTGATAAGCCTCTTCCTACTTACTGGTACACAAGGAATAAAGATACAACGACCGCGACCACAGTGGCTAGAATGCCAAGAGATCCTATTATTCGGTCTTGGTGCATAACGTGCTATTGCTTTGTATTCAGTACAATTTTCTTGGCGTTGATGTACTCTTGCATAAAAAAAACAGGAGATTTGCTTACCACCATAGCTTGACGAAAGGTTATCGGGCGCTGGGTTTTCGCCTTGTGATCAAAAACGGTTGCATTTTCTAATCCCCACTCGACTATAAACCCACGATACACTTCAAAGCACAGATAGGTACCATACACACACAATTGGATCAAGGAGTACAAGAAAAAGAAGAAGTACCGATGATTATTCACACCCACACATCGATTGATCCACGCACAGTGGTGATCGGATCGTCCTACACATGCATGGCACATTGAACAATGTTTGGATCTTGCGGGCTTGAGTCGCTTGCAAGTAGTACACTCTTTGGGCTCGTACAACAAATTGTCATATTTGTAATGATCCATGTAACTCTGGTGATTATTGGCAGTAATAATACCAGGATCTGCAGTACAAGCCATATAATAAGAATAGTAGAGAACACCAATATGCGCTGGAATCAAAAACCTTGTTTGTATAGAAAAGTTTGAAACATGGTCAATAAGCATTTATGCTTATGAGTTTCTCCTATATGACCTTACTGATGAATTCTCCCGAGGTAAGGACCAGGAACATGAGGCACCGCAAAATAGTAGAACAAAGCAAATGACGAGACAGTCAAGAACATAAAGAAAATCTGCAACAAAATATAAAATCCAAGACTCAAAAAAATTAATAAAAACCCAATATACACACACAGATAAAGAGTACACCAATCACACCTGTAAAAATGGATTTCGAGATTCGCAACAATATACCCATGCTTTTCCTAAACGCTTCACATTCTTTTTCCCTAATGTAGATTCCATTGACCATCTAAATGTACATTGGTTTGAATTTTTTTTGTGTGCGATTTACGATAATAATTACGAAACTCTTACATTATACCTCGTGGAAAGGTGCTCGTCAAAAAATAATGAGTCTTTCCAACAATGCCATGTCTTAATTGTGGCCCTTCACCAAATAGAAGCACAAACACAATGACGCCAAAAACCACCAGAAACAGAATAAGGAGTGTAACGAGATTCTAGAAGGGTGTAAGCCATAATGATTACAGTTTACTCTACCATACCATAAAGTTAACGTCTTAGACGACTGTAAAAGAAAATAAAGACTAAGAATGAAAATGAAAAGCGGGTATTGAATGAAAGGCTTGTCTGATGAGAATGAGCCAGGTACAAGCTCTTGTCCTTTAGCTTCCTCGTGTTTGAGGCACCTCATATAATTATGGTGGGTAAGTCATGATATAATTAATAATTTTTTTGGAAGGTTTCTTTTTCTATTTACATTAAAGGTATGATTATAACAAATTCAGATTGTCTCGACTGAATTATCTTACTATACCGGTACTGTAATTCATCAAGCCTACATAAACGACAATCAATTCTTCAACAAAACAAAAAAAGACATTTGTAATATGTGGTTGGGACAATTGGAATAAGATACTAAATATGATATATTGAATTTACAAGAAGTTGCCTCATTATTATTAAAAAGAAACAGTAATTTATCTCTGTGTGTTATTCAACAATAGAGAATTTGCAGCAGTTGCTGTAAAAATAAACTTTATATATATATATTTTAAATAAACTCAAAGTGTTCTAAAAATTTGTCTGAAACAATTACTTTTAGGTTTGTTTTACATATAAAGATTTCTTAAAAGTAGTCGTTGCAAATAATCTAACAGTAGACATATTGTTCAAGTATCTCTTTTCCGCTTGGAGTCCAAACGAGTGGGGATAATCGAAATGTCTACAAACGAGTCTGTAGTTTCCTTGTCCGGAGTATCTGAATATAGTGTAAATTAGTACACCCTATCAATTTATATACATGTCTACTCACTACACGTACCCAATTTTGTATTATTTTTTACATTGTTAAGTGGAACATATGTTGGTGAGCTGACTGGTGGTAAAGAGAATCCCTAAACTCCAAAGCGTAAGTATATTATCTCTTATTAATCAAATCTTAGAAATAACCACCTACTTTTTTGAAAATTTTGGCATTTGGAGCTGGTAAACAATCTTTAATGTAACTCTGAGGTAATACAGACGTTTCTGAAATATAGCACTTTTCAAATATCTTCCCCGTAGAGCTCAGGCGATTTACATTTAAGTTTATGTTCTGTTGTTCGCTTGAAAGGTTGTGGTTTTCTGAGCTTTCTGTGGATATTTCATAATCCTGATATACATCCATATTCATATGTGCTTCTTGAGCTTCAGAGAGAGTTACCGGACTTTCAGATGAGGTTCCCAAAGGGGATGTAGGAGTATGAGCTTTTTCGCTTGTAGCTGCCGGCACATATTTCGACTTTTCTTCAAGTGTACTTGCTTTTCTTTTCCGTTGATTTTTCACAAAGGTTTTGGGCTCCACAGAGCTAGGACTATCTATATATAAGTTTATGTTCTGTTGTTCACTTGAAAGGCCAATATTTTTTGAGTTCTCTGCGGATATGTTAAGGTCTTGATCTACATCCATATCCATATGTGCTTCTGTAGTTCCAGAGAAAGTTACCGGACTTTCAGATGGGGTTTCCAAAGAAGATGTAGGGGTACGAGTTTTTTTGCTTGTAACTGCTGGCACATATTCCAGCTTTTCTTCAAGTGTACTCGCTTTTCCTTTCCGTTGATTTTCCCCAAAGGGTTTGGGCTCCACAGGCTGTGCTAATATGCTTTGATCCCCAATCTTCTCAAGAGAGCAATACACAATAGACCAGCCGATTGCTTCTTCTTTAATTGCTTCTCGTTTTCTACGCAAATATCGTCAACAGTTGGTCTTGATATATATAAAATCTACCTACGCTTTTCTTAGGCTCTTTTCGACACCTGTCCATGAATTATTGTCAATTCCGCTGGTAGGAATAACAAAAACTCCTTTGTTAAATTGAATCAGAGGACTTCTCAATGGTGTTCCTGGTCTACAGAAAATAGCCTTTCCGCCAGCTGCCTTAATCACCGTAGACAATCGATCAAACTAGATTTGTGTTTATTGTTTCCCAGGGAATAACAATATACATTATTAAATTTTCTCCCAGAGAAGCAATAACTTTCTATTTTACTATCTATATTACCTGTTCTTTTCCAAATATATAGAATATAAGACCATTAAATATCCAAGTGCGATTGACTGAAGGTAAGAAGTTCGGGGCACATTGTGTCAAAGGAAAATCAGAAGACAATGGAGGAATATGTTTCTCGAAATCTGGAAACACAGTGCTTGTGTCGCTCACAAACTCAGCAAGCCATGATGTTGACACGACTGGTTTTAATTGAACAAGGCACTGTATCAACTTGTGAGTAAATCGGATCTCCTTGACATACAAGTGTGTGCAATTATCATCCCAGTCTTTGGTGATGTGGAATCCTAAGAGGTTCCCATTCAAGAGAGTCAAGATTCTAATCATTCCTACACTTATACCAATTATTCTACAAAAATGTACCTAATCGAGCGCCAGCCTCAAGAAGCTCCTCTTTCTCATTCCTCCCAAGAGACGTACGGCATACAAATAGATGTTTCCACACAAGCCTACAAAAATAAATAAATCAAGTTGGCCAAATGCAAACAAGTCTTCGTGATCTTACTTGACCGCACTGTCAAGAGTGCCAAATTCCATGACTGTATCATTCTCGATAACAGTTGGATCTTTTATGCTCTTTCCGTTCGCCTTAGTCCCATACTTGGATCCTACATCTTTCAGAACTACCCTGGGTCTAAATTCAATGTTTCCCTATTAATAAGCTAGACATTAAACAAACACACCAGAAATAATATAGATAGTTGTTATGATATATTACCATGTGTTCATGTTCTACTGGATCTACAATTATACTGGCATGTTTTCGACTGATAGATTTGTCAGAGAAAGTAATATCGGCATCTAAAGATTAGTGTCAGTGTTGAATCGATGTTTACGATGTAATATTTTGTACCATTCCTGCCAACCATGTATGATTTTCCCGGTTTGAGCAAGATCTGCTTGTGTTCTAATTAAACAATTAGTCATTGTGGAATATTAAAGAAAGTATTATTACCTGAATCCTCTTTTACATCGCATAATACCCACATGATTTCGACAATTAAATATGAATTAATTAATTTTTTAGCTTATTTCTAGTCAACGAAGATAGTTGAGGGGGGGAGTGTGAACACCTTTTCTTTAACTTTCTTGCAAATAAAACGCAGTCTCAGCCACGCTTGCTTTTCCCTGTTTGCTACAGAACACCATGGATTCAAAGGCAGAGGGACAACGCCAGACGATGCTGGAGAAGGCACGGCGCAAGATCTATGAAGAATCAGAAAGAGAACGACAAAAGATATCCAAGGTTTGAAACAAATTCAAGTACTCAAGAATTTTTATGAATCTAACATTGTGATTGGATGTGTAGTTAAATGAAGTGCGCGTGGGATCCGATAAATTCATCACCACTACGGGTGACATTGAGACCCAACTCAAGAGCAGCACCATTGGTCTCACAGAGTTACGAGACTATCGTAAGATCAAAGAAAACTTGGAAGAGCAGCAATTGAGAGAAGCAGCAAAAACTGCACCATTGGGGTACGACGCATTTAAAGAGCTGTAAAAGGGGGTTTTTTTTTTAAAAAAAAAGTTGTGTGTATTGATCAATTTTTATATATTTAAAAATAGAGAGGAGAAGAGAAAGAAGAGAAAGAAAAAGCAAATGATGCGCCTATCTTTTGAAGACGAAGAAGAAGAAGAGAAAGAGGAAGAGGCAAAAGAACTTGAGGCTTCACCTGAAGCAGGGGAAGATGATGATCAGGAAGAGACCGAGAAGATACAAAAGAAACGTAAAATGCTCAAAGATCCTACTGTTGATACCAGTTTTCTTCCTGATCGAGAGCGAGAAGAGGAAGAACGTCAGATGCGGGAGGAGCTGCGTAAAGAATGGCTGAGGAGACAGGAGGAGTTGAAGAGTAAGTCCAATATAAACAAATAGACAGTAAGCTCATAAAGTATAGCTATTTTTGCTGCACAGGTGAAGTGATCAGTATTACATATTCTTACTGGGATGGCAGTGGTCATCGTAAATCAGTCCAGTGCAAGAAAGGAGACTCTATTTCTCAGTTTCTCGATGCTTGCCGCCAGCAGTTCCCCCAATTGCGTGGTGTTAATGTCGACAATTTGATTTATGTCAAGGAAGATTTGATTATTCCTCATGTAAGTTACGGAAGATAATAATTGTCATGGTATGTATTCATAATTGATGTATTTCCTTCCCTTTATAAGCATTACACCTTTTATGACTTTATCATCAATAAAGCACGTGGTAAATCCGGGCCTTTGTTTAACTTTGATGTCCATGATGATGTTCGGTTAGTCAACGATGCAACGTTGGAAAAGGATGAGGTGAATATTGAATTGGCTAGTAAATTCTTAAATCTTAACCCTTTCAATTTCTTAAAGTCCCACGCAGGTAAAGTGGTCGAAAGGTCTTGGTACGAGCGCAACAAACATATCTTTCCTGCAAGCCGATGGGAAGTATTTGATGCATCCAAGAACGTAAGTGTACTTTATCGATACTACTCGCATATGTTAATCTGTTTCCATCTCTTCAATTTTTAGTATGGAAAATACAAGATCAAGTAAAAGAGACGGTAAAAATGATAGACAGGTTGCCAATTTTTTTTTACAATAAAAGAAGAAAAAAAAAAGAATTCCCCGTGCTCGTCCTGATTTCGTTTTATTATTTCTATTCTTTCTCCCTTATAATTATGAGTGAAGTTGAAAGTGTCTCTGAGTATGTCAAATTGATCAGTAGTGATGGTTTTGTGTTTGTCATCCATCGTGAAGCTGCAATGCGTTCTGGTACAATTAAGAATATGCTTGTCGGCCCTGGTAAGTGCATAATACCTTTGCACCAGAACGGATGGTAAACTTTTGATTTTGTAGTCCAATTCAAAGAGTCAGTAGAAAGCGAGATTCCATTCCGTGACATCAAGTATAAACGCAATAAATAAATTAAGAGAAATCAACAATACTAAAAGAAGTTGTATCAAACAAACCGAAAAAAAAACATCTTTGATCCTTTGTAGGGCTGTCATCCTGGAGATTGTGTGTCGTTATCTTTACTACAAATGGCAATACGAAGGCTCCACTACAGAAATTCCAGAATTCAAAGTCGACCCAGAAGTTGTTCTGGAGACATTGATGACAGCTGATTTCCTCGAATGTTAATTTAGGTCAAATTAATGTTAACTCTTTTTTTCTGTACTTTCAATAAAGCAGAGCAAACAAGCCAAAGTAACTTGTTCTTACATCACGCGTCGCGGAAGGCGTAATTGACACGCTCAGCCACAGCTTATAGCCAGGACGCGGCTGTAATGGACAGGCTACGCGTTTAGTCTGTTTCGCGTCTCTTCCTCTTTGGCCATCTTTTTTCATTTCTACTTAATGGATGTTGTTGCACTTACATCTTCACATTCAGACACAGATGTTTACACTGCTGTGTATAGTAGTGTCAATGTGTTTGAGATGACAGTTCATGGTGTAGCTATCATGCGACGTCGATCTGATTCATATATGAATGCTACTCAAATTCTCAAACTGGCTGGAATTGACAAGGGTAAACGAACAAAGATTCTCGACAGAGAAGTTCTTACAGGAGAGCATGAAAAAGTGCAAGGAGGATATGGAAAATATCAAGGCACATGGTAAGCAACCTAAGGCTTTACCTATTATTGGATTATAATACAAGTACTCATCAGTTAATGAGCAGGATTCCTTGGGACAAAGGAAAGGAACTTGCTGAACGTTATCAGGTCTTGGACTTCATACTTCCGTTGGTTGAATTTGATATTGCAGCTTATGAAGAAAGTGGGGACCAAGAGCTTGTTCCGACCAAAGAACAAGCCCTGGCAGTTAATCCAAGACGTATTCAAAACACTACTATCCAAGATTCTACTCAATCTATCCATACATCATCACCTTCGTCTCCTTATTGTACTATCGATTCTCCTACAACATCTCCTTACCACCGCCAAATACCTGTCGAAAAGGTCCCCCACAGTCGAAAACGACTTAAACTATCTCCACCAAAAGACTCCGAAAATTCAACTAAAAACGAACATCAGCGCAACGTATTGATGAATATATTTCTATCAGACGAGCCTATTCCTGAATCATTAAAAAACCCAAAGACTCTGTCGTCTATTAATATTGATCTTGTGATTGATGAACAAGGTCACACTGCCCTACACTGGTCAGTTGCCATGGCTAAAATACAGACGGTTGAATGGCTAATTACAAAAGGTGCAAATACATGCCGAGTAAATTATGCGGGAGAGACGCCCCTTATGCGTGGGGTTATGGTGACCGATAGCTTTGACAACGACTGTTTCCCAAAACTTCTCGATATTCTGAGTACATCTTTGAGAATCACAGACCATAAGAATAGAACTGTCCTACATCACACAGCTATTACGGCAGGAGTTTTTGGAAGGTCTAATGCGGCAATATATTATATGCAACATCTCCTGAGTATAATAAGAGACGATGAACAACTTAAAGCCATGATAAATTCCAAAGATTCGAGCGATGACACTCCTCTTAGCATAGCTACCAAAGTAGAATGTAAAGAAATGGTCGATTTATTGATGCTGTATGGCGCATCTTCAGATTACTCTACAACTCCAGAGCATATTACAACTGAGGATGAAAATAAGATAGAGTCAGTCGTAAGTAAACGAATAGAGATATGATTTAATCCCGAGATAGTATTCTAAGTAAAGAAACCTTAGGTATCACATATTGAAGATTCAGAAATTCACACTGAACCACCGAATAATACGATACCATCCTATAAACCCAACCCACAGGGCCTTCATATTGTATCAAGTAAGTCACAGGAATAAAAATGATGTTGAGGAAAATAAATCATTTATGAAAAAAGGTTATAGCTGTACAAAACTTGATTGCTGCCATGGACGCAGAGTTCAACAAACAGCTTTCTGAACGAGACCTTGCTTTAAAAAATGCCAAAGATAACATAAAGACGATCACCTACCAATTGGAAAAAGCTAAAACAGAACTTGAGAAACGACATAATGATACTATGTTACTTGCAGAAGCTCAAGAAAGAATAAGAAAATTCGAAAAGACATTACAGGCTGGCTGGAACAGTCTGGATAACGACAGTGGAAGTAATGATGACGACGACGATGATGATGAGCATGGAGATATTGAAAATATGCGTGGATTTGACAGCTTTGATGAAAACAGCCAAGCGAGTGATGAAGAACATATTCATTCGCCCAGTATTCTGTCAGATTCGGTCTTATCTAAATCTACCCGCGAACACAAGCTGGAGCGACACATACGCCAACTACAAAACCAAATTAACGTATTTGTTAAGGCCGAATATGAACACAAACGAGAGATGGAGCTTTTACGGAATAAACCTTCAGAAAAAGAGCTCCAATGCAAAAGGTTAATTGCGGCCTGTTGCAATCTTCCGTTTGACAAGATTGATGATTTCCTAGAACCTCTTTCACTTGTAATTGAGAGCGACCCACCCGATATGGATATGACGCGTGTTGTTGAGTTTATGGAAAGAATGAAGCGATCTGGTATTAATCCAGACACTCTTCTTGAAATTTCAGAAGACAACAGTAGTTCCAGTAAACACACTACACCTGCATCAACGCTCTAAACTCCTAATACTGATCCTTATTCCACCACTTGTATATATCTCCCCACTTACATAACCACTACCCTTTCATGTTTTTCCATTTTTTATTTTGCTTAGATGTAATTTATTGGTCCTAAAAAGCTGTATTATTCATGCTTTTTTGTCTATTCACGTTTCCATCCAAAATCTTCTTCTGCGATATCACACACCATCTCTCCGATTGCAAGCGAGGCTGTCGCAGCCGGGCTTGGTGCGTTACGGAGATTGAGGATTAAGCCATCCATAACCTTGCGTTCCACAATGAAATCACTAGCAGCAATTCCTCCTGACTATTGTCGTTTAATATTATTTCATAATAAAAGATTAATTATATCATACAGAAACCATTTATCAACAACAGGGGAGGATACTTTACCTCGAATACTTGTGCCATAACTCCACTGAAACTTTCCTCGACCATATCAGCTGTCAAGCTTGGCATCATTCTCTGGCCACTCTTCAAGAATGCATGCTTGCTCAAATCACGGTAAAGTTCTCCAAGTGATACCGAGAAGTTTTTGACAAAGAAGGACCAGAATGCAGGGTTGATAAGAGAGTCGTATAGATCTCTGACATTAAAGTCAAAGAAGCGATATCCTTCTCTTGAGAAAGTGAGACTAAATAGGACAATATAATTAAATATAGGACCAAAAATATTTAAAAAGAGACGTTTTGTTTCACCAACTTACCAAGCACCGGGACCGACAATCATTTGATGGCCACGACGTACATCTACCTTTTTAGATGATAGATTTATTTGAGCTTTTCATACACAACAATTGTCTCCCAAAAACAACTAACGCTTGACTTACTGTTGGGGTAAAGTGAACACCGACGGGAATACCTCCTCCGCTGGGAACAGGATAGACATTACGCTTCACGACGCTTCTCATACCACTCTTGATTTGGTAGTATGTACCTCTAAATGTCACAATAGGATGGGCCTTGACGCTTCCGCCAGTCAAACCTGAAAGACGATCGGCGTAGAATCCACCACATGTGATTACATTCTTGGCATATACTTCCAATACAGGACCGTTGAGCACCTTTTCAGCACCACGAATCTTAAGAGCAAAACATCATTAGATTGGTTACACTATTTGACCTATTAGGTTATTAGAGTGCTTACTCTGACACGGCCATCTTCAGTCTTGTTAAATTTGCGCGCTTCGAATGAAGTCTTGATATCACCACGACTGAGAGATAGAAAAAGATGTAAGACTTCCAACCCGACTTATCCAGATTTACTTGATTATATATATATATTAATCCCCGCACTTTACCCGCTTTCTCTGATCTCATTTGCGATACATTGACTGACAAGCCAGTAGTTAACAATACCAGTGTTGGGGGAGTTCAAGGCACTATAAGCTTTGATATTGGGTTCCAACTCCTTCACCTAATTAACGCAGAAACATAACAGGTGATGAGTTGTGCACTTCCCGACAAACCAACCATCTAGCAAAGTTGCTAATGTCAAACTTGCGCACCTTTGCACCATCAATGATCTCAAGGCCCTTGACACCATTGGCTGTGCCTTGTCTGTAGAGCTTCTCGACCTGCTTGTGTTCCTCTTCATTGCAGGCTACGATAAATTTGCCGCATCGATCAACTGGGAGGTCGTGATCTTCGCAGTATTTGTACATCAAGTCAGCACCGCGAACACAAGTGTGAGCCATACGTGATCCTGGCGCATAGTAAATTCCAGCGTGAATCTACATTCATTCCATACACACATATGAGTTTTCTTTCGGAAGAAAAATTACATTCTTGTAATCTATTAGTTTTATTTCACTTTACCACTCCAGAGTTGTGACCAGTTTGATGTGCAGCGACTTCAGGCTCTTTTTCGAGTACGGCAACTGTCATCTTAGGGTATCTGTGCAACAGTTCCCGTGCAGTTGCAAGGCCAACGATACCACCTCCAACTATAATCGCAATAGTCCTTTAAGTGTCAGCTAAGCAAAACACAATATAACTATATGTATATCTTACCGACAACAGTATCATAATGGTTGTGGCCTACATCGTTATCACCTCCATCACGGAAGGATTTGGCTCTAAGGGGGCCCATAATTTTCTCCAGGCCTTTATGAATCTTCCCGCCTTCTCCAGGTGCTTTGTCCCACACAAAGATTTCCTGCTTGGCATTCAGAGTGATGCGGCTGGTGTGCAGCATACGGCCGGTAGCAAGGGGAACAAAGCGTGCAAGAACAGAGGGAGTACGCAATGACATTTTGGATAGCAGGAAAGAAGAGCAATCAAATCTAGAAGAGTTGATAGAAAATTTATATCAATGAAATAAAGTTTTTTTTTTGGTGCTGGTGCGAGGTGTCTTTTTTGGGGAGATAGTACCCGAATCAAGGGTCTTTGAAAGGAATGATGCTATTTATTGGTATTATCTGTAATTGAGAAAAATTCTTTTTACATTATATTCATAGCCGCATAAAAAGTCGTAAGAATTACAAATACGAAAGAACTCAATTATTTTTACTAGTAAACCCAAGAGATTTTTGGTGAAATTATGTAAAATAAAGCTATTTTACCTTATCTTTGAGCACATATCAGGCTTGGCTCAATAAGTAAACGAATAGGAGAAAAATAGATCTCTTTTGAGGTACTTTTTTTTTGTGTTCCCACATGCGTGGAGAAGTTCACACAAATTCGGGGTATTCTCCAGCCAGAATTTATTAAATCTCAGTTTTATCTACTATAGGTATAATGGGGTATTGTGTACGTTTGTTTGGTAGCGCGTAAGCTTTGGGCGGGTAAACTCTAACAAATTAGACACGGAACCAAGAAAATGGATTTTTGTTTTTGCTATTTACACAGCAAAAAGGGTAATCTAACTGCAGTTTGACTGGAGAGCCTTGTAATATCTCACTGTTCTATTACTTCCATGTAAGCCATTGGAGTCAGTGCCCACGCCTTCCTACTGTCTTGCCCGGGTGGGAAGTGAGGATACACAGACATGAGATTTTCAACTGAGTCAATATAAACGCTTCTTTTCGTTACTTGTTATAATTCTTATCGAAAGAAAGATCCTTATGACCCGTTTTCCCCTTCTCCTTCGGTTTGAAAGGCTGCTTTTTGTTCCTAAGCATGGTACAAAGCTTTGACTGAGATCAAACAAAGTATGACAGGCTAAAGAAGAAATTGAATAGTGGGGAGAACTTTGTCGGGTTTACTTACCATACCTAGTCAGGAAATGAAGATCTTTTACTTGTTTCGTTGGTAAGAGCCGGTGGAGAGAAAGAAAGACAAAAAGGCCTGTGCTGTAGAATGACACAAATAATTCTATTTTGATACTTGTGTTGTGTTGTAACCCGATCCAAAAGACCTGTACCTCTTGTTGATATAATGACACAAAAAAATGGGCTTTATTATGCTACATCAATACAGATATATACTATATATATATATATACATAATAAGCCTACAATGCTTTATTTTCTACTTAGCTTGCAATTATTATTTATAAAAGCCGAGTATTTCTTAAATTCATAACTGTCACTTTTCTTTACATTTAAAGTAATATTATGTACTAAGATTTTTCCTGTGGAAGTACACAAAGATATATAAAGTCAATGGGACAACAAGCCCATGTATTTGTCCTGGTTTTGATAACAATCAATATGATTCAGTAGACAACGATGTTTAAAGCCTCTGTTCTGTTAGATTATGCATTGACAGCATTGTTTCTTAAAACACAATAACTATGTAATACTTTGTTTTAGGAGTATATTCTTAATAGTTTTATAAATGAGTATTATTCCTACACGAGAAAATTTAGCAAATATATAAATATGATGTAAGAATCGGTCTTCAAGTACATATAAATTTTATTTTTGTTACTTATCAATGATCAACGTCTCCGCAAATACCTATGTTAATGAGAAATCTACCTTCAGATTTTACAGTAATGGACATGTGCTATCGGTTATTATATATGAAGAAGACGGCTCTATTGGCTATAACTGCAATCCATGTAGCTTGACAGATGCTGATTTGTTTTTAATGCATGAAAAAGATACTATGTATTTCAAAATCAAAGGTAGTTTTCTTCTTAATAAGTAAGCAGGCTTATATGTGCTTGGCTTATTTTTTTTTATTCAACTTATAGGCGAATGCACCTTTAAAGCTTCTGTAGACTCAAATAATTATCTATACACTACTTGTAAAATAAACATCGATTCCAACAATACTTGCCTTGAGATTCATTTACCATCCTTTGAAATGAAAAGTACCGAACTTCGTATAGAGTCTAGCTCTACTGACATATCCAGCGAGTTATTTAAAGTGCATGAGCTTCTTTATAATATATCTGTTCTATCTGACAGTGATATTCAGTTTCTTGTTTCTAAAGAGCAGGATAAATTTCAAACATATACAGCTGTTTTAGCATATCACTGTAAGTTAAACTATATCAAGGGACCCTGTTTTTAATAATAATAGTGTACTGATCTATAGTAACTTTTATTTATTTATTTATGTATAATGCTGCTAACTCTACTAATTATTATTATTACAGGGAATTCTTTGGATGTGCTTGACTCTCCATGTGCACCAGGAGAAGAAAAGACACCAGAGCTTTCGGCCATTACTTTGTTACAGAAGTAGACTTTATTGATATAAAAAATAAAATCAACTAAAAGAGACATTAATTTAAGATTGGAAATAATGATATAAAAACCATACCGAAAGTGTGTTCGTTGGTTTGTAAAAGCTATATTATAATATTTTGAAAAAGAGGAAGGGAAAGGGAAATCGTAAGAAGTAAATAATGGGTAATTTAAGAAGTCAAATGGTAACATCTACTTACGACGTGTAACTGAAAGTTGTAAAGATCGAGTGTCAGTGTATCTGTGAGATAAATTTCAACATTAAAAAATGAATTTTCTACATTGAAAAAGAAACCATTTTATTTTTAGGGTAGAGCCGATAATGACAGTAAAGCTATCTTTTGATTAGTCTTTTTATTATGTGTCCAAACAACAATGAAATAAAATCACTTGTAAAGTAGTTATATTAGAGCGTCTACAGCGGTTTGTCTAAACCTAAAGTCCCGTATTGTTTATTACCTGAATGTTTTAGTGAAATATTAAATTTAGGAATCTGTTAAATATTCTTGAAAGTTTTTCAGCTAAAACTTTTAGTTAGACAAACCACTGTAGATGCTCTTATGTTTTAAACGATGGCTGTAATACAATATCTTTATATTAGGGAATACATTTTCTTACTCTGCCTTTAAACTCGTGTACCGCACTTTTTCAAAGGTCAAAATATGCTGTCAGAAATGGCAAAACTGACCTCGTCTTCTGTTTACTTTGTCAAAACCCAATTTCTCTATAAAGTTAATAGAAAATATATTTGTTTCCGTCATCCTTAACAAATCATTTTGACCTTCAAAAAAAATGGTTAGGGTACGATTGTTTTTGACGCTTAAAAAAATGCACTAGATGGAAGCCTATAAAAGTTTGGGACAAAGTTATTTCAGAGGTTTTATTTTACATTCTTACAAATGTTGGAATAAATGTCAAAACAAAGAGCCCATGTGATTGCTGCTGAGATTATCAAAAGCTAAAACTTATATAATGAGAAATATGATGAACGACGATAAGATTAGTAGCCAACAAAAACAATCAATCAGAACTATTCATTTTTCATTGCCATGCGCGTTTTTGTCTTTTAATTTGCTTGAATTCAATATGACTCAAGCAACTTTCTGATAAAATGATCGCCCTGAAACTTTTGATAATAAGAGTTCTTTGTATAAAC